CACAGTAGACCAAGAAGGACCATATTAGCAGCAGCAACAACATCAACGCCAGTAGCAATAACAGCAATTTAGAAAAACCGAACAGCGAGCGATACCAGAGACCAGACAACAAAGATTAAAGAAGCAACCGCCAGAGATACAGACCAAAGAAGCAGCTACCGGACATAATAACCCAAAGAAGCAGACAGCAGAGATAGCAGAAGAGAAGTAATGGAATAAGCACCCACATCAAACAGTCAAAAAAAATTAGCGAAACCTAATAAACAAATCCGATTAGTGCTAATTCTACGTCTTCTAGTGCTCGCTATTGCATGGTACCTACTATATTTCACTTCAAAGAAGCAGTATCAAGTCTTTCTGGCAGTGCAAGACAGTGTTATCAGAAGCTAGAGTGTTATTATTAACCAAACGGTCTCCAAAACGACCATGGTTTGATGCTAAACGGGTTTTGCAAAAGGGGAAAAAAAATGAGGGTATGGAAAAATGAGAGGGCACCCTATCCGACGTCACCGTCTGTAGATTTAGTCTTAGTAGTGTATTATAGCAGCGGTAATCGCGGCCATTTAATTTGAAATTGTGCAGTGGTATTTTCGTGCTCAAACTTGACTTGATTTGACATCCTTTGGACGTTTTTGCCAAATTTAATAATGAAAACTGTCGTTGTCACATCCAAATTCCTAATAAATTTTTGAAAATCTAAAAAAGTCGCATCGAATGATGCTAATTTCATTCAGCTTTTAGACCGAAAATAATGAGAAAATTGCAAAAATAGGAAAATAGGTTTTCTATGAATATGTCAAATTCTAGCATATAAAAGTCTCATATGAACAGCTTTTATTGTTGCGTTGCTTCTTTACGATCAATTTGATCAATTATGTATCATAGAAAAAGTCTTCATTTTGGGGGGTGAAAAACGCGATCGTTTGATTTTTGCGAAATTTCCCTTGCTAATACTCAGGGGCCAACTGCGAATACATCCCAAAATTCCTTAAGGACACATCCCGTTATCCATATATAGTAATTTTTAGCATTGGTGATTGTGCTTCAGAATGGCTTCATTAAATCGATACAGAGCTTCCATTGACTCAGTAGATGGTTTTAACATTAGCATTATACCATATTATATGACTGAAAAGCAGAGAATAGACGTGCTCGCCGCTCTATACCTGCCGACATGATGTGTTTTTTTTGAGTGTGCCATCTGTACATCCCATGGAATTTATGTATTGTCAATGGTAAAATGTGTTGTAATTTGAAATGGGCATGTATTGTTGAGGATATAGATCATCTCTGAGAGGCAAATGTATTAGGCGTCGTATATTACATAAGAGGATCTGAGAATGAGCTGAGATGCATAGTAGAAGTGAGAGGTCTTTATTCAAGCAGCACGAAGGAACATGAGTGGTGCCATCAAATGGCTAATCTATATCCTGGTTCCTAGAGAGTGGTAGCCTATGGCCTTTCGTCCCTGGAAGTGGGTTTCAATTCCGACAAATGTTCTTCCGTCAAAGCTATTAGGAAGAACATTCTATCCTGGATCATCTTTGTTGTTTATCCTTGACTGGCGGTTCATGAGTTCTGATGCAGCACATCCTCGTTACTGGTTCAAGGCTTATACAATTATCCCGCATTCAAGATCAAGGTCCTATTGCTGCGGCACTGTCAAATAACTATAAATACCTTTGATATCTACACTAGTTTTGATCCCTATTCAATCTTGGAATAACATAATAAATATATTCAGTTCTAATTGTATTTACTCTGTCTATATTTCGTTATTCTAAACATGTATGAGCAGTTCATTTCATTTGTATGTGTATACCATGGTAATTTTAACCGATGTATTTTTACAATTTTTGAAATAAATTCTTGAGTGTACTTCAGTCTCATTGTGCACACATCCCAAATTACAACATTCTGATTCAATGCGTGTCTGAAATTACGGACACATCCCAAATCGCAATATTGTGATTCGTTGTGTGTTTGAAATTGCGCTGTGAATTGCTCATGGTCATCCACACATCATAAATCATCTAAGCGTATTATAAACATATTCGCTTGTTGCTTTCCATGGTTGAGAAGCACATTTTTTATTACATAGTAACAAGAGCTTTTGCAATCTACAAGGGCCGGTATTACTGGTATTTTATCGTTTCTCTTGCGGACACATCCTATCATCACAATTGAACAATTATGTGGAATACATCCACTATGATCTGCATTCCGACAGTTCATCCAGCTACCAGATTTAGATATAAACTATGTGTGCACTGGATTAGATGTGCAATACCGATTTATACTACAGTATATATAATAAGAAGATATGAACTTTAGATACGCTAGTACTATAAGATTCATACTATATAAGATATAGGCTATAGATGGCATCACGGACATGGATGGCGCTATAGACTTATACTTGTATTCCAATATTGACTACGGATGTTTACCATATCTGGATAAGCATCAAGATTAATGCAATATGAGCTTGTTGCTTCAGATATGCACTTTATGATCTACGCTACAAGACACATGCTTATATCCGTGATACTAGCTACAGATACTTTATGTACTACAGACTTGTACTATACATGAGACATGCTATAGACATGCATACGATATGTTATAGACATGCCATATATCCAGACACATACTAAAGATGTATACTCAGCGATATACACTCAGGTGTGTACTATTGATATAGACTAATATGCATTTTCATGATGGAAGTATTGGTGTTACTCTGAATGAAAATGCCATCTGAACGAAGCATAGGTAGGTCTTACAGTTGGACTCTTTTAACACGAACAACATTATGAAAGGATGTATTCATCACAGCCTTTTTATCTTTTTAACGTTTGCGAGATGCCTGAAATTTGAATTCACAGCGATGAAAATTGATAGAGACTATAACAGCCCTTATGTTTATGCCATCAAAATGGTATATACTGTACTTGTAATGTGCTGAAAAAAATTTTGTTTGATCAAATCGTGATGCTCTAGCTGGTACTGAAGCAGTCTTATGTCAAATTAAACAAAAATCTGAGCTGCAGGGCCAACGGGCCTACCGCAGGCAAACCCTTAGATCTTTGTGTTAACGATCGCGTAAAAGTCGTAAAAGTGACTATATGGAATAGTTGAAACGGCAATAGAATATCATTCTGTAAGCGTTTGACCCAATATTCAGCTAAAAAAAATGTCTCCGGTTATTAGCAAATGTGGCCCAAGACATGGAATCCATATTTCTAATGCCACGAGCATGTTTCAAATCATAGAACTGATATTAGTTACATGGCTACATGCAACACAGCACTGCATTCACTCAAATAGTAGACGAGCACTGCTCAAGGATAGAGTCTTGCTTACAAAAAAAAAAAACTGAGTTGCTAATGCAACCATATAGAATTCATGCGCGAACTGTATTTGGAATGAAACGATGGCATTTCAGTTACACGGATATCTAATTAGTAAAAAAAAACTCATGCTGTGTCGAATTGATATACTCAATTAATGTAATGAGGTATAAATTGTTTGCCGTACCGGAAGAAATTAGATGCCAAACTATGTCAAGTGAAGCTTATAGTTTTATACTATATACGGCCATATATATTTTGGCACTTAATTCATGATGTTGTTCCTCGGCCTAAAATGCATAACAGCATGCAAAATAATTCCAATGCAAGACACCCAATTCTGTCGCTATACATTATTTGCATACCAAAAAAAAAAAAAAAAAAAAAGACTCACTAACGGGGCTCAGGCTTTGTCAGAGCTGGAAGCAAGAATGTTTTCAAGATTTGGAAACGGGATGTCTCTCAAGATCGAGAATATTCCTGATGCCATGTCTTGATGCTGCACATAAACATTTACAGCAATCGGAACGCTTGTATCCGAAGAGCCAAACATGCTTGCTTTTATCGATAGATAGGGATATCTATGTTGTCTTGGAGTCAAAGAGAGAAGGGCCTTCGTCAAAATGTGCCATTTTTTACCTTGGTTGGAACAAATTACCCATTTATTCAATGTGGAATGTATCACAACAGCAATATATAGTCAAATTTTGACGTTATTAATAAAAGACAAAGGTTGCACGAATGTCTTTTGTTGTAAATGATAATAAGCTTTTTTCCCATTCGACTTTGATTATTTATCGTTTACAAGCGATAACAAACAAAAGCCTGAGTGGTAATCGAAAATCACAGTACACTCTAAAAACTAGAGCATCTGCAATGGTACCACATTCACAGATCATAATAAGAAATTGCTGCTTTATTTATACAATGTGATTATACACGCTGATTGTTGTGTTTTATCGTCATAGTATATATATATAAAAAAAAAGCTTATTTACAATAGATAGAAAAGAGTTCTGTACTCGTGTGAGTTCTTTAACTAGAAGTAACCTACACTTTTCCCGAATGAATTACTAAATGACGACCTTTCTCCCTTTTCTGTGTTAATGCGGGATGTACAAGCTAAAATGCAAAAGTGTGTTTTCGGTAAAAACTACTAAAGAAGTTTCTCCTTGCATTTTAAAGAATATATAATAATAGAACACAGTGGTTGCAATCAGAATTACATATCCATATTACATAAATTGCAGATCAGGCTAATGCTTTGGTAAATTTGAAATGTTGTGTGGCTTTCTAAACGTCATTTTCGCACTAAAAGGCAAGAATGGGTCATATGTAAAGGTTAAGCATTTTTGAATAAAAACTGCTGCCTTTATTCTGATAAAGAAAAGACTACACATGTGATTGAATTCATTCTGATTTTACCATTTCAAGACAAGCGTATTTGCTTGCCCTGCCGGTTCCTTTACTCCTTAATCAATGCCTTCCCCCCACAATTGCCATAACACCCCCCCCTTTTCGCTTCCTCATTTTCCCCTGATTAGCACCCCGATTTGATTAGGAAACCTATATATAAAGGGCTTATTGAAAGAAAAGAGCATTCTCTTTTTCTGATACTCTCATTATACATTAATATACCAACAGATCATGCCTGCGCTAGTCAACCCCAACGAAAATACCTCAAAGCCCTTCATCAAAGGCATGCCTATCACGCCTTATGGCACAATACCCAAACGCAGCAAGACCAGAAGCAACAAGAACCGAAATGTAAGTTACCGACGCTGCAATGAAGAAAGTAATTTTTATTTCTTTGATAGTTGATATATTCTCATATTATTGAATTAATAAAAATTAAACTTCTTCATCCATGTCATGTAAACTTAATGTATTCATCGTAAATTTGGTTTGATTTATCTAGTCCATCAGCAAAAAAAGCTCTTCCACTGCCACTGTCAATAGCACACCCTATCCATTCTTCTCGTCGCTGAAATCACCTTCATCCACATCGTTCCTATCATTCATCAATAACCTGTTTGGCAGCGATCAGCAATGTAAAGAGGTGGGCATTCCTGTAGGTTTCATGCCTTGTAATACCCATCATACCAGCAAGACACAAATGTCCCAATTAGACATAATTGTACCCGTGCCAGTCAGCAACCCCATTGATTGCTACTATAGCGACAGAGGAAATGATTCCACATATCTTGACAATTGTAGCTCCTTTAGTACTAGCAGCAGTAGCAGTAATTCGGACAGCTCTTTGTTCTCAATGTACATGGATGACGATGTCAGAGATCAAGTTAGAAACGGATTAACAAATGACAGTTGCATGAGCACCACCGCTTTATCCGACATCTTATGTGACCATTACGTTCAAACACAAATGAATACACCATCCAGCAGCGATGATTTTATTGATGTGCCGTTAGAAACATTCCGCATTTTCGAGGCACCTTCCCAATCTTCTTGCACTTCCTACTCCTCTTCCGCCAATGGCAATCAAAACTGGATGATTGGTTCTTTGCTGCTGGATGAACCACCAAGAGAATGGACTCTGGTAGAAACATTGTCAAAGCAACCGAAACGATTGCAACCGAAATTGCAATCACAACAATCACGAAAACAACAGGAAAAAGAGCAACCAGGGGAAGAGCAAAAGCCAGAAGAGCAAGTCAAAGTGGAAGAACAACAAAAAGACATTGTTATCATGAATCGATACTACCATGACCGCGATACCCGAGCCAATGCAGCTTATTTGAGAATGATTGTAGCCGAAGTGAATATGATGCGTTCCCAGAAGATTGTTGGTCCCTTGAGACCACGCAGAGTGCTTCCGAAGAGATTAGACAGATTTATGCACCGACCCAGCCCACTACAGTTAATCTTGGTTTAACAGCATCGTAGAGCCCGCTTATTCTTTTTCACTGTGATTTGGGTTACCTATAACCGAATTTGGTGAAATCTAATCGTTATCATTGATAATTGATTCGTTCCTTCCTTCCCTCGTCTTCTTTGGTGATAAGATTTTATCAGTAATCCTAAACAGCAGGATTAAAGTGTAACCTATCCGAAAGTCTTATGAGAGGGTATATTTTTCATTCCACATCTTGTACATAGCCACACCACGCACAAACATACACATGCATATCCTTTCTTGATAATAAACTTTTACAATATACAAAATACTTGGTGCAACTTTTTTTGATTGTTTGTAATGCGAAATTCGAGTTGTAAATGATTGACTCAAGGGAATCACACGTGTCGACTTTATATAATCAAGTACGCTACATTGCAACATCAACATTGCACAAAATTCAGGGCATATTTTAAGTGAAGCACAAAACATATAAACATTGTTTATCATAAACAATAGTATAATTTCAATGAGAGGAGATCTCTATAATTGGTCTTGACAATCCAGATAAATTATAGCTTTTTATTTACTTTTGATATGCCCTGAAAGTGGAAGATATCTTAAATGTTACTCCAATTTTATTATTACGATTACGAGATGTACAGCAACCCGTAACTACATCTCCTAATGTTGCAGATAATCTAAGCTCTCACATGCACGTGCTTTTGATGGATGTCTGTCTGTATAATGCAAAGAGAACGTTTTACTCTGAATACTTTAACCGGTAACTCATTCAAAAACAATTGTTTGGAGGAGCTTGCGTTTTGTCAAGCTTTTGCTGTATCTGACATAACAAAATTGTCAGAATTCACTTTTTAAAATGTCATGTGCAATATTGAAGAAGGTGCCAACTCGTGCTTTGCGTTGAATTTCACATTTGAATGAATAATACGCAACGACTGTATATATTAAATGCTAAAGCAAGTACTAGAAGCAAAGCAAAATAGCCAGACTAAGCGATAGTACTTTTCAATTCTCAATCGTCCTTTTATGAGTTTCCAACAGCATCAATTCATCACGATCGTCGGCATGGCATCATGTTTTCCAGCGGATGGTCATTTGAATGTTCGCTTGGCTTTTTGTCCTGATTTGTTGATTTTCTAGCTTTTTGGATTCAATTCGACCTATTCTGGCAGATTCGACTATGTAATCTGTGCTCATTATATTATACTCCCAATATTTATTTGAAGTACTTTTCAAAGCGCATTCAATGGTGCCGATTATAATAGATAATCTGAAGAAACTTGTTGAGTAATCTTTGAAAATCTAAAAAGGCTATTTTGGCTAAAGTGTGGAGGTTTTACATAACAAGTTCTAACAAACGAGGTTTTAGGGGTTGTATTGGGTCAATACAATCATTTTGATATAATATATGCCTTAGTAAAAGTCTTGGTTTTCAGGGTGAAAATGGCGATCGTTTGTTTTTTGATGAAAACCATGAGGTACCCCTCATGGTTCGAGGTAGATTTTTTTGGTGATCCTAAAAAATTGAGCAAAGATGTCAGAAAGTAACTCCCGGATGGGAGCAATTGTTTGGTGTCATCCTGGCAGTCTAAAACGGCTTTTAACAAGACAAATAAGGTTTCTGATATATCTAAACTTCGCTGCTCTATGCATATATTTGTGTGTCAAGAGGCGATAGATGTATACTATCTGCGCGTAAATGAGTTGTTCGCGTTAATACAGATGTGGGACATCGTAAAAGTGGAAGATCCACATGGTTCACGCATAGTTGTGGTGAAAATTATTAGTAGATGCGTACTGCATTATAAGAAAACAGGTATATTCCTTGAACCTAATGAATTTACAACGAAAAGGCTGCATTTGGCTGAGCCATTAAGCAGAAAATGAGGCACCTCTTAGGTCAATAATGCCAGGTTACTGTAAATCAAGTGCTCTACTCAATGCGGTTCTATTCACACTTGTTGATTGGGTGACTAGAGCGCTCCAACTGCTTTGCAATATTCAAACAACATCTCGCAACATAATTTGCCCAAGTAGACACCCTCTTTCGCGATATTCAGCAACAATTTTACAAAATCTCGGCCCAAAACGCATCCTCTTCAACTCTATTGCATGCAGCTCGATATACGGTGGCTGCTACTTGAATTTTATATCTGCTGAATCATTTCAAGTCCAAACATTTATTCAATCGACAAGGCACTCTTTTTTTTGTTTTTTTTTTGTATATAGTACAAAGCGCATGAAAAGTTGATTTACAACTTTTGATACTTTCTTAAACCAGATTCAACAGCAGCAGCAGCCCATTCCTCAGCATGATGAAAACCATCCTCAGTAGTAGATCTAGCAATCGCTTGTTCATCATTATAACAAGTCAGGACACCGAACATGACAGGCACACCAGTATCCAATTGAACCTTCATGATGCCATGAGTGACAGCATCACAAATGTATTCAAAATGAGCAGTTCCACCCTTGATAACCAAACCAATACAAATGACAGCATCGAAAGGACCAGTCTGGCGGTCAGACTTTTGAGCAGCACCGCCCAAGGCAGGAGAGCCCAACAGATCACTAGCAGTAGCAGACGCTTGAGTTTGAGAGAGTTCAATGAGTTGCTTGGCAGCCATAGGTAACTCATAGGCACCAGAGACAGTGTCCTAGCAAACAATATGTTAATTGACAGGTCATCCTCCCTATCGCGCGATGGATATCACGCAGATTCCACGCCCATGCACACACACACACATACTCTCTCTCTCTCTCTCTCTCTCTCTCTCTCTCTCTCTCTCTATGAGTCACTTACGGTATAAACATTCTCGGGCTTGACATTATACTTTTCAATCAAAGTATCGTAGACCTTCTTGTAAAGTTGATCGACCAGAGCAAAGTTCCAGCGTGTATGGACAATGGCGATACGAAGACCAGTGCCATCCAACTTTACCTTTGGTGCAGCAACACCCTTTTGAAATGTTTGTTGTTCGCTCATTTTCTTTGATATAAATAAACGTAAAGAAGGAGAAAAAAAAAAGAAAACGCGAGCTAATTTTAATCCAAAAACAGATGGAAGTTGTGTGTCTTACTAAACATCAATAATGCTTGGTAACAAACACGGTATTTTAATTAATTAGGACGTCATCTTGTTTGATCATGATCTCGTTCAGCACTGCCAGCTTCTTCTTCTCCAGGTAGAGTTGGCTTTTAGCATATTCCTTGATGGTGCGTAACATGTCTTGAGCTGTATTTGGCTTGTAATGGTTTTCAATATCTTGCCTCAAGTTGGTATCAATACGTTCAAATCTTTGTAAACTGTTTCGTTCATGAATGCGTGCATCTTCTAATATGGCGATCGCTTCACTTGCTTGATCTCGGTCAATGCTGATTGATGATTTTAACCTTTCCACGCCTCTCAAGCTGGACTCGGTGTGCTTTCTGCTTGATAAGTAATCAGATAATGCATCCAGTCTTCTTTGCATGGCATTCTAAGAAGAGCGCTGATATTTAGGCTCTCTCTCACTCACTCTCTCTCTCCATGTTTGCCTAATTTATCTTTTTTTTTTTTTTACCTGTGTTGATTCGCAGTTCTTTAGTTCATACGAGATTTCGTCTGAGAGTGTTTCATTTACTGTAGATGCTCGAGATCTCTCCAGATCAGCTAATTGCTGATGTCCCTTGGCGATAGTTTTGTAAAGGCTGTGTACATGTCAGTAATAGAAGGATTGTCCTTGCAGCCCAGAGGATCTTACATAAACAAGTTAGGATTTCTCTCAATACCACCATAAGACACCCATGAAGAAGCCATGTTTATCCAGGAACGAGCCATTGCTATGTGTGTAGTGTAAGTCCATGCCATGTTGTCATGATGCATGAAAATAGTTACAGTGTTGTTCTTGCACGAGCTTATCTAATCTCGCTGATGCATGGCGCAGATTCTGCGAGAATGTATCCAACTCTTGCATACAATGTCCAAACTCTGGCTCCATATCATCCGGCGATACATGGACAACAATGTATTTTGGTGGTTTGACTCTCTGCTGTGAATGCTGCTGAGGCACAATGGAGGGTCGAAACTATAGAGTCGCTCACATGAATGACCATCCCATTTCTCCCTTGTGCTCGCTCAAAAAGCCTCCATGTCTTCTTACCTACCCCGACTTCACTTTCGACAAAGGCTCGCAATCCTTCGCTCATTTTCGTTCTATCATGTTCCACTATTCTATCAAACCACAGTTGTATCTTGTTCTCCACCGAGCCTGTATCACCTACAATGACCGGTTTTTCTCCAGGCAATCGAATAGTAAACCACCATTGCCGACCCACCAGCTGGCCATCTTTATCGAATCTGGGAGAGGGGCAAGGCGGTAAAGCAGGTATCAAGACATCATCACATGTGCTGCTCAGGAAATCGTGGAGCTTGACCAACTCGCTGTAATATCTTGGAAACCGCTTTTGTTTTTGTTTGTACTTCGTAATGTTGGTCTATATACATGTTGCTTAGAAATGGTCCAGCTGCAAAAAAGTCGCTTGCTATACCTGAACTTCGATCCAGAAAACGGGATCTTTTCGTCTGTAGTCTACATTCGTCACTGTAAACTGTATTCGAGGTGCTGCTGCCATTTTGGAGACGAAGAAAAAAAAGTAGAAAAGAAGCAAAGAGAGACATCCAAATAAGTGGGTCATTTTTCTGTGATATATAACCATATGGCTCATTCAAGTTCAGATCATCCTCAAATTGCTTTGTGTGCACAGAGGAAATAACTGGACAAGTTTTGGTGCTTCATCAACTATTTGCCAATAGTGTGATGGAATGGGGTTGTTCAAGTCATCATCGTACCTGCTGATTGCCTGTTGTACGAACCCTTTTTTTGTACTCGCTATTCTATACTCAACGTTTCTCGCCAATGACACATCTAGCATAGACATGCACTGAATCAGGCATTGGGCTCAAGATTGTACCAAGGAATGCTACAACGGCATTTAAAATATCACCAACTGCATTAGTGCAGGCAAAGAAATTCCTTGTAATCTATACATACAGATGGTCGTGGTGTGATGATGGCTTCCATCATTGGCTCCGGCTCCGAGAAATGACAGCGTTGAATGGTTGCCATTCAATCATGGTTCATCAAGTACAGAGGAACTATGGACTCCTCCGTTAGCTCACTCTTAGACCACTATCAAGCGTTTTTGGATATTCAGATGTAGGTATTGTGTTCTAACTGCCATGTTCATGAGATATCCTTCCACTGATTTGGCCAAATGTTGATTGTTTGATGGATTTTCGAGATACTGGCAAGAAGGTTGTCCATACTTCAATTGATTATCTCGGCAAGGGCTAATGGAAGTAAAATAGGAAAGAATGCTGCTGCTTCCCTGCTCTGTTGCATTTGATAACATTTACCATACAATATCATTGCCAACACCGCAAGACTTTCTGCTAGCTTACTTGTCTTTTAAAGGTACATCAAGCAACATTTTGCATCTTTGGGAGGCTGGGAAGAGCAAGGCCGTTGGGCCGTAATGAAAATCTTCAATATATGAACAGTGGAACTAATATTACAAACAGCTAAAATATATCTTTATTGCTATGTTCATAATCAATATACTAATACTCAAATCTAGAATTCTTTATTGTATTGACACCACCAATAAGGACACATTAGTCACATCCAACCTCAATGTCTCCACCCAGAAATAAGTGATCCATTCTAGGGCCACAAAATTGACGAGCCAAGATGTTCGTACGAATAGCACTCATGGCATCCTCATTTAATAGTGAATTCAGTTACCTTACACATGTTATAATTAACAAATCATAACAGACATCCATACAGCTCTACACTCTCTTAACGGGCCCACCTTTAGTAATGTTCTTGATAGGAAAAGACCAGACTGAGCGAAATGGATCGTTTGATAATGTGCGGCGTGAGGCCATTTGCTGTTTGGCTCCAATGGCGGTTTATTATAGTCTCTGAATGCGCACTGGAACTCAACATTCGCTTACTCTTATTGCTAGCTATATGTTTCGCCAAATTGTCTTTTTTTTGAAAAAGACAATCTGTACAACTATTGTATGTATAAGGATGAATCTAGCAAGAATGTTAATGTTAATACGATAGTAAGTGCGTAATCCATATCTTCTCATTAGCACTGTGTGTCTTGGTGTATCGGCACAAACTCTCTATTCTATTGAAGCTTCTGCCACACTCGGGGCAGGTGCATCGCACTTTGTCACCCGTCTTTGAGTGATGATCCACATAGCTTTTTCTAGAGAAGTCTGTATATATGTTGGCTACAAGTTTAGTAACAGTTGTAGAGGGTACTTTGTTTGACAGTCTGATATTAGCCTTTTGCAGAGATAGCATCCCAAGCTGCTCTGTTGCCTTGGCCTGCTTTAAATTTCAGGAACAAGATGTTCATTATCTATTTTGGGTTTCTTGAATTTTAATCGGACACGCATAATTGCCACTGCCGAGATTCAAAATACAGGGCTTCAAGGCTTGTAATTAGTGGACCCTTGAACCGAGAACTCCTCCTTTATTTCATTATACTCGAGATAACTCACAACCATGCTTAACTTGGTTATCAAGATTTCAAGTCTACTCGTGGCATTCTACATCGTAAGCCTAATAGCACAATCGATTCTGTATTGGATGAATACTGATAGTGGAAATGTAGGCCATCATTGGCATTTTGAGTATCGACACTCCTCAACGATGGTATGTACCTGTTGATAGTCCTGTAATGCATGTAGGCTGATCATTGTCTAGTCTCATGTTTTTGCATTGGGTCAAATTTCCTTTCTATCCTCGATTCGAGATGCCAGAATACTATGGTTTTGGACGTAGGTCGTTATCAGCCATCCAGATATAAGTAGCAACTGACCTGGAAGATAAACTAGACAACCAAGGAAGAAACATCAAGATATCAACATCTGATAATGTCACTATTGGTATAAAGGCTGTTCAAATACCAACAAACGCGAGTTTTGACAAGAGCAAAAATAGGTGCATGGCAATTCTTACCTACAGAATACTATAACAAGCAACAACAACTACGTCTAGCCCAGAATTTAGCGCGAGATGATGAAATATTTGATGCCGCACTTTCTGACTCACAGTATGATACAATTGTCTATTTCCATGGCAATGCATTGCATCGTGCTGCCCCTTGGAGAGTAGATCTCTATAAGGTAATATGTTCCGTTTTTGTACCTTTTGATCGTCTCACTCACAGGCCTCTACAGCAATTACTGCTTCGATTTGGTAATATTAATCTTATTGCTATTGATTATCGTGGATTTGGAGACTCAGGTATAGATGCATAATTGGGCTATCAAGGAGTACTTTATTTACTTGAAGCCAATTGTATTCAATAGAGTCAACACCTTCCGAGCTTGGTCTTCGTATAGATGCTCAGTCAACCTTGGACTGGCTTAATAAGAAAGGAGGTACATGGCACATTATCAACAATATAAGCCGGCATAATTTAACCAAACAGTTTCCAAGTAGTACCCAATAACCGTATCTCTCTTATTGGCCACTCTCTTGGTAAGTTGATCGAGTGCTTGCAAAGCAAACAGCACTAAACGAGCATCGTGTAGGCACGGGCGTAGCGACGACGCTGGCCCATGACATGTCTGCATCGGGCAATCCACCCAAAAGCTTGATCCTGAAGGCTGGCTACAGTTCCATGACCACACTCATTTTTGAGTACAACCTCATTCCTAAATTGCCCATCTTATCACCCATCAAACAATTTCCAGCACTTGAAAGTAAGTTTAGCATCTGCACATTGGAATGATTGTTATTAATAGAGTGATTAATAGAGTGGTTGCTATCAAAATTAAACCATAAATTCAACTCTCTATCAAGGATTCAGGTATGTGCGCTTGAGACTTGGGGACACAGAGATGACATTGACAACATAGCAGGACGTAAATTGCCCCGTTTTGATCGTCTACGGCAAGCATGACGTGGAGATCCCCATCTCCAACTCGCAAGCTCTGTTTAGACATGCCCTCAATAGCACAGACAATCTCAATGCCTTGGTAGAGTCAAATCGTGTGACGCTCACCGTAATTCCAAACGAAGCCAATGTCTATGAATCCATCGATCGCAGCAAACCACGTTTAATGCTGGTGGAGCTGATTCATGCAAACCATAATAACGGTATGATGATTGCTTGTATTTGCGTACATGTTCGGCTAATTACTATATTTATACATGTAGTTGGCTATTTTGACTACACATACGAGTCCATTGCTGCTATCCTTTACTAGAAAGAGGAGTTTTTTCTGATTTACACACCAAAATTATAGTTTGAATCACACCCAATTGCAAATGTGGTTAAATATAAATCGAGTAAATCCTTTTTTTTCCTTCTTCCTTCTTCTTCTCTTTGTTCCTCTCTACTATAAACGATGGGCAATGTAAATTCGAGACCTTCTGAAGAAGTGTTAGCAACACTATCAAGTAAAAGTCGGAAAAGATACAATCAATCCTATACAAATTACTTTGAATCCAAATCAGTTGCGACTGACAAATATTCTCCCAGAGGCTCTATCATTAGCATCAAGAAAGAAAAGAGCAAACGCTCTTCAGCTTCAGAAGACTCATCAGTACTGGATGCGGCTGCCTCCTTGCTGTCATCATCCCCACCATCTCCCTTGAACACAGCACCGGAATATACGATCCCCATTGAATACGAGATCAAGAATGGCAGACGGTACATGATTTCACCCGTGAATCGGTTCTATTTGCCATGCGATGACGAGGAAGCCGACCGCATTGTGGTTCTTGTGAGTACATTCCATGACAGCCGTCAGACATCATGCTCACCTATTTCTGACAATTAGCATTTCTGCATCAAATACGGCTTTAATGGCAACATTGTTGCTCCAGTGATTCAATCGCTTCGTGTAAAGCCAAATCAGAATGACAAATATTTAACCCGAGTACTTGATGTGGGTTGCGGTCCAGGCACCTGGTAAAGTATATATAGATTTATGCTTTTCGATGGCGAAAAAACCTTACGATTTTCCCTGACAACAGGATTCTGGAAATGGCAAGTGAATTCCCATTTACAGAATTTCATGGCATTGATATTCGTACCATGTTTCCAACCACCATCAAGCCTTCCAACGCCAAATTCATCCAACACAACTTTTTGCAGTCCAATCTACCTTACGAAGACAACTCATTTGAGTTTGTTCGTATGCGACTCATGCTTGTGTTCATCACGGAACAGGAGTTTTTTCATCTCTTGTCAGAGATTCGCAGAATATTGAAACCAGATGGCTATTTCGAAATTTTGGATTGTGAATATCAAATTCATCGACCTGGTGTTCTATGCGACAAAATTCTCAATAGACAAATACCACAGAGTCTACACAAAAGGCTGGGTACAATCGACCATATGCCTAGCCACTATGTATCCACCGCATTGACTTTGCATGGAGGATTTGTCAATGTACATCAGCGTCGCATTCATATACCTATCGGATGGGGTGGTCAGCTGGGAGAAGTCCATGCTCAAAACCTGCAGAACTACCTGCTATCAATTCATCCAGACATCAAACAGGATCTTTCTGTGGCCAATGGCAGCGACGTCGATATCGACGATCTATTGATAGAAGCTATCAAGGAATGCACTGTGCGACAATCCCATGTGTATTGGTTTGCTTGTTATGGTCAAAAGCCTGCTGTCAGTAACCTAATTCCAATCACACTCAATACCCCTATGACTACCACCACCACCACTGTAGCCGCCACAAATATGCTCACACCTATATCATCACCCAGCTCATCATGTATTAATTTAAAAGAATCGATGGATATCTCAACGGATGCTGTTGCTGCTGCTGTTGCTGCTGCTACCACTGCTCCTACCTGTTGGGATTCCATTTATGATTTCGTAGATGGTTACGTCGATTGACTAAACCCTGTAATCCTCTACATGTAAATATCATGTGCAAGTATGCCCTCATTGCACTCATTTCCCTCATTCTATGCCTTGTATGTTTTTCTTAGTTATTAAATCTTTTTTTTTTTTTAATCCAATATCGCAATCACGCATGACTTATTGATAAAATGTGGCATGTCAATCATGGGTATCTGTATCACCCACATCGAAAATGAAGCCAGGCCACTTTTCGTGGTATGAGCATGTGCACAATGAACAAAAAGATATACCTTAATGGTAGTGGTATATTATCTGAAACTGATGCAGATTATAGACGGCTGATTAGATGCATGCCCTGGAAGTAGTTTAAACATCCAAGGCTCCAATCAACATTTGACCCCCGTTGAAACGATAGAAATAATTTTACGTACTATTAAAAGCACATTCTTTTATTGATAATGGATAATTGATGATAATAATAATGATAATAATGATAAAAAAAAAAAACTAAACTTTGGTTAAGGCGCGATGCGCTTCAGCTAATTGAGCTTCCAACACTCTAATTCTTTCCTCAAGAGAAACATCCTTTACTTGCAAACCTGATTTTTCGGATTCCAATACAGCAATACGAGTGGTGAGATGATGATTGTCTGCTTCCAAATCAGACACCTTTTGCTCCAATTGCTCCATCTTTACCAACTTTTTAAGTCTTGAGCGACGTGCAGCATCCGTGTTCTTTTGTCTCTTGAGTGCAATTTCGTCTTGATCCGCGGTGGAAGCCCCACTGATGGAATCAGAGCGGCGCTTCTGTTGACTCATCATGACAGGACTTGCAGCGACCAATGGCTTTACAGGAGCAATGGCTACGGTGGGACATGGGCGCGGGGCAATGCGAGGCAGATTGACTTTGGGTAAGATGGGCTTTTGCTTGGCAATCTCGGGAAAGAGAGGCACATTGGGAGAGGCAGGCTCGTGCTTGACACTTGTAGGAGGACTGATGGGAGTATGAGGAAGTAAAGCAAGGATCTTTTCAGGACTAAAGTCCATGGCATTGGCCAAAAGACCTTCTTTACATAATTCATCGGCTAACCAGTCATCAATGGAGGTGCAATCATTGGGGAAAAAGCTTTCAGGGGATGATGCAGCGATTGATGATGGTTGGAGCAGATTAGATGGATCAATGGTGTCCAAATAAAAGTTATTGGTGGTGTTTCTTGAGGTGTTCATTTTCTGGGTTCTGTGATATATAGTGTAATTGTAATCGAGATATTAATTTTCTGGTGGATTCTGTTTCTTGCGTGAAGTAGTAGCTGAAGAGTCTGTAGTATAAGAGAAGAATGGTTTACGTGACATGGTGTAACTGATAATAGATGATGATTTTAACATTAATTTTGACAAATTAGATACTGATATTATATTCCAAACGATGATGATTTTAGACAATATAACGGATAATGATACGGGGTTCAGGATTAAAAGACTTAAATAATAATTACGGCAACCATCTTGGGCAAAATAAAGTGACAAAATATAAAGGTTAAGGTAATTAAAAGGTGAAAGGGGTTAAGAGCTACTTTTTTGGCAGAATTCAGTGCTTATTTATACCAATTTTTGACGCCTGAACTACCGGGATCATTGCCAAAACAGGCCTTTCCCCTTGTCCCTTATCTAAGACATCCCACCCCTATTGGTTATGATAATCTTGCGCACATGATCATTATCAAACATCAACATCTCCGTCTTAATCAAGGAACCTGTCTATCTCTTTTGCAAACAAAGCGATTAACTATAAATATATATAGTGCATCAGACGCAGCGTAAACAATATGTAGTGCGACATGATGGAGATGATAAAAATTGACATTGCTATGAAAACAAACATAAAACCGGCTCAAATGTTGGTCTGATGAAAGTACATCGAGAGAGCATGTCCCCGAAATTTCGGAAATAAGACTCATTGGTATGACATTCTCATACATTTCGCTTATCTCCTTGCTACAAAAGTAAAGATTGCAGATTAAGTTTTCACATCGTATTGGAATAAGCGATTTACGTAGGCTTTCGTGTAAAAAAAAAAAAGAAAAAAAAAAAAGGCATAGGATGTTTGAAATGATTCAAATTGGTTTTCCATCGTCAATGCGCCTACTAGCAATATTATCTCGTCTATCTCAAGAGTGCATGGAAAGAAATATAGAACTTTCATGTTGAATGTGCCAGGTACTTTCACATGTTTTTGTGTGAGATGAAATATACCCTTTGATATCCCCTATCAAGACTGGAAAAAAACGTCTTGATCCGTCTACATGATTGGCTCTTTTAATTGATGGTGAATAAGCAATGAACATTAATCAAAGCCCTTGTGCGAGTTTATTCCAGCTGCAGATCTCATTTGTGCTAATTGTTACAAGCTGTATAACCTTATTTAACTTTCCGTGCATTATAACAACGTATTTCGCATCAAGTCGCGATATGCTTCATTTGCTGTTGTTGACATTGCATGGCGTAATCAAGCAATGTGATCTATCCCTTCAACGATGTCATGGCTAAACTAGTAGAAATGACGTTTTTGGCGTATAGAGAAAAACTAGTCGATCAATCTCGCTACGCTCGATGACGGCGTCGCCCTGCGGGCTCTCGCCGAAGACATTCCAAATCAGAGATAAGAAATTCTGACATATCAAGTAGATTTTAAACAATCAATTAATAGTAAAAAAAAAGGGGCTATATCAGAGTCAGGACAGGGAAGTATCCATTCGCTGATGTTGCTCTTGAGATGGCGACTTTTTTCGAGATAGTGTTTTCGCAAAGGACACCTTTACAGGGAAAAATACCAAGAAAAACAAAGTATTTGGGCGAAGCAATTGTCCTTCCAATTTTATAATCCACATTTAATCAGTATCGCAATCATTTATTGTCATCATCAGAAAGGTATTTGGGCCAGCCAGCAGCAGCAGCGCCGCCTGCCGCCGCCGCCGCAAAAACTGATTCAAACTCAGTTAATTTGCTTTGCTCAAGATTGGACAAATTTTGTTATTTACCGACTTCTTTACTCTGTTTTGTGATATTCGACTATATAAATTGTGATGATCACCCTATGCCTCCTAATACATTCTTGAAGTACTTTTCAAGGCGCTCCCAATGGTACTAATTGTAATAGATGTTTCAACTGAAATTATTGAGCAATTTAATAAAATTTGAAATGAGATTTTTAGCGAAAATAGCCATATTTTGCATATGAAAGTTTCATAAAAGTAGCTTCAGAGGTTGCTTTGGATCGAGAGAAACATTTTGATTCAATACATACCATAGTAAAAGTCTTCATTTTCAAGGTGAAAAACATGATCGTTTGATTTTCAATAAAAAGCATGAGGGGTACCTCATGCTGTTTGGTCGATTTTTGGCCATGTTTTTTGGGTCCCCAAAAACTTGAGCAAAGGTGTCAGCAAGTTACTACTACTCAAGTACAGTTATTTGGCGTCATTCCGGCGACTCAGAAAAGTGTACATGTCAAAATATGAAGGCTTGAAAGCTGTCAAATTTGGTTATATCTTGCTTTATAGCTTATATTTACACGGCATGAAGCACATCTTTGGTAGCTGAAATCTTCCGGAGGGGCAGTTCTGCATCCTGTGCAAATTCTGATTTGATTAGGAGGCATATTGATTTTCTCTTGTTAAAAGTTAATACAATTTCTAGTTGTACAAACTTGGCTGTGACCAAGATGAATGTTTTCGCTCCTATATTTGTACACGTCTTTTACTAATCATATCAAATGGTTTTTCTCGCACTGATTAGCATAGAAACAATCGAGTTTGCCCTTGATTGACATTCGCGCGTCTAAAGAGATTGAATAAAATGGAACCTATCGTTAATTGCATTTTTTTTTACGTGGAAAGATCCTACCGTCATCCTCTGAGGTTTAATCGATACTTTGCGATAGTAGATGCCGTTGTGATAGTTTCACAAATGTCAGGGAAAAGCGTGATTTGGTGTTACATTGTAAAGTGAACAACAAATGTGCTTAAATCCAAATAACCGAGCATGCAGACATCGTTTACTTGTATGTAACATGTTTCGCAGAATGTGATAATTGTTTGTAGCTTTACTCGATAAAAAAGACCTCTGTAAATTGATGAATAGAAATCACTATATACTTGATATATTTTTATTTCGAGAGCCTGAGAATACGAACAACTGCGAAAAGTAAATCTCTTAATCAGTCTCGATCTCATATCCCCTTTTAACCCCCCAAGCGCAAAGAAATGAGTGTCCCAATTTTCTTCAATTTGCTTTTTTCTTCCTATCAAAGCCATGGTTAGTTATTGAAAAAGGTTTGAGTATGGTAGCTACTATCTCCACCATTCAATACAAGCTTCGCCGCCAGAGTGTGATAGTTTTTGACACGCATGGTCCAAGTATCTCTTTGGCCCTTATTAGTTACATTGCATTCAGTACAGCGAATATCTGACCCTGCAATTTCTGATTAAGAGAGAAAAAGAGGAGGTTATACCTTAACGCCTTGAGCTTCTATATACGATGAAACGTATCATCAAGAGTATACCGCAGAGGTAACAAAACGATGATGTATGAATCATCCCTGGGAAGGCAGCAAACTTGAATGTCTAAGTAAAATGATTTCTCAAATCAATGCTGCTGACCCAGCTATTCCATCGTAGCAACTCGAATAATCAAGGTGGCATGCAAAATTTGTACTCTCAAGTTACATCGACAATGCATCTGATGTAACTGCGTAGCTCTTATGGATAAAACGACAAAGCATTGCATTTCATCCAAAATAGATTTTACATTTGAAAACGTGCAAACACATTTTCAAGCAATCGAATACTGCTTAATTTACGATATGAGATATCAGCACTGATAGTAACGGATGTTCAGTATCTGAATCTAGCCAGTGGTTAAGTATATTTTTATTAGATCCAGTCATCTAGTGATTACAATTTAGCATCATCTTTTACTGTCAACATTCATAAGAAATAGGTGATTGATAGACTTTATATATCCCAATTACCCCACAAATTGGTTTTATTGCAATAATTCACCGACTAAGCGGGTGTCCTCACATTGCCAGTCTGGCGTGCAAAGACATGTGAATAAGTGGGGGATAAGACGTACCTATAAAAAAAAAGTAAGAGGTCAAAAAATCTGCTGATAGATCCCAGTGAAAAGGCCAACTTACTTATCAGGATTTTGAACTCGACTGAAAGGAGGCAACACCTTGTTGTCAAGTGAGACCAGTGCCGAAAAACCAATGAGGGCAATGTTACTCGCTCCTTGCTCATCACGATTCATGGTAGTTTGTTTAGCCAGCCTTTTTGGACACTCAGGGTTAAAGCATGTAACGGCACCGAGGTTCCTCTTCATTCTATTATCCTCACCACGCACCTGTTGTTTCTGTGTCTCCTTGAAACATGAGCAGCAAATTTTTGTAGAATTGTATTCGTCCACCAATCTGACTGTGCTTCTTGTGGACAGCGTTGACATGTACGGCTTCATACTTCGAGTGCTGTGGCCACGGAGGTACTGAGTATTGCGATGCCAGTTTCCTATGAAGGAAATCATCTTTGGCTTGTTGAAGGTGGACATGGTTGCAGCAGATCTGGCTTCACTGGCTACCAAATGTTGGTGAAGTTTCTTCAAGCGGATTCGTCCAGTTGCCCTTCCTTTCTGTAGCTTCTTGACTGATGACTTCTTCCTCTTCTTTCGCCTATTGGAGAGGACAGCATTATCGACTTTGTTGGCTGTCATTTCATACTTGACGAATGTTTCTTCGTTTCCAAGAGAGGTTGCAGTGTCAGAATAATCTTGCAGCATTTGAAACCGATTGATCGACTCAAAAAGAGTGAGAGAAGAGCACCATACACTACTGGCGGTGGTCACCACACCAGGGTCAGTGCCTTGAACGATAGTGTTACTGTCAACAGCCAATGGCTTTGGCATGGCATCAGCAGCAGCTTGATGTACTTGTTGACCGTGGATCCTTTTGTTCAAAATGTACATCTCACTGGACATTTGCTTTATCGATGACTTCAAGCTTGACACTTTCATGTACAATTTATCGTAATCACTTCTAGCATCTTTCAACTTTTTGTATAGCTCAAAGTTCATGCTGTTGTGCTTCTTCTCCCAGGAGCGCGATTCATTGCCACAGTCCATGCGATGTCGTTGCAGTTTTGAAAGCTGCCTTGACAGTGAGGACAACTGCTTCTTTGTTTCTTTGATATCACTGGAGAGTTTTTTCACCTTGTCCACATCAGACTTGGAGGCACTTGACCTGTTTACACTGGACTCGGAGGCACTCGACCTGTTCTCACCCGATTTGGAGCCATTGGAGCCATTATTGTGTTTTTTCTCTCTTGAACCCACCAGATGAACATTGTATTGGTCTTTGAATTTGATATAATGCTTGAAGTCGAGCTTTTGTTCTTTCAGAATTTTCTTGATCTTGGGCACGTCAAAAAAATTTGAAAAGATATCCTGCTTTGTTTCAATTGATTTGATCATTGAGCAGGAGGTGAACGCAGATTTGTCCTTTAGGTAAATGTGGTACTGTTTGCTGAATAACAAGTACAAGGTTACGGGATCGAGCGCAATTGCCATTTTTTGACTCGGCGTGTCCTCTATAGTTGGAAAGAGACTTCTCGCGTTCTTCCTTGTAAGGCCAGGGTGGAAAGTAACAAGAATATTGTGCAACTGAAACAAACCAAACCACTTGTATGGAGGGGGGGAATCTTCCTTAGGAACAAGAGATTTGATGGCATTGATGATCGTGCAGCAGCAATCAAGGGCACTAGCTGGAATAGAGTCTCTCTTGTCGGGGTACAACTGCTTCTTGATGTATTCAGAGGAAGTATCACCTTTGATGGAGGGGGATTGGCAAAGCATCACGGATACAGACGTCAAAGCATTGATCTCCTTGGCTGTCAAATCACGATTTTCCTTTTCCTCTTGTAGCTCATCATCCAAGACACTTTCCAAATCACTGTCGTCACTATCAAGCAACTCAATGTCTTGCGCAGCATCCGTAGTAGACAATGGTTGCGGTGAAGATGTTGCGGACATGCGCGATTTGCCTTTACGGGAAACAGGAGATGATGCACCAGTAGTTGTGGCAGCAGCAGGTTCCTTTGATTCTGGCTTCTTCTTGTTGTTTGAAAAGATGATGCCTAATTGCTTGTCTATGCGTTGATCCACCCGATGATCACAGTCCAAAAGCCAAAAAAGTTTTTCCATTGCTTGCTTCTTCTTTGCTTGTTCTGACTGCGGCTTTGATCTTTTTCTCTGCTTGCGATTATATGTTTTCTTCTTCTTCTTCTCTCCAAAAATGCGCTGTCGACACAAGTTGACCTTGAGCACCAAGTTGATCACTGTCTTCAGCACCGCTTGGCAGTTCCTTTTGGAGTAAATGTTTGAGAAGTTTGTGTGATATATTCTACATGCCTCTTGCAGGGCAGGTCGTGTTGTAAAGTCGACGTAATCAGTGCGTTCCAAGTCTTCTTGAATTCTTGTGAGAAGGCTACATGGATTGAAGAGTTAGTGCCTCATGCATTACCGTCAAATGTCCTTGTATATACATACGGGATTTTTGTTTTGTCCACGTTTTTTCGTCCAATACAAAATGATAAGCTTTTCCAGAAGCCACTATAAACGAATAATTCCTGAACACTGACACTGATGTCGTCAATAATTGCAATGGGCTTGGCACTCTTGCTCAAACCACAATCAAATAAATCAACAGCTTTGATGTCAAAGAAAGACATCTTTTTCTGTGTCGCTTGTTGACCAGCCAAGACCAAATCGACCAGCATACCAACAGCCTTCGACAAGCCGCGAATGCATGAGTGGCAATTAGCTTGGAAATCCGTAATCACTCCAAGAAAGACTCCGTAATTAAAACGAGGATGAATTATGGCCTTCAGAGAACGAGATACACTTCGAAGCTCTATGGTTGGATCAACCATCGCTCCACCAGTTGCCTCACCAGCTCCAGCACCACCAGCTCCAGCACCGCCTGCTTCTGACCCAGTGGGTTTATCATCATCAACTTCAGGTTCATCGTTCTTAGATTTACCACCACTTGATCCACCACCACTTGATTTACCAGCACTTGATTTACCAGCACTTGATTTACCAGCACTTGATTTATCAGCACTTGATTTATCAGCACTTGATCTACCAGTCTTCGGCTCAGCAGCACTTGATTCACCAGTATTTGATCCACTAGCACTTGATTCACCAGTCTTTGGCTCAGCAGCTTGTGCCGTCTCTAGCTTCTTCTTCAACTCTTCACAGAACGATTCAATGCATTTTGTAGTGGAGAGTTGCTTCGCCTGTCGTAATCGGGCAACTACCTTTTGAGTCCAACCTGGTTGTATGTCTCCCAGCTCCTTTTCCATCACTACATGCACGTTGGACACTACCTTGTTGGGCAATGACTTAGTGGAAAGAGACTTCTTAAAGTCTTCAACGGTATTGGACGGCCCTGACCTTTTCAGGAACTCTTCCCATTTGCGCTGGTATGCTTGATAAACTTGAATCTTGAGCAGCTTCATGACTTTCCTGTCTAACTCGTCATCTGAAAAGGTTCTCTTGTGTATTGTTTTCTTGGAGCCTTCTATGAACTTTGTCGCTACAATGTCATTACTGACATTTGCATGAGAGGAAGGAGCTTTAAAGGCAGAAGGATTAGGAGTGAACCCATCTTTGCGTGTCAGGGAGAACCAGGTTGCCTTTTGCATGTAAGAATCTTGATGAGATAACAGTGCTGCGAATTTTCTAGTGGCACCGTCCCTTTCCGCAGGCTTGATGATTGTTGGCTTCTTTCTTGTCGAGAACAGAAACACAGTACAATTGAAGTACTCGGCAAAGCAATACAGCAGCAGTAATCCTTTTGGAGATACCTGGTGCGAGTGTTGTTTGGTTCCAATGCGCACATCATGTTCAAGGACACCATTCATGATGCTACACAAGTCTGAGCCGTTCTCATTTACGCAAATACCACTTTTCCGTAAAAACTTGATGGTGTATTGCAGACTTTCTTTGAATCCACAAACACTACAGTTGGTAAGAGCCGAAATCATAGTATCATAGAAGGCTAGATCGGTGCTTGCTTCCAACATAGTAGGTGATGTGCATGCAATGTCAAATATTGCCTTTGTATCTTTCAATTGACATATGAGTTATCCGCAGTTTTGCATTTCACATGATTCAAACTTACTACGGACTGTAGAGAGTTTCTTTGACTCTAACTCTGTGTCTGGTGTGTTATGAAAGAGGTGCATGTTAGTTTCTTTGATATTGTTCAAGCACTATTCAAGAGATTACCATTAGAATGCACTCTCTTTGCCATATTGATAAAGACAATGTTTGGTGTAAAAGAAAAAAGGAAGATGAATTGGCAACATGCAATGTTATATTTAGAGCTGATGTATTGTTGATTTGATCAGGACATCTATGCTATCATTCAAAAAGTTCTTGTATCTGCGTATACTGGTACCTAATTTGGTGATTTTGATACTTTCTCATATAGAAATTACCAAAATTCAATATCGTCTATATTGGAAATCGTGTAGCTACTATGCCTTTATGTATTGTAAAAATTATTGCTCTTCGAGCTGTTTGGCTATTATGCTACCAGTATACTAGGGAGCTCGTTGATCAATGCTATGCCCTATTATGCTGTGTTTTGTTGTGCAATGCACTTTGATCTCCAAATCAATCTTGAGATGTGTATGCAAAGTACTAAAGATCAAGCTGGCATTGATGAGGATAACATTACCATCTCTGAGATTGGACATATAGCGGAATACCGTATAGGCAATGTATTGTGTATATTGTTCTACCACAGCTAAGATTTCGTATGATACCTTGTTACAGAGTATGGTACTTGATTTCATAAGCACAGTACTTGATGATGGCTATTAGATAGTGACAAGGCCCTTGTATTTTGCTTGCCTGAACATTTACACGAGGCACATTTCATGATTATTGAATAGTGCATGCCTCTTTTTTTAACTTCAAGAGATCTCGCAGCTTTTTTCAGGCACCAAACCAACATTATTGAACATAGTAGGGTAGGTCTTAACAAAAATCACCATTTATAGCTCTATGAAACCACTGCTTGAAGAATAATCACCTTTTATGTTAATGTTTGGATGAAAGCTTGTTCTGTTCTTAAATTGGGCACATATACAAGTTTTTAATAGAATGCAATTGTGTCCCACAACATTTTATTGCCACCAAAAAGCCACAAATTAATCTGACACTATTGCCAGCTATTATAGAACAATGATAAAGGAAGGGGATTTCAAGAATGAAGGGCAAATCAAAGAATGAGCCATGCGGTTACAAGCAATGTAATTACAAGGGCTATGATAATTCCAGCCACTCTTTTCAGATATTGAGTTTGGCCTACTACATATGAAGTCTGATTTGGCTTTGACACTTAAACTAGCCTTGTATTTTGATTTGAGTTTACGGCTTATACTTTCTCTTTCGGCTGATTGCTCGTTTTTGTTTTTTGCACTTGCGTTGGCTTATTGACTTTTCCGTCATCTATTAAACTTGATTAATTACGAAGTTAAAAACAACGACTTATATAAATATCTCGACAAGAAACTGAACATTGATAACATATCCGACGCAGCGCTTCAAGTTACTACACGCCGTGAAAGCTGTGCTCCACACACGCAAGTGAATCTCTGCCGTAAACCTTTTGTTTTACTGACGTTTCTTTTTTGCCATGTCATTATGTCAGCAATAAGCTCATCTTGGTTTAATAGGCAATTGTAAATACCGTTCTTAATAAGCAGAATCGCACTCAAAAACGTTGCATACCTGTTTGTTTTTGAAGTTCTTTCTGCAGTCGTAGCAACAAGTGTTTGTTGACGACCTTGTTTGAAATAATCATCATCCTCCTGAAACAAGACTCCATGAGTAAAGCATGGTCTATACTAAATGTGGTTTCTCGCACCTCAAGCTGCTTGCTGTCAACCGCGTAAGCAGACCTTAGCATCCAACAATCAGTTAGAATATTATGCCGTGGGATCAAGGTTGAAATCAATGAATTATACATCGATTATGAACAGGTTTTACTTATGCCCACTGACACAGCTTATGACAGAGTAATATTACATGCAACATGCTTGCAACCGTGCTTTATTCTTCTATGGTACATACAAATGATGGGAAGTCTTAAAATTCCCACCACTTTTTACGCGCTTGGCGTTCATTGTATTCTTTGACAGCTTTCAAGAAATCACCTGAAGCAGCATTCATGTCTTGGAACTTTTGATCTAATTGATTCAATTTCTCACCACGTTCATTCATCTTGTCACCCAGTTGAGAAAATACACCACCAGGGCCTTTGCTGCTGCTGCCATTGGCTTCTTTCTCCATTTTTGCTTTATAAGCATCAATCTTTTGCCGTCTTAGTTCATTGGAGTCTTCCATCGGCACTCTTCCCACTAGTATTGAAGAATTGAGTATACATGGATACATGATGAATGTGCAACTTACTGAGTAAATCCAAATCGTGTAAAGTCAACGGCTCCTTTTGGAATGCGCCGGCTACTGTATCCAGCCATGTCTTTTTCGTCTTTTGCTGCTGTTGTTGGGTTATCAATGAGGGGTGCGAGGGCATTGCTCTTGATGAATCAAACAGAATAACTGACTCTCCAAAATGCCTGCGTACATGTTTGTCAGCTGAAAGTCATCATCTGATTGTTATGGCACTTACATGTCAGGCTTGGGAATAAACGAGAATTGCTCCATTTCATACTTTCCAGACCAAAACACAACGCGGCCATCTTTGCTCAGCGATGCTTCTGGTAATCTATCCAACAGACAGTGATTTGGCAAACTCATTTCCAACATCAATTCCAAAGCTGGCAAGGAATAAAAGGCAAGTTTGCCATTGTCCATCAACAAGACGAGACACACACCTTGATGCGAATGCACCACTTGACCTCGAATGATCTTGGCAGCATTGACATTGAACTCACGAGCAAACAATTTGACATTGAAGCCTGATAAAAAGATGTGGACACTGTAGGTGGAGATGCACACGTGGAGATGAGGGTGCTCTTGCTGACGATATTCGCCCTTTCCAATAGCAGCCATACGTTTTGATGGCATATCCTTGTTGCTCGAGGAGGTGGTGGCGGTGGCGCTAGTAGCGACACTGCTGCTGTTGCTGATGATGCTGGATGGTTTAGGAGATGTCTCTTCATCCGAGGTGCTGGAAGAGTTATAGCTAGGTTGCTTGGAGAGCTTCTGCTGTTCTTCCTTTACATGCTGAGATAGGGCAGACTGAGAAACACCCTTTAAGTCAATCATGTGCATGTCCAATACTGGACCAGATGGAACCACACGCATAGAGAGATGTTCGTTAAGAGTCTCTGGTGTAACTTTATCAAGCGTAGCCAGGTTGAATTGGTATATGTGGCCATTGCTGAGACCCACATACAGCTGGGTCGAGATGGCCATCACTAGATGCTCATGTCAATACGTTAAACATTTCTCACAGCATTACAACTTACCTTTGGTAGGTGAATAGGTATTGAAAAAGTGAATAGATGTAATGGATGCAGGTTTCTTTTGCTCGGTTTTGGAAGGATCTACTTCTTCTAGTTCAGTTGCAATATCAGATTTCGGTTGAACGGCAGGAACAACCACTGTATTTTGGAAATCAATTACTACAGTATACGAGGTGAGTGATACATATGACACTAGCAAATAGAAATGGCACTTACGAGCGATATTACACGAGAATAGAATCAGCTGTCGGTATATATCCAGGACATGTACTGTGCCATCTTCTGACGCAGCAGCAACGCTATACAAAGTGCATTAGTTGACATCCCCTAGAAAATGGTTGTCCTACTCACATGGCATCTCCAACACTGACCACACTCTTGATAGGCAGTTTACCGAGTGAGACTCTAACAACAGGGTAAAATCCAGCCTTGTCGCCGTGCTTGTTGATGGAATGAAAGATGGGAGAAGGCCTTGATGTATTGCGGAGAGGAAGCTGAGGAGTGGACGCCTCTGAGGGTATGTCTGGCTGTTGTTGCTGTTGCTGTTCAGGCTGATGTTGATGTGTGGGCGAAGGACTGAGGAAAGGATTTGTTGCAGTTTCAGCAGTAGGAGGTTGAGGAGGAACTGCTTGCTCGGATAAAAATGGATTAGTGTTTGCTGTTGCCGTATGTTCTGCCTCTTCTTGTGTATCAGACACACTGCCCATATCTTCTAAAAGATCGGAAATCTCCTTGAGCGTATCGTCACAGCTGTTGATAAACTCTTCGTTTCTCTTTCTTAACCGGGGATCAATGTCAGTGGGTATCTGCGCGTCAGGCTGGTACTCATAGATCAGGATAGAGCCATCGCTGAAGCCAACGGTCAATGTGCCATTTGTCTTGTTGACATCGAGACAGCACAGGAAGGCTTCTTGATCCACCAAGTCGTCCAAGCAATGAATAGTCAGATGAGACAGAGGTCGAAGTGCAGTATAGGAGGCATCCCAAAATTTGACCACTTCGCCCTGATGAATGGTGACGAGTAAGTCATTGGCATCGATATGGTAAACGTGCTCAGGACCTGCCACACCGCCTGTGATGGGTAAGTAGCGAGTCTGTCTGTCACTGACCGTCATGCCAGCCAGCTTTTTGAAGGCAGCTAAAGGAAGCTGAGGGATATGGCAAGCATTGAGAATAGTTGGGCCGAGAAATTCGAGAGCAGGAGGCAGTTTGAATAGAGGGAAACCATGTTCCAAACTGAGGACTCGCAAGCAGTGATCAGCGCCTACGACTGCAATACCAAGTGGATTGTGCATGCCCAAATAGTAAGGATCCGTGCTCAGGATCAGGAAATGGGAGAGATCAGTAGGCAGCGGCATAATGGATTGCTTCTTGGCTTCTCTCGAGTCGCTATCCAAGTCAAACTCCAGCACATTAAGGCCTTGGATGTCCAGTGCACTGGAGCCGCCTGCAACGACGACATACGATTTGTGAGCTGCTGTATTGGCATACCATGCCATTTGATAGATGGGCTCAGACACAGCAGCTCCCTCTTCACCTGCCAAAGCTGAAAATGCCTCTGATATTCTACGCGATGTAATGGGCTTTTGTTCGTTCTTGACATCCCATAAATGCGTACATCCATCATCGTAGCCAGCAATGAATCGACTGCCATTTGGACTCCAAGCAAAGCAAGTCAAATTAGCGTTTCTGTAGATGCTGGATTTATCCAATTTACGCAAGCTGTAAGAGCGTCGAATAGTGCTCTCTCTGATATTCCAGACAAACACAATGGCCTCGTATCCGATCAAGAGCGTGTTGAGTTCTGTTGGATGCATCTGCAGATCAACGACAATGTGCTGATGAGAAATCTCTGCGGGATCAATGACTTCTTGGTTCTCCAGCAGATCAGGGATTTGGTAGGGTGTCATGGTGCCTTGCATGATATCAAATACATCCACAAAACCGTTGGCGTATCCAATAAACAGCCAATCCGTGCCTGTACAGTAAGTTTGACTGGTGATGATCTCGGGTGCTGGAAGGACATGGCGGACGGATTTGGTGCGTAGATCAATGGTGATGATGGTGTTGGCTTTATCAATGACAATCAGGATGGGAAAGCCAGTTTTGAACTGCAAGTGTTTGATGCCAGTGGATTTAGGCAGGCTGACGGTAGTCGAGATGCCTTTGCCAAACACTTTGATATAAGCATGTGTTGAATCACCGGCTGATAAGAGGAAGAATATGGATCAGTACCACATCAGCGAGTATTCAAGCAGATGGACCTACCAACAGCTAATAAACCAGCAATGCAGTCATACGCAATTACATTGATGGTGGAAGGTAGACCATAGGTGGACACCTAGACAATAAGTTTAAAGTTAGGGACATGATGGCACTAAAACCTTATTCCACACCGCCCCCCCCTTAAATCACCTGCCTTTTCAAAGTAGATGTCGTTGACTTTAATGTGCTCCGAGAGGGAGTGCTCCAGTCGCTTGTCCTTTGATATAAACGTCTTGGATACGACGTTTTCCTTGGCTTTCTGAGCCAAACCTGATATCTTGTCCAACAGAGACATGATCTAAAAGAAAGAAAAAAAAAGGGTATACAAATGCAAAGAATGAAAAGAAAAAAAAAGGAAGAAAAGGAAGCACCAACCTCATTTTGTCCTGCCATTTTGTCTGCTTGTTTTGGACTGTGGAAATAATTAGAAAACTAATTTGATTTCATGTTACACGTTTTTACCATCTATTCTCAACACAAACATGGTAAAATAACAGATAAAATAGACTCGACAGTGTTGGCTCACAAACAGACACATTAGGCCAACGCTTCCAGTAAAAAGATTGCTGCTACCAACAAGCAAACACTCAAAAACCTCACCAACGGATTCCTCATTGTCAATGCCGTCTACTTTTTATGGCGCGTTGTCTATCACTGGCAATCATTCACTTTCTCTCAATTCTTTTTGTACCTGACAACAGGTGGTTTGACGTTTTTGTTTTACCGTATTCTAGTGTCCTCGGGCACGCCATCTTACGCAGCAGATGGCAACTTGATTCGCAGTGGCGACGACCTCAATGCAGAGGGGTTGACAGCGTACGTTGACCAGCGTTCTGTAGTATCCATGGACATGTCTCTCAACGTTTATATAGGTACATGTTTGATATCATCTATGTCACTTGGTTTGTTCATATCACGACTGCCTTCATTTCAAACAAATTCTGGATGGTTTACTTGGTGGTAAGATGTGGATTGGCTTGTGTGGATGTTGGAATGGTTTCTAATGCTTTTTTTTTTTATATATTTATTTACTGCTTTTAGATTCCTGGCTATGCTGCTTATAAGTTAGTGCCCATGGCAATGTCTTATTTTGGTAAAGGAAAGGGTCCATCAAGCGAACAGCCAGGCGAGGTCAAGTCAAAGAGACAAGCTAAATTGGAAAAAAGAGCAAACAAAGGTGGACAACAAGTCAAATATTCACGATAAATCGAATTTTTTTATTGTTGCATAGTCAATTGATTTTTCTACACACAAAACACATGTCAGTCAGCCATGCTCTGTCATCAAATAAACACCACTTACCAATGTTCTAATTTGATCTCTTGTCTGAGGAGGAAGTGCATTGATTTGTTCGTCTGTGAGTTGCAGTACCTTCATCAGTAGTGCCTTTTGCTGCTCGGTTTCATCTTCCATGGGCTGTTGCATTCCAGGCACGATACCGCCCATCATAGGTGGAGCTTGCTGTAATACAGGTGGAGGAGGCGCTACTGCGATAGGCGCAACAATAGGCTGAGGTTGAGGAGGAACAGCAGCAACAACAGGAGGTACAATGGCAGCTGTCATCATGCGAGTGATTATATTGGGATCCACAATGTTCATCATCACCATGGCTTGAAATAGCGCATAAGCTACCTGAGGATTCGATGTAAGAAACTCTCTTGTAAAGTCTGCTCTTTCAAATGACATTTGCTTCATCTGGCTCATGAGTGTGAATAAATCTTGAGAGTTCATGGAGGCAAGCACTTTGGAGATTTCGTCTACGGATGACATGTTGACATGAGGTGCTTGTTGTTGTGGTGGTAATTGAGTTGGTGGTGCTTGTTGTTGTTGTGGTGGTGGTGGTGGCATGTGTTGTTGCTGTTGTGGCATGGGTGGAGGAGGTGCGTTATGATGTCTATTTTGATTCTGATTGCCTCCTCCTTGATGGCCCGGTCTACCTTGGTTGTCGTCCATGGCAGCATAATCAACTCGTAATTGACGTCCTCCAATTTCATAATCGTTTAAATTTCTCACTGCACTGGCTGCTGTCTCGGCGTCTATGCAGATGGGTAAGCGAGTTGTCCAGGTTACCATCTCCTGCTCGTTTGATTTACTCACCAAGAAATTCACAGAATCCATAACCCTTGGGTCTACCGGTTTCACGATCAAATAAAAGGCTATCCTTATAGGTTCATCTCTAGTTGCACTATAGTGTTGTCATATCATGAACCTACCGGAATGATGCAACAGGTCCAACTTCTTTAAACACTTCGATGAGTTGTTCTTCTGAGAGTTCGAATGGGATGTTTCCAACTAAGCAACTGCATGTTAATCAGACTGTACCATGTTTACAAGCCTTGATGAGTTACCAAATACAACGCGTGAGCCTCTTGAAGCTTGATTCATAATGTGTTTTGATGCTATGTATGAAAAGATAAAAGAAGAGAAAGAAAAGAGTAGCAGAAAAATTTTAAATTCAATCTTTGGGTGAACACATTGGGTAACATTTGTCAAGGACTGCTGAGAAAGTGCATCAAGCGTTTATGCTGCAATGAATCTCCTTTGCACGGATGCTGATGGCGTAAATGTTGGCACGGCTCTATTTTATCGCTAGATGCGCATTCAAGGAAGCTTGGTTAAAGCTGCTCTCATTGCAGTTACAGCATCAAATTCAAATGTAGGATCAGACAGCCAAAGCATCATACTTATGATGCCAAAACGTGCCGTGTCTAGGAGAATTCGGGTTGCCAAGCAACTACAGCAGTCTCTTGCTCTACTGCCCTCATTAGCTCTGATTGTTCTTGCAAGTACTAGGCCTAAGGATTCCAATTGAGCAGATCAATGGTCTCATGCACTTGAGGTCGCCACCAACATCAACCCTCAGCTTGATGGAAAAGCAGCATTGGGGCTCTTTCAGCAGACATCCATTCGCACCATTCAGCTTGATTATTGAATCAATCAAGATAAGCAGATCTGCATGATTACAAGATCGTGTGTTCTATACATTTACCCCACTATGGGTGGCTTATGGAAAATGAATTAAAAAATGTTGTTTCATGAAACCAGATACATATCTCTTTCCCATTTTGGCAAGAATGAAAACACGCCTTAAAGCAAAGCAAGAATATTCAGCTATAGATGTTTGCATACTAAAGCAAGAGCTGGATACATCAGATACTACGGCTCATCTCAAACAAGAGCCACATTTCAGAAATCATGCAGTTGCCATTGACACTCCAAAACAAGAATTTCAGCAGCCAGACATGATCAGAGTAAAGACGGAATTAAGCTACGAAGATGTCAAGATGGCAGATGATTCAGACAGTGGCATGAGCAATTCAACTACATCTGACATTGTAAAGCAAGAAGCCATGAGAATGAGTCCGTCTCTAGAATTAGACACAAAATCACATCAGGCTGAAATTAGAAGCGCGTCCCTCCGCATTGAGGCGAAACAGAAGGAATCAGATAGCCAGATCGAACGAGCAATTGTCTTAGAAAGGCCTACCGCATCATCTACAAACGATTTAGGTATGTCTATTCCAGAACCACGCACAGATGACAGAGTAAACTGATGCTTGCCCTGATACAGCCAAGGCATTCGAGAAAAGTGGCCGTGATTACTTTTACCAGTGCCATCTTTGCACAGAGTTAAAGACAACTTTGCTGGATTTGCTGGATCACCACAGCAAAATACACAGATTCACATACCGTAGCAGGACCTACAAGCACCTTGAGCTCGAGCCAAATCCACAGGACCCAAATTTCTATTGCAGAGTCTGCGAAACGACGTATCCCTCCATCAACATGTTCAAGAAGCATTTTCGATTGGTTCATTATATGATCACCAAAACAACGCGATCACCACCCACAATTACACCTCTTCAAGCCATCAAGATAGAGAAAGAGATTGTCGTGCCTGACCGTGATGATCCCAGCAACTACTGCAGAGCATGCAAGAAATTCTATGTAAACCAGCATCGATACCGCTCACATCTAGCCAAGTTTCATGACATGCCAAAGTTTGGTAAAAAGCAAGGCGTACTGCCAGACATCTTTGACCCCAACTTTTACTGCAGATCATGCGAACGCGGTCTAAGCACCAAAGCTAGATTTAAAAAACACTGCTTGCGATGGCACAACGTGGTTGTACCTGATGAGAAGGACCTGCCAAATGTTCATGATCCCACATTCCATTGCAAACCATGCGACAAGACATTTGGGGATAAAGACACGTTTTGGCAGCATTGTCGCGAAACGCATCTCATCACGAATTTCAAAGAAAAGGGGCTTAAACCATTCTGCAACAATTGCAACCGATCGTATGCCAGTGAATTTCGATACAAGCGACACAGACGGCTGGTTCATGGAGAGACGTTTCCTTTCATAACGACACGAACACCCAAGCTAGTGAGTGACCTACCGCCCGATATAAACGATCCTAATCATTACTGCCGTGCGTGCGACAAGAAACTGGCTTGCAGGGCAGGCTTCCGCACACATTTAGCTGTTTTTCACGACATATTTTTGCCTGTCAAAAAATTCAAACATCCCTCAGCCAGACCAAAAAAAAAGCCATTTCAGAAAAACGACAGAAAGTACCATTGTCTCATTTGCGACAATGCATATCCCACCACGATCAAGTACCGTGAACATTTAGAGCTCATACACCATGTCCAAGGCGCGGCCTCCGAGATTAGAGCACATGTCCCTTCTTATCTGCCTGACCCTGACGATCCTAACTTACATTGCCGTACATGTGGTAAGACAAAGTCGACATTGGAACGCTATCGTAAACATTTGAAAAACATTCACCATATGATTCTGCCGAAGCTCCAACGAAACAAAACGCTGCATCATGCACATTCTTCTGATGAGGGCTCTGCTGCAACCCCACCGTCGCCCAGGAAGTCATTCACTGTTCACAAGTGTCCAGTGTGTAGTAAACGGGTAAAGTCTGAACGACGATTTGCTTATCATCTAAAATCTGCGCACAAAGAATTGATCGATACTCAAGATGTAGCCATACCAGATGCGCCACAGGTGGATGCTGGAAGCTCGAATTGCAGTGCATGCGGTGCCAATTTTGAGAATGCTACAACCCTTGAACATCATGTACAGGAGGTACACAAGAATACAGAGGAAGACCAAGCAGTAGATCAAGACATTGATATGACTGACTGCCAGTCTGAAGGGACCAGCAGCTCTGATTCTATGCATTCAGATGATACCCTAGGGACAGCAGCAGCAGATGAAAAGGATGACCAATCTGAAGAAACGAATGATGACTTGTCCAAAATTTTGAACGTTATAGACCAAGCAATTGTGACCTTTGAAGAGCTTTGATTCATTGCAGTTACCTATTATATTAGCCAACCTGTTTATATATCTATCTAGTGTGTTGATTTTACAAAACTTGTGGCGTCACCATCTATCATTTGTTAATATTCTATAAATCTACTGTACATCATTGAACCTTTTTTAATCAGTCTTTTACTCTGTTCTTCCCTATTCTCTGCTAATTTCAAGTAACCGATGTATACTTGAGGTGTTGGTGAATCATGCTTTCAAGAATAGATTACCTTATTCGTCAAATATCAACAAGTATCATTACTTTATACGAGTGTTTACGCTTTGAATGCACCCCACTTACAGTGAGAATCAGCCTGCGTAGCGGCAGCTCGCGCTATCAATTGCCCTTGCGTATCTAATCAAAATACTGTTACTTTCATTTTGACCCTCCACTTACACATGAAAACCCTTCATATTATCTGTGAATCTAAATCTTATGTGGTGCTTTACATCCATATACACGTAGCTACTTCACATCCGGGCAAGCAGCATGCTGGTATTTCCCTTATTTAGACCTTAGTGTGCTTGATGCAGCAAAATCCGAGTGCATTTGAGCTGCGTTTTCTTGCGTTAAAGGCCATTTTAAATCGTCAGAATAGCGCCAGACAATTGCTCTCATCTGGCAGTTACTTTCTGACACCTTTGCTCGACTTTTTGGGGATCAAAAAAAAAATGGATGGAATTCGACCAAACAGCATGAGGTACCCCTCATGGCTTTTATCAATATTCAAACGATCGCGTTTTTTTGACCCAAAAAATGAACACTTATACTATAACATATATTAAATCAAAATGATCATATCGATCCAAACTAGCCCCTGAAACGTAGTTTGTGGGATCTTGATTTGTAAAATTTCGACTTTTTGGCCAAAAGCCTCTTTTCATACTTTTATAAATTGCTCAATAAGTCTATTCAAAGCATCTATCTTACTTGGTACCATTGTATGCGCCTTGAAAAGTACTTTGAGAGCGTATTAGGAAGCATGGGATGATCATCACACTTCATATAGTCGAACCTTGCAAAATAGTTCAATCAAGTCGGAAACCATCAAGATTTAGCCAATCTATATCAAACTATAGGTCTAGGTTTGAATTGATTTTGGTTGGTGGTGGGACCAGCTGGCAAACTCAAATGCCCTTTTCATCATGAAGGCAATACAGTAATAGATGCTTTTGAAGCGTATGAAAAATAGGTGACAAATTACATAGTACTATCTTTAGCTGTAGAGGGATTTTCAGACTGGCACCGGGCCTTAAAATGGCTATTTTGCCTGAGAAAACTTCGAGTCCAAAATCGACTCGAATGCAATTCCTAAAACGTTTTCCCTAAATTCGACTATATACGTCGTGAAATTCACACCCTATTTTCTAATACACTTGGGATAAACTGATTGAGGCGCATCTAACCATGTCGCTTATATTTAATATATGCTATAAAAGTAACGAAAATTTTTCAGAAATACGAAAAGTGGTTTTCTGCGAAATTGTCGAGATTTTGTATATCAAGGTCTTGCAATAACAGTTTCAGGTGTTGCATACAGCCTCTAGGATTGTTTTGATTCAATACATATCATAATAGAAAATGCCGTTTTGAGGGTGAAAAAATACGATCGTTTGATTTTCAACAATTTTCCCTTGCTAATACTCATGAAAAAATGAGGATTTTCATCGATTTGTCATGACCCAAAAAAAAAAAAGAAATAAAGCATTAGCAAGTAACTGCTATTCGAGCGCAATCGTTTGGTGTTATTCTTGTGGTCTAAAACGACCTACAAGTCGAAATATTTGTACTTGAAAATTGGCAGGTTTGGCTGTATTTTGCATATTTACGCGTCAAAAAGTGCCATTACAATATGGTGTATGGATACCAGTGCATTTTACTCGTTCATCTAAATGTAGAGCGTGCTTTGATATCCAGAATTCGGGTAGCACCCAACATTGTTATGCTTCTAGTGAGTGCGTATTACGGTAGCAATGGGCTGTATCTTACTGCTGACTCTCTTTAACGAGGTGCTACAGGATCTGTTGCACACTAGATACCTCTCAGTGCAATGATCAGTCTGTATACTATCATCAATTGATGCTTTTAAAGAGATTCCTGATACAAATCAATGTACGATAATTCGTTAGTTTTTGCCGTACGTACTTTCAGTGAGTGCATGTCAATCCAATGACGTTTGTTAGTAACATGCATTGCTGTTGTAGCATTATAGAAAAGAGTCCTGATTTGAATCAGTTATGCACACAAATAGATCGACCTGTTGATAGCTAGGGACCCAGATAATGCTATTTACAGAACGAAGGTGCATGCAATATTGACTATATAAAGTTCAAAGCAAGGCAATGCTCGAAGTCGAACTTGTCAGGAGAGATCAAAAGGCATAAATAAAGTAAGGTACAATTACAAATTGCTACTTTTATTAAGTGGATACAAATGAATGCTTTATCTATATAATGCGTGATGGCGACATCGATGAATCATTATGATTATCAAAATAACAATGATTCAAACTCGAAATGATTTGTTTGATAGAATTTAGTGGAAAGACCATTTGATATCAAGTTCACCCTTGCTCTTCTTACCGAGCTTCTCAAAAGCGGCAGGAGAGAGATCGACATCGTGCTTACCACAACCCTCGCAAGTATCAATAACCTTGACAGTAATAGACTTGTGACCAGACTTGATCTTGATTTTCTCACCACAGTACTTGTCCTTCATGAAGTGTTCACTCAAGGCAGCGACCATGTCGTCGTTGTCAGCGTGGTTACCACAAGAGGGCTTACCAGACTTCTTGACAGAGTAGAAGGTGGCAGTGCCAGAGTAAGAGGAGCTACGAGACTCAATAACAGCGGCTTGAGAGACAACGGCGAAAGCAGCCAACAAGGCAGTGGCGATCAAAACGAGAGTGTTGGAGTGGAACATGTTTAGAATGAGTATAATAATACGACCAGCGTTAGATGCAAAAATGAGAAAAGAAATAGATGACTGTAATAATGAAGAAAAAGCTGATTTGATGTAGAATTCAGGCCTCTATTTATATGTAAATCAAGCATAGCTTCTTTCTGTCAAAATCGGAGATGGGCCTCCATGTGAAGGTACCCGTGTTTTTTTGCTTGCGTGTGTTAGCTCAACAACACGTTTTCGGATCATTAAAAACAAAGGCATTGAAGGGGATGCAATGGATGAATTACTCTGCTAGATGTCGATTGTAATGAGATCTGGATGCAATCAATCCTTCCATTTGAAGCAAGTAATTCACGAATGATGATCCACATTTCATCGAATATACATGTCAAATAAATGCTAAATTTGCGGAAAGCAGAAAAAGTTTTTCTCTCTCCTTACGCCCGGGCCACTGATCACAACAGGAATTGGTTGTATTCACGGTGCTAAAGGATTGACTTTGTGAGACCATGGTTCATCATCAACATCATTCTGGATAATGGGGCCCAGATTTCTTGGAAAAAGGTGATGTGATGAATTATCTAGACAATGGCGTTGACACTATGAATGAGAAAATTATTGAGACATCCATTTTGTTCATTCCTCATTGAAGAAAACTTTAAAGACATGCCTCGCATTACCTTAAGTTGCTTGCGGGTAAACAACATCTCTATCCATCTACCACAGCATATATTTCTCGGTAAAATAATTTGAAACCTTACTCCGATCAAAACTTTGTCGTTAAACCTGTACACAACAAGCCCATTGATGATCTGCAGCCATTTTGAAGCATATGGCATGAGAAGATCGTTTCTGAACAGACAAATTCTTTTTGACAATAGGATGCCTCAAATTGATCTGTATCATACGTGCATTGTCCTGCATATAGGTAACTGCCAATATACACAAATACATATAATTTACCCAAATGTGTACAAGTGTTTACCATTTCTTGATTTCTGACAGCCAGGCTAATCCCCTTAAGGCAAGTCGTTTAATTCTGTGTGATGATCTATCACGAATCGGTAACTGAACAATGCTGCATCTCAGTGAAGCTAAAAGCCTGATGTGGCCCCACGCTTGATGTCAACGAATGGGTACCTGGGGGGCGCCATATTAGTCTGAAACATTTTTTTTTTTTTTGTAATTTTGGCCAGTCTGTTATCCTGACATTCAAGAAATGCATTTATGACAACGTTTTCTCAAAAGACATTGAAAATCTGTTGGTTTCCATTACTATAGCATCGTGGCATTTCATTAAATGATTTAGATTTATGGCATTTCTACTTTCTACATTCACATGCACATGAGTTCCTTGAAATAAAACTTCTAGATGCTTGTTTCTACGAAGAAAACCTCATTCTAATGATAAAAGCCATAATCTAGACTTGTCCTTTTTCCCCTTCGACATTCCATGAGATGGCAAAAACCGCGGCAGCTGGCTGAGGGCTTAATTTATTTGGTGATTTTTAAACTTTTCTCTGCGTGTTAACCCAAAACATATGGCGTACTGCGAAAAAAGTGATACGCTTCCATACCTAGACACTTCACCGGGTATACATGAAGCGATTGCATGTTGGAATGCGGTACAGAGCTTTGATAGATCAGGGACACACGTGTAAAATAGGACATCTCTTGTATGCAACTGCATAATTTGGATTCCTGCAAGTTTGCAAGACACTTCAGTTATCCCTCAATGAACATGATCAAAACAACGCACCAAAAATAGGGCGAATGTTTCAAATGTGCTTTGCCTGAATTGACACAATCAAGTCCGGTTTCGTAATGCGACTCATTTTAGCTGTGTTTTATGTAATCGTTGGGCATACGAGATTTATTCACGCCCATTTAGAACATGTGTGGTAAATAGAATCACCAATGATCATCGCATCAACATTATATCGAAAGATATGTAACACAACAACCACGGATGGCGTACCGAAATTTCCTTCTCTGAAGATACTCATGATGCCGAATGCATTGTTAGATTTACTCAACAATTTTTATGCTTTACAACTCTCAGATGTACTAAATCTAATGCTGTCCTCAATGTTTGTGTAGAAGCTGATTCACTGGATACTAAAAGCTGGCCATGACAAGCATACTCTCGAACAATCGCATTGGGTCGAAGCTTGGCTATCTTCTACGTCTGTAAACTACAGCACATGTCAATAGCAAAATCTTATGCTTGTACCAGCAGCTGCCAGATACTTACTCATTACATCTCAGATACGCATTATCGTCATTCCAATTTCTTTAACGCAATAATCCGTAAAACCAAGAGGTAAATGCTAGTGTTTCCTAGTTTCATTTCAAATACAAGCCTGGAGAAATATTACAATGATGACTAACAACATTTAGCATTATCAAACGGCAATATTGTATCGTATCCATCAAATGCTATTAGGAAATACCACTGCAAACTAGTCACATCATTTAGTGCTCTAATTTTCGCTTCCTAACTCAAGCATGGAAATGGCATATTTTCTAGTTTTTCTTTCCAGAATCAACACATTTTGACATGATGAATTTCTTGGGCTTTAGGTAAAAGCAACATGGTGGAGAATATCAATTGACAGTAGATTTACCATAATGCATATATACAAAGCTTCGGTAAAAAAGGGAACAAGGCGTCCAAGCATAAGTCTGTGACCTCCTCTACTTCGTCTTTACCAACAAATAGTAATGGAGCTCATGGTCATCCAAGCCAGCAATACCAACAACATCAGCAGCAAAAACCACTGTACTTATCCAGCCCTCAGATGAACAACATGCTGGTGAGGGGAAACTTTAAAACGATTACAGAATTACCAAAGTATGTCGATATCAATGAGTGGTTGGCGTTCAATAGTAAGTGTCCTTGCTTCTCGCTTGACTATCCTAGGCTGACATGTTCAACTGTCATAGCATTCGAGTTTTTCAACCATATTAATCTATTCTATGGAACAATCACAAACTTTTGCACATCACAAACATGTCCAACCATGTCTGCTGGTCCAGGGTAACAAAAGATGATAAGAGCACCCATTCATGTCAATTAACGCTGGGCTCCTTTATAGCGTTGAATATACTTGGTCGGATTCACTTTCGAAAAAAGCCAAATTGCCAGCACCTCAATATATAGATTACATGACGAGTAGCTTAGAAAACACACTGAATGACGAATCAATATTTCCAACCAAAGCAGGTAACAGGATGTGTAAAGCGAGATAGTGGGAAAGGGATCTGATATTTGTTGCAACAAAGGCCCTGACTTTCCACGCGAACTGCCGTCTGTTGTCAAAAAGATGTTTGCGCAAATGTTTAGACTGTTTGCTCATATTTATCACGTTCATTACGACAAAGTGCTGTGCCTGAACGAGGAACCTCATTTCAACTCTTTATTCGCTCATTTTATATCGTTTGCACGGGAGTTTGATTTGCTTGACAGAAAGGAGATTCAGCCTTTGAGCGAACTGATCGATGTGATGTTAAGGAATGGTGTTATTTGTTGAATAAAATAGATTGTTTGCTTTGTATTCATGTCAAATGTTGGACAACGAAAAGCGTCTCACGTGTGCTGCCCGTCATTGGTACCAGCAGGTTCTTTGCATTCAGATTATCATCTTTCACATGTTTAGCCTTATTTAATTAGACCAATTTCCAAATGATAAAGCCAATGCTTTATGTAGACGACAAGGGCCAGAAATGCGCAAATCACTGTTCAGGGCGGCATTCAGTTGCATTTTTCTACGCAGAAAGAGTGTTTATTTAAGCTATATTACAAAAGGAAATATGTTTATGAGAAAAGAAACAAATGGTTGGGGGGTAAATTAAGGAGATGTCTATAAAAGTATTTAACTAAAAGATATATACTTGATGGTCTGGTATAAAAGGGTAGAAATAAAAGAGGTGGTGATACATTCATGATAATGTGTGTAAAGTGGTACAGCAATTTAATATCAATCTTGTTCACCAGGGCCAAACCCAAGAAGTTCTAGTCTTTTGGGCTGATTGTGGTGAGCATATTGTACTGCTGCTTGTAGAAGCAGAGAAGGAAGATGTAGGTCTTTGTGGTAGTTGCTGCTGCTGCTGCTGCTGCTGCTGCTGCTGCTGGCCGAATCTCTTATTGGCAGTCGATGTATTTGCTTGGGTATCGATTGGTTCAGATCGATGGCGAGCATGCTTGGTGTTATTGCTACTAGTGCCTGATATCCTCTGCTCGCTCGCAGAAGTTGTATTTCCAGAATAGCGTGGGGTTTCATTGAATGCAACAGCTGCTTTTAAGCCTGCAGCTATCAGCATGTATAGGCCTTCTGACAGAAATTCATGCAGATGATAGCGCTCGTCGGCTTGTAAACCAAATTTGATGCATTGAATGCCGAAGTTCTGAGCTTTTTGCATGACATGATACTGCGAGTCGAACCAAAGGAACAGTTGAATCAAGTAGCTGAAAAGAAACGACACCAGATCTATTATGGACTCTAATAAGTAACTAGACTCGAGAATTTGAAGCTAGAATATATTCACGAACCTGGAAGTGGGGATTGCTTGACCAAGACAGCACATGTTACTGTGATATCAATCATATATTGACCTAATCGTTTAAAGCGAGTCATAGGATCACCTCCGCCTTCGATGTAGATGGTTGGCATTGCAGACGTAACATTGGCAGTCTGAATATCCGAGTTGGCAGTAGACGAAGTATCCAATGTAATCTCAACAATGGGTGCAGAAGTCGTTGCAGTTTGATAAGCCTTGCTGCTAATCGTGCTTATCGTAGAAGCAATTCTTGACAGTATAAAGGAATTGACAGCTGAGCTCTTGATTTCTTCGTCCTGAAGCAATTCTTCTTGCTGGATTTTCTTTTGGGATGTTGCGAGATTGAGTATACCAACTCGCTCTTCAACACTCTGGAGTTTTTCTCTGATAGCCAGTTTTGTGTTTTGATCAGTTTTATCTATAATTATAGTTAGGAATATATAGTGAGTGGATAAGGCCGTTTATACGTACTTGGTAAAGCCATCAGAATCTTATCAACACCAGTCAAATAGATGTCCAACGCAACAGACTCATTTCCTTCTTCATATTCATCAGCAGCGATAGAGACAAGTTTCATTCCCTGAGAGATACTATGGCGGTCAATGTTACTGGGTAGATTGCCTATTTGCTTGCTGCTGCTGCTATTTATATTGCCCTTGAAGGTGTTTGTCACATCATCCTTGATTTTCTCGGCAAGAGCACTCATCTCTGATGTCCATGAGGTACTTGGAGTGGGTGTGGGGCTATGCAATTGTTGTTGTTGTTGTTGTTGCTGTTGCTGTTGCTGCTGCTGCTGCTGCATGGTGTCATATGGTGGAGGGGCGGGTATGTATTCGGCACTGTAACTCATTTGAGGATGATGGTAATACTGATTTGCGGGCAAGATGGGGGTTGAAGCGTGCATGGCGAGCCTTGATCCCAGATTTGGCTGAGTATTGTTGTTTCGCACATTGGACCTGCTTTTTGATTTCTGGTTGTGTTTTGATCCCATTGAAGACATGGATTCTATCTTGTTTGCAGAATTGTGCAAGATGGAGGAGACAAAAGATGCCATCTTTGTTTGTTTGTCTGTTTTGATGTAAAAGGAGAGGAAAAAAAAAAGGGAAAGAAGAGGAAAAAAGAAAGCTAGAGCCATTTTCTTTACCAATTTATAAAGTATAATGAAAATCGAATTGAAATTCAATCATTCGCATGTGATAATTGCTTTAGCTTTCAATTAGTCGAAAGAAAACATCTATTTTCGGTTGGAAATCATCTCGTCTTTTTTTGACAATAGTCGCTTTCGATTTAGAAACCTCTCGGTGGGACATAGATAGCGGGTTCGGATGTAGAGAATTAGGCGCATTTTGAGGTACAGGGCAAGCTATGCAATCCGCTGGATTTCCATACATCTACAGTAGGTTGGTTGGGCGATCCCTGCTTCATTTTCATTGAGCATTTGCCCAAACATGATGAAAAAATAGGCGTTGTAGAAGCTCTTCGGTAAGTCGGAACCCTAAACAATCAGTGTGAAATAATGTGTGCTACCCGACGGTGGAAGCCCCAGATCAACGTACAACTGGAAATTGTGATCCATTCCCCTTTTATTACATGAGGAAATCCGCCTTTCCCCTGAAAAATGATAATGCAAAACAGTCATGGGAGATGTCATGTAAAGAGAGATAAAAGCCAGATTGATATGGTGTCATCTACACTGATGTACGGGTCGAGTTGCTGCTAATGAACATTGCATTCCATGACATGTTGCTAGTTTAAGTGCACGGCCCTATTAATCTCTGTTGAGAATATTTCATGTCTTCGATACCATAGATACACAAAGTATAACTATCTCGGAAGACACAAAGAAAAACTCTAATTGAGCTATACACATTACAACTAATGGGGTAGCTTCGAGATGCAATCATCGAGCAATCTGATGGGCTGCGTCAATTATCATTTCATATGAAAAATGTTATAAATAGGTTAAGCGTGGATTTGGGCGGAAATCACATTCTTAATCATTGACACGATCTATGCTCTCGGCACCACTTATCTGTCTTGATCTATCATATTGCTAATAAGCAAAAAGTCATGCCTTGAATCCGCGTCTATAGTATAGCCACAGCAAGGGACGAAAACCAAGCTTTGACTATATTAAGCATATTGCTATCTTAATCATCATAAATAAATACAAATGGTTATTTTGGGGTTCTTGTGCAACTTATAGAGCAATCAATTTCTTGGACAGTCGAGTGATTTGATAGTGTGCTTAATGCCGCTCCTCATCTTTTGGAACTGAGCTGAATCACGCTTCATTTTATCTATTTGTATTTACATGCTCTCTTGGGTCGGGATAGTCAAAACGTCTTCTATTTCTTCAATTTGGACATTTGAGGCCTACTTGTCTGTTAGATCTGTCAGAGAGTCTCTAGACCTGGAACCACACTTTTGATGCTGCTCTGATTATCAAATTATATTTCAAATTTAAGCTTTTGAAATCGACCCCAGATTTTGACATATGATAAAAACCATAGCAAAACCCCATGAACATATCTCTTAAAGTCGCTGCGATAGTTGTGTGAGGGGTTTAGGTGCTAATTCAGTTGACATATAATGCGTCCAGCCATCAACAAATGAGTATACCAAGCCTCTTTTGTGAATTTATAGCGCGCTCTTCCAATGATCTGTTCTAAGAATCTGTTTGCAGAAGCCAAATAACAGTTGTTTACAAGGTATCTGTCCTGTTAACAGTCTCCAGCAAACAACTCCCTCTCTAGCATCTCGTTAAAGAGAGTCAGCAGTAAGCTACAGCCCATTGCTACCGTAATACGCACTCACTAGAAGCATAACAATGTTGGGTACTACCCGAATTCTGGATATCAAAGCACGCTCTACATTTAGATGAACGAGTAAAATGCACTGGTATCCATACACCATATTGTAATGGCACTTTTTGACGCGTAAATATGCAAAATACAGCCAAACCTGCCAATTTTCAAGTACAAATATTTCGACTTGTAGGTCGTTTTAGACCACAAGAATAACACCAAACGATTGCGCTCGAATAGCAGTTACTTGCTAATGCTTTATTTCTTTTTTTTTTTTGGGTCATGACAAATCGATGAAAATCCTCATTTTTTCATGAGTATTAGCAAGGGAAAATTGTTGAAAATCAAACGATCGTATTTTTTCACCCTCAAAACGGCATTTTCTATTATGATATGTATTGAATCAAAACAATCCTAGAGGCTGTATGCAACACCTGAAACTGTTATTGCAAGACCTTGATATACAAAATCTCGACAATTTCGCAGAAAACCACTTTTCGTATTTCTGAAAAATTTTCGTTACTTTTATAGCATATATTAAATATAAGCGACATGGTTAGATGCGCCTCAATCAGTTTATCCCAAGTGTATTAGAAAATAGGGTGTGAATTTCACGACGTATATAGTCGAATTTAGGGAAAACGTTTTAGGAATTGCATTCGAGTCGATTTTGGACTCGAAGTTTTCTCAGGCAAAATAGCCATTTTAAGGCCCGGTGCCAGTCTGAAAATCCCTCTACAGCTAAAGATAGTACTATGTAATTTGTCACCTATTTTTCATACGCTTCAAAAGCATCTATTACTGTATTGCCTTCATGATGAAAAGGGCATTTGAGTTTGCCAGCTGGTCCCACCACCAACCAAAATCAATTCAAACCTAGACCTATAGTTTGATATAGATTGGCTAAATCTTGATGGTTTCCGACTTGATTGAACTATTTTGCAAGGTTCGACTATATGAAGTGTGATGATCATCCCATGCTTCCTAATACGCTCTCAAAGTACTTTTCAAGGCGCATACAATGGTACCAAGTAAGATAGATGCTTTGAATAGACTTATTGAGCAATTTATAAAAGTATGAAAAGAGGCTTTTGGCCAAAAAGTCGAAATTTTACAAATCAAGATCCCACAAACTACGTTTCAGGGGCTAGTTTGGATCGATACGATCATTTTGATTTAATATATGCTATAGTAAAAGTGTTCATTTTTTGAGTCAAAAAAAACGCGATCGCTTGAGTATTGATAAAAACCATGAGGGGTATCTCATGCTTTTTGGTCGAATTCCTTCCATGTTTTTTTTTGATCCCCAAAAAGTTGAGCAAAGGTGTCAGAAAGTAACTCAGAGATGAGAGCAATTGTCTGGCGCTATTCTGGCTGTCTAAAACAGCTTCTATCGCGAGAAAACACGACCCAGGTGTAGGTAAATTTTGCCGTTGTTTGCCTATTTTCGAGTGGCAAGAGGTAATGCCACTATGTTGTCTGCTCTTATCTGTATTATTTCCATTGATACAGACATTGGACATCCTAGAAGAGGCAGATTCACTTCCAGGTTGTTTACGGCAGTTCTTTCCTAATATTTAAAAACTGGAAAGTGATATTTCAGTGTATATGAGTAGAAGTACGGAAAAAATGTGTCATGCTTTGTATTTGAAAGGCCATCCACCTCCTCGACAGCAAGATGGGATGGAACAGCACAATGGCCACATGCCGTTCTGAAACATGCCATGAAGTTGACCCACCACCATCGAGCAATTACAAGCAAAATCACAAGTAAACAGCATACAATCACGACATCGAATGTATAGTGCAATCCACAATGGTTCCTACAGATGTATAGCATTTGATCTGTCAATGCAAAGCATCACCATGGATAGAAAACATCCCTGTGACCGTGGTCCGGGTTTTCGTTCTGTAGGGAAATGCTATTACTACATTACACACTCTAGATGAATGTAATTAGCCGCAGCGTTTTGGTGTGGTTTCAAAAAAAAAATTTACCTCAGGCTCTAAACCTTTTTCTTTCATTCTAAAATATACGCCTTGAACATTTAGAGCTGTTTGTGATAACTTCTTTATGACAGAATCACAAGAAAACACAGGTGAACTCGGATGGCCAGAGTTCATAAAGACAAGAGTGGTGACAACCATCACTTACTCGGGTGTCTCTGACAGACTTGACTTTTTGAATCATTCCCTACTGATCAGACTTCGTAGAAAGGGTAATGAACGAAACAACTTTAGCTGGGTCAAATGATGCAATGTACTTACAAAACCAACCAGATCTTCCTGTCGAAGCACTCGCTCCATTATTGCAATTGATCTTTCTCACCATTTCGCGTTACAACGACAGAGCATCTCGCATGGCTATCATTGAGGTCATCAAGGAGCTCAACAACTGGAACGCTCCTGTATTTCAAAAGATGATTGTGCCTGTCATTGCCAGAGAAGCCGAGAAGTTTGGCAAACGCAAGCCTACAGGGTAAAAATGACATGACACCTGCTGTTGCCCCTGATTGTGTATAGTGGCGCAGTTTTTACATTGTTGGAGATGGCTAATTCTCTCTTTTCATCGTGTAGTGAATGCGTTTCACCCGCATCAGATCGTCTGGTCTTGTTGAATTGGGTCAATGTATTGCTAACATGTGTTTTGAAAGAAGTGACAGTGGAAGCAGCCAAGGCTAACACCATATTTGCTACCATTTTAAACGCACAAGCAGCATTGATTGATTCTTTGGTCGATGACAGTCGAAAGAGTATCGGAAAGAGTGCTGTTGCAGATGTCAGACGTACCATTCGACTCAACGCCGACGCAATTCCCACCATGATGGACGTCGCTCTCGCCAACGCCACCACTTGCACACCTTCATTCAAAAACGCCGTCTTGATTGGCATCATCATAGATGTCAGCTTGCGTCTCAAGACTCGCTCAGATGGAAAATCCATGGTGGAAGACGCTGAAGCTCGTTTAACCGACTATTACCTCAAGAATATTGTCTCCTCCAGAACTGCTGTTCACACAGCTGCATTGGATTCATTTAACGATTTCATCACGCACATTGTTACCAAGCCAAAGTTCGAAGCTGAATATTTGCCCGTGCTTGACAAGATGATGCTTCGATCTCCCGAGATTGTATTGCTGGGTAAGACTTTCTTTTGTGGTTATGTTGGCGATAAATAGCTAACACCTTTGGCAGCTTTGGCTCGCATTACACCTGCATTTTCATTTGATCCTTCATCCATCTTTGCTGCCAAATGGCTGGAACCTTTGCTCAACCACCTCAGATCTACCTCACCCACTACTGTCAAGGGAGCCAAGGCATTGTGGGAAGCATTAGCACAAGTGTGTCGTGAAGCCGATGCATTGATCAAGGTTACTGAGGGCGTATCCAAGCTCTTGACCAGTGGTAAGGTCAATTCATGGGAACACCGTGTCATCACGTATAATGCATTATCTTCTCTTGCTCAAGCTACGGAGCCTGCTGTCAGTCAAAAGGCCTTGGAGGGTTATTTCACCATGATTGCCAAAGAAGCACATGAACAAGCCATGGCTGCTGCTGTAGACGGTGTAGGCAGACACCTGACTGTATTGATCTACAATGACGAGTTTTGTTCTGCCAACAAGGAATTTGTGGATAAAGTAGTCAAGACATCTACAGACGGTTTGAATGCTGCTAAACCCTTGGCTAGAAAGAGCTGGGCCAATGCCGTCGGTACCACAGTGTGGGATCACAAGGATGCCACAAGTGCTACGTTGAGCGCTAATATCGTCAAATACTTGCAAGCTTTGTTCAAGACATTCAACAAAATTGTGGACAAGCCCTTAATGTGGAAGGATGGACCTGTGGAAGCCTACGTCATGATTGCCATTATTTCTGGCCGCATTCAGCACTGGCCTACTGTTCCTGAACCTGTGGTTGATCTCTTGAAGGCGCAAAAGTATCCCTCTCAAGTCATGATTTCTCAACCCAAGCCCAGTTATCTGTTATGGGATCGTATCTACACAAAGGCATTGACTGCAGAAGAGGGTCTTTGGCTTGTGAGAGCTTTGACCAGTGTCTTTATGGAGGAAACACAAGAATCATTGGAGAAGACAGGTGCTGGCCATTTAGCAGCTCAAGCGCTTGTTTGGATCATCACCAGTCATCCTGATCACACTGTGCGTCGATCTGCCTATCAAGAAGTGTCCAGTATGGCTGCCTCTGAACCCGTCAAACTGGATCATTTCATGAAGCAAGCTATCAAGCAGTGGCTGTTGGATATCGAGAACAATGTCAAGGATTCCACTGCTGTTTCTGCTGTCAATGCAGACACTTATAACAAGGAAACTGCTACCTTCCGTCTCGCTGCTGTACTGAATGCCATCACTTCCTACGACAAGGATTTGCAAGAGTCCGTCAAGGGCGTTGAATTGATTGACATGCTTATCTTGGCACACCACACATACATTGCCTCCCCCACAAACAGATACAACTGGATCACTTTGGTGCAACGTGCTAATGTGGATCCCGGCAAGTTGGTCAGAGAAAAGAGCAGCAAGATATTTGATATCTTGAAGAGCACTTTAGAGGCTCGCAGTGAGGTAAGTCTCTTTAATCTGCCGCCCTCCATGACACCTTATTAACATACTGTCCACATAGTCTGAACTCTTTTACAAGGCTGCACTCTCTGCCATCTCTACCTTGGCATTCATTTCGCCCGACACCATTCCTGAATTCATTGAATTAGCCAACGAAAATCTCGCACCCGATTTGATGAAGGACATTGGCGAATTGGAAAGCAACATTTGGAAGTGTCCTGCTGATATCGCCTTTGTCGACGTGCTCAAGAAAGACAAAAAGACAGAAAGTCGTAGCAACAGAAAGGGCAATAATGACGATCAATGGGAAGAAGAGCTTCGTGCTGAATTAGCTAAAAAGAAGGGTTTGGCTCAAAAGCTGACCAAGGAAGAGCAATTTGCTGTTAATACGCAATTGAAAAAGGAAGCTACTATCCGTGCCAATGTGCAATCTATCTTTGAAAAGGTGACCCTTGGCTTAGACATTACGCGTGCTCTTATCTCTGGTAATGCTGAAGGTGTGGAGGAATATCTGGTGGATCTTATTCGCATGCTGTTGGATGCTGCCAAGCACAATGTGGGTCTCTTGGTGGGCAACGTGCTAGTCGACACTTATCTTCAGTTGGGTGATTGTGTGGTGGAGGACATTCAACCCATCCGTGATGCTATTGCTTTGGCGGCACTGCGTTCCAACAAGATTCATCCTATCCCATCTCGCTGGTTAGATGAGCCTCTTGGTGCGCTTGTGTCTCGTGTGCTGTATCGCTTGCGTTTCATTACAGAATCCCGTACCTTGCCGCCTGCTTCCTTCGGTTATGTCTTCCCCGTGCTCTACCAAGTCATTGAGCAAGGTGCTATTGAATGTGACAAGAACGATGAGGCTGCTCAAGAGCAAATTGTGATGGCCATCGATATCATTGGCTTCCACTGCACTTTGGGCGACTCTCTCATGATGCCTCGTCAAGAGATGATTGACATTCTGTTGCGTAGTATCAAGGAATACCCTGCCAGTAGCAAAACAGCCAAGACATCGCTTGTCACTCTCTGCGAAACCATGGCCGATAGTGTCTCCTCTGACGAGATTAATACCCTGCTTGAAGGTCTCTTGTCCTCTGAAGTGCTTGTACGTACTGCTGCTCTTCAAGGCTTGGAGCTCCTGGACCTCACAGACATCGACTACTCTCCTCAACTCTGGGTTGCCTGTCATGATGAGAATGAATCCAACGCTGAATTAGCTAACCAACAATGGGAGGATAACGCTATGGAGGTGGACGAAAACTTTAGAGATCAATTGTTGACCTATATCGTTTCTGACAGTAATTATGTGCGTCAAGCTGCTAGCAAGGCTCTTGCCGATGCTGTGGAAGAGTATCCCGAGGCTGTTTACGACACATTGCAGGCCATTTATGCCAGATACCAAAAGTTGGCTGCTTCATTGGACCCTGAATACGATGAATACGGTATGGTGATTCCTGAAACCCTAGACCGTGCTGATCCTTGGGAGGCTCGTGTTGGTCTTGCCTTGACCTTGAAGGCAGTGGCTCCCTTTATGCAACTTGAAAATGCCTCTGGTTTCTGTAAGTTTTTGATCAATGACCATGCGCTGGGTGATCGTCATGAACAAGTGCGCAAGCAAATGTTGGAAGCTGGTTTGGCTGTGATCAACGCTTATGGCAAGGTCGATGTGGAGGAATTCCTGGAAACTTTTGAAAACTACTTGAACTCAGAGACTGATAACAGCGATGTCCAAGATCATATCCGCCAAGCCGTTGTCATTCTGTATGGTGGTGCCGCTGGCTACTTATCTCCTGGCGATGAGAAGGTCAGTACTGCTGTAGAAAAGTTGATCGAGACCTTGGATACACCCTCAGAGACTGTGCAAAGTGCTGTGGCTGATTGTCTCCCTCCTCTCATCAAAATGTGCAAGGATGAAGTGCCTCGTCTTATCAAGGCTTTGTTGAGCAAACTCTTCAAGGGTGAAAAGTATGCTCATCGTCGTGGTGCTGCCTATGGTCTTGCTGGTGTCGTCAAGGGTCGTGGTATCACTGCCTTGAAAGAGTGCAATGTTATGAACAGCTTGAAGGATGCCATTGACAACAAGCGTGCTTATGAATACAGACAAGGCGCTCTTTTCGCATTTGAGACATTATCTGCTACTCTGGGCCGTTTGTTTGAACCTTACATCATTCAAATCATTCCTCTGTTGTTGGTCTGCTCCAGTGATGCCAACATGGATGTGCGTGAAGCCTCCACTGATGCTGCTCGTGTGATCATGAGTAAGATCAGTGGCCACTGTGTCAAGCTCATCTTGCCCTCTATCTTGGAGGGCTTGGATGAACGTCAATGGCGTACAAAGAAGGCCTCCGTCGAGCTTCTGGGTTCTATGGCTTACTGTGCTCCCAAGCAGTTGTCTGTTTCGCTTCCCAACATCATTCCTCGAATCTCTGAAGTCCTGGCTGATACACATTCTCAAGTGCAAGCTGCTGCCAACCGCTCCTTGCAACTATTTGGTGAAGTCATCAGCAATCCCGAGATTCAAGAGCTTGTGCCCGTCTTGCTAAAGGCCCTCTCTGACCCCAACGGAAAGACAGCTCCTGCGCTTACCGCTCTATTGCAAACATCCTTTGTGCATTACATTGATCCTCCTTCTCTTGCTTTGGTTATGCCCATCCTGGAACGTGGTCTTCGTGAACGTGCTACCGAGATCAAGACCAAGTCAGCTCAAATTGTTGGTAACATGGCCTCCTTGACCGATCAAAAGGATCTTGTTCCCTATCTCAACATCATCTTGCCCGGTCTCCATGAAGTCTTGGTGGATCCTGTCCCTGCTGCCCGTGGTACTGCTGCCAAGGCTTTGGGTGCTCTTGTTGAAAAGTTGGGCGAAGAGAACTTTCCTGGTCTTGTGCTCGACTTGCTCGATACCCTCAAGACAGATTCTGGCGGTGTGGATAGACAAGGTGCTGCTCAAGGTCTCTCTGAAGTCCTTGCCGGTCTTGGCTTGGAGCGTCTGGACGGTCTCTTGCCAGAGATTATCTCCAATGCCGATTCTCCTCGTGCCTATGTCCGTGAAGGTTTCATTTCTCTGTTGATCTACTTGCCTGCTACGTTTGGTGCTCGCTTCCAACCTTATCTTGGTCGTATCATTCCTCCTATTCTTATGGGTCTTGCTGATGAATCTGAATACGTTCGCGATGCCTCTCTTCGTGCTGGTCGAATGATTGTCACCAACTATGCTATCAAGGCTGTTGATTTGTTGTTGCCCGAATTGGAGAAGGGTCTGTTTGATCCCAAATGGCGTATTCGCCAGAGTTCCGTTCAATTGGTGGGCGAGTTGCTCTTCCGTATCACTGGTATCACCAACAAGAACAACGACATGGCACTTGGCAATGTGGAGGAGTTGGGTGACGAAGACGCTGATGCCGTGCATGAAGACTATGGCGCTGACACCAAGAAGAAACAACTTGTGGAAGTCTTGGGTAAGGAGAGAAGAGACCGTATTTTGGCTGCATTGTATATTGTCAGACAAGATGCCTCTGGCGTGGTCAGACAAGCCTCTCTTCAAGTTTGGAAGGTGCTTGTTTCCAACACACCTCGTACTCTCAAGGATATTTTGGCTGTCATGATGTCCATGATCATCAAGACTCTGTCCAGTGAAGACTTTGAACAGCGTGCTGTTGCTGGCCGTACGTTGAGTGAAATTGTACAGAAGTTGGGTGAAGGTGTACTTCCTGAAATTCTGCCCATCTTGGAAGAAGGCATGGCCTCCGACGATGATGATATCAGATTGGGCGTCACTGTTGCTTTCAGTGAGATCATGACCTCTGCTGGCAAGCTCCAAGTCTTGGACTTTGCTGATCAAATTACACCTGTTATTAGAAAGGCCTTGTGTGATCCCTCGGATGAAGTGCGCGAAGCTGCTGCTCAAGCCTTTGATACCCTCCACCAAAATGTGGGTGCCAGAGCCATTGATGATATCCTTCCTTCCTTGCTCAACAAGCTGCAATCCTCTGACGAATCCTCTGCTTATGCCTTGTCTGCTCTCAAGGAGATCATGTCTGTTCGCTCCAATGTTGTCTTCCCTGTCCTTATTCCCACTCTCATCACAGTGCCTATCAGTGCTTTTAATGCGCGTGCATTGGCCTCCTTGGTCACTGTGGCTGGACCTGCTCTCAACAAGCGTTTAACTGCCATTCTTGAAGCTTTGGTGGAGACACTCATGGTTGAACAAGATGAAGAGACCATTGAAGCACTCAAGGCCACTACAGAAGCCTTCTTGTTGTCTGTCGATGATGAAGATGGCTTGCACACCTTGACTGTCACCTTGATGGAATACGCTCGTGATGACGACCCTGCCAAGCGTGCTATTGCTTGTGATATCACTGCTCAGTTCTTTAACGAGTCTGAATTGGATGCCACTTACTACGTCGCCGATTGGATCCACTTGTTGATGCTGCTTCTGGACGATCCGTCTGAAAAGGTCATTGAATCTGCTTGGAACGCTTTGACAGCCGTGACCAAATCCTTGCCCAAGGAAGAATACGAAGAGTTGGTCATTCCTACACGTCGCGCCTTGACCACCATTGGCGTTGCTGGTGTCGACATTCCAGGTTTCTGTTTGCCCAAGGGTATCAGCTGTATTTTGCCCATCTTCTTGCAAGGTTTGATGTATGGCTCCACTGACGTGCGTGAACAAGCAGCACTTGCTGTAGGTGATTTGATTGATCGCACTTCTGCAGTTGCACTCAAACCATTTGTTACTCAAATTACGGGTCCTCTTATTCGTATCTTGGGTGATCGTTACCCTGCTGAGGTCAAGGCAGCCATCTTGCAAACATTAAGCTTGATGTTGAATAAGGTGCCCATGCATCTCAAGCTTTTCTTGCCTCAACTTCAACGTACCTTTGTCAAGTCTTACTCTGATTCAACCAGTGATGTTGTGCGTGAACGTGCTGCTGCTGCATTGAAGGTCCTCAGCACATTGCAACCTCGTGTAGATCCTACTGTAGCTGAAATTCTCAAGAATGAAAACCTTTAAAATCTCTGTTTCTCCTTTTTATCCTGCACACACTTGTAATTTAAGCCTCTTTTTCTCTTTTTATCCTCTCCACAATACACACACGCATAGTCTGGTTGATCATTTAATAGAAAGTTAATAAAATTATTGCTAATATCAACATTCACGTTTATGAGATGATATACATTTATTGTTGAAAGAAAGGAACATGGCGTCAAGATGAACACTTAAATCAGAGAGAGAGACATGGATCTTGTTTGGAGGGATCTAGAGCAACTGAAACACTGCCTGCTTTGGATTTTCTCTAATCGAGTACATGAAAGCAATCAAATCTATAGCATTCGTACTGAGGCTTCTTACGTGCCAAGATATGGCAAGTTCTTGAACGATCAATATGGGCAATATCATTCTACCAATCCCGTCTGTCAAAAATGCACTATTGAGCAATGCGACAACAAATGGTCTGGCGCAGCAGGAATACTCCTCATCTACATTTGGAGTAAATGTAGTGCCACAAGAGAATGCTGCATCGGTTTTTAACATCTACAGCATCTGATCAACAGAATAACGAGACATTAAAGCTATCAATTGTAGCAATAAGGTGCGAGAAAGAAAAAAATGAGCAATAAGAATACCTCCCCAATTGAGAGAAACGTTACATTACTATTATGTGCTTCTGATGGATCAAATATTATGAAATGGACCTAATAATTGCTTAGTAAAACAGTGTGGGCACAATCCTATTTTCTTGCAACAAAAGATATCTGTCTATATTTATACCGATAAATATTCATAAGAGGTATGGATAGTGAGGAAGGAGAAAGAGCCAAAAGTCGCTTTCTGGCGAGCTTTTCAAATGCTCCCTTTCAAATCGTTGAACATAAGTGTTGTCAACTTGTATCGTTCCTTCCGGCTATACATACCACGCTCACTCGTGTATAGTATACAGCATCCCAGAGAGTATGCAAAACTCTACGTACCTTTCTGTAGCTTGCAACATCATCTGTTTTCAAAATGTGATGAACCCGTTTTTGAATATGCGTAGGCTTGGAGATACGCATAAAACTTCTCCTTTCTTGAATCAAATTTTGATTGTCTTGTGAGTCCATTTCCTTCATGTTACTTGGGGAGGAGTTTTTCTCTTTTAACACTACAGCATGTTCGTGGTAAGGTCGTCTCCACATAGCACTACAGACACATGTCCTCAACTGTTATAGTGTTGTAAAAGAGTTTCTTGGACTTGCTCATGCTTTCAGCTAGGGATCTAAAGCTCAAGAGACAAATCGAATGGTTTGCACAGTTTATCTTTTGGGTACGCATCTGTGGTTGGTACGATGGGATTTGGACAACGCATATGGATTGCTGCCCCAGTGCATTGTCTTTTTCTTTTTGGCTTAATCGGGTTCATACCTTCATGGCAGTGGATCTAACAGCTATTTTCGTGTGTCTATCGTTTGCATCAATGGAAATTACTTATATACGGGTAGACAGCATACTGGCATTACCTCTTGCCACTCGAAAATAGGCAAACAACGGCAAAATTTACCTACACTTGGGTCGTGTTTTCTCGCGATAGAAGCTGTTTTAGACAGCCAGAATAGCGCCAGACAATTGCTCTCATCTCTGAGTTACTTTCTGACACCTTTGCTCAACTTTTTGGGGATCAAAAAAAAAACATGGATGGAATTCGACCAAAAAGCATGAGGTACCCCTCATGGTTTTTATCAATATTCAAACGATCGCGTTTTTTTGACCCAAAAAATGAACACTTTTACTATAACGTATATTAAATCAAAATGATCGTATCGATCCAAACTAGCCCCTGAAACGTAGTTTGTGGGATCTTGATTTGTAAAATTTCGACTTTTTGGCCAAAAGCCTCTTTTCATATTTTTATAAATTGCTCAATAAGTCTATTCAAAATACCTATAGCAATTAGCACCATTGTATGCGCCTTCAAAAGAACTCCAAGAAAGTCTTAGGAGGCATCGTACGATTAGCATAGTTTACATAGTCGAATCTGGCAAAATAGGTCAAAGTGGGTCCAAAAAGTTTGAAAACGAACAAATTAGAGCAGAAAGTCAAGCAGAGATTTAATTGATTTTTGGCTGATGGCAAGATGGATGCTATGCCTTTTGTAAAAACTAATGGATGCTGTTGAAGGCTCATGAAAAGGTGATTACGAATTGGAATTAAACAAAATATAACAGAAATATACCCCCCACAAAAGTGTTTTACATTGAGAGATACAGATATAAACATTACATATTATTGATATAATTTGGAAAAGTAAAAAAGGGGAATCATTGCGCTTTGACCAATAAGTCAAGCTCATTGAGTATCGTATGATAAATGTGTCTAAATTTCTCATCTTCCTCTGCTTCAATCACTTTGATACCCAGTCTACCACCTGCCCATCTTGCCTGATAAACCATGACTGTAAAATACACTGGATCCTCCGTTCGATCAAGACCCTCATCATCCAGCTCAAACTCTTGGTATCTTGCCCAGTCATTCAACTCGCATTTCAATGTGAAAGATTCCTGTGGTGAAGGGATGTATCGAATGCCTAGTTTGAGCAGCACCTGTTGAATGTATTTCATCATGTCGACTGTAGTCACTTTGAATAAATGGCGTCTACTAAAGTTGAACAGACTCTTTGGATGGGTGCTCATCTTGGGTGTTTGCTGCTGCTGTTGGATCTCTCTCTGCTGCTGATGAATACCTAATCCCATTGTTAGACAAAACTCAAAGTGACATGATATAGTGTATATCTTACCTTCTTCAATGAATCTTCCTCCACTGCCACTATAGCCTGATGATGGAGCTGAGCTCGAGATCACATTTAATTCGTCTTCAGTGTGAGAAGAAGTAGAAGAGGAAGATGGAGATGTCCTCTTCTGCAGTTGTTGCTGTTGCTGTTGCTGTTGCTGTTGTTGATGGCGATATCTTCTATCCGTAAGTGAGTTGGATCGAAGTATATTCATTGTCTTTTCCTTGAGCGAATACGTGGGCTCTGGAGGATCAATGATGTGCACTGCAACACTGGAGTGGGCTTTGCGTGGTGCTACATTTTCGTCTTGTGATGCAGTCGATGATGATTGTTGTTGTTGACGATTGGGTAGCATGGCACCCAAACGTTTGGCAGCACTCTTGCTTCTCTGCAGTATGGTTGTATTGCTTTTGACGCTGTTGAACCGTTTAGGCGCGTTTCCGGTCGTGGTACCTGACGTTGTGGGAGGAGCAGCCCAATCCTCGGTCTTGTCATCCTTGAACATGTTTCGCGTGTGTGAGGGTGGCACACGTTCTGTCTTACGACGCATAAGGCTACTATGACTATTTGCGTGTCGAACTGATTTAGTCAATGACGTACTGGCAGATCTACCAATTTGAACAGGTGATTGATATCCTTCACTTTCCAATAATCGACACTTTTCATCAAACTGTCTACGCTCCTTGACCAAGCAGTAGATGGAAATCAATGGATCGTACATGGCTGGCAGGTGCTGAGGGTCGTCTTTTCTCATGGTGTTGGCTGAGGCTGGTGCTGTGCGTCGAATAGAGAGCGTACGACGCCATCGATGAGATGCTGACTCGTTCTGGCTCTGTTGCTGCTGATTTTGCTGTTGCTGTTGCTGATCATGCTGCTGTCTCTGCTGCAACTGGTAGTTTTGGTCCACTTGAGCTGCTGCATATTGGTACTCGGGTGAACAAATAATATGCAATAGCTTTGTTTCAATTTCTTCAGGTGTACCAAGTCCAAATCCTCGCATGCCCTGAATGACGCTTGGATCCACTGAAGTCAACGGCTGTCGATGAGGTAAATGGTTGAATATAAGCTCATCATAGCCCTTGTTGATCCATGGATGATGAATCACAAATGACAGTGTCTCTCGTTTTGTGGGATCCACAACCAGGATTTTGGATAGTAAATCAACGCAGTCTATAATATATGTGTGTGTGTGTGTGTGAATATATATGTATACAGCGACGACATCATGTCCTTACCTTTGCTCAAATGATCTGGATACTCTACATGACCTGATTTTATCTTTTGATGCAATGCAGGCAGACTTGTGTCATCAAAAGGCACCCTCCCGCATACCAACACATACAAGACGACGCCAAAACTCCACACATCAACTTCTGGACCAGTGTAGTTGCGAGCTTGTAGTAATTCAGGGGCAGCAAAGTAGAGAGAGCCGCAAAACGTGTTCAAGAGTCGACTGGGCGAGTAAATGTTGGACAATCCAAAGTCGATAATCTTGATTTCCTCGTGGTTAGTGATGAGGATGTTTTCAATCTTGAGATCTCTATGTACAATAGAGTTTCTATGGCAATAATCTAATGTGTTTCCATGTTAATCCTATGCTATGCTCATGCAATATCCACCCATCCCACACACACACACACACACACACACACACACACACACAAATATTACCTAATGCGCTCACAATTTGTCTTGCAAACTTTCTTGCTAGTTTCTCTCTCAATTTGCCATGGCTGATGATATAATCCAGTAGCTGGCCTCCTTCGATATACTCTAAAAACATATAGTAATGGTCACCATGCACTACCCATTCCTTGAGCTGACAGATGTTGGGATGTCTCAGCAAATGCATGATGGCCATTTCTCGGATCGTTCTCTGCTCTCTTTCCCTGGGCGTGTCTTTTGGATCCTTACTCTTTGATTCACTCGTCGCTGCGACCGAACTTAGATTCACCTTGGGCATGATTTTCACAGCATACTGTTGAGGGAGAGATGAATGGCTTTAATAGGATGTTCAACACATGGCTCCCCACGAATAGTATACCTGCTGATGATCCTTGTCTGATAAACACTCTGCTAGTTTCACTGTACCCATACTACCAGAGCCTAGTGTTTTTCTGTGAATAACGTAATTGCCAATGTGCTGCACATGATAGCGATGCGCTTGTTGCTGTTGTTGCTGTTGTTGCTGTGAAAAATGCGGATGTTGCTGCTGCTGGTGGTGGTGATGATGATAATGGCTATGATGGTTGTCTTGTATAGACGGTTGCGGTTGATGAGAAGTCATTGTGGCAGTGGTCATTTTGTATTCAAAAGAGGAAAGAGAGGGAAAAAGGAAAGAGAGGGGAAAAAAAAAGGAGCATACTATTAGGAGGCAAAAGAGAGAGAATGTCGAATGACCCTCCCCTCTTTCCCCGTGTAACTCATGCTTTATAAAGAAATATTCTACAGCCTTTTATTTTGAGCTTCTTGCTCGTTTTTGACGATGACAGGATCATAATTTTGAAACCCATTGTAATCTAGGTGCCGCCTCACAAAACTACATGTTGGAATCACAAAAGTTCCAGACTCTTTTGCCCATAATAAGCATGCCCTGACTAGTTTATCGCCTATGCCTTTGTGTCTGTGATGAGATGGTATTTCCTATAGATTGTTCAATTGGCATTTGCTGTAGAGTATAAGATACACAACTCACCGTATGATACACTTCAATGACATTTTTCACTCGGGTCGGTAAGTAGCAAATGGCCGCTATACATCCAGTGTCAAACATTGCGAACCCCTGGACTCTGTTTGCTTTCTTTCTACATTACCTGTTCTGCCTTCAGCGTCTAATTTCAATAGAAACATGCACTGCTCTTTGTCATGTAGGATGGCAGGCTGTTTCGCTGCCATTTTTGTTTGGTTTAGTGGCTTAATGTGGTTGGAAAAGAACAGTTTTGAGAAGGGTATGCTGCTCCTGAGTCGTTGGGCAAAACTGTACTGAGAATACAATGGCAAGAACGGAAATGGAATCGCTGTGTTATTCACTGATACTGCTGCTATTGTTGAGCATTCTGCTTGTTGTGGCTGGTCTTCGTCTAGCAAACTTGTGATTGTCAACTCATGCTTGTTGGGCTTTGATTCCATGATTTATTCTGATGGTGCGATAAAGAAAGAAAAGAAAAAGAAGAGAGAAAAAAAAAAAAAAAAAAAAAAAAAAGAGGGCAACACAAATAAACAAAATTTAAACCAGCAGCTTTTATCATGAACATTGGCATGAAAACTTGCCAAAATAATAGCAAATGCCCATCAATAACAGAACAAATGCAAATTGGTGTGCTGTAAATGACAGTTCATCGCTAAACACAACGACGTGGCTATTTCGACGATGGCAAAAGGCCTGTCAGGACGTAAAAAAAAAAAAAAAAAAAAAAAAAAAACGAATCAATTAACGGTTGTACGACCACCATTTATTTATACACATACCTTGTCATTGGTTTCCTCCTCCTCCTGAGGTTCCTGTTGCTGCTTTGCCACGGAAGTAGCCTCAACTGTAGTGGCAGCAGCAGCAGCAGAAGGCAGCTTGTGGGAAGGAGCAGCCTCTGGGACAAATCGTGTGTGATCCACTAATTCACTTTTGGCAATACCTTGATTTTTAGCGTCCTTTACGACCGCACAGACCTCGATACCATTGCAGTAGAACTGCGGCTTACTTCCGGTGGTATGTTTTGAAATCACCAATTCAACCGTTTGCCCATCCAATTCATCTTTTTCGGTATATATCCTCAAGCCAATGTTGGGTCGCACATCCACACGCACATCCTGGTGAGTCTCTATCGTATAACCGAGTGGATACATGCTTTGGTGTGTGCGCACGTCTGTGCACCACATGGAACCAATCATCTTTTGCTTTTGTTGTTGTTGCTGATGGTGGCGACGTGGAGAAGGTGCATGCTTGGCAATGTAGCGAATGGTGTATTGGTTGGTCCTCACATTGAATTCCTCGAATATGATTTTGCCTGCTACTCTGCGGATATAAGGAGGACATCCATGTACTGCCAAGTAGGTTTGAATGCTGTCGGCACATGCTTGTGTCGTCAAGAGTCGCACAATGGCTGATGGCAAGGGAAGAGGTGTTGTGCCTAAGCCGCCCATGTTCATGTGCGCAATGAAGCTAACCTGCACGCCCGTCCATTGGCCCTCTTTTCCGCGTGTAATAGGCTTCAGGGCCCATCCGTACGTATTCAATTTGCCCCGGATATGCTGTGAGGTTTCCGGAATCAACTCGTCTTCCACACTGATGGAGCCAATGTAAATGGCCCCTGTTGCCACTACACTTTCAATGCATGTCAACATACAGAAATCTCGGCTTTGAATAGGGAACAGGCTTTTCATTTGAGTGTGGACCAGGTACTCCTTTTGAGAGAATCGCTCCACTATTTCACCCTTTTCGAAATATTCATCCCCTGTAAATGACATTAGGTGAATTTGCGTGGAAATGAAGAGCTAACAAGACTTACATTCTTTGCGAGCACCAAAGCATTGAATCACAGAGCAAATCTGCTCAGGCGTCCATGAGCCCACAAACGCTGTTTCACTGCGCATAATAGGAAGCGTGCTGCCTTCCACTGCCTGTGTATAAAGTTGAGTATTGTTCTTTTCACCAACGTGTTTCCATTCCTTCAAGTTACTGTGAGCATACGTCTGTAGCTTTTCTATACATTGCTTGCGTGCGGTTCGATGTCGGCTTGCTGGATACAACTTGGTCCCTGCAATAGCAACACTGCTTGCTTTTGCTTTGGATGAGAACGGCATAGGTGCTTCCTGGATAGGCGATAGCTGATGGCTCGTGCTACTGGTAGATGGTGGCAATGGGAATAGCGTCGGTGTCTTACTATGGTTATCAAATAGACTGTCATCTTGTGCTTGCTGCTGGTAAGATGGAGTGGCACCATCATTACCAGAGCCACTGCTACTGCTGGCTGATGATGATCTAGCAGAAGACGAAGAGAACGTGTTGCTTGGTGAGGATGATCTAGAGGATGACTCTACTTGATCTGCAAATGTGATTCGCTTTTGTTGCTGTGTCGATGGGGTGCTATTGGTTTGTGTTGAGAGTGATGATATTCTAGGTGGTGGGTTGGAGAGGATGATATTATGTGGTCTTTTGTTGCTGTTGGTGTTGGTGTTGGGATCAAGCAATAAGGATGTACTGGTGGTGTTGAATAGGCCCAAGGTAGGCGATGTTTGGTCCTCGAATAGGTTGGTTGCGGATACGGCTGATGGTCTTTGGAGGAGAATGCTACTATATATAAAGGCAAAACATGAGTCACTCTAGCAATTGACCTGAACACACTGCTTACGTTGGTGGCGATGCAAAAGAGGATGTACTTGTGGTGGCTGTCTGTGGCAATGAGATGGAGGAAGAAGCATGTGTATTAGTTGTATTAGTTGTAATAGTAGTAGGAATAGGAACGGGTATTGATTTCTTTGATTGGGGCTGTTGCTGTTGTACACGAATTCTCTCTGCTTTTTTTTGCAAGTAGCTGTCAATGGATGCAATGATAAGGGGCTTTCTGGCCAATGATTTCTTGGTCAATCCTGGAATCCATCCCTTGATATTCTCCTGAGTTAAATAGGTAACATGTGTGGATACTGGAAATGTGTTGAGTTGTTTCAGGACCCAGCCTTGCAGCTAGTGCCATCGACATCAGACATCTTGTACATCTAATGTAGCCTTTGTTTCTTACCTTGATCTGATGTCTATTTCTGCCGGGTGTTTTTGGTACCTGAGGAGTTTCAACACTGGTGCATGCAAACAGGATTTCTCCATCAGCAGAGCATTCAATCTTTTCTACCAGTGTATAATCATAAGCTCTAATGCTGTTTGTTAATCACTCGAGCAATTGACAGCATATGGCGAACATACTTGGAGGTAGCTGTGGATTTGTATGATTCATATGTCAATGAGCTTGTATCGTTGAGATTTTCTATTAATTTGCCATCGTCAAACCTATCAGTTGAGTCAATACGATGCGCATGTGAGGGCAAAGGTCCATTACTTACTGTTCATCCCATAATTTTCTCATGCCAATGACATAAAAAACGGACTGTGGCGTGAACCCCTGAATGATAGACTCGCCACGGAACAGTGCTACCTTCTCATTCTTATTCGTTTGCTGCATCATGTAGACAGTTGTGCCACTTTTATGTTTCAGCACCTTTTTCCAGCTGTCGTCTCTGAGATAGTGACGCACGGACATCACTGCTTGATCTGCCAGATGTGAGTAAAAGCTGTGCTGTGAAGTGAGCGTGCTGGTTGCAGCGGGCATCTCCTCATCATCGCTGAAAATGTAGTTTCGTTTGGTATTGTTGCTGTATTCGATTTCAGAATCAGTTTCTGTAACAATGCCACTGTCTCGGTCCAGGTAAAACTTCTTGTTCATGCGATCCTGCTGTAAATGAGCGGGCGGTATGGGCAATGATGGTTTTCTTCTCATTTTGAGGATATATATATATATATATATATAAAGAGCGAAAAAGAAGCAAAAGAGGATGAAAAGGCAGAATTTACAATGTTAAATATTGATGTGAATAGTCTATATTAATAGTGTAACAATCAACATATTTGATGATAAATTTTTTCAGGTGCAATTACAAGCAGTATACAAACAAGCTGTGGCATGGCAAGGCATCCGATTCAAATCATAAAGTAGCCATGGTTTATATTGTAGTGGAGATCGCTGCCCTGATTTACATGAATCATAAGTGCTTCATTGTTCGACTCACAAGTTTATCACACACGTGTGCCCTTGCCATCATGGAGAGGCACGTTTTTTCATTTTAATGAATGCCATCCAGGCACCGTTTGAAATTCAGTTCAAGTGTGATACGGCAATTAGCTGGATCTATACTAGTGTCAAACAGGCTAGCCAAATACCACTGTTGAATACCTGATTTCGTAGATTAGTGCAGTGTGGCCAAGTTGCAATCAACGACCCCTCTCCGTAGAGACTCGTCTAGCAAACACAAATGCAATGCCTTTTTAAAAAGAAAAGTCGAGAAATAGTGGAATATTTATTGGTACATGCTTTACAAAGAACAAAAAAGATTTCATCTCTTCTTCCTTTTGGTACATTAATTACGTTTGATTTTCATAATTGGTGTTGTTAATGCGATTGAATAAAATACAGTTCTTTTTTTTAGAGTTTGCTGGTGGATTGAGCAGCAAGACGGTCAGCCTTCTCCTTTTGTTCCTTGATCTTGGCAGACACTTCAGCAGCACGACGAAGCTCAACCTTGCCGATTTGAGCGCGGTGAACCTCATCAGGACCATCAGCATATCTCAAAGTTCTAGCAGAGGCGTAGAAATGAGCCAAAGGGGTATCTTGGGAGATACCAGCAGCACCATGAGCCTGCATGGAGCGATCCAAGACCTTGAGCAACATGTTAGGAGCAACAATCTTGGCCATACCAATTTCCTTCATAGCACCCTTAGCCTTGACTTGATCAATCTTGCGAGCAGCGCTCAAGACCAAGAAACGAGCTTGATCAATTTCAATACGAGAAGTGGCAATATCAGCAACGATGGTGCCGTGTTCAGCCAAGGTCTTGCCAAAGGTGCGACGAGTGGGATCAGTGACACGGTTCAACATCAAATCCAAACCACGTTCAGCCATACCAATACAACGCATACAATGATGGATACGGCCAGGACCAAGACGGCCTTGAATGACCTCAAAACCACGACCCTCACCCAAAATAATGTTCTCTACAGGAACACGAACATCCTTGAAGATAATCTCACAATGGCCCTCAGGGGCATCATCGAAACCAAAGACCTTCATGGGACGCACCACAGTAATGCCAGGAGTATCAGCAGGAACAATGACGATGGATTGTTGGCGATGCTTATCCTTGTTATCGGCATCAGTCTTACCCATCAAGAGGTAGACGGCACAACGAGGATCACCAGCACCAGAGATCCACCACTTTAAACCGTTGATAACGTATTCATTGCCAACACGACGGATGTTGGTCTCAATGTTGGTGGCATCAGAGGAAGCAACTCTGGGTTCAGTCATGGCAAAAGCAGATCTGATCTTACCATCCAAAAGAGGCTTGAGCCACTTTTCCTTTTGTGCGGGAGTACCATACTTGGCGAACACCTCTGCAAGGAGATGTCAGTTATCCATTGGATCCTGATCCGGGCGCAATAATTAAATGACTTACCCATATTACCAGTATCAGGAGCGGAACAGTTCATGGCTTCAGGGGCCAACTTGGGACAACGACCAGTAACCTCAGCAATCAAAGAGTATTCGAGGTTAGTCAGACCAGCACCCTCAGGGTAATCTTGGCCCAAGAAGAGATTCCAAAGGCCAAGAGCTCTGGCCTTGGTCTTGAGTTCCTCTAAAACGGGAGGAATGATCTTATCGTGATTGAATATTTAGCATCAAATGTTGCGTGTAAGGTCGTCTTATTAGTTACCTTCCATCTGTTTTCGTTTTGACCCATTTGGAGCTCATAAGTCTTTTCAGCAGGAATACATTCATTCTATATAGTGAGAAAGAGTGGTTTAATATCATGCAACTAGGAGCTTTGATGTTGTAGGTGCGTGATTTACCTCAACAAAATCCTTAGCCTTGGCGTAGAGATCTTGGAATTTGGGAGAAAGAGTAGTGATATCAATGAGAGATTGAGTAGCCATTTTGATGAATAAGGTGTATTAACAACAACAAAAGAGCCAAAAGAAACCAAGCGTATTTATATACAAAAAATTCAAGCCTGGTAATACCGCTTACTCTATTGAAATAACCTTATTATTAGCCTGAGTGAAATTCTTTCTTACCCCGCATTAGAGCAAGTATTTGCATTACTCATCTTTTATTCCCACAACAAAGTGAGATTTGTTGAAAGAGCATTGCATAAAATTTGTCGTACCATCAAAGTTGAGAGGTTTTCATGTTCTAAATGATACAGGATGACACTATATGAAATACACAAGATCTCTAGAGCTAGCTATTGTCGATCACTTTGGTAAATTGCACCAATGCTACTGGATACATCATGTCCATTGGCTGCTGGATATGCTAATAATATTTGACAACCCCACTGCAGGAACCAGGATTCCAATGGTATTCGATTTGGATGTGTAACATTTCAGAAAAAGCCAAATTAACATGACATGTAATCTAGATCCATCAGATGTTGATGCTATGTCATCCATGCTCAGTGCATCGCCTTACTTTTTAACGCTTGGAATTCGCTGCTGTATAAAAGCACAGACTGCAGAATATCAAACTCTACTGTATATTTGATCTATGAGTGCTGCTGATACGCCTTATAGGCCCTAGGCAGTTAATTGATGCGTTTTCCTATTCAGATCATGAAAAGGATTGCATGAATACTGAGAAAATGCATATATAGAATAGAGCTCTCTACATATCAATTACTTTAAATATCAAATAAAACGATATTCTTACTACTGATGATTGCAGACGTTTCTGATAGACTAGGCAAAGTGGTCTTTTACAAGAGTGGTATTTTCATTGTGCTCCACAAACCCCAGAACTCCATCCTCCAGCTTATCCATTGCTTTGCAAGATAATATACTGGCTTTATTGTAAGTATTCGTAGAAAATGAGTCCATATATTTTCAAAAGGTAGCCTACCAAGCATAATATTTTGACCACTTCTTGCTTATCTTCAACTTCATAACTATAGCCAATGTCATCTGTGTAAGACCTCAAATAGTCTGTTAATCAACATTACTGCGTCACTATTTGCATAAACATAAAAGTGCACTAAACAGCACGATATATTTGCTTTTCCATTATCTTTTCGCACCAAATGCCTACTATAGATACCAGCTTTTTGAGTCCTATTTTCAAGGCTCTAGTAGCTCAAATGTCCTGAAGCAGTTGATTTTGACAAGGTTACTGTTCAGCAGGCACGCGCTGGATCCAATGACACTATGCAATCGAATACTGAAGGCCCTTCAGTCGATGTCGAGAAGATTGAAATCCCTGATCAAACTGATAGCCATTCTATCAAAGCTACTTTATATAAGCCCCAGGGTACCTCGTCCGATGAAAAGCTGCCTACTCTTGTATATTTGTAAGCAATTCAGTTTGTTACTCGATTGATATTGTATTAACTTGATACATTAAGCCCTGGAGGAGGATTTTGTTTCATTGAAGAGTCATTTTATTTATATATTCTTGTTGAGCACTGTAAGTACCGCATGTACTGTATTTGTCCCAAAAACGACTGTTGACATTTCACTTGTTCAGTTTGTTGTCGACCTGAATGGTGTTGTTATATTTGTCAAATATTCATTGAGCCCTGAAGTCAAGTTCCCAGTTGCGCTCAATGAAGCTCATTCTGCTGTCGAGTACGTAACCAACTCTACAACTGCAACCAAACTCCAGATTGACCATACCCCCCGTAGCTGTAGGTGGGGATTCAGCCGGCGGAAATATCTCTGCTGCTGTCTCATGTTAGTCTATGGCTAGGCTATCCTTTTCCAAACACTGACAGTATTGTACAGTACTAGCTAAACAATGCAATCAGCTGCAGAACTCTATCAAGCATCAGATATTGTATTATCCTTGTGTTGAAAACGACTTTAGCACTGAATCATACAAGAAATATGGAGAGGGATTCTTTCTCACCAAGAAAATGGCCAATGAATTTCTGAAATGCTATGCTCCTAAGGAGGAACTTGAGAATATGCTTTTATTCCCCCAACAAAGCATCAGTTGAGGATCTTGCTGGGTTACCTCCTGCATCTTTAATTACTGGTGAAGCCGATATACTTCGTGACGGTATGTATTAGCACGCTTGTGGCATGCAACGAAAGAAATCTCATCCATATTGTAGAAGGAGAGATCTATGGACGTAAATTGGTATCTGCTAATGTGCCAGTTTCATCTTTTCGGGTCAACGGAGTCATCCATGGCTTCATGTCATGGGATGTGTTCTTTTCGGATGAATCTTACTATGTCATTGACATGACAAAGAGCGTTCTTCGAAAGGCATTTACTATCAATAACTAAAAATATAAGTATAGATACTCATAAGGATTTCATATTCGACATTGTTGCCAATCTACATTTCCTTCTCTGATGTTTTCCGCATTATTTATCGCATGATGAAGAATGATGCTGCTCAATGTGTTACAGCAATAAGCAATAATAGTCATGTTGACTGCAAGACATCCTTCAGCATTGGAAGTTATGCAGGTGGCATGGCCGCTCGTAATACAATACGAATCGATGTAGTGGGTGCCTTTTACGGCAAAATCAAGCATACTTTATAGAATGTAGAGATGGTAAGGGTGCAGCCAAATCTTTTTTTTAGCTGAACTTTCATTGTATGTGGATAAGCGATATTGTATACTTTATTTTGATGGTGTACCAACGGGCAACGTTTGTAGCGTTAAACAGTTTATACCAGCAAAAGTCATTATCTAAGCTTGCACAACGATGGAGATTGCTGCAATCGATTATACCTCAAACATTATTACAATAACTTTAGTATTGCGGCCTATCAAAACAATGTAAAAGCAGAACCTAGAACAAGTACTATTGTTGTAAAAAGTGCTATTATCCTGATGTAATACTTATATAATTTTCCTACCTAATAAATTTATTAATGAAATATTCCTCAAATAAAATTGTTTAATGGATGATAAATCCAATGATTGCACCTTACATTACTTCTGAACAAGGAAGGTTTTCGATTGTATCCATTTGGTTACGCTTTTATTTTAAATTACATTATAAAGGCAGATCAACAGAAAATCAACTAGTTGTAGACCTTCCGTGCTTCGAACCCTGAGCCAATCAAATCGCTCGAAAACTCCGCTAACCTAAAAAAAAATTTGCGAGGGTTTCCCCCTGTTTTGATGTGAGGCAAAATTTTAAGCGCCGCTATAATAGCAATATAGCCGCTGCTATCATCAAATTTCCCCCAGGTGCTAGAGCATGCCTTACTTACACCACCTAGCTTTTAGATTCTGGCGTTGAGACTCTCAATCATCACTAAAGTAAGTAGCGATAACCAAGTGGAGGCGGCCTATCTACCTCCTAGCCTCGGATAAAGTCTTGTTGAGCTTCAGGGATAGGCACATCCACACAACGTAATAAAAAGGTATGCTTCAAAGAAACATAATAAAAGAAAAAAGGAACAGAAGAAAAAAACATGCTACAGTAGTACTACAGTAGTACTACAGGAGTATGAAGGTAAAAAAGGAATACTCATACGCAATGAGCCAAAGAAAAGCATAACAAATACAACATCAGAGAATGTTCAGAACAGCTCGTTGTTGTTGTAACAAGAATGCATACATGAGCAACGTGCAAGGTAATAGTCGGATGTAAAGCAACACAAACACGCACAATTGCAGGAGCAACAGCAGTAATATAAGTATGCAATACAACATAATGACTAATGTTGTTTCATGTGAAGCGACAGAGGCAACACAAACAACTACCCACGACCATATAACAAAGTAGTATTACAACGGCAATACAGATATATAGTAGCACATCATGCTTGTTGTTCATACGTAAGAAGCAACAACATTGCAAGCACCTGTTGGGCTGATCATATCACAGCCAACAAAAGAAGAAGAAAAAAAGCGCAAGAAAGCAAACATTACGAATGCATTATCACGAGAAAGGAAGCAATAATACAAACGTCCAGAGAAGCTTTATATCATTGCGACCACAAGAAAAAAGGATACTTACCACTTACCACAGCCGCGGATAGACCAGAAGAATATAAGCAATCCTCAGAGATAGACCAGAAAACGAGCAGACACCAGATACAGTAGACCAGAACAGACCATATTAGCAGCAGCAGCAGCAACACCAGCACCATAGAAAAACTAAAGAATGAACGCCATCAGCAGAGAGCAGACAAAGACCAAAGAAGTTACTTACCACTTCTCACCACCACCACAGACAGACCAGGAAAGTACAGGCAATCACCAGAGATAGACCAGAGAACAAGTATACAGCAAACGCAGTAGGCCAGGAAGGACCATATTAGCAGCAGCAGCAGCAACATCAGTAGCAATAACAGCAGCAACGCCAGTAGCAATAAGAGCAGTTTAGAAAAATCGAACAACGAGCGATACCAGAGACCAGGCAAAGATTAAAGAAGCAACCGCCAAAGATACAGACTAAAGAAGCAGCTACCGGACATAATAAACCAAAAAAGCAGACAGCAGAGATAGCAGAGAAGTAATGGAATCAGCACCCACATCAAACAGTCAAAAAAAATTAGCGAAACCTAATAAACAAATCCGATTAGTGCTAATTCTACGTCTTCTAGTGCTCGTTATTGCATGGTACCTATTATATTTCACTTCAAAGAAGCAGTAACAAGTCTCTCTGGCAGTGCAATACAGTGTTATCAGAAGCTAGAGTGTTATTATCAACCAAACGGTTTCCAAAACGACCATGGTTTGATGCTAAACGCGTTTTGCAAAAGGGAAAAAAAATGAGGGTATGGAAAAATGAGAGGGCACCCTATCCGACGTCACCGTCTGTAGATTTAGCCTCAGTAGTGTATTATAGCAGCGGTAATTGCGGCCATTTAATTTCAAATTGTGCAGTGGTATTTTCGTGTTCAAACTTGACTTGATTTGACATCCTTTGAACGTTTTTATCGAATTTAACAATGAAAACTGTCGTCGTCACATCCAACTTCCTAATACATTTTTGGATATCTAAATCCGCATCGAATGATGCTAATTTCATTCAGCTTTTAGACCGAAAATAATGAGAAGATTCCAAAAATACGAAAACAGGTTTTCTGTGAATATATCAAGTTCTAGCATATAAAAGTCTCATATAAACAGCTTCTAGTGTTGTATTTCATCTTTACGATCAATTTGATCAAATATGTATCATAGAAAAAGTCTTCATTTTTGGGGTGAAAAACGCGATCGTTTGATTTTTGAGAAATTTCCCTTGCTAATACGCATGAAAAAAATGATGATTTCCATGCATTTGCAACGACCCAAAAAAAATTGAGATAAAGCATTAGGAAGTAAGGCGTGGCCAAGAGGAGGCGTGTGGCCCTATTCCAAGCGCTCAGAAGGCTTTGTGGCATGAGTTATTCGAGCTTGAAAATGGCTAGGTTTGAACAGAATTCGACCTAAAACTACGGCGTAGTGGGTTGTGTTGCCAGAAGAGTCAATAAATTACACTTCTGTCTGGTGATCTAGAAATGTTCTGCATTGTACCGAACTCAGTTTGCAAATAGTATACGCATTTATTATAGTACCAATGTTCAGACCTTGTTTTTTGAAATGCGCGATTTCAGTAATCTTGTCACTTGCGCGTCAATAATATTATGTAGATTTGAAGCTAATGTCTTGCTTGGACTGAATTAGATGCTCATCAGGTTAGCAGGGTACTTTTGATGCTCGTTCACAACAAGGATGCCATATGTAGACGTAAAATTAGACTTGGAACCTATTCACAATGGCGGACACTCATAATTCGGGAGAAATAGCTAATGCCTAACACGCTGAGTCGCTGTCAGCACAATGAGGGGAATGAAGGGGAGTAAACAACGCAATTTTGTATCAAATCTGAGCAAATAGAGGCCCGTGATGTGTACAATTTCTATAATACAATAGACGACATCCACAGGCTGTATTAAAATCGGGTTGGAATGGCTTCACAGAGCTACACTGCCGAAATGGCAAATTATCCAAAATCGGTCACTCAAATGCTATCTTTTGCTATGGTATTGGCGCATATAAGTTTTCTGTCGTACGCCAACATTAGTCAATATACATCCTGGATTTATTTATAGATTTGAGCGACTTTTGGACGCTTCTCTGCCGTTGGTATTAACGAAAAACGTAGTTTTGCCATGGCAAACTATTTTTGAAAGAATGCATCACAATAGGTATCCTAACGAGGTCTCATTTTGTAGAGCAAACACATGAAAGAAACATTTAACTAATAGAAAAGAAGCCCGGTTGAATTGGTAGTTGTAAAAATACTACTAGTGTCGAAACGTCGAAACACTGCTGGCTTTTTGTATTGAATATTACTTTATGCAGTGAAATCAGGTTTGAATAGATTTTCACAAAAAAAATAAAGCAATAGTAAAATACAATAGAAATAAACTGTATTTTATTTGTGTATAAAATGAACTGAAGATTCTGGAATTGAGGAAAAAAAAGAAGAGTATTTATACATTTGCAACTAGCTTGTAAGTAGAATTAGTGATGATAGAGAGCAGTAGGTTCTGCTATTGCGATATCTGGCAAATGTTGTTGATGTTTGATTTAAAGTGGTAATCAATGCTAGAGCACTGGCCATAAGGGTCGATTTGAGCAACCTTGATGGGCTTGGGTGAGCTATCGTCATAGCATGATTTAATGTAACCTTGATGGTTTAAAGTGTGATGTTTGTTATTGAAGTATGGAATCCTTTATCTGGGATATTGTGCAACTATGGCAGCAGGGCATAGTTGTCTTGTTTGAATATGCTTGTTATTGATTTGATTCTATTTGGATAAAGATACCATCACTTATTACGACCACCATGGGTGTGATTGAATACACTGTGATCAGGAGTGATTCATTCACACGATGTGCGATATAAGCATGCATCTTTACTTTAATATTTTTAAATGGTTTTTTGATGTACATTTGAGCGCTTTCATTAATAGATTCAAATAGCATGAATTTGAATGAGTGCTATTTGATGAACTTTGGTTTTCAATTAAGTTGCGTTTGGGTGGCTATTTCATTACACTCATGGCAATTTTGCATGTAAGGAGCATCTTGGTCGAGCTGACCTACTAGAGTGTCAAGTCTGCGTGCGCCGCGGGTGGCGGTAAATCCTTCTTTGTTTCCTGGCATCGGGCCACAGTTCTTATATAAAATTCTTAGAGTTTCGATTTATCAGTTCAATAAAAGACAACTTTAAATACAAAAAAAAATATTTTTGATTCAATATATACCAAAGTAAAAGTCTTCGTTATCAAGATGAAAAACGCGATCGTTTGATTTTCAATGAAAGCCATGAGAGATACCTCATGCTGTTTGGTCGAATTTTATCCATGTTTTTTGATCCCAAAAAGTTGAGCAAAGATATCAGGAACTCCTAGATGAGAGCAATTGTTTGGTGCTATTCTGACAATCTAAAACAGCCTTAAACGCGAGAAAACGAGGTTCAAATGCACTCAAGTTTTGCTGTATCAGGGATACTAAGGAATAAAAAAAAGGAAATACCAGTATGCTGCTTGTCAGTATACGAAGTAGCAACTTTTAGCTATATCAATTTTGCGATATTAGCCAAAGGCCCGCGGCAGCGCGAGCCGTTTGAACGTAGGTTAGTTTCCACCGAAACGAAGCGTAGGACAGGAAATCACCCAAAGTGTCGAAAGGATTGTAAGGTTAAAAAAAATCGCTTGCATAAAACTGTATAATATGTGATTGAAATTAAATATATCTTCTTGTAGTATTTGAATGCAGGGACAAGGCTGCTACCATCTAGGAATCAACGCGATTGGCCGCTTCTTATTACAGAGAAGGCAAGTAACGGCCACAATTTGATCCTTTAATGCTTCTCGCACGAAAGTGTTGTTGCATTGACATAAATTCGGTAAACTCTATTGAAATTAATGCGAACTTCATATACTGTGACTAATAACGAACCTCGTTCAATAGACCGCCGTTGCATTCTCCCAGCACAATCTTTGATCCGAAGTTCCAGCAGGATCGACAATTGTTGAATACAGACCCACCATTGCAGCAACAGATGCTCATTACCCAAAGGAAATCTCTGCTTGGTGTTGAATCGTACCATCATACAGCGGCACATCTGCCCTACTATAAAGACTGCGCTGCATACTCCACACATTCGCAACGTAATATTTTCCGGTACAATGCACGTCTGATTATGGTCAGTTCGGTACATTTATCAGCTGAAACCGCTTGTTTTAACTTTGTAGTTTTACTCAACTGGAAAATTTTAAGGCAGGATAAACGCGAGTTGTTCAAGAGAACTATAAGTAGGCGATGAAAACAGCTATTGCATGCTATCACAAGATTGGCTGATAAAAATGTCAAGTGCTCAAGATGGACCAAAAATTGACCTTGAGTACTCGAGACAATACGGAGCATTACCTCTATGTAATAGTTGGACTCTACATGATACGATGGTATGTTGATCAAGGGTTTAAACTAGAGGAGTTGGTAATCCAAAATTTAAAAGAAACCTGTATATCATCAAGAGAGAGGGATACCCTTCTGCCTTTGGCCTTGTTACCATCTCATGAATTCAATTTGTTTTTTGATGTTAGCGCATGAGTTTATCGCTACGTTCAGAAAGTGGGCAAAATACGTTTGATGCAGGAGGGTAAGCAAATGAATCCAAACGTTGTTGCTAGATGTGTTAATCAACGTTCCGACACGGTCAATAAAGCGCATTATGGTACCATTTTCACAGCATTCCCTATTCTGCCATAGCGAGGAACAGTAGAGCAATGTGCACTCTATAGATATTCAAATGATCACATTAATATACACCTCAACTAACAATTGACATGACCAATGGGGATCAAGGTCCTGTCACTGCCAATCACTTGTAATCCTGATACCCGGGAGGTAAATTATAGATTGCAATGACAAACATGTAAAAACAATTTATCCGACATCTCATGTATTTTACAGTCGAAACAATTTCGGAGTACAGACAAGAAAGGGAAAGAAAGATGCCAGAAAACAAGGATGCACTGCCACAGCTGGTACAGGATTCTCCATTTTCCATAATGTATATTTGTATTAACTATACAAAAAAAAAGTGTTTATTTCTGATCCAAGTCAAGAATCTGTCGTGGATGAGAGTATATATTGTGACACCATGTTCATCTTCATGCTGATCTGGTAGTCATGACAACAAACCATATGGAGATCTTGCTTCCAAATCAAACTGATCATTATTTCAAGCCAATTAGTCAACTTGCTCAGTAAAAGGTATGCCGGTCATTGAGGCAAAAGATGTTTGAGATCAAATGAGTGATAGACTATAACCGATAGCAGTGCTTGTGTTGACAGACAGTGAGAGGATCAACAATAAACTATTCAGGCTAGAAAGATGGTGATCGCCATGTCAGAAGGATATTCCAAAGATAATGATTCAACACTGATCATTCATAGAAGAAGAGCAATCGAAACATCTACCAATCCTTCATGCGATCTATTTAATTCTTCAGAAACAATAAACCCGAAACTGTAATACTTCTATTATTAAGAAAATCTATTTTGGTTGGTGATATTTTACATGGACACATTTGGCACTATGATGCTTAGTGTGTGTGTATTTTATGGTTCAAGCAAGGGTTATGTTTCCATTTCTCTTCTCTTTTTCCCTCGAACTAACATGTCTTTTCTATCAGAATTCAATCAGAACATCTTTGAACCTTGGAGGACTGAATACGTTGCTTATGAGTCTATTTCTAACGGATTGAACGAGATTTGTAGCAGCGGACATTGGACAAGACAAGACGAAGAGGATTTTGAATCTGCCATTCGACTTGAAGCAGGAAAAGTCGACTTATTTATCATTCGTAAGCAGCGAGAGATCGAGTCTAGATTACGTTACTGTCAACGCATCTTATCACAGCAGAAAGATATAAATGAAAGAACTCGCCATTCAGCAGATGACACACTGACTGATATTTTGGCCGACATCAATGATTTGACCAAATTCACTCGACTCAATTTCAAGGCATTGGAGGCGCTGATTCAACAACATGACCGATTAACGAGCACAAACAGACGTCCTCTTTTGGTAGAAGTGTGCAGAACACGACCTTTGGATAGTCAGCGGTTTGATGGTATTCTGGTGCAAGTGTCCTCCTTGCTGGACACATGTCGTGGTAGACTGGATCAAGGTGATAGTAGCGTTGCAACAGAGCCCAATCGACAAGACTATATAAACGCTCGATATTGGATTCACCAAGATAATGTCACAGAGGTCAAGGCAATCCTATTATTCAATTTACCTATTTTCGGCAATGATTCATATGAACAGAGTGAACGGGCCATGTCCTACATTTATTTGGACAACGATTCATTCGACGAATACACAGCACAATTGCAATCTGATGATGGAGCCGAGCTGCTTACATGTAGATGGAATGGCGATATACAGTCTGCAAGTCAAGTATTTGTTGAGCGGCATGTGTTTGTAAAAGGCGGGTTTTCTACACAAGATGGGATAGCTATAGATAAGAATCAACTGTATGATTTCATACTCACTCAAAACTATTCTGCCGAGGCATATGCGCAAGACTTGAAAAATGTGGGATTTGATCAGAATTACGTTGAGCTGAGTTACACAATAGCAAAGAACATCCAAAGCTCTATTATTGACAAGCGGTTAGAGCCCAAGCTACAGATTCATTTTAACCGGCTCTTGTTTGAGGCTCCCCATGACAAGACGCTGTCTGTATCACTCGACAATAATGTAACGTTGAATGTAACTTCAAACAAGTTTAGCATGGAATGGCTTCATAGCAATGATGCTATTACGGACAAGCGCCATGTATTTCCGCACGCTATACTCGAGACTCGCATGCTGGACAAGGCCCCTCCTCAATGGCTATCTCGCCTACTCGAATCCAGGTTGGTCTATGAAGTACCCCGCTTTTCCATCTGTTTACATGGAGTTGCTCTTTTTTGGAGTCCGCAACTGCCTTTGCTGCCATGGTGGCTATCTCAAATTGACATTGATATTCGAGCAGCAAAGCGCAATGACAAGCTGCTAGTCGAGGGAGCGAGCGAATACTCGGGGCTGACTCGGTCCCGCAGTCTAAAACTCCTGATTGATGGTCAGTATCGTGTAGGCTATCTGGAAGCACAGTTACAGAAAGGCAATCCTCAGCGACGACATGCCAACAGTCGACATAATTCCTACAGCAGCAGCGTTCGCCATGAAAGTATTGTTATTACCGATGAGAGCTTGAACCAGGCCGTACTCGATGCCAAGGATAAGCAAGAATATGTTGTGCAACTCGAGGATGCAAGTGCGAGTAAGCTAACATTGTACTCTATGCCTACTGGAAATGATGATGAAACGCAATGTCTGAGATCTCGCAGCAGCATCAGCTCTCAACAACAGCAGAAGCAGCAGCGTCAGAAGCAGCGTTTTAATGATTTCTATCGACCCGAAGAAGGAGGATCACAGGCTTACATGTTGCAAGATCCACATACGATCAAGGAGAACGACGATATGCGAATAGCAGTGCTTGCAGAATTAGGGCAGGAAAAGGAAGAAAAGAAAAAGAAGAAGAAGAAGAAGAAGAAGAAGTTGAAACCACCACAGCACACAATGGAGCCTAAACTCTTCTTTGCCAACGAGCGTACGTTTATCAACTGGTTGCAATTCTCTGCATTGATCATGACAGCTGCCTTGACGTTGCTCAATTTTGGAGACCATGTGAGTACAATCGCTGGCGCTACTTTTTTTGGTATTTCGATGGTGATTGCGTTGTATGCCTTCTTTAGGTATCGATGGCGTGCACATCAAATGAGCACTCGACCCGACATACGATATGATGATCTCTACGGCCCTGTCGGGCTTTGTTGCTTGCTGTTAAGCGCCATGGTGGTAAGAGACAGACATTGGGAACGTTGTAGCCATTGCTGATTGATTGTTTGTAGCTCAATTTCGTGCTTCGTTGGCAGCATCCCTCCTCTTCGGACACCTACCTGGGCATCAACAACAAAACTAATGAGCAGCAGAGCAATACCAACAGCACTGCCTGAAAACCTGATTTCGGGAGTCCAATCATAGTATAAATGTATATTTATATAATGTACAAAAACGTAATCCAATGTATGTATAAATACACACTCCACGCATGCCATTCCTCTTGTGTATAATGCGACATGACAAAAGAAATCGACCCTTGATTTGAAAAGAGAAAAAAAAAAAAAAATAGGATTGATTCCAAAACTATTTACCCAAAACCAATGCCTAAATAGCGAGTTCATCTTGGGCTCAATTAAATGTGAATAAGCAGAACGGAGAATAGACACGTTTCATTTTATAAAAATACACAACCACTGTTTAACCGCAAAAATTCGAAAACCCAACCACGGCTAAGCAAGCACGGAGTTTGACATGGTTTCATAGTGGAAAAGAACAAAATCCACCCAAAATACCAACAACAACAACATTTTATAAATAGGTTTTTTTTGCTAGTATTTTTAAATCACCTCATCTCTAAAACCAAAAAAAAAAAAAAAAAAAAAAAAAAATCCCACTACAAATAAATAAACCTCTCCTTGCTCCCTCTTCTTCTTTCCTTCTTTTTTTTTTCTTGCCCTTCTTTTACTAGTCCATTACCACTAAACTACCATGAAATTCGCTGATCAACTCCAGAAAGGTATCTTTGCTCCTTGGCGTCTGTCTTATATCAACTACGACGTCTTGAAGACTGAGCTCAAGGCCAGACAGCTCGATCACGGCTGGACTGATCAAGATGAGAAGGATTTCATTCATTTGCTGGAGAATGAATTGGAAAAGGTGTATGATTTCATCTCTGCAAAGTTGGGCGAGGTCGAGGCAAGAATCAGCTATTGTGAAAGAACGTTGCAAACCTTCATGAACAACCCTTCCTGGTCCTCTGAGCAAAACTGGAACATCATGGACGATGCTCTCACCGAGGTCTTGTTTGACGTCAACGATCTGGCAAAGTTCACTCGTCTCAACTACATTGGCTTCCAAAAGATTCTCAAGAAACATGACAAATGGACTGGTCTCCGTCTCCAACAGAACTTTATTCCTCAATTGCGTGCCAAACCTCTCGATAAACAACGTTTCGATGTCGCCATTGTTTACATTTCTGCTCTCCACGATCTCTGTCGTCTCCAAGGAAAGCCTCGTACTGGTAATGCTGCTGCTGGTGGTGATCAAAACGCCTTTGAACGTGCTACTGCCAAATATTGGATCCATCCTGACAATGTCACTGAAGTCAAGTCTATCATCATGTTGCATTTACCCGTCTTGATCTTCAACAAGGACAAGAAGTTTGAGGTCTCTGATTCCGCCATCTCCAGTATCTACTACGATAACGAGGATTTCGATCTCTATACTGGTCGTCTTCAACGTGATGAGGGTGCCGAGGCTATTCGTTTCCGTTGGTATGGCCCTATGGAGTCCAAGAACGTCTTTATTGAGCGCAAGACCCACCATGCTTCTTGGTTGGACGGTGCTTCAGTCAAAGATCGCTTCAGACTGGATGTCGATGACGTTGAAAAGTATGTTGAGTATGAGCTGACTCCTGAGGAAATTACAGAGCGTTTGCGTGCCAAGAACGTAGATGAGCAAATCTGCAAAGACACTGAATTCATTGCTACTGGTGTCCAGAAGTCTCTCAAGGAAAAGAACCTGAACCCTGTTCTACGTGCTTTCTACAACCGTACTGCTTTCCAACTGCCTGGTGATCAACGTGTCAGAGTAAGTTTGGATACGGATTTGTCCTTCATTCGTGAGGACAATATGGATGATAAGGTGCGCAGAGCAAAGAATGAGTGGCGTCGTCCTGATGTTGCCATCGACTATCCTTTCCCTCAATTGGATGAAACCGAGATTTGTCGCTTCCCTTATGCTGTTTTGGAGACCAAATTACAAACTCATTTAGGTCAAGAGCCCCCAGAGTGGTTGACCAAGTTGGTAGACTCCCACTTGGTACACGAAGTGCCCCGTTTCTCAAAGTATCTTCATGGTGCTTGCTACTTTTTCCGTGATCGTATGCCCTTGTTACCTTGGTGGTTGCCTGAAATGGATATCGACATTCGCAAGCCTCGTGCTACTAACTTTGGTTTAACCCGCTCCAAGTCATTCAAACCTCTTATTGATGGTCAATACCGCCGTGCTATGGAAGCTGAGGAACGTCGTCTCAACAACGTTGCTAAAACCGAGTCTGTTCCTGGTGTTAAGGTGAACAGCCTGGATGACGATAACAAGGAAGTCAACAAAACTACCAAGCCCACACCAAACACCGATCTCAAACGTCGCACACCAGCAGCATCATCAACAGCATCCTTACAACAACCTCAACAGAGCAAATAAGCAAATTCTTTAGATTCATGATAGAAACACATTACTACATCCAAACTCCTCTTACAACAAACTATATACATTTCCTCTCCTCTTTCTCCCTCCCTCACATTTAATTTTTTTTCTTACTTTAGCCTTGAAAAAGAAAATCTATATCTTTGATATGTATATACAGTAATAATTACTCAAACAATACTTTACTATTCTTCGTTTATCACAATAAAAAATCATACAACCAAGATATCTCCTTGACATGTTTTGTTGGCGTACTCCCGAGACATTTTAGTTTTTGTGATACATGAGGTTGAAAAAAAAAAAACGGAATGAGGACATCTCATGATATCACGAGTGAACCTTGTGTCGCCCTGTTTGAACAATCATTGCATTGTTGCAGACAAGCCGATCCTACGCTTTTATGGCTTGGATCCTCGGCTCCTGCGCAAAATGCACTGTTGGATCCATTTTGGCAAAGCGGACATTTTATAATGGTTGTTGTGTGATGGCCACGCCATAAGATAAATTGAGTACTGAAAATCAACGGAGCATTAATCAATTACATGAAATGACCCCATTATTCAAAACGAGCTTGAATTAAAGTATCCTGTCAATATGCAAGCAAATCTTCACATGTCAACCTAATGCTCGAATAGCTTTATTAAGCTCAATTGTTGTTAAATGAATAGCCATATGTACAGGGCATCAGTGCGGATCAGAAACTTGTGTTTAGTAGAGGAATCGATCTCTTCCGCGTGCGTCTTTATCATATCCACCCCATTCTGATCTTGTAGTGGACGATTAGAATGTGTGCCTGGCTGATTGCAATCACCCTACTACTGTTCTGCTACCACTGAATATCATGTGAGAGCTCTATAAATCCCCTATAGCCGTGGATCTGACTTCTCTGGGATGCGCCACGTCTGTACAGATGGGAACAACTCATATATGGGCATACAACACAATCTCAGTACCTCCTACTACTCACAAACAAGCGAAATACAGCAAAATTTGGGTGCATTTGAGTCGTGGTTTTTCGTGTTAGAAGCCGTTTTAGATCGTCAGAATAGCACCAAACAATTGCTCTCATCTAGGATTTACTTCCTGATACCTTTGCTCAACTTTTTGGGGATCAAAAAAACATGGGCAAAAATCGACCAAAAAGCATGAGGGGTACCTCATGGTTTTCGTCGAAAACCAAACGATCGCATTTTTGACCTTGATAACGAAGACTTTTACTATGGTGTATATTGAATCAAAATGTTTCTCTCGATCCAAAGCAACTTCTGAAACCACTTTTATGAGGTTTTCATATGCAAAATATGGCTACTTTCGCTAAAAACCTCTTTTCATATTTTTGTGAATTGCTCAACAAGTTTATTTAAAACATTTATTTTACTTGGTACCATTGGTTTCGCCTTGAAAAGTACTTCAAGAGTGTATTAGGAAACATGGTATGATCATCACACTTCATATAGTCGAATTTGGCAGAATAGTTCGATCGAGTCGAAAGTGTTCAAGATTTGGCCAATCTGGAACAGACTATAAGCCTGGATTTGAATTAATTTTGGCTGGTGGGGCCCAATGCCCTTTTCGTTGCGAAGGCAATATAATATAGATGCTTTTGAAGCGTATGGAAAGTAGGTGGCAAATTATATAACACTATCGTTAGCCATGCTACTTTCCTTGCATTCTATATTTAATAAAGCCTGTTTATCAAAATACTTTTTAGATCAATTTCTTTCCTTTTTGAGGCTTTGAAAATGTAGAGACCATAAATTTATTACGTTACGATGAGCCTTTTGACTCTTCGGGTGGATTCCTGACCTACGCTTGGCTTTGGTGGAAACCAGCCTACGTTCAGACGGTTGGCGTTGTCGCGGGCCTTTGGCTAATATTCAAAATTACTAATAGCTAAAATGTTAGATGAAACTTGAGTGTTGATTGATAGTAATTTAATATATAGTCTCTAATCATATATGAACCACGCCTGACAAATGCCTGGCAGCTCAGTTTCCATATTAGGGTTATAAAAGTGTCTAGGGACTGAACACTTATTATGGTATAATAATCTAGATGAAGCGAAGAAATATTTCAAACCAAATATAGCCACAGGGCACTGCGAATCCCAGCTATTAAAATGCTCTGGGCTTGTGTCCAATAAGAAACGAGTCTGACTCAATTACAAGAGACATCATTGACCAGCCTGTTGATCAGAGACATGTTTCAACAAAATAATGCGAGAATCCACTAACAATACCTCTTTATTCAAGCTACTATCATGCGTCCTCCAAATAACGATATTCAAATCTAAATTCAGTCTTTTTACGCTGACACCAGGCACCTTCGTAATCAAAATAAATATAGGTGCCTTGCTCATAATCGTCTGTAATCGTCTTTGGCTCCTCATGTCGTTGAAACCATGTCAGGTACTTCTTGTGGAAACGCCATGATTGCTTTTTCAGCTCTTTAGCTGCTAAATACTGTTGATAGGTGCCTTGTTGATAGTAGAAAATAAAGAACAATGCATCCATATCAAACTTTTCAAAAAGACTGGGATTATCAAAAATAGCGAGAGGCTGTTGGGGATAATAAGCTGGTGTCAATTGAGGGGTTTGTGCTTGATACACCTTGGGCCTATATAGGTTGTGCGACATTAGTTACCATCACAAAATCATGCCGCATGAATTTACAATAATTACCTTTCCGAGTCTATCAGGTCAGGAACATACTGTAAGCTGGCATCCAGCATACGATTTGTGTACTGTGTATTGTCATCGTTAGCAGCTGCTGCTTTGGATTTGATGGCCTCAAATGAGGCTGCAAGGTCAAGCAGTGAAGAAGGCAGACGAGAATCCAATTCTGCTCCGGGTTGTTGGGTCAAGGAAGCATCCATCGGTAACTAAGATATAGACGAGTTAAAGATCTGATAATGCAAATTAGCATGTTGATACGTTACTGATTTCGCAGCGCCGTTGGTCACACTATTATTCACTTGCGCACCAGGCGCAGAAGACGACATGGGCTTTGATTTCTCGGAAGGTGGCGTTGATGCTGACTTGTCGTCTGGTGTAGGTGCAGCATTGGATTTGATCTGGTCCGCAATCTTGATGGGTTCCGCCCATGCGGATGGTACTACCACTTTGGGTGATTGAACTGCACAAAAAGGATGAGTTTTTCTGTCCACAGATCAGCATGTGCTGCATAACTCACCTTTAGCAGAGGAAGTTGGGCTTCCTTCTGTTGCTCCAGCTGCTTGGGCATACTTGAGATTGTTTGTCGTTGCAGTGTTGCTTTCTGGAGACTTGATCGGCGGCACGCTTGCAGGTGCTTTTGGACTACTTGTCGTTGTTGATTTCGCTAAAAGAGATACATGTTAGACTATGTGATACAGTGAGGTATCCGCGTTCACATTTACAGCTGATTGGACTACTGGATGCTGCTGTTTTTCGAGTGGATGAACTGAGTGAAGATGTCTCGTCGTCGTGATCTTTGTCTTTAGACTTTTTGCTTAGTGTCTTTTCCTCTACATCTACTCAACGACTGATATAAGCATGAATGGCATCTAAAGATAATAATAAAAAAGGGTACCTTCTGACACGAAATGCTCTTCGGTGCCCACATTATACATCTCTTCCTCTTCTTCGAGATTTAGGTCGTCGTACACAAGCTCATCTTCTTCAAAATCAGGTTCCTAGAAGCCTAGTGTTAGCAACAAACAGATAAACAAAGCAGTATGCATGACACTTTACCTGGTTACACTCGAGGTAGTACTGCACATCGTCTTGGATAGCAAGCACCTAAGCAGCATAATAAGTTGAGTGCACTGGGATAATCGATGCATAATATACGTTACTCTGTCGGGAGATAGCTGGTCGTTCTCCAGTAATCTCAAAATCAACTCCAATCGATTGATATGCCATCGATCACGCTCGATAAAGTGCTCCAGTTCGTTTGTTCGTTCAACTTTGGCATGATCTTTCTTGCCTTTTCTCGATGTACCTTGAAGCGTCTCTTGCTCAGCTTCTGCCATTTCAATCTGTCGAGATAATTCATCGACTGTCGTCGAAATCCAGTCGCACGCGTCGGCTTTTTCCTTTTCTTTGGGGTCCATTCTCTCTCGTTGCAATAGTCCTTCTTTTGAAAAGGCTTTTGTCTTCATTTCACGCTCTACATTTTTGAATCTCTCCATCTCTGATTCTATCAGTTTTCGGTTGTCCATCAACGCTGACTTGTCTTTGATATCGTTGGATGATAGCCATGTCTTGATTTGATCACGCAAACGTTGTAATTTCTTTATCTCCTTCTTGAGGTCTTGCTCGTACTTTTCCTTCTGATTCGAGTTGCTGGTGGATTGTATTTTGTCGTAAATGTTGTCAAATGTCTCCACACCTTCACTCACTTTCTTCAAGACCCGGTCAATTTCGGCTGTTATACAGCATGTTGAGTTAATTGAATACACCATTGAAAAATTTTACATGAATGGTTTTACCCTGTAATTTCTTCATCGACATTTTTCAAAGTCTGCTTCTTGTTTGTAGTCTTTTCTTTTTTTTTTACAGATGTAGCTTTTTCAAAATTGAAATGCAAGAATATACAATAGATTTTTAATCTCTTGAAGCTTATTACTAGAAGAAAAAAAAAGATATTTTCCGTTTGAAAACAAACAACAAAGGACAGCTTCGTTGTTGGCAAGTTTCGTTGTTCAGGTAGCCCACGTTTGCAGTGACTGGTTTGCTTGTATTGTTTGTGCCAATTGCAAATGGTGCTCTTGAAGTAGATCCATCAAGATACATGGCTAATAATAGTAGACATTGCTATTATCCAACTATGCCAATCATACAAATTTGTAATCTACCTTATAATAGAGAGAGCCAAGTATCACTTGCCCGAGAATACAGTCGTTTAGCAAGGTGTAAGAGGATGTAGCTTTTATGCATTAATGTCACATCCATCAATGCCGCAACACGTCGATCAGTGAAATTCCGTTGCCATGGTAACCAGGCACTGTTTTTTTTTGACAGTTATCGTTGCCATGGTAACCAAGCACTGCTTTTTTGACAGTTATCTCAAGCGAAAAAAATGAGATGCTACAATACCAAGGAATTAGTATCCTGTCAATTGCATTGATCCGCTGAGTAAAGCATTCAAAATTTGCAATGAGGGCATGATGCATTCCATGTTGAGTATCAGTACCGGACAAACACTTTCGAGAAAATTTTGATGAGCAACCCACTTGAGAGGCAATCCAAGCAGATTTCATGGATTGCAAAGACTTGTAGCACGCGGAAAAACAATTGAAAATGATCTAAATGCTGTAGCTAGTGAGCAGTTTCAAAAAAGAATGATGCAATGCTACAGCATGCGATGAAGCAGCGATCTGTACATTAGAGTCTACGGCCAACATATTGCGGTAAGGTTTATCGGATGCAAAGTATTCAATCTGGCACAAACTCCATGCCGTCCATGATTAAACGGGCTTATTCTTCATTTCAAAGCAGTTAATCAGCAATAGAACTATGAACAAAACTTCTCTACCAAGGTCTGAGAATTAAATCCATCACAGCCATGATGAGTTGATAGCCTTTATTAAAGCATTTGACATGATGTTTCTCACAAGAATGAGCCATGTACATAACAAGCGGAACATTGGTGAATGTGTAAATCAATGCTACACGATAAGTAAATAGAAAAATGAAAGCGAACCAATGATATGGTGTACAAGGCATGGACGTTGGAGTTTTTAAAATAAAATATAAAGGCCACTTTTTCCTTTTCTTTCCTTTTTCTCTCTTTCTTTATTCCAAGGATTACAAGCAACTGCTTATAAATACAATATGGCTGGTAAAATCAAATGATAACACACACAGAGATCTCGGATAGACAATGTTTCTTACATTTACTCAAAAAGATCTCGGTTTCGACTTCCCCGATGATGATTACGAGCAAGATGAATCATTGTTAGAGCATCAAGACGACACCCAAGATGACATAGTGAACAATAAGGAGAATCAGCAGCAAGAACACGACAGTTCTGAGCCACACATTGCTGACGCTCAACAAGAGTACACGTCTGCAGATAGAGAGGAAACATCCCCTACTTCCACCAGTAACAGTACTACCTCTACTGCTCTGATACAAACTATGTCTGAAGGTGAGTACAAGGTTAGGTCTGATTACCCAGGCAAGTGAATGCTGATTTATATTGTTTTGATCAGATCCCATAGAAGACGAGCTGGAAGATGAACTGCTGGCAGATGAGAACGTGACGCCCATTGAACGTGTATATGGATTTCGAGAAAATGATGCCTTGATAAACAGGTAAGTTGTGTAGTTCGGACATATCCTGGGACCACCGGTATTGAAAGGAAATTTTCAAAGACTTTTACTGGCAAAGGAGTTGTCAAGTGCATTAGAGGAAATCAGTTTGACAGAGGCTATTGAGGATGTGTTGCCCATTATGGACAAATTAGCGTGTGATACTGATGATACCGTCAAGGAAACATTTGCCAGTGAACTCGATCAGATATTGCTTTACTTTTACAAGGTAGGATATCATCAAACAAGATAGTAGTATGCCACTGACAAGGTATTCTCGATAGAATCTACCTGCCATGTTCTCAAAATCAGACCAATCTACACCACAAGAAAAGACGTTTGCACCTCTTATCATCAGAATACTGCTGGATCAAAGCTCAGGTGTTGCCTCATTAGGTCAACAAGCCATTGTATCAGTAGTGACAGAACTCCGTAGATCGTCAGATCAGGACCCGTTATTCCAACAAGTCATCAATTGTGAAATATTCAAGGGCGTCATTGAAGGTTTGATGCTGATAGTGGATGGCAAAAAGAAGCCGCCTAGAACAAAGGGACAAGGAGATGAGGAGGATGAGGATGCACATGACGATAGAGCCGAGGCTTTGAAATACCACCGTGTTTCCATCGACGACGGCCTTACATCAGAGCGTAGAAGATCATCAGCAACGCCTGGCTTCGAGACTTCCCTCAACATACATCATGCTCCACCCTCAGACGACGAATTTGACCAAGGAGAGATTAGCTTGGCCAAAATTACTTGTATTTCGGTAAGACATTGTTTAAAGATGAGTTAGGCGTGTATGGATCTAACGGATATCTGATAGTTGATTGCATCCATTGTGGGCGCATTTGACGCACAGAAATGTACAGAAGAATGCTTGCCGATCATCGAGCAATTATCATCAGACTCATTGTTTTATGTAAGAAAGGAAGCAGCTACTGCCGTTGGATGTTTAGCTCAAGTGGTGGATCAGAAAGTTGCAGAAGAGAGACTTGTATGTTGGATTGCACATTTGACACTTGGCCCTGATCACTGACATTGGTATTTTTCTCTAGTTGCCGCTGTTCCGTAAATTTGCTGAAGATCAAATTTGGCATGTACGACGATCTTGTGTCATGACATTACCTCAACTATGTGGTGTCTTATCTGAAGAATCAAAAGCTGAGCTGACAGTGACAAGCGTGGAGACCTTTCGAAACGACGTATCTCGCAATGTGCGCAATGCTATGGCTGATATCGTTGGAGAGCTTGTCGCAAAGTTCTTGCCCGAAGGCTGGGAGCAAACAGGCCAACCTGGCAAGATGCCTGAGCCATTATTACAGTACTTTCTGTCCCTGGGATCCAACGTCAATAATAGCAACAATCAGATGCTCAAGTTGGAAATTGATCGCACCTACATTTGCGCTTACAACTTTCCAGCCGTGGTGTTGACAGCAGGCGTTGGCTACTGGAACACGCACTTACGGGACACTTATTTGAATCTTACCAAAGACTATCAGATCAAAGTGCGCTGTACGTTTGCTCACTCGCTGCATGATATTGCCCGTATCATTGGCCCTGAGCGCACAGAACGAGATTTGGTGCAGATTTTTGCTCTCTATTTGATGGACCTGGATGATGTGAAGCAAGGTGTCTTGGAGCATTTGGCAGATTTTTTAAGCACATTGGCTGTCAGCTCAAGAAATGAATACATTCCTATCTTGGCAGAAGTCTGGGATGGTGTCTCAAGCAACTGGCATTTGCGAAACATCTTGGCAGCTCAGTTGATGGAGATTTCCTTGTTGTTCGATGCTTCCAGAGTGGTGGAGCATATCTTACCTTTGGTTGTTCGTGCTTGTCATGATGAATTTGCTGCTGTAAGAGAAACCGGCGTCAATATCTTTCCTGTGGTCTTGGATGTCGTCAAGCACGCCGTGGAAGAAGATGGCGAATCTTTATCGCAGGCAGAGGGCTACGGAGATGATATCACAGAGAACAAACGCAACTTTGCTCTAGCTTTGCTGAGCCATGTCATGGAACGCCTGGATGAGTTTGCTCGATCTGAAAACTACCGTGGTAGACTTGTGTAAGATGTGGCAATTTCGACCTTCTTTAAACGTTATCTCACGATATGTCAAATAGGTTTGCTCAAATTTGCAGAGCCCTGATCGAAGCAGGCATAGGTGCCTCTGATTTTGCATCATTCTTTTTACCGCGATTAGCCCCACTTGCCTATGATCCAGTCGTCAATGTCCGTATTGCAGCCTCTCGCGCTATCGGCACTATTTATACCAACGGTAAGATACGAACAATTACAAAACGCATTTTAGAAACTAATCCATCTCTCTCCAATAGAACCCTTCCGAAAAGAACTGAGCGAGATTGCTGCTCCATCAAGAACCGTGAATCAAGCAGGCGAATCAGGACATGCACTGGATCAAATGACCTATCGTCTTGCTCTGGACAAGGACGGAGACGTTCGATCATTTGTCATGCCATTTGTGGACCCTAAGATACTCGAAAAACAACGAGAAAAGGAAATGCAGGCCGCTGTTCAAATAGCTGAAGCTGCCATCGAAGCGAGGGCAGAGGAAAGTAGTCATTACAACCAAGACGAGGAAGAAGAAGACGATGATGATGACGACGACGATGATGATGAGGAAGACGAGGAGGAGGACGATGAAGAGGGGGACAATGAGCATGCCACTGATCAAGAAGTTGACAAGAAATCGAAGCCAGACACAAATGAATCAGAGGGATCATCCACTCCAATGCAGGACGTCGAAAGAGCGGAATCACCAGAGAAAGACAGCATTGAACCAATGGATATCTCCACTACCTCCACAGCAACTGACATGGAATCAGCGCCTAAAGCAGAGCTAGCATTGGCAGAACCAACGCCTGAACCCGAAACTAAACTGGATGATGAAGACGAGATCATGTCTGACGCAGAGCCTGTTGCGGAAACTGCTAAACCCACTAATACGCCATCCACCGAAATCACGCCTAAAAAGCCTGCTACCACTCCTTTGACATCAACAACAGCACCTACTGCAACCACAGCTGTTGCTTTGCCTCGTTCATCAGCCATGGATGATAACGACGATTAAAAAATAATATTGTATATTTGTTTTCTACCTCTCTTTTTTGCTTTATATATATTATATATCTTTTTGTATGTTGGGGAGACTTTCTCCTCATAATACACTCTGTTTTTTGTATTATTCCTCGATAACCCCCTTCTCACTTAAAAAAAATACTTTCTAACATGCAATTTACGATTGTTTGATTTAATATCATGATAAACACTATAACGATGTACTATTTGTAATAAATGTGTTGAATTTTTCACACTACCTGTGCTGTCTAATGCAGCTTCTACTTGAAATTCCATAATCACCTTGAGCCTTTTTACACAATAGCAAACGCTTATTTCATTTCTTTAGGTATACAAACTGTGAAAATGCGGTCATCCTATCAATTTCTAGAAGTGATATAAGTCTCCAATACATCGCTGATCTGATAGACTCTCATTCTATGTAGCTCTGAAGACTTTCAGGTGTTTTCTTTTGCTTGTCATTCAAAGATATAGATGCATCTAGCTCTGCTGTACTAGCTTTGCCATCTTGAGTAGCATTTTCATCCAAGCTATCATATTTAAGGTCTTTGATTAAACGTACAATCTCAACAGTCGATTGATCCTCTAATTCCGGTCTAATAATGTCTTTTTAAAGATGCTGTGTATGTAACTGTCATCATCACATAAATTACTGCTCTCGCTTCATGGCGGTATCTTTCGAACAAGTGTTTGTAAGATCACGGCTTCTCCATTTGAATTTAATGCAACATTGGTACGAATATCGCTGACATTAGATGAAGGCAACTGCCGTTGGGGAAACTGTCCGCGTTCTCGGCAGAGAATGTGGAATTCTGATTAGGGCTCACCAGCAATTCATTATCCTGTCTAGCGCTATGAGCATTAAGAGTGTCATGTGAAAGATAGGTTATTCTTGGAAGAAAGAAATGGCGTTGATACAGCCCATGTCTAGTACGAGACAAGTTGGTAAGCATCAATACTTACAGGAAAGAACAAAGGGCACATCTCAAATTATTGATAAGAGGCCCATTGCAGTTAGAAAGCGTCAGTCCAATGCTGGCATACATTTGGATCAAGAAACTTTTATCCTGATGAGCATTGGCCATTGCATATAGAAAGCAATAGAAGTTGCGTCCCAGCAGAATGACAACTAAATCGTCTCATTCGAAAAGTGTCAATGATTGATAAAAAAAAAAAAAAAAAAAAAAATCTTGAAGGTGCCTGATGAGCCAGAACTACATCGCACCCAGATATTTTACATCTACTATATGTCTTTCAAGTGCTTGCAAACTTGGATCTAGGCTACCACAAACACTACATGTTACATTTACTTCTCTTCGTTTGTGTACACGCCGTATTTCACTCTATTCTGGGCTCACTTGGCGGTGAACCATTTATGTGGAAATTGCATACACACCGCATACATTAGTTTCTGTAGCGAGAATACACATACATTGATGGATCATTTGATGTCGAATAATTGTGATACCAAGTGTGTGCTTCTCTCTCGCATATACGCATCACCAATGAAACTGATGGCTAATCAATACACCGAGATATGTTATTTATAGATTTGCACATAGGAGAGAGTGAAAAGATGAGGAGAGAGGGGGGGCTGGGTGCTTTTTTGTTGCTGAAGAAAATTTTTCTGTTTCCCTTTTCCCTTTTGTTTTTCCCTTTTCCTCCCCTCGCCCATCTTGAAGAATAATACCTCTCAGCAGTGATGAGAAGCGCATCCTACGGTGAATATACCATTCTCTAGTGTACAGTTATTTGTCATATATATATCAAAAAAAAAAGAAATAAAGCAGAGCAAATGTACAGTAATTTACATCTTTTATTTACTTGCAATAGTTGGATTTTGATTGGATAATCACATACGATTTTGACCTGCAAAAAAAAAAGCGAGAGATAGAGAAAAGAGAAAGAGAGAAACATGGATTGTTGAAAATGACCTAAAAAAAATCTTTTTTTTTTATATATCCTTTTAATTTCTCGTTTCTCGCTTTCTCTCTTTCTCTTTTCCTATAAACAAATTTCTTTCAATCACACCTTCAATTCATTTCATTCAGTTACTAAATCACTATTTACTTTTCATACATCCCACATCCTCAATGAGTAAGTTATATTCATTTCATCTCAAGACAAGCACATTCATCATGATTTCCTCTTTGTTCCTTCAGTAGCGCCAACAGTTCCAGTTCGTAAAATCGCAACAGCTTCAAAAAGAAAGCAAAAGATTCCTGAGCCTGTCATGGCTGTTGAAGAAGAGGAAGAAGACGATGATGAGGAAGAGGAGGAGGAAGAAGATGAACAAGATGAGTCGATTACGAGATGTGTCTGTGGTGAATCACGTAAGCTGAATATCTATGACATCCATGCATCTACAAAACTAAAGGCTCGTATACAGATAGTCTAGGCTTGATGGTGTGCTGCGATCAATGTGAAGTATGGCAACATTGCGAGTGTATGGGGCTAGAAAAAGACGAAATCCCAGATGAATACTTTTGCGAACTATGTAGGCCCTCTGACCATATTGAAGTCAAGAGCTATGACAAGTATGTAATGCCTAGTCCATTTCGTAGAATTATCATACTCACTCCATATCATAGGACGCGTAGATATTACAAGCCCTGTTTGCCCGTATCTGCCGAAATCGAAGCTGCATCAGATAAGCGAACAGTCAAAAGAAGAACCACATTCAACAGTCGAGAAGCATCTATCTCCTTGGAGGAAGTTTTGGCTTTTAGAAATGCTATTGAACAATCTAAAAATTACGATGCATCTGGTATGGAGTTTACAGCAAGCCAAGTTCAGGTTCAACATTACGATGCTATGCATACCTTGGATGAAAATATTACTATTGTACAAAACTATGGTAATGCTTCTTACTGTGTCTTGTAGTCAAATGATCTGTTTTATTCACTCTCTTGTTGTAGATACACAGCAAGAGCACCAAGCAAAGCGACCCAAACGAGCATCGCCCAAGAAATCGACTACAGCAGAAGAACAAGTAAAACCGAACAAGAGAGAGAAGAAAACTCAACGTAGATATACCCCAAGATCCGCCACTAGCAACAGCCATTTTACAGCATCACCAAACACAGCTACAACCTCAGCGGTGCGTCGTCATACTAATAAGGACTCCCGTTCTCGAACAAGCACTCCACAGCCTGAACTACAAACACCCACATCGGCAACAAGCAATAACCAAATATTCGAGCACTTCTCTCCATTTGCTCGTGAATCCACGCCACCTGCCAAGGTCCGACTACCATCACAAAGAGCCACCATTGCTGAAATGAACAAGCGAGCAAGCCAGATCCTTGAATACATTTGTTCAATGCAAGTCGAACTAGCTACCAAGCGCAATCGTCATGATGGTCATTCCGACTCTGAAGAGGATGATGAAGGAGAAGTTTGTAAAAGACGTCAATTAGTATCTGCAAAGATAAATCAAGTCATGACAAGCAATGCATTTGTTGGTGCAGGCGCCGATGATAATACACACAATGAGGATAGCGGTTCTTCACCCAAGAAGAACCGTAGACCCACGCCCATTCTCATACCTGGTAAATTAGATCACTCAAGCCCTTCCTCTTCTCTCAGCAGTGCAAGTACTATCCCATTAGACGATGTTGCTTACCAGCATGAAAAGAGTGTCGCACAAGAAGCGCTGGAAAAAAGCAGTAGCTGTGCAAAAGAGCAATCATCTATGGAGATTATGGACAATTTGACTAGAAAAGTCATTACCTTTCAACGGCGATTCGGTTCTCTGGGTGGTTTCAATATGAATAACATGGACGAAGACGATGGTCCAGTGACCAGAAGTAGTCATCATAGCAGATGGTGAACCCTCCCCCTTTTGTCAACTTACATATATCCCTTTTCTCTTTTATTGTATTTCCCAAAATCGTGTATATATTTCTCTCTTCCTGGAGCATCATACGCTCTTGACACCAGCCAAACCACAAAATAAAAAATCAACATTTACATAAATCAATGATCTTTAATATGTACAGATGTATGTCAAATAAATTACAGCGAGATCAAAACAATTTCAACGTAATGTCCAGAGGTCCATCCGGTTTATCCGATTTACCAAAATCGCTCAATTTGCAAACAATCTCCTTGGGTCCAGAGGAAGAGGAATCACTGATATCAGCTGCTGGATTTGACGAGGCAAATGAGTTACTTTCTTCGTTTCTGCCCTTGTTGAGCTCGCTGAAACTAAGTACAACTTCCTGTGGCCCTTGTTGTTGCTGTTGTTGTTGCTGTTGTTGTTGCTGAGCACTGTTTAATGGTCTTCCTGCTGTGATATCGCTCAGACGCAGCACAATGTCTTGCTGTGGGTTTGCTTGACTGAAACCACTGAGGCCGACTGTTACTTGTCTGTCCGATTTGTCGTCTTGGATGGAGATTTTGGGGCTGTCTTGTGCTTGGATGTCATTCCAACTGACATGCACTTCATTACCATTAGCTTCTTTAAAGTCATTCAACTTGAATGAAAGGCTATGAGGCTTCTTTTGAGAGGGTTTAGGATGAATCAATTCGGCACCATTATATCTATCATGACTCCACTTTGAAGCAGCAGATCCTTTGTCTGTTCTCTTGAAAGTAGACTCTCGTGGGGCAGCAGCAGTAGGCTCTTTTTCTGTGGGTTTGGAAGCAGGCTCTGGTGAAGCAGCAATAGTCTCTGCAAACGATTTCCAACCACCTGCGTTATCATCTATTGTGGTGGGCAGCTTGTTTCTCCAGGTATCTTTGAATGAGGATTTGCTGGTGACAGATGAACCTTCTTGGAAACTGTTAGTGCCCCAACCTTGTTGTTGTTGTTGTTCTGGAGTATTCAATTTAGCTGTAGTTGAGGGCTCAGACCAAGAAGGCTGTTCTACAGCTCCCCAAGATGTTGCTTGAGCGTCAGTGTTCCATGAGGGTTCTGCAGACGTGACATTCCAAGAAGGCTCTGCTTTGACAGCTTCAGATTCTTGAGCATTTGCATTCCATGATGGCTTAGGCTGTACAGGAGCAGAATCTTGAGCGGCAGAATTCCATGTTGGAGTATCATTCACAGGTTCTGAAAACTTTTCCTCCAATGGTTCAGGTTCTTCAGGCAACTTGGCATTGTTCCAGGCCGAAATAGCAGCCTCCTCGTCTTCCTTTGAGATAACCACAATGTCAGGCTTAGGTTTGGCAATCGCCTCAGGCGTTTTGTAATCATCCAATGCCGCCCATGTGTATATTGGCTTAGGTTCAGACGCTGGCTCTTGGCTCTGAGCTTTTGGTTGTTTGTCATCAGGTTGGTTCCAAGACGTTTCAGTGGGTAGATTCCAAGATGACTCTGTAGATTGATTCCACGATGGCTTCTTCTCAGTGGTTTGACTCCAAGATGGCTTCACTTGTTCGACGTTTGGACTCCATGAGGGTTGCTCTTGAGTCGCTTGATTCCAGGATGGCTTTTCATCTTCTATTGTAGTAGCAACGGCTTTTTCGTCTGGTTCCTCAGGGAAATTGGCAGAGTTCCAAGCAGCAACGGCAGCCTCCTCTTTCTCCTTGTCAACCTTTATGATATGAGATTTAGGTGCTATTATTTCAGGCTCCTTGTAGTCATCCAGTGCTCCCCATGTGTACGTTGGTTTGGGTTCAGGTACAAGTTCTTGTTGCTGTTGAGTTTCCACAGAGTCACTCGGTTGTTCCTTATCAGCTTGACCCCACGATGGCACAGCAGATTGGCTCCACGAGGGCTGCTCTTCTCCAGGCTGACCCCAGGATGATTTCTCCTGCTCGACACTTTGATCCCAAGAAGGCTGCTCCTCAGTAGCTTGACTGGTAGATAACTTCTTTTCTTGTGTCGTACCAGCAGCGACCTCTTCTTCTGGTTCTTCAGGTAATTTGACAGAATTCCAGGCAGCAATAGCAGCCTCCTCTTGTTCCTTGCCAATCTTAACACTATCATCTGATTTGGGTATCACAGTCTCAGGCTCCTTGTAATCATTCAATGCTCCCCAAGTATAAGTAGGTTTCTCTTCTTTTGGTGATTCTGTTGGTGAAGTGGCGGCTGTTGTCTCTGATGCAGCTACTGCTACTGTTGTTGTTGTATCTACGGGGCCAGTATCCCCAGCTGATCGAGATTGCTCGGATCTTGCTTCTTCTGGTAGTGAGTTTTTAGCGTCGGCTGCAACTCCTGGATCAGGTTTAGCTGATAAATCACCTGTAATGTCGTTTTCAGCAGCTTGCGAGGCTGCAGATGCCTCCTGCACTTCAGTTGTACCAGCATGAGCGGCCACTTTAGGCGTAATCCAATCTGCTGGAATGGGATAATCACTATCGTCGTCTGAATTGTCATCAGGAATATCATCAGCCCAAGAAAACGAAGACACTGGTTTCAATGAAGGTGAGGATGACACTGTAGGTTTGACAGGTTCGACAACTTTTGCTGGTGAAACCTCAATTTCCTTGAAGTCCTCTCTTTGTGTGATGGGCACACCTTGCTGCTCCTCCTTGGTAGTCTGATCTGCTGAAGTCTGCTCTACCTCGTTTGCTGCTTTTACCAGTTGTTTGGCAGTTTCTTCGTTCTCTAAAAAAAAAAGCAGAGAAATTAGGCTACTTTGTCAGATACAAGATCACAAGAAGAATATGCACCTTCAGCAGGAGGTTTGTATGCATTCCAGCCTTCGATAGCTTTCGTGTGCTCGGGAGCCTCGTCTTTCACCACCTCCTTGTTTGTTAGTTCATGGTATTCTTGGTAGCGCCTCTCTCTACTAAAGTTGGCCTTGTTGTTAAATCCACCATTGCGCACATCATCGTCTTCAAATGCACTGCGATTCAGTCTTCCACCACTAGGGGGATCCTCTCGCCATCTATTATTGCGACGTAAATCAGTGTTGCGACCATGGTAATCATCATTGCCTCCAAAGCGGTCATGGCGTGTATGGTGATTGCTATCGTAACGAGAGCGAGATGAAGAATCTGGCGCACTGGCCCACTTGCTGGCCATGGATCCTCCCTTGAAAGCGTTTGTTGAACTTGACGTTGCAGCAGAGGATGAGGTCGATTGCCATTTTGATTGTCCACGAGGTTCGCTCGGTGCTGAAGCCCATTTACTTGCTCTGCTGCCTGTGAGAATAGGTTTATCCTCTACCTTAGGAGGCTGCTCTTGCGGAGCTATGTCATCCTTGTTGCTGTCAGCCTGTTGATCTAATGAAGGTATTGCAGAGACTGCATGAGCGTCTTCTAGAGCAGCCTCAGACTTCCCATTGGGATCCTCCTTAGAGATTAAAGGACACTCCTCATGTTGTGAGTTCAAAAGGTCGGATTGTTCATCTTCCTCCACTATATCAGCCCAGGACTTTCCTTTTGGCTCAACGCGAAAAGGATCTGCCATGAGGAAAAATAAATAGATGGAAAGAGAAAAGAAAAGGAAACAGAGCACCGAAAAATGTATGATAATTGTGTCAGGGAGTTTCAAATGAAGTGCCAATTGCTCCTCTAGAGACAGCAAATAGTTTGAGATATTTCTCATGTTTGTATTACTTGTAAAAGGTTGATGAAACTGTCCAGCAAAAGAAGGAGAGGAGAGAGAGAGAGAGAGAGAGAGAGAGAGAGAGAGAGAGAGAAAGAAAATAGACTGGGGGCTCGCTTGCTTTATAGGCTGCCACTTGCCAACAAACTATGCTGTATGATTCAGGTAGGAAGAAGCCCGATTCTTTATTAAATGTGCTCATGTGGGAAATGTTGGAAAAAAAAAGGAGTATAAGTAATTAATGTGTATTATGTTGTAAATGAATGATAGACGTAGAATAAATAAACTAAAAACTAGATACAAAAACAAGCTCTTGAAAGCAGTGTCCTTCAACAGTTGTCTTTTCATCGCCAATGGTGATTTCTGCTGTAGATTTATCAATCCATTGATAGATGTAGGGCTTGACGATCAAGGATTGAACCAACTTGCGAATAACGTAAGGAATCTCGGCCAGCACATCAATCTTCTCAATCAAGCCTCTAGGCTCTGTTGTCATGGTGATGACAACATCCTTGGGCTCTTGGCCTTCTTCCTTGATTGTCTTTCCCTTCCAGGTCAATTTGATGGTTTGTGGAATATCGTATTGGGTATCCTCGTCCTTCTTCAGATCCAATAGTTCGACAGAATTGTCAATGGACACACAGACCAGCTTGTCGTTCAAGACCAAAGAACCTTGATTGATGTTGACTGAGCCGTATTGCTTGGTGGTCTGGAATTGCATCATGGCGATAGAAGCCTTGTCAGATTGGAAGTTGACAAAGTTCCAGTTGGAGGCAATCAGCTGAGGCTGCATGCCTTGAATAGCATGAATAAAGATACCATCGCCCTCGGTCTCAAAGATCTTTTGATTGACGATGAAAGTACCCTTCACAGCACAACGAGGCCAGAATTTGTGCGACACAAAACCAGCAGCAGAGGATTTGTCACCGCCCAGGTAAGTTTTTCCTTCACCCACCTTGAAACCACGATCAACACGTTCAAAGTCCAAGGAAACAACCAATTCGGGATGTGTAATGTTCAACTTGTAAAGCTTTTGTGCAGCATCCAGCTGAATGTTGAAGAAATCAGTCTTCACAGAGCGCTTGTCGGCCGAGAGCTCAAACTTGGACATGGTAATGTTCTTGAAAACACTCGTGCTGCTCTCGGGATCATAGAATCGACATGTCATTGTAATGGTGGGGTTCCAGAGACTAAAAACATTTGAAATCCAGTAAATTAAAAATTTGTGCCTCTAGTCCCTCTATAATCTCTCCCCCTGACTTACCCAATGTTGGAGTGAATCAATTGAACAAATGCGAAACCACCGCTGCGGGTGGTGAGGTAAAAGACCTGATTCTCGGTGGATGAACCAGAGGCCAACGTCCAGTCAAGATCGTGCTCATCAAGGGCAGTGTAAGCTTGGCCATCCGTGATGGTATCAGCTACAGTCTTGATGCTATCGACGGTGGTTCCGACGCCAGTGATATTGGAAACAGTGCTTGAGAGTTGAGAAACTAGATGCAGACATGCGTAAATTTTCTGCCCTCGAAATGTCTCCTTTCTTCAGTTTTATGATACTTACACCAAGATGACATTTTGAGTAGTTGAGTATGGAAAGAAGAAGAGAGGAAAGAAATACGAGATTTATATTTTGTTTTTGTTTGTGTTGGTAGCAGTTGTTCTCTCTATATCGTGACGTGATGATCGTATTGATTGGTTTAAACTTTTAAATTTCTTGTGCTCATCTATTTAAAGTCATTTGATGTCGAGAGGTGTCTTCCAAGAGTTTCATCTACATTGAAAAGAGAGATGGCTCTGATGACACAGTGACGTATCCGTGCGTATACAGTAAAATCTTCATCCAGAGTAGCTCATTGTAGATCTGATAAAGGAGATGTTGACATTGACTATAGCAAAGTATTTAAAACATCGCATGATGTTGCATTGGACAAGTAAACCATAGCTATTTCGAGACCTGTATTTGTAGGTAACACTTGCAATGTTGTGTTAAACTCTCACATGCCACAAGCTTTTTACTGCTTTGTACAAATTAAAGCTGCTGAATTTGCTTATAGGGCAATTGCAATCTTGGTAAATCTCAATAAGGTTTGATTCAAGAATAGCTTGGAAAGGGAGATAATTTTAATTGGCAACGAGTGTTTACGCTTCGGATGGCTCTCTGTCTTCATTTCACTTCAGTGAGAACCAACTTGCGCTGCTGCAGCTCGCGCTACCGATTGCCCTTGTGTATCTTATCAAAATACTGCTACTTTCATTTTGATCCTCCACTTGCACACGAAAACCCTTCATATTATTTGTGGATCTGATTCTTATGTGATGCTCTACATCCATATACATGTAGCTACTTTATATACGGGCAAGCAGCATACTGGCATTTCCCCTCTTTAGCCCTCAGTACCCCTGATACAGCGAAATTTGAGTGTATTTGAGCTGCGTTTTCTCGCGTTCAAGGCCGTTTTAGCTCGTCAGAATAGCAACAAACAATTGCACTCATCCGGCAGTTACTTTCTGATACCTTTGCTCAACTTTTTGGGCATCAAAAAAATATGGACAAAATTCGACCAAAAAGCATGAGGTACCCCTCATGGTTTTCATCGAAAATCAAATGGTCGCATTTTTTACCTTGAAAATGAAGTCTTTGACTATGGTATGTATTGAATCAAAATGTTTCTATCGATCCAAAGCAACCTCTGAAATCATCTTTGTGGGACTTTGATATGTAAAATTTCGACATTTTGGCCAGAAACCTCTTTTCATATTTTCCAAAATTGCTCAATAATTTTATTCAGAACATTTATCTTACTTGGTACCATTGGATGCACCTTGAAAAGTACTTCAAGAGCGTATTAGGAAGCATGGGGTGATCATCGCACTTCATATAGTCGGATGTTACAAAATAGTTCAATCAAGTCGAAAAAGTATCAAAATCTGTCCAATCTGGAGTAGACCAAGAGTCTGAGTTAAAATTAATTTTGGCAGCTGGTGGGGCCTGCTGGCAAACTCAATACCCTTTTCATCATGAGGAAGACAGTACAGCGATAGATGGTTTTGAAGCGTATAGAAAATAGGTGGCAAATCAAAACACTATCGTTAACCATGCTGTTTTTCTTACATTTTATATTTATTGACACCAGTCTATCAAAGTACTTGTTAGATCAACTTCTTTCCTTTTTGAAGCTTTGAAAGTGTCTAGGGATCATAAATCTATTACGTTAAGATGAGCATCTCAACTCTTCGGTTGGTTTCCTGACCTACTTTTTTTTTTTTTGTGGAAACCAACCTGCTTTCAGGTGACTCGCGCTGCTGCAGCACTTTGGCTAATATTGCAAAGTTACTAATAGTTAAAATGTTAGATGAAGCTTGATTGTTGATCGATAGTAATTTAATATAAAGTCTCTAACCATATATGAACCAGGCCTGACAGATGCCAGGCAATCCAGTTTCCATATTAGGACTGTAAAATTAATGTCTTCATGAGTGCATCCAGTTTACTAGGCTTGTCAATGATGGGCCTTGCTTTGTTTTCGATGATTTCCCTCATTGTTTGAAAAAAAAACTATCCATCAAACGCTGCGGCGAGACAACGAATGACTTGGGCCTTTTGGCAACAGGATGGTAACTTGATGTGGACATGGCACTTGTGTATGCTACAGCTTCATATTCTCTTTTTTTTTTCCTTCAGCAACAACTCTTCTTTGGGGAGGACGTTTGGTTTGAGTGCCAATAAACGGATCTCTTTGCTTTACTTTTGTTCGCACACTAGACATTTGACACAAATAACTAGACAAGAAAAACGTGAGTATTCGTAATGGTACAGCGATTGACCAGATCAATTCATACTGTAACAAGAATAGTGCTTTATAGATTTGATTATAAATAAGAGCTGTCAACACACAAAAATACGACGAGAACTAAGAAATGGTTTTAGATAGTGTTGATGCTACGCAAACAAAGAGTGTAAAGGAACGAGAAAGGGCGGAGAGAAGAGAAATACATACTGAGAATGGCTACAACTTTTATGAAGAAGTACTTCAAGCGGGTTTACAGGTCAGGCACCAATATACCAGATCTAGAGCAAGTTTGGGGTGCCTTAAATGATGTTGTCAATAACTGTTTGACAGATGAAGAGATATACCGCCTCATATTAGACAGCAGTTATCTTTACATTATTCAAATGTTACCTATCATGTCCGGAAAAGAAGACATACAAGCTTGATCAATAAAAAGTTGTATAAAAAGTAAACAAAGCATTGTGCAATTCAAATAAGTACAAATACACCCGCTAACATTACATTGAAATATTGGAAAATCGTACATTTGCTTTACAGCTGCATTACAACTGACACCGAGTATCTACTTGTGAAGCAAGTATTTAATTTCGCCAGAGCTCTGTAATTTAAGCCATGTGTACGTTTGATATTCAGTATATATTAGACTAGCCGATGAATCTCGCTACGCATACAGGACTTGTATAAGATCTACAGCAACTTTTTTGAGAGGTTGTCATTGTAAAAACACCGCTATTAAAGGGAAAATTTCCTACAAATACAAAAAAAAGGTATTCAAGCTGAGCGATTGACCTTTCAATTCCATGATCCTCATTTCATCAGCATCACAATCATCATTGTCATCAACAGGAAGGCATTTGGACCAGCCAGCAGCAGTGCCGCCCGCTAAAATCAATCCAGATTCAGCTTGTCTTTTCTGTTCAAGATTGGACAGATTTTGTATTTTTTCGACTTCTTTAATCTATTCTATGATCTTCGACTATATAAATTGTGATGATCACCCTACGCTTCCTAATACATTCTTAAAGTACTTTTCAAGGCGCTTCCAATGGTGTTAATTACAATAGGTGTTCTGGTTGAGATTATCGAGCAATTTGGTAAACTATGAAACGAGGTTTTTAGCGAAAAAGCCGAAATTTTGCATATGAAAGCCTCATAAAAGTGATTTCAGAGGTTGCTTTGGATCGAGAGAATCATTTTGATTTGATATATACCATAGCAAAAGTCTTCATTTTCAAGATGAGAAACGCGATCGTTTGATTCTCGTAAAAAAGCATGAGGTACCCCTTATGCTTTTTGGTCAATTTTTGGCCATATTTTTTTTTTGGCCTAAAAAGTTGAGCAAAGGTATCAGGAAGTTACTACTACTAAATTACAATTGTTTAGCGTTATTCTGGCAACTCAGGAAGGTCTACATGTCGAGATATGAAGGCTTGAAAGCTGTCCAATTTGGTTATGTTTTGCTTTATAGCTTTTATTTACATGGCATGAATCACATCCTTGGTAGCTGAAATCTTTTGGAGGAAGTGCATTTCTGCGGTCTGTGCAATTCTAGTTGAATAAAAGATATATTGATTTTGGTAAAGGTAATTCATGCAAATTTTGAGGGGTCATGTTGCTGATAAGCCTATTAATAATGGAAATGAAAGCCCAAATTTGCTACTTGAATATTATGGTTTTGCATCTTTGCTTTGCTGAGGTAAATCCCCTTGTAGGTCAACGTTACCAAATGTTGGATTAGATGCCAAGTCTCCCTCCCCAGTGCCAGCTTCGCCGGTAGTTTTTTCGAGCGTAATACTGTACTCAGTGCTTTAAATTTTTACGTCTCTAACCTCTGATTGGTCATTCCGACGTTTCTTTATATAGTTTTCTGGTAAATATATTAGAGATGATGATGGTTGACAGATGTCAGACATTATGCTCGCAAGATTCAAGGCATGCGGACATACGTATGGCGAAGTTAAAATTATCTTTTGGTTGACGACCTGCATCCTGCCTTTCTATCATGAAAACAATCATTACCTTAATAATATGGTGATTATAAAATATTCTAGAGTATAATATTAGTTTATTGAGATGTATTGAACGGATGAATTTAAGAAATTTATATTTCGTTGAGGTTTGCAGACCAAATTTAATAACGAATGGTGACATTTACTTTTCGTAAATTCTAATTGCTGTTATTATTGCACACGGTAACAAAAACATCTGCTTGTACTTTATATATACAAAAGCACGCCACTTGTTCAGTGACAAGCCAATAACCTGTTATGTCATAATGGATTCCATGATCAATGTGTGTGTGTGAGAGAGAGGAAAGCATTAAACAATCTACCGGATTCTTTTTTAAGGTTTTAACCAATGGCAAACGGATGAAATGCATTGATAGACAAACCTATTCTTCTAGGCATCATAATAAAGAGAATGAAAAGGGCGTGTGCGTATGCCCGAGCCGATCAATGAGAGAGTTACATAACACATTCAAGCAAATAACATTAGGTAAACTGTTTACATGGTACACAAAGCTAATCATATGAAAGGTGGTTTGGAACGATATTCTACAGGTGCAACTCAAATACATTCAGCTGGTGTTCTTATTAGCTAAAGTAACCCCACATTTTGTCGTTGTTATCATTGTCCCCACATGTTCCATTGAGTGATACAGAGAAGTATTATAACACGCTACATTGTTATCTTGGTGAATGCTCAGTTTTTTACGATTTCAAATCATTTGTATCAGACATTTGGAGATAGTAATGCAGTCTACAGCTTTTCCAAGGGCTCAAAGGGATGAATTTGTAACAAAACTCTCGTTATCTATCTCGAAACCGGATTACAAATGCATTATCGAAAAAAGTAGGGATGAAAGGGTCTCACTGTGAAAAGATTCAAGAGCCAATGAGGCTACACCACAAATATTCAGAGTGTGTATTCTTGAGAAAAATAGGGATGAAAGGGTATTATTAAGTAAATTTTTTTATAGTATGGTGACACTAGTCGCTCAAATATAGAAGGAGCGAATCTAATTAGAAAGAAAAGAACTTAAGTAGCTTTTACCTCGGAATTAGGGGCAAAAGGGTAATGTAGCAATGTCTGACAAACCTAGTGGATTTACTCACGAAGCTGAAAAAAAGGATCAAGAGGGACCTTTGTCAGTAATCCAGGTGGCTACATTGTGTAGTGTAATATGGGAAAACTGGGAGCAATTGGTACCAACAGTACCAAATTCCCAATGTATGCTCATTTGATAATCAAGTTCCCTTGAGTCCCTACGGAGACAATCGGGCGAATTTCCAAGTGAGAGAAAGTATATTATTGTAATCGTTGTATATATAAATATATAACCGTGTATGACAGTTTTCTATATGAGTCCATGATGAGTATAGGGAAATCAACAGAGAAATAGAATCAGTGCATGAACATTTAAATTTGAACGACATTTGAGAAACGAAATTAAATTTACATTGATTGTTTTACATGCAATTTCTACACTAAAAATACAACGTTAAAAATGTCTCACATTTCATGCCCTCTGCGCTAATCATAAAAGGACCCTTCGATCCCTAAATGCAAGGCAACCGACAGTGGGAACTGGGAAAATCAAGGGAAATTTGAAAAGCGGGGTATTGAGTTTGATTGGGAAATCATTGAATGAGCAAATTCGAATTTCCCATTGAAGTTACGAAACCACCTAAAAAATACTCTATAACCTTGTTTTATTCTGATGTTTTTTGATTGAACAAGCTTTTGCCTTGCTAAAGTGGAGAATGATGCTTGCCTAGTACCTTTCGCCGGTGATCGGAAGAATAGTCGTGAGAAATACAGGCTTTTTGCTAGGCCATCTCCGTCATTCCCATCCTTCTTGGCTGAACAAGAATATCATGATTTGCACCTGGAGTTTTTTCGCAGGCATATCAAATGCTAGGTATTTATGCCCCAGTCCGCCTTTCTATCTGTCATTTCTCTGCCTCTAGTCGCCCTTTAGTATAAAATATTTCACTCTACATCGGAAAATTTATACAGAATAACATTTCCCGTTTGTAATTTGGGATCTGTACGGGAAGATGAACAATAAAAAAATTCATGTGATGGCTCATTACTATAGGTGCAGACACATGCCTCTTGGTTATAAACCAAGAAAGTGTGTTTTAGGTAATTGACGGGAAAATTGGAAACAGTTTCTTTTTTTTTTTTTTTTTTTTTGGTCGTATTTAACATATGAAAAGACCCGTTGCTCCCTTTTTTTCTTCTTCTTTCTCTTTTCTTCATTAGCCAAAACACAAAAACAATGCTCACAAGCAATAGCTTATTATTATCCTCATCCACAAATAGTTCTGCTTATCCTCCATCCCCTCCAATGTCTTCTTCATCCAAATCAATACCTAATGGTTTCTTAAATCTTGAAAAGGTGGTTTCTACATATGGAAACCAGCCTGAGTTATTAGAGCTTATTTTATCAAGCAAAGTTGAAGAGGATCGTAGAAGAGCTGAAGAAGCAAAACTTCGTAGAAAAGAAATTGACTTCATGCTTCAAAAGCAGCAACAAGAGCAACAGCAACAGAAACAGCAACCTCAACCTCAAAAGACATTGCTGCCTCCCATCTCACAACATAGAGTCAATTCGCTCTCCTCCACAACTTCCAACGGGTCCAACGATTCAGCATTACCACGGTTACAACAGTATCACCATAGCCACTCTGCTACATCTCCGTGGAAGAATTCAGAATTCAATTCTTCCGTAAAAAGAAGAAACAGCAGTAGCATTGAAATGCTTTTAAGCCCATCTCCAAATCCATCAGATTTGAAATTACCCGAGCTGTCTTTGACCCCATCTTCCTCGTCATCTACCATTAGAAACATTAATCAGCTACAGTAAGTGTATACTGAATAGTTTGTCGTAGCATGAGCCTAACATGTAACAATAGTTATCCTCCCATCTTGAGCAGTAGCAAGCGTTCCCGGTCCATCAGCTCATACGAGGAAGATCAAGAGTACTCTGCTGCTGGTTCAGCACCTCCATCTCCCCCTATCGAGCCTGTTGCTGCCTCTTCTGCTACAACTACCAAGCGTCGCAGACGTGAGATGCAAGCCATTTCCACCATCATTGAAACAAAGGAGTTCCCTTACAATGATGACTATCTGTGGAAGAACAATGGTAATACTGTGCATAAAAAGACTGGATTCAAGAGCATTTACTATAAATGTTCCAACAGTGCCAAGGTAAACTTCACTCTGTAACAACAATCATTATATACTAAATACTAAATACACATCATATAGGGATGTCCTGTTAACAAGACTGTAACATTTAAAGATAACGGCGAGTACCTTATCAAATACAGAGGCCAGCATTTGTCTGAATGCAATCGTATCAAGCGTATTACAGACCTGTGATATAGAGTACTAGATAATTGTATATAATTTCATAGTATATATATATATATATTCTATATATAATACCCATCATCTACGCCTTACCTTATTTATTACTACACAAAATTATTTCCTATGTAAATATGTTGCCAATTATTAATCTATGTATATCAATCTTCGCTTGACCGAAAGACAAATAAAAACTATTCACTGTCATCATCATTTACCCCCCCCCCCCTCCCCCCCCCTCACACGCTCACAGAGTTACCAATATTAATAGTGTCATAATATTTGCAACGAAAACATACAGACAATGGAAGGTAGTAGTACAAACGATGATGTATAGTGGATTGCTTGTAAATAAGTTGCTTTTGCTCAGGTGATTTAAATATCTGGTTTTTTCCCATTGAACATATGTTTTATCACTCTTTTCATCCCTTTTCGCTTTTTACCTTACAATGATGATTAACAGACCCAATAACGTTCTTGCACATCAACGTTACTTTCAAGCCCCATCCAAAACTCCCCTTTGGATCAGAGGTCCAAGAGACAAGTTCATCGTTACAATTGTATTTGCTGGTCTCGGTGTAGGTGTTGTTGGTTCTCTTATTGGTGCTGGAAAGTGAGTATCCCTCTTGTCGACGTGTACCTTTCAGATATTAACGAAACCTTTAGGATGATTGTTGGAAACAAAAATTAAATCAGATTGCTAAATAGCACATACAATAAAATGTCTCTTTGATTTGTCTTTAAAGCTATTTTCATCTCAAATACCTACAATTTGAACTCTTTTTACAGCATTTGTTTCAGAACGTATTAGCTACTGCTTACGAGTACAAGATAAAACCAAAGCTGATCAAATAAGGTAACATCAAGTTCACGAAACATCCTGGATATTACAATACCTAAATTCTACAATTATCAAACCATACTATAGCGATGGCCTTTTACTAAATTTAAAACGATCTGTTGATTTATATTCAAGCAATGTGCTGTAGTATCTAGCAAATAATCTTTTATTGTCATTGTGGCTGTTATTGATTGTTGATTTTTTCGCAATGAGTAGAGTTTGGCCTGATGCCACCGTGTTCATTCATCAATATCCATATAGCCCTGATAAACAACTAATGACATTTTCCAGAAGCATAGTCAAGCGCCTGTTGCCCCAGCCATGCTGCAATATTCACCAGCGATATCAACTAAACTTGATTGGCGTCAGTCTTGAGATGGGCTTGAACTTCTTGAGATACGAATACAAGCAATAGTAACCCAAAGTTTGAAAGCAGCTCGCTTTTGGTTTTGATCCATCAGGCGTTGGTGATTGAAAAAGGTTGCTGAATTGAGGAAATACGAGTGTTGCTGCTGCTACTGTCATCAAGATGTGCGTTGCCTAGAGAAGAGTCAAGAAAGGGGCACAATACTGCTGTTGCCTCAACAAACGTAGCCGCCAATCACTAGCACTTCATAAGAACCAAAGAAAATTGGCACTTTCTTGGGCACTTTGCCAATGAATAACTTTTCGCGGATAGGGAAAGTTGGCGTGAGAGTAGTCGACAGAATTCAAGTTGAGAGAGGCATCATCAATGTCTAAGTGGCAATGAAGTAAGAGATCAACGCTAGTAATGAGGACAGCAGCTCCTTTAAGCGTGTAGTCACCAAATCGAAAGCCCTATTCCAACATTCGTGTCGTTTACCTTTCATTATGACTATTGGAAGAGCCAATGATGCTAGCTGCATAATTGAAAGTTAGACAGCAACCTCAGCGATCAGAGCTCCATTTATACCCATCAGCGGAGAGGAGTTACTAGTTTAGGGGGGTAACTATTATTCTTGATCCTTTGGATTCAATGATGTTGTGGCTCTTTCAAGACACAAAAATCGTGTATTTGCAACGAAAGGTTTATTTTTCATTGGTTTTGAACAATCTTTGGTATAGGCATGTATCGTGTTTTGCTAGCAAATGAAAGAGAGTGGAATGTGATTGTGTTTGATGATGACGGATTGCGGAATTCAGTAAAGGGCCATGGCTTTTAGGACTCTTGCATATCGTGGGCATCTCCTCCTTGCGCCTTGTTTGTCTTTGCCCATCTTAAGCCACATGCATTGCATAAGCTTTAAATCCGTAAAAACAGATTAGAGTTGATACACTTTTAAGGATCACGCATAATGCCAACTTACGTTTTGGGACCTCTGGGGCCTCTTCTCCATTCAGGAGCATCGGTTCTACCGCAATCAGTACAGATACGCTCGGCGTCATCTTCATTGTTACGTCTCTGCAGTACAGTTTGATTAATCATCTAATCCGTATGATGCCATCTTTCAATATACCTTTTTACCGGACTTCAACTTGTCAACTGTCTCATTAGAAGCGCCACCTTCCTCACCAATGGTAGGAGCCACCAAGGTGTTGAACAACTCACCCTCCAGGCCCATAGAAATACCACGAGAACGCTCACCTAAATCAAAGTGAAGACCAGTGAAGAGTGATACGGATTCAGACACACCATAAGTATTGAGTACACCTTGAGTATATACATTGGCAGAAGGAGCAAAGAGTTCTTCGAAACCGTCCTCGTAGTCATCTTCATCATATTCATTATCGCCATAGCTGGGGTTATGAGAGGTATCATCACGCACACTGCTGCCAGGGGTATTGGTCAATGTCTCTTGAGGTGAAGGTTCTTGGTGAGATGGTTGCTTGGGAGCAGCTCTTCCTTGGTTGGCCTTGGCCTTGGCAATAGCTACCTTACGCTTCAAGATCTCATTCTCCATCTTGTAATCCAAAAAAGTATCCATCATGCGAGTCATTTCAGCAGGCACACTGCGAGCGGAACCAAAGAAACCTTGCTTGAAGAAATGGCCTCTGGTTTCCAAGGTTGCGTATTTGCCATCCTTTCTCAGGAAGCGATAAGAAACACGCATGATAGAGCCGTTTGTCTGAGCAGCGCGGAATTCACGAGTGAACATATCGACATCATCCACATGGATATACTCAGAGAAGCTGTGGCCCATCAATTCAGCAGGCTGATAACCGAGGAATTCACGCGAGGCAGGAGAGCAGTACAGCACATTGAGATCAGAAGACAGGACATGGATTACATCTCGAAGCTCCTCCAATACATTTTGAGACCAGTTCTTTCTACGAGTAAATTCAGCTGGACTATTGGACATGACATTTGAGTTTCTTGTAGTTAATGCTTGAGAAGCAAACTTGTTGATTTGCATAACAGACTGTCCAGATTCCATGTTTGCTGTTGTCTTTTTGGCTTTTTGAAAAAAAAAAGCGAGAGAATGAAGAGGAAAGAAAAGCGAAAAAAGGGGATGGCGAATTTCCTATTTATCTACTAGTGCCAACTATAATGTCAACTGTATATATCTGTTGATTAATTCAGCCTCCATCAGTGAGCTATCCCTTATTTCTTGGTCTCCTTACTGTATGCTCTCCTTTTGTTCCTCTGCTGAAGCGGCTGAATTCTGGAGACAGCACCTAAGCAAGCCAACTTTGATCATCTCTCCCCTTGGCCACTTGGATTGGAGTGGTGCTTTTGTCAAAGCACTTGGCCACATTTACCTTGTTTGGAAAACTACAAGACACTGTTGGCGTTCAAAGTTATTATATTTGTTTATATTCTAGATTCATCTTTTTTTTTCTACATTAGGATTCTATCCCCACGTTTGACGTAAATCCCGGAAGAGATAGTGATAGACATCCAAGGAGAGACAAATGTCTAAGGGTTTCCCCCATTTTTTTTAATACTGATTTGCTACCTTGATGCTTGAATACCTTCATACCTTTAAAGTGCTGAAAAGTAGGCATCTCAACACCTCGTTGCATCTTTGATTGACTTGTGCAACACGCATGGTGACACTTGTGTATACCAAACAATTGTCCAAGTTTTCTGATAGCTAGTTAGAAATTTTTATCATACCTGCTATGGGTAAGGTCAATACTTGCCTATGTGTACCATATCATTTTCCTTGAATCAAAGAAACGTTTACAATGCGCTTGCCATTATGTCAAGTAAAAGGCCAAGTGCATATTTTGAGTGGCTCGTGTAATTAGGCTTCCTTTGTTCTATATACTCTCGCTTTCAGGCAGCTTAGGCAATAGAACAGGCTGAGGGTCCGCACAGAGCATTACTGTTACCACAATTCCGAAACGATGTTATTACTGAGGAGACGATGATATCTACTCTGCCATCGCGAAACAAGAGAGGGTGAGCGTTGAAATGTCTACAAGACTCTAGGGATTTTGTAAGAAATACTTCATCAAGCCAAGCCGTCAACTAGCTCCAAAATTATTTAGCTGGAGGTGAGAAATCTTTGTACTTGATTGCCAACTTGATAAGATACTTGTGTTCGTCTAATGCATGCATTTAAAATCAATCACTGTAACCTCCTATTTTCACTAAATAAATATGGATACAGATTGCCTGAGAAGCGATGAATAGATGACTAATATACTGTACAGTATCACCACATCAGCTGTATAGTCTACTGGCTTGCGCAGAGGGATTCATGCAAAGCGGAAGACATGAATAGTTGAAGATTGTCAATCTGAAAGCAGAAAGGACTAAATGATGTGTGATTTCATGCAATTTGGTTGTTGCTTTTAGTGGTGTTGCTTTTTTTTTTCAATAGAATTATAAAGGGAGGGCTTCTATGTATCACACCAGGACATTTCATTCATGCTTGTGACATACACATCTTTTATGTTTTCCTAGCAGACTAAAGCAACAAAATTTGCCATCAAAGTTTATTCAACAGTAGCTTCCAATTGTACGTAAAGTGTCCTGGTATCATTTGAAAGGGTAAACTCTTTCAGTGTCTTGCATTCAATCCACACAAGATACAAATCTTTGGTACCTTGAACGGGTATGGAACCATCATGCGAGTCTAACAACAGCTTGCTATTCCCTTGTACGTAGCTGACATAGGTTTTGATTTCAGTTTCAATCACCAAGGTATAGTGCCCACTTTCAGATGTTGCGTTCAGTAGCTGTCTATGGCTCAGATCCGAGTAGGCGTCAAGTGGAGCTAGTCTTAGGCTTAAGAAGCCTATGTCAGTGGCAGGAAGAGAGATCTTCAATGTGAATGGATGTGGGTGTTTGATAAGATGACAGGTATCGATGAAGAGCGTGCCTAGTACAGGGAGCCTTTGGGATATTAGTGCGAATGACGCGCTGTGTAGAATAGAGTTGTAGAATTGTAGCTTTGATACACGATGGCTTTGAGCCTGTCTCTGCAAAGGCGGATGAAACGCATCAGATAGAGACAGATGAATATCGTTAATCTGTATGTCAGCATTTTCTTGTTGGTGGATGGCGGCATCAAAAAACCTCCAGCTTCGTTCACCTGAGTACGCAAACAAGTCGCTTCTGCCTTCCTTCAACCAGCGTCGATGCTGCTCAATGTTATCCACGCCCTTGACTTGAATCAGCCTCGGTTTACATTGGTGCAAGAACAGGCTCAAAAGGATAGGCTCAATTTCATCAGACACAACTTCAACCAGCCTGTTCATCTTGATATAATTCAAGACAATTTCGCTTCTTTCCATGGTTTTGCTTATTTGCAGTATCCAGGGCGAAATGGCAGCCATCACGCCAGAAATGAAATCCAAATCCAAGCAAAATCGTTCAATATTTTGATGCTTTGACTGTTCCAGTACATGTCGAAGCCACTCTTGTATTGCTGCTTCTGGCATAATGGGCATACGGCGAAACAACAGCGTCAGTTTGTAGCTGTCCACGGAATCGCACACATGCATGATCTGGCTCCTCGCTTCATTGGTGTCAATTGTCCTCAGATCAATCTTGTTCAGTGCCTTTAGTTTGTAAGCAAAGTATTTAAGCAAGGTCGAGGTGAATATCAGGAGAAAGCAACTGAGCTCTTGGATGCTTTCGTTGCGTGTGATGCGACTGAAATCGGGATTTCTCCAGCTCTGTCGTGTCTCCACAAGATCTCGCACATCAATGGCATTTATGGTCAGCTTTCGTGTTGTTCGAGGACAGTGATCCAGCATCGTCTCCATCACCTTGAAAGAGCAGAGTGTTCGTATGGATAAACACCTGAGAGAACTGAACTTTTGTAGTTGATTGCCAATTAGTAACGAGGCATGGTAAGTGTCATCGCTGCCGTCAAATTGTAGGCACAGTTGATGCAAATGCTGCTTGAATTTATGTGCTACCGTCAGGTACTGGTTATAGTGGATTTGGTCTTCCACGTCGTTTTCAATGATCTTTGTCAGCTTCAATGGTTCATCTGTCAGCATGAGGTAGTTCCATAGCTGTCTCTCTACATAGGTGTTGATGGCGCGTAATTCTTCAATATTAGGACAATGCTTGAATATCGGCTTGACCACATCTGCTATAGAGCACACAGCTAAGAAATTGCCAACCAGCAGCAGGCTTTTTACAGCAAATGCCACTTGCTGTGATTTACAGTGCTGAATGCACTGAGTGAAACTGGCACTGTTGGTTGGCGTCAATTGAATGTCTTTGAACAGAAGCTTTTGAGCTGGTTTATGCCAACTCTTGCACACCAATTGAAAGTTTAAAAGGTTGTGTTTGGCTTGCTTGTAGTTGAGATCTTCCAAAGCACATTGGAATATACGGATGGCTATTTCATACGGAATGTCATTTGGATTGAAGCAAGCCATAGTTGGATGTAGAAAATGTTGGAGTAAAAGGGTCAATAGACTCGGGTAAAACGCTGTAAAATTTATGTTTCCCACAACAATGTAACCTTGACCAAAAATCGTCCCGCTTAAAGTATACTAAAAGTCAATTTGTGCTTCGTCGTATATATATATATATATATATATTTATTTATGTTCCTAAAATACAACGGCTTGCTCTCACGATACTAAATATTCTTGATTATTAACCCTGAAAATGGGATGATTTCCTCCCAAGCTTGCTTGAAAGCTGGAAACCACTATGGTACAAGCCTACCATTTTTTTTCACATGTGAAAATGAAGGATTTTGCATTGATCATGCAAAAAATTGAATTTCATTCGCAGGGTATATCATATGCCAAACTTTTTGATATTGCTCAAGGGCGTATACACATTATATACTACAGCGTTTATTCCACATATATTTGTTGTACACTAGCTATTCATCTCATTGAGTTGACATCTTCAAACGTCGGCTGCCAGTTGACGTCTTCATCCAATCCACCAACAATAGTAAATTCTTCCACATGTTCGCATTTGATCCAGATCAAAAAGTTTTGCTCAGTTCCCTTGGTGATGTCCTTGTCTTTATCCACGTTGCCAATGTTTTCATTTCCCTTTCGGTAGCTCATGTATCTCTCTTTGGAAGATTCAATCTTGAGAATATATCTTCCATTGCTTGTCGTAGCTTCCAATAAGCGATCATTGTCCAAGATGATTCTCTCTGTCTGATCTCCAGTACCATAATTGAATGGCGCAATCACAACGCCGATTCTACGCAATCGTGTTGAGGGCAAAAAAATTTTTAGCGTGTAAATATCATCGTCCATCAAAATCCAGCTGGAATCAATCATCAAGGTATCCATTCTTGGTAATTTGCAAGACAACAGCGAGAGAAGCTTGTAATGGATTAGCGATTTTCTGATTTCTACTCTTGAGATGTAATCTACTGTTTCTGATTTGGACATCATGAGCTGAGTCGACGCAGGTTCATCACAGAGCACCAATTCACCAATCGACAGAACATAGCCCTTTTTACCAACCAACGCAGAGATAGCGTCATCCAGCAACTGCCAACTCTTGTCTCGACACAGCCAAGCAAAATATCTTCTAACATAAGCAACTGTGCTGAATTCAGGGCGGTGTTGGTTTTCCAGCAAGAACGCGTAATGATCTGCCATGGGCTCAATGTTGTAAATCCTGACCACTGTAGGCGAATATACGGCGAGCCAGTTGGACACATCGTTCATAAACATGGATCGTTCCAGAGGGTCGTCATCTGTGTTCTCTCGGATATAATGCAACTTGACGCTACTTGACTTTTTGGTCTTGATCAAGTCCAGATTCCAATTGTATTGCGCATATGGGTATGGGTCATCGTATGCTGGAGGTGGAGGCATATAGTCGAAATCCAATTCAAACTCTTTGTTCTTGCGGGATGTCTCTTTTTTGGCCGCATGTTTAATGATGTTGTCAATTCTGTTGCGAGCATTTTCATTGATTGTGATATTGACGTTGTAAGCGTCGATGGACATTATGAAATCCAGGTACGGAATATCGGCCTCTTGCTCCAAGTCGGTAAGAACTGATTCGAAGCACTCCAAAGCCTTAAATTTAAATTTGAAATACTCTGTGTGGCGGGGTCCGTGTCTGGCTCCTTCCGTGATGGATAATTTCTTGATGGTGGTGTTGGGCACCATGTTGTTATAATCGAGCGCGCGCCAGTTTCCTTCGCTATCCTGAGTGTGCTGCAAAATCAGTGTTTCCACAGTACCCCGTAAATTGCCCAAAATTCGTTCCATTCTCTGTCCAGTCATGAACAAGGTGATGATTACTTGCTTCAGAGATTTAAAGTGCCCGAGTTCGCGGATAAGGGTCTCCTTTGAGTCGTAGTCACCAAGTACGTATTCATCATCAATGTAGATTTCTGTCAAAGTCTCTCTGTACTTGAAGGCCACAAATGGATAGATGGGAAGGACCTGTCGATGGTGCAAATCCTCGTCGATTCTTTTTAAATGACTGAACTTTGTTGTTAAGAGCAAGTTGTTGAGTAGGCTGTATTTTTCGCTCGTACTTTCTGCCAATAGCTCCTCAATGTTGGGACACTTGTCAGCAAGAACATCAAAAACATTGTCTACTCTATAGGAGTCAAATGAGGCTTTAAACTTGATCTTCCTGACAAGGGCTCCAATGGTGCTATTAGGTTTTTCGATCGTATTTAGAGCAAGTCCATGGCGATCTTCACTCAGCACAATTTCATCGTAGAGCAACCTCTGCGCAGGACTTTTCCAGCTCTTGCATACGAGTTCGAAGTTTGCGAGGTTTTGCTTTTGTTGAGCGTAGCTGAGGTTTTGAGTTACATTCTGGAAGATGCAGAGAGCCAGCTCGTAAGGAACCTTGCTCCAACATGCCGAATGATCCATTGCAGGCTTTCGTGTTTAGATCAGTAGAGGTGTAAAAAGCAAAAAACGGCATGACTCCAGATAAAATGATGTATTAAACATGACTTGCATTTGCATGAAATGTCAACCAAGCAAGCACTTTTTGATTACGAGATGGAGGGACTTGATATTCATCCATAGCGACGCCGAAGCATGCTGTTACAATAGCAACTTACGTGTAGCTCAAGTAGGCATACTATCGTAATAGCTGTATATCCATTAGTTCCTAAATGTGCTTGATTTGCTGTTGGAGATTTGTTCCAGCCAGATGATGATCTGCGATTCAAGTTGAGGAGCTCTACATTCTTTTTACACTTCAACCAAAAAAAAAAAAAAAAAAAAAAAACTTTTTAGACATAATAAAATGAGTGCCTACGGTGCAGGAAAAGCTGTAAGTAATCAAACATGATATCATTATCGGCACTGCGGCTTACATGAGATGATAGAAAGACACAGATTTCAGACGTACATGGAACAAGGAGGAATACGCAGCCAAAGCCAAAGCAAGAGAAAACCGCGATCGTTTAGCTGAAAAGAACGATGAACGAAAGAAACTCGGTCTTCCACCATTGAAACCAAAAAGACGCTACGACGATGACGATGAATCCAAAGAAGCGCTAAAAGCGCGTGAAGAGAAGGTTGATATCGAGTCCAATGTGGGTAAAGTGCAAGTGGTTCAAGCTGCAGATTCAAGAAAGCAGCCTGGTTTTTACTGTAAGGCGTGTGATATTACCATCAAGGACAGTGTTACCTGGATTGATCATTTGAATGGTAGAAAACGTAAGTGGTTGAGATCGAAAGGCATGCTTGAATGTCCTGTTGTTTACACATTTGAACCTATAGATTTGAACAATGTGGGTGTGTCGAGCAAGGTAGAGAAGGCTGATCTGAATTCGGTCAAGGAGCGTTTGGCCATGTTAAAGCGAAAGAAAGAAAACCCGCAAAGTGAAGAATACAGTGAGTTGTATTGCGCAGACATACCAGCCATGCATACTGAGCGAATTTTATTAGATTTGGATGAAAGATTAGCGGCAGTAAAGCAACAAGAGGAAGAGGAGAGACAAAGGAAACGAGAAAAGAAAAAGCAAAAGAAGGACCATAAAAAGAAGCCTGCAGAAAAGGACGATGGGGAAGACGAAATGGCGAAGATGATGGGATTTTCTGGCTTTGGATCATCCAAAGCATAGTACATTCAATAGAGGAAATGTTGTAAATAGTGTTTAATAATAAATCACTTTGTTTGATCAAATGCATACAGCGGACGACCTTAATACAATAGTAATAATGCACTGGCAAATCTGCATAGGCGGTGATATAGTTATAGAATACTTGCCAACATACCGCATCTTAAGCATCGCATCAAACATCAGACTTCCTAGTCGTATTTTGATTTTGCTATGCGCAACGACTGCCAAAAGAGATGGTTGAGAGCATGGCACCTCATTATAAGGCTATCTGCATAGACTGTCAGTCCATACCAATTAAATGCAGCTTAAGAACTGGCTCAGTCTTATAATCACTAATATATATACTGGAAAACTACGAGAGTAGCGAGATGGATCGGCTAGTATTATACTGGAAAACTATGTTTTTGGAAAAATAGACAAGCCAATCATATCCTTTCGAAATTTAATAGTAATTGGGAGTCAGAACAAAGGTGGATAAAACCACACCGGCGAAGCCAGCAATGGGGAGGCGGTTAGGGGAAGGGGCTCAGCCTCTCCACCAAGAACATAATAATGCATCTAATTCAACACTTGATGACATTGATTTATAGGGAAGGTTTACCTTAGCGAAGCAAAGGTGTAAAGCCTATGACAACTAAGCATATAATCCAACATTAGGTAGCATTGAGATATAGGGGGGGTTTTACCGTAGCAAATCAAAAGTGCAAAGCCATGGTAATCAGGCGTCTAATCCAACACTTGGTAAACATTGATCTATATGAGGGCTTGGTTGTAGCGAAGAGAATATGCAAAACCATAGTATATAGTAAGCAGCGATTTCAAGTTTTTATTACAATTGTTAATAAGCTTACCAGCAACATAACACATCAAAATTTGCATGAATTAGCTTTGACAAAATCAATATGCCTCCTATCCGAATTAAAAATTGCACAGACTGCGCAACTACCCTTCCAGAAGACTTCAGCTACCAGAGATGTGATTCATGAAGTGTAAATGAAAGCCATAAAGCAAAAATACAGCCACATTTGACAACTTTCTAGCCTTCGTATCTTGACATGTAGACCTTTTTGAGCCACCGGAATAACGCCAAACAATTGTGCTTGAGTAGTAGTAACTTCCTGATACCTTTGCTTAACTTTCTGGGCCAAAAAAAATATGGTCAAAAATCGATCAAAAAGCATGAGGTACCCCTCATGATTTTCATCGAAAATCAAACGATTGCATTTTTCACCTTGAAAATGAAGACTTTTACTATGGTATGTATTGAATCAAAATGTTTCTCTCGATTCAAAGCAACCTCTGAAACCACTTTTATGAGGTTTTCATATGCAAAACATGACCATTTTCGCTAAAGATCTCATTTCATATTTTACCAAATTGCTCGATAATTTCAGTCAAAACACCTATTACAGTTAGTACCATTGGAAGCGCCTTGAAAAGTACTCCAAGAATGTATTAGAAAGTACGGGCTAATTATCACAGTTTATTAGTCGAATCCGGCAAAATAGGTCGAATCGTGTCAAGAAAGTTCAAAAATGAACAAATCAGAGCAATACCTCAGAGCGGAAATTGAAAATTTTGGGCTGTATTCTTATTATGAAGATGAATGATGCTTTCAAGAAGCATCAGGGAGGATTGCAAATTAGATATCACTGTAGCTTGACCTGGCTACTTTCCTTCTATCACTTTCTTTCATATTTGATAAGGTTGAATGTTAAAAAAAAAAGTAATTCCTAGTATACATTTATTCTATTTTTTTACATGCAATGACATAATGATTATCTCTATCATAGCCAGTTGTCTCAATTTCCACACCTTCCACCTGTCTAAATAAATCATCTAATTCACCCTGTTTAAACAAATGGTAATATCTACAGAAGAGCGCATAAGATTACTGCTGTATTCCAAGTCATAAAACGACAGCATATTACCTATTATACACTGCATCGCTCACATCCTCTTCCTTTTGTCCCTTCTTGGGCGTCAATTTCCAAGGTACAAACACATCTTGTTGTCCAGGCTCAAAGTTTCTCTTGCTAAATTTAGTCTGCTCCAATGCCCACACAAACACCAGCACTTTTCCTCCAGGCTTGATGATTTTGAAAATGTCCTTAATAGCTTGCAATCTTCTGTTTGGACTAGCGAAATGATGAATGACAGCAATGGAGATTGCAAAATCCTAGTATCCTCAATTGAGTACGTAGTCCAATAATGGACCTATTGGCACAACTTACAAATGAATTGTCTCTGTACGGCAAATTGAGACCATCTGCTACCATGCCTTCAAATCCGCGATCATGTACAATCTTGATGAGATTCGAGCTCCTGTTTCCATGCTTTATGCGTCAATGGATTGAAATCATGATGCCTCATGACTCCTTACCTGTCAGAGCCCAAGATCATCAATTTGGGATTGACACCAATATACTTGCCATTGCCGCATCCCACATCAGCACCGAGGCTTCCAATCTTTAAGCTGTTCAAGAAATCTTCCACAACAGGCCATGGCTTGTAGCGGGTATCACTGAAATGAGTTGCAATGACTTCATACACTTCATGGACGTTCTTTTGCTCATAATCTGTTTGATTCTCTGCGGGTGTTTCAACTGCAACAGGTTGTGGTTTGCTGGTCATGATGTGTATGGATATAGAAAAATGAGAGAGAAAAAAAAAAGTTTTTATTTTAAATCGCAGGTCAATTAAAGGAGGAGTGGAAGAAGGTAAAAAGAGCAATGGGCAGATACACACACCTAATCCAAGTTTTTGCATAGTTGATGTAAATTAGACATGTCAGGTCTATTGCTGCTTCTTGACTTGTTGCTGTTCAAATTGCTGCTTTAATCTCTCTTCGTCCGAGGGCATGATCCAAGTACCATTGGTGTCCCTGTTTTGACAAGATGCGTCAACATGTTGACATGTCTGTTATGATATTATGGCACTTACTGTTCGTATTCCTTTAATAAAGGCTTAAAGATGTATACGCCAGTACCTACACCAACGCCCACAGCAATGCCTAGTCGAATTAATCTGTTTGATATCATAATTTGGTAATTGCACGGTATTCCGAGACAAAAGATAAAATATATAGCGTAGGGGTATACAACAGTTCCTATGACTTTTGCAGTCACTGACAAGCAAGCAAACGACATTTAAGACATAAAATTCATGCAAAACAAAGTTTCGGATCAAACAATGGAGGCGTGCACTTGAAGATCTTGATCAAGCATCGATCTCTACATTTCTTTCCTGTTTGTTTCCTCAACAATGTCAAGTAACAAAGATAGCCCGCTTCATTCAGACCAAGAGTTGGCCAACATCCGTCAAGGGGATGACTCCAATCCACACTTGAACACTGCTACATTTGGCAGCAATGTTACTGATTTCTCAGAACCCAACCATATGGACAGTCATAACCAAGGAGATCATGATGCCAGTGGACGGTTCAACCCAAGTGGCGGCTTTCCTCCCACTCATGGACAGCATTTTGCTCGTCAACTGGCTCCCGTTTTAGGCGGCAAACATGTGGATCAAAATGAAGCAGACAAAGACCCCATTGTTGATCCTTCTGTGTCAACAACAGCACCCGCATTGGGAGAAAAAAGGCAGGATGAACCAGATCAGGATAGAATTGGCTTGGACCCTAGTCAAGGCAAGTTGAAGCTAGAATAGCTAGTACAGCAGATGTTAATAAGAAATATAATAAAGATCAAAAGAAACATGCCAGTTTCAAATTGAACTATCCACAGCCATTGACGCTTTGTGAGCCAGATGTCTTGTCGGTGGGCCTGGAGAGAATGTGCTTCAAGTATTTGCTAATGTCTGCTTTTGCTTGTTTTATCATTGGCCATTACAGGTTTAGCTTGACTACGTTTTGCTTTGCCTGTGCAACAGGTATAATCATTGTGACAAATGTATGCACTCTATCACACGCTAAACAATGGGATAACAGGAGTTGCAGCCTTTTATATGCTGTCTAGCACCGTATTGGAAGGTTTTGAATGGCAAATTGAAAAGATTGATGGCGCAAAGAAGGTAAGTTCTATTACTGGAATTCATCAGGTCCACTTGACTCAACCCAAACAAGCTGATTGATCTGGGCAATCATGAAAACAACGGTGAAACCATGGAGTGGTTCAATGGCATTGCTGAAAAGGTCTGGCGTTCTGTTGATCCTAGAATTTTCATGGTTGTAGAAGACATCTTGGAAGATACTTTAGCCAGAGTGGCACCCAAAGTGATCAAAGCGGCTCGTGTGGCTGACTTCGACTTGGGCACAGCAGCACCTCGCATTGAAAAGCTTCAGATCTTTCCTCCTTCTCCCCATCAACCACCCGAAAGCATCTTTGGTGAATGTGAATTCAGCCTTCGAGCAGATAGCTCTGCTACTCCTTCTCCAGGCTCCACGGCACGCCATGTCACAGCGCCAGGTGCCTCAATCCGCTTCAAAACCGGTATCAATGCTGCTTTGGATGTGCGTGGTGAATTGACCAAAATTACAGGCAAGATGCGGTTCCACCTTGTGACCTCACCACAAATTCCATTTGTATCTACAGTGACCATTTCATTCACAAGTGCACCTACTATCGAAACGGCTGTAATGCCCATCAGCAAGAGATTGAATGTAATGAGACTTCCCATGTTGAAAACTCTGGTTAATGAAGGTGTCAAGTTGGGATTCAAGCAGCTGGTGGATCCAGAAAGTCTCACTATTGATGTTGCAAAGATCATGGCCACACAATCTGATACATTTGCTATTGGACTTATTCAAGCCGAAATCAGACAAGTTAAGCGATTAAAGGCCAAATCCAAAGGTGAGTGCGGCAAGTCTATTGCTTAACAAGAGTACGCGATCTAACAAACAATGGCTTACAAGACCCCGAGAATCTCTTTGTTACCTTGGCATCAAGTAGCGCAGCGATGAAGAACAACATCAAGAGCACCCGTGTATTGTCAAACAAGAAGGATCCCATCTGGAATGAATACTTACATCAGTTGGTCACCTCAGGTAAGAGATTAGCGACTGATACACACATACACCACTCTCACTGTCTACGCTAGATGACATTAAGAACGATGTCTATTTCAACATTAAAGTCATGAAAGCAGACAAAGTCAAGAACGATCAATATTGGGGCTCTATTTCAGCTTCTGTCAAGGATATTACATTGGGCCAGTTGGATAAAAATGAAAACGTCTCTTCCTGGTGCACATCTGAGCGCGTCATGTACGATGGTTGGGTTCCTATTGACGGCAAATCTAAGCAAGCTTCTGAAGCCTTGTTGAATCTCAAGCTGACATTTCACCCCAAGTATGTGATCCCTGAAGAGAAGCGCTCCAAAACCGAGCAAGTTAAAAGAGAAAAATTGAAGCAACAGCAAGAAAAGAAGGAAAAGAAGCGTCTGGCCGAACAAGAACGCAAATCCAGTAAAAAGGTGCGATTTAGTATGGTATTTGACACACCCGCAGACCAACTGGGACAAGCAATGGGGGAGATTGCGGAAAAGACCAAAGAAAACACGGTATCGAGTAAAGCTCACCATGCTCAGGATGAGCAGTATGATTTGCAAGGAGGTCAAGTTGCGCTGAAGTCTGATAATGACTCGGATCTGAGTAAAAGTGAATTGGTGAACATACGAGACGAGTATGTCAAAGACGATACAAGCGAGACGGATACGTTGGTGGATGCAGATCAAGCAGCAGCAGAAGCAGAGTTGGAGGATGAACTAAACTACTATGAGCCAGGTGAAACGGTGTTTCCCGAGCACAAGTCTGGTATTTTGTCCATCACAATCACCCAAGCCAAGGACCTGGAGATTGTCGATCCTGATCTTATGACATTCAAGAAGCGTAGACATCCTTATAGCGCTGACAAATCAGTCAATCCCTATGCGCTTGTTTATGTCAATGACAGAAAAGTGTTTCAAACAAGACCCAAGATGAAGACGAGCTGTCCTGTAAAGTGTACTCAATAGTATTTAATGAAATATGCCTACTAATTCGTATCTATGTAGTATTGGAATGCGGATACCGAGTGCTTTCTCAAAAACTATGATACGTCGTTTATCCGTATCAGCGTCAAGACAAACATCGATCTAGAACATGATCCTGTCATTGGCACCAATGTACTCAAGATCAGTGATTTGTTTGATGGTCCTGTCAGAAAGGTATCTGAGTGTCATTTCCTTCGGTGGCCAAAATCATAATACTCTTTGTGTAGGTCAAAGAAGCAGAGCGTTGGATTACACTCAAACATGGTATTGGCTATGGCAGAGTATTACTCAATCTCACCTACAAGCCCATCAAGCTGACCTTGCCCAGAGAGCTGTCTGGTTCAGGTAGCCCTTAGCAATGCAAATGTGTTCCACCAGAAAGATTGACACGTCCATATAGATGTCGGCACCTTGGTCATTGAAAGCATCCAGCTAACCAACCTCAAGAACGCCATGGACAACAAAAATCTCAAGCACACCAGAGCCACTTTATCACTCAATGTGGAACCCAAGGTCCAGAAACACTTGCAATCCAGCGCATTGACACAAGAGAAATCTGGCAGTACGTGGGACTGGTCTGCAAATAGCAGCTACTTTCCGCTCCTTATGCGCTATAAAACAGCTGTTTTCATTCAGCTCTTTCAAGGCATGGGTGCTCATAAAGCAACAGCCCGTTTATGGATGAAGGAAATTGTGGACTATGAGTGGCAAGAGTTGACGCTTGGATTGCATGACTACACGCCAGAGACCGGTGATGGCAATCGCGACGAACTCTCCTGGGGATCGGATGGGCCCAATGGCCAAATTGTATTGCGACTCAAGTTTGTGCCTGGCTTTTCACCTGTGCATGCACAGCTGCCTAGCTTCAAGCTAGATATGCTGGGTGCTGATCCGTTCCAAAAGGATGATGCTTGGGAGAAGGCTCATCTGTTGATTCAGAAGGAGGGCTCTGAAAACTATGCTATTAGTGTTCCTGTTACCTGTGGTATCGACAAGGACAAAAGAGAACAGGTGATGGAGCAAATGGACAAGAGCCAACGAGCCAACAACAAGAGAAGAGCAAGTACATTGATCGATATTAGTAAGAACAAGAAACGCAATGCCAGACAAATGTCCTTGGCCACATTGACTGAGAAGCAGCGAAATGATCTGGTGCAGCTCCTGCAACAACAAGACGAGAACGGCCATGTCCACAGTGGACGCAGTGTGCCCAAATTCGATGTCTTTAAATCAGAATCTTACAGTCAGCCTGCTGCTATGGCGTCGACATCCACTCCTGGAGAAATAATGCAGACAGCTGCTCATCAAAGTGGTCAACAGCCACAACAACGTAAATTGAGCGACACACCTACCACTAGCTTTGACGTGTTCAGGAGTCAACGGCAAGACAGAAGATCAAGTAACAGCACTCACTCGGTGCCTGCAAACTACGCCAATCGCAATAGCGCAGCATCAACATCCGGATACGACTTTTACAACACGAATAGAAGAATCTCTGAAGCCAGTACATCTTCATCCGTATCTGCTGCTACTCCTAGTACCCCTCCTGAAGCAGCAGGTGATCCCAACACCAAATCACACCAACTCATGGAGATTGAAACTGCCACCTACTTGAATGCCATGAGAGATGGTCTCAAAAACTCAAACATCCCCAATTACCAGCTCTTGAGACAGTTGTCTAGAGGCAAAGATTACTTTACAGAGCAATTCAAGGCGTTGCGTGAAGGACCTAATTCTGAATTGAGAGCCAATAAGGCTGTAATGAAGGAAGTTTAAGCTATTGGAGTATAGTTGCACAATGTGTATATGCTTTAATAAAGGGAATCTGTGTTGCTCCATTATACGCCGACCAGAGAGAAACATTTACAATGAGCTTCTAGTCTCTGGCTGTGTTGGAATACAGCAGTAGGAAATTTACACTATGCACCACACACTATATAGTGCTACTGTACTCGAATACATACAAAAAGTTGCCGAACCTGACGCATTTTAATTTTGTATCTTTTTTCTCTTGTTTTGCTTTCAAACCCTATGCCCCCATCCAACAGTAAACGAGATGGCGAACTACCTGCTGTACTATGCTTTGTCACAGGCATCGCTGCTGTCCTGATGGGCTATTCAGTTTATTCACATCTCAAGACACTCCATGATCGCACAACAAGTCCACCAAAGACATCTACCACTAAGCCTGGAAGCAAACTTGAGGATTCCATTCGATTGAAATCACTAGCTTATTTGACGCAATCGCATAATGTGAACATCCAAAGCAGGTGAGTGAGCAATTGTGTTTGATAGTAGTAAAGCTGACACTATTTCCTAGTTCCATCAAAATTATATTGGAAAGAGCCATGTCAGGTAAAATAGCAATGACTATTTCTTTCAGCATGACACTGATTCCAACTTGTAGCTACTTATTTACCAAAGATCATTGCAGCATGCGATAAAGACCAGCCTATTCAAATCAAATCAAAAGCATTGCCTTCATTACAACTGTTGACTCGAAAAGGTACACACAGCACCATTTACACTGGCATTTGAGAAGATCTAAACATGACAGCTAGAAAACAACAAGGCGGCGTTATTGGAAGCAGGTGCATTGGGTGTGTTAGTAGACGCATTGAAATGCACAGATCCTGCCATGAAGGAAGTGACACAACGATACGTAGCAGTAGCCATCTGTGATTTGATTCAAGGCAGTGGTATGCTTTATACCCAAACACTCAACCACACACACACACACACACACATCTCACATATTCTATGACTAGACATCAACAAATACTGTATATTGGAATTAGGCGTCTTGGAACCCATCAAACGCATCTTGACCTCGGATGACATTCGCAACAATGAATTGAAATATTGGACATTGATGATTTTGTATCAAATCTCGCTCAGTGGTAACATCCAACACATTAGCCAATAAGAGGTGCACTCACTCAGTTTGACATTAGATCCTCTGCCCAAGGTGCTCATCGAAAATGGATTTGTCAGTTTACTAGCACGCATGGCTCGCATGACCTACGGCAACACCAACATGCCCAAATTCTGTATGCAGAGTCTCGTTCGCATCGCTGCCAATGTCGATGTATCTGAAGCCAAGCGAGTCTTAAAAGAACTGTTGGACTACAACATTGTGGATTTGATATCCAATTGCTTGCGAGGAGATGATGTGGAATTGATTTACTGGGCAGCTGGATTAATGCATGAATTTGTGCTCAAGGATGTGGCAGCAGACAAGTTTAGGGACATCAAAGGCATTCATGCTATATTAGCCAGTCTGTTGTCAGCAGAGGAAATGTACATTTCTCGCGTCATTTTACGCACCATCAAATTCATGGCGTTTGGACAGGAAAAGTTTAGAAGAGAAATGGTGCGCTCGGGCATGGTCAAGAAGATTATGCACTGTTTATCATTGAATGATGAGGATGTGCGCTATTGGGCTATTTTGTGTATGCATGTGGTGGCAGGACAAGTGGAGGCGCATGAGGATATCATATCAGCGCCAGAGTTTGAGATTTTATTGGAGTTGGCTCTGTCGCCCAAGATCAAGGTGGCCATCTTCGTGTCGGATATACTCTCGTTGATTTGTTGTATCTGTAAGTGCATGAAAGAGTGAAGAGTAAGAGGTATTGATTTATATTTGGCTTTGATAGCAAGCAACAGTACGCATATGGAGCCCAACTTATCTTTGATTGTAAAGACATTGAACGCATTGTTGGTGGAAGGTGAATTGGATGCGCAATACAATGCTGCAGGTGCTATTTTTAATGTGATGACCATGGGCCGTAAGTAGTTGGACAAGAATGAATTAAAGCATGTGCTGACGCTCACCATTCTGTATAGACTCATTTTCAAGCAAAGTGCGTGATACTTGTTTCGACACATTGTTAACTCTGAGCAGAACAGCATCCCATGAAAGAATCCAATTGACATGCACAAAGGGATCGCTGATGGTGGCCATCAAAAACCGCTTTCTCATGTCCAAAGTTAACAACCAAGTAACGGAGCCTCTGATGGAAAAGGTCAACTCAATATCTCAGTTGAGCCTGCCTGTCATGATCACACAAGCCTTATTGCGAGCGGCGAAACAAGCTAGCGGAGGAGGCGCATCTCCTTCCAGCGCAGCCACTGCAGCCACTACCAAGCCGGGATTCAGCATACATGATGCCATGCAACGCGATGATGATGAAGACGAGCAGCAAGAGATAGAGCAAGTGATTGAAGAAGAGGAGGACGAATACCCACGCACACCCGACTATGTGGATGTCAGTGAACAGGGCACCATCTCCAACGCATCGCGTATAAATCGAGTTTTGTTGGACAAGAAAAAGAACAAACTATCCAATAAATCCACCTCCATCATGACCAGTGCCGATATATTGTATTTGTTTGACACCAACATCCCATCCAGTCAACGTGAAATTCTGCTCATGAAGTTTGAATTGCCTCTGGATACCAAAAACCACCTGATAGGCGCACTGGCTGCTCTCAACATCTTGCTGGAAAACGATCAAGTCATTCGCAACATGGTGTTCCAAGACAGGTACCCCAATGCAGCAATGGTTGACCAGATGATGATGGACATGGAAGATGAGGCTTTTTCACCACCTCATAAAGTTAAGACAGCTGCTGCCAGTACCAAGACTACCTTGCCAGAACATATCCGTCATTTAGTCGAGAATTTAGTGCAGTTATCGGCCTACCCCGCCCTGGAAGAATGGGCCACGATGCATCACCGCAATTACTCCTTAAACAGAATCACCGAAACCAGAGCGAGTAGCATATACAATGATGTGATTGAATGGATGTGCTCCTGTGCCGAGATGCCACTTGCCACGTATTATCAGCATGACACTTATGATCACGATGTTGATAGTAGTAGCAGCAACAGCAGCAGCAGCAGCCTTGACGACAGCCAGAGTTCGGGTGAAGAGCAAATTGGATTTGTCACTATTCATAAGCAAAAACCTCGCAAACAACGACATTCGGTAATGAGCCAGCAGTTTCGTTATAGACACCGCCGCCATCGTCGTCACCATGGCAACCAATACAGACCACTCTATCAAAGCGACAACGATAGCAGTTGTAGCAGCCGTAGTGCCATGACGGATGATGGCGATTCAGAGGAGGAGGGCATTGACCGTCATATGCTCTCTGCTGGCACCAATGCCACTGCTGCCCATGTTTATCCCCAAAGAAGAAGGATTGAATCTGCTGCTGAGCGTATGGGGGAAGCGAGAAGAAAGGGTGAGCATTTTGATCTGGACGACGTTCTGTCAATCTCTTATGCATCTGAATACTATTTAGGTTTCTCAAATCGAGCGCTTGTCTTGTTGAATTCACTTGCTAGGCATGGTAAGCAGTATAGAGTCCAAGGGCTTCAAGTTGATACAAAGTCTAACATCCAAGCTAGCGTCTATCAAACAGTATCTTGTACAAGAGGCTCACTTCATCCCCATCCTGATCTATCTATATGAAGGATACAGTGGGCTGACTGATCGTGTCATGGCGTGCTTAGGTGGATTGTTCTCGTCATGCAACAGTGATAGCAACATTGACATACCAGAGTCAGCGTTCCGTCTTTTGGTCGTTTTGCTGTGGCGTGATATTCGATCCCCACTAGTGCGAAAGCAATCTTGGTTGTTTTATAGTCGTCTTGTCTTGTCTTACTGTAGTCAGTCTATTGCTCAACAACTGTCGTCCCATGCAAGCGCTGCTGACTTTGTCGAACTTGACCTTTCCTCCAAATCAAAGTACTGTCTTGTCAATCACCTCCAAGTGCGCAACGATTCATGGACATTTGAAACAGTCAAGGCAACACACTACGTGCCTGCTGTACTGGATAACACGGAGGGTGCCACTCACAAATACGCATTTGAAGTGGTGTTGGAATCCAGTGGACTCATGCAAGTGGGATGGATTACGGATCATTTCGAGTTTGATGCTGAAGGTGGCCAAGGCGTGGGCGATGACACCTATTCATATGGTTACGATGGCAATCGATGCAAAAAATGGCACGGACCCTATACCAATATGAAAACTCTGTATGGTTTGAAATGGGCTGAAGGTGATGTAATTACTTGCGCTATCGATATGGATGATGCAGAAATCAAGTACTACAAGAATGGCAAAGATATGGGTGTGGCATTTTATGGGATTCTAGTGTCTCGTAATTGGTACCCGGTAAGTAAGAATGGACCATCATACAGTAAGTTAGGACTCATGATAAAGCGTCGTAGGCCATGTCCCTTTCCACTGGGCAGCAATGCAAGTTTCAATTCGGTGGTGCTATTGATCCCTTGAGGTATTTGCCTAAAGGCTATACATCCCTGGCATCGTTGGCACAAAAGACACCAGCAAACATCGAATTACCGCCTCCACAAGTATCAAAAGCCAAATCACCAGCACCAGTGATTAGTCCAACTACGGTTGAGGAACCCGATATCATGGATTTGTCTCAAGCACTTGCACAAATGTCTGTTGACTCAAGAGGCAATTCACCTGTCTCTCCACAACACCATGACAAATTCAATGCAGCTGCTACCAACGCTGGAAACACAGAACCTGAATTAAAGCCCATTGATTCAACAACATCTGCTGTCAGAGAGGTAACATTACCTACAGCAAATGCAACTAGATCACATACTCGGCATTACCAAGCTTCACTCCTCGTCGAGCTCATGGATGCCTACCACAAACCGTTGCCATCGCTATATTTTGAAGTGATAGTTGGATTTGCTAAAAAAGAACCTATACCCACTGAAAGGTAACAAGACGCAAGATTTCCATACATTTTAGATACTAATCGCTGTCTCTATTCAGCATCATTACATTTGGATTACAGAGTCTACATCCTGAGAGCAGCTTTTATTTTGAATATGATCGTTGCAGTACATCGTGCAGTTTGATCTTTGGTAGACATCTGCGTTCCAAGTCGTTTGAGCTGTGCATCCAAGACGCTGATATTGTTGGTATTGTGTACATCGATGAGAGCAACGAAGTTGGATTAACCATCAATGGTAACATCAAGGCGTTTGTCTACCTGGACGATCAATCCAAACCCTATCTTCCCTTTGTTACTGGATGTATGAAGAGTGATATCAACTACGGTGAGCATTCGTTTGCTTGGAAATACGCAGAGACTTCAGCATGCAGACATCGTTTTGCCAAATATTTTGATAAGCTGTTGGGAATTTAGTAACCTCCTCCCTTTGTGTATAAATAACAAGCCTTTTCTCTTTTCTTGCTAAGCGTTAGCTTTTGTACATATTTTAGAAAAATAAAATTCACACTACAATTATAAGTGGCAATGTCAAATGGTAGTAGATAACAATTCAAATTCTGTGATATGGACGGCTAGACCCATCTCAGAAGCGTGGCACTCTGATTCGAGTTCTTGGAATCATTGTAAAGAGGTGCAACGATCTCATGCCGAATTACAATGAGCACAATAATGCAAAATCAACCCAACATTAGCTCTGTCGTCTCTCCCTTGGTTACTACTGTCCCGTTCCTCTTACTGCAAGCTGCCCATTGTGAACCTTACAAAACTCTCAATGATTGTTCCAATAACGATCTCACTTGAGTTAATCTATATCCTCTTTCTTTGTCCTCTGCATTTCATTTTTTCCATGTCATGAGTCGCTCAACATTCTTCAATACCGAAACACGTTTCCTGTCCAAAACGATCGTTGTGCAATTACAAGACGTAATCTTGCTATCTCGGCGAAAAGCAAATGGTTATTGCTATTGACCATGAAAAATACAGCGTCCCAAAAAATTTCTCTGCAAGTTTGCCTATAAAAGAGGATCATCGTTAACATTGCTTTTTCTCTATTTCTTCCTTTTCTCTTTGAATTTCTCTTTGAATTTCGACTTTGAATTTCGGGTTTTGAAAGCAGCATGCTCCTATACCAATTTGAAGCGAGAAAAACGATAGTGTAATTGGATTTTAGATTGGATGGGTTTGCTGTTGAGAAATAGAGGATTTTCGAAATAAGCCAAACTTTGGGTAATGAGCTTCATATAAAAACCTGTTAATTACGAATGATTACGCGTAATAGATTGATGGATCAGATGTTGGAAAACGCTGTACTCAAAACCGCTTGGTGATAACTCGCTTCGTTGTAGAGTGGTAAAGGTTTAAAGCTGTGCTGCGCATTTTACGAAAAAGGTAGAACAGCTATTCCAAGCTCTATGTTAATGCTAGAACCTTTACATTAGATTAAAGTTTGTAGTGTGCTGTGGACAGGGAATATGCTCTTGTTTTCAATTTAGAATGGTTTGATGACAAGCAATAAATTCATTGATAAAAAGACGTTGGTAAGCACTGCAGTCAAAACTGCTTAATCATATGATGTTTGCATTTGTTAGTCGTAACTAATGTGGTAGTAAGATGAAAATAAATAGTTAGAAAATATAATAATCGTTTAATTGGCAATCATTCTATTTGTCACTTGAAGTAACATTACTTAGGTGAACTATTACTACCTGCTGCCAATTGATCTCGCTACGAAAGACTTCTCAAATCAGTGACAGTGTGGAATTTAAGGCTTTATAGACTAAAATTCACAGAAAAAAAGAATAAAAAAAAACAGTAAAGTCAACTTGATAAAGGTATGTTTTATTATCAAACTGACAGGTGTAAAGTAAACTGAATTCTCTCTACTGGCCAGGTAGATGATTCTTCTTATATACTATAACAATGGATAAAAGTTCTATTGATTAGATTGACAAATAAGTCAACTCAGATCAACTAATGTCGAATTATGCTAAAAGACAACTCTAGCAAGCTAATCATGATTTAGCTTTGCCTGGATGAATAATTAGACTCTCATCCAAAGTACCCTGATCTATCCTTTCTATAAGGATAATTAATATCGATCTAGTAGCATGTATCCAATAGGTACAGTCTACTTAGTCTATATTAATAGTATATATCTGAGTGTATATCGCTAAGCATACATCTTTAGCATGTATCTGGATATATGGCATGTCTATAATAGCATATCGTATGTACCGTATGTCTATAGCATATCTCACATATAGTACAAGTCTGTAGTACATAAAGTACCTGTAGCTAATAGTATCATGGATATAAGCATGTGTCTTACGGCGTGGATTATAATAAAGTGTATATCTGAAGCAACAAGCTCATATTGCATTAATCTTGGTGTTTATCCAGATATGGCAAACATCCAAAGTCAATGTCGGAATACAAGTATAAGCCTATCGCGCCATCTATGTCCATGGTGCCATCTACAACCTGTAACTTATATAATATGAATCTTATAGTACTAGCGTATCTGAAGTTCATATCTTCTTATAGTATAAATCGGTATCGTACATCTAATCCAGTGCACACATAGTTTACATCTAAATCTGGTAACTGGATGAACTGTCGGAATGCAGACCATAGTGGATGTCTTCCACACTTAGAATTAGAATAAAAGTGTCCATCACTTGCGAATTGTGCCCCGTACAATGCAGAACATTTCTAGATCACCAGACAGAAGTGTAATTTATTGACTCTTCTGGCAACACAACCCACTACGCCGTAGTTTTAGGTCGAATTCTGTTCAAACCTAGCCATTTTCAAGCTCGAATAACTCATGCCACAAAGCCTTCTGAGCGCTTGGAATAGGGCCACACGCCTCCTCTTGGCCACGCTTTACTTCCTGATGCTTTATCTCAATTTTTTTTGGGTCGTTGCAAATGCATGGAAATCATCATTTTTTTCATGCGTATTAGCAAGGGAAATTTCTCAAAAATCAAACGATCGCGTTTTTCACCCCAAAAATGAAGACTTTTTCTATGATACATATTAGATCAAATTTATCGTAAAGATGAAATGCAACACTAGAAGCTGTTTATATGAGACTTTTATATGCTAGAATTTGACATATTCACAGAAAACCTGTTCTCGTATTTTTGGAATCTTCTCATTATTTTCGGTCTAAAAGCTGAATGAAATTAGCATCATTCGATGCGGATTTAGATATCCAAAAGTGTATTAGGAAGTTGGATGTGACAACGACAGTTTTCATTGTTAAATTCGATAAAAACGTTCAAAGGATGTCAAGTCAAGTCAAGTTTGAACACGAAAATACCATTGCACAATTTCAAATTAAATGGCCGCAATTACTGCTGCTATAGTACAATACTGAGAATAAACCTACAGGCGGTGACGTCGGATAGGATGCCCTCTCATTTTTCCATACCCTCATTTTTTTTTCTCTTTTGCAAAACGCGTTTAGCATTAAACCATGATCGTTTTGGAAACCGTTTGGTTGATAATAACGCTCTAGCTTCTGATAACACTGTATTGCACTGCCAGAAAGACTTATTACTGCTTATTTGAAGTGAAATATAGTAGGTACCATGCAATAACGAGCACTAGAAGACGTAGAATCGGCACTAATCGGATTTGTTTATTAGGTTTCGCTAATTTTTTTTTGACTGTTTGATGTGGGTGCTGATTCCATTACTTCTCTGCTATCTCTGCTGTCTGCTTCTTTGGTTTATTATGTCCGGTAGCTGTTTCTTTGGTCTGTATCTCTAGCAGTTGCTTCTTTAATCTTTGCCTGGTCTCTGGTATCGCTCGTTGTTCGGCTTTTCTAAACTGCTGTTATTGCTACTGGCGTTGCTGCTGTTATTGCTACTGATGTTGCTGCTGCTGCTGCTAATATGGTCCTTTCTGGTCTACTGCGTTTGCTGTATACTTGTTCTCTGGTCTATCTCTGGTGATTGCCTGTACTCTCCTGGTCTGTCTGTGGTGGTGAGAAGTGGTAAGTAACTTCTTTGGTCTTTGTCTGCTCTCTGCTGATGGCGTTCATTCTTTAGTTTCTCTATGGTGCTGGTGTTGCTGCTGCTGCTGCTAATATGGTCTGTTCTGGTCTACTGTATCTGGTGCCTGCTCGTTTTCTGGTCTATCTCTGAGGATTGCTTATATTCTTCTGGTCTATCCGTGGCTGTGGTAAGTGGTAAGTATCCTTTTTTTCTTGTGGTCGCAATGATATAAAGCTTCTCTGGACGTTTGTATTATTGCTTCCTTTCTCGTGATAATGCATTCGTAATGTTTGCTTTCTTGCGCTTTTTTTCTTCTTTTGTTGTCTGTGATATGATCAGCCCAACAGGTGCTTGCAATGTTGTTGCTTCTTATGTATGAACAACAAGCATGATGTGCTACTATATATCTGTATTGCCGTTGTGATACTACTTTGTTATATGGTCGTGGGTTGTTGTTTGTGTTGCCTCTGTCGCTTCACATGAAACAACATTAGTCATTATGTTGTATTGCATACTTATATTACTGCTGTTGCTCCTGCAATTGTGCGTGTTTGTGTTGCTTTACATCCGACTATTACTACCTTGCACGTTGCTCATGTATGCATTCTTGTTACAACAACAACGAGCTGTTCTGAACATTCTCTGATGTTGTATTTGTTATGCTTTTCTTTGGATCATTGCGTATGAGTATTCCTTTTTTACCTTCATACTCCTGTAGTACTCCTGTAGTACTACTGTAGCATGTTTTTTTCTTCTGTTCCTTTTTTCTTTTATTATGTTTCTTTGAAGCATACCTTTTTATTACGTTGCGTGGATGTGCCTATCCCTGAAGCTCAACAAGACTTTATCCGAGGCTAGGAGGTAGATAGGCCGCCTCCACTTGGTTATCGCTACTTACTTTAGTGATGATTGAGAGTCTCAACGCCAGAATCTAAAAGCTAGGTGGTGTAAGTAAGGCATGCTCTAGCACCTGGGGGAAATTTGATGATAGTAACAGCTATATTGCTATATATAGCGGAGCTTAAAATTTTGCCTCACACCAAAACAGGGGGAAACCCTCGCAAATTTTTTTTTAGGTTAGCGGAGTTTTCGAGCGATTTGATTGGCTCAGGGTTCGAAGCACGGAAGGTCTACAACTAGTTGATTTTCTGTTGATCTGCCTTTATAATGTAATTTAAAATAAAAGCGTAACCAAATGGATTAAATCGAAAACTTTCCTTGTTCAGAAGTAATATAAGGTGCAATCATTGGATTTATCATTCATTAAACAATTTTATTTGAGGAATATTTCATTAATAAATTTATTAGGTAGAAAAATTATGTAAGTATTACATCAGTGTTGTGCCAGAAGGGCTACAACTGTCTATAAAGATTAAGGTATTCTTGATGGGTAGATATGTCTGTGTTGTGCAACAACATGGACAAGCTATGATGATTGAAGTGCATCTCAGCTATCTAAATGCAGCGGTTCACCAGATGTGATAAGCGTTGTACAAGATAAATTGCTATTTTGACATTCAGAACTTAGTATAAATAGAATAACTCTTGTCTTCATCAATAAATCTTTAGTTTTTGTGTTTGATCTTATTCAAATAAGTCTTTTCTTGTTTTTATAATATCGAACATTTTTTATAAGCTACAAATAATAATCCTTTTATTCTTTGTGCTTAACATTCTTCAATCAAGTATGGATGGATAAAAAAAAGATTGCCAAGTACAAATTTTGATCTGTGCGTAACGTTTTAGTTAGTATAAATATCAAGCCCATTTGCAAAATAATAAAGATCATTTATCCCAGTTCCATTCTTTTCTACACGTTTGCCAAAAACTATACCTCTTTCACGAAAATGGAAACGTTAAAACTCCGCTTTTAATGATTTAAAAAATACGCTCCCGGGTGGGCTTGAACCACCAACCTCCTGATTAACAGTCAGACGCGCTAGCCAATTGCGCCACGGAAGCTTAGACATTTTGCTACGATGATAAAAGAATTTTGTGGTGGTGCTGATTTCAAGAAGCGGTATCTGAACTCTGAGCCTACCAGAGTGCAGTTCCTGAGCTGGTGTTCAAATTGTTTATTCTTACATTTTTTATTTTGACATATATATTTGAATCTATACAACACATTTGAAATAAATCGAACTTTCTTACGTTTAAATCTTTTGAGTACATAACTTTATATATACATTTACTCACTGAGATACTGTCTACATCAAGGTTATTGCAACACATCCGCAACTTAAACAGCCTTAATTACTTGGTTTTGTCTCGGAATCAGCTATTACTGCAAGATCTTCCACCCATTTCCCTACTACACATTTCACAAAACCAGCACCGCAGAGTATCAATTTGTTGTCTTTGATATGTTTAATAAGACTAGTAAACAGCTTTTATGGTTCTGCACGTACATGGTGGTGATGTGTTGTGTATTGCAGTGGTGATGATCATTTGACAGCTCTGGCTTACATTGGAGGCTTTAGCTTCCTTGTGTTTTAATGGCTTATTCCACTTTAGATATTGGGAAGGTGATGAGGTATAACGAATTGGACACAGTTATGAATCACGTTAATTTCAAGTCATAACGAATAAAAGAATCATAAGAGCCTAGTTTCTTTCATTAGATCATTCTACCGATAATGTTACATTATCTTGTTACTCAGGAATACCTTACACCAATATAAATTTTTAGGCAACAATTTATCAAGCGATAACAATGATTTAATGACAAAAAAGTGATAGCGAAGGGAAGATGATAACGAAGGTCGAATCTTGGGAAATTGCGGTAGTATCAGTACTGTTAATAACCACACAGTAATCTATTCAACATTGCTTCTTGCGGGCCATGGCATATTAGCATTAGTCTCCTGAAATAGATTTAGCAACATACACGACCTAGTTCAATTGGCATTAGAAGGCCTTACAGCCTGTTTCTTATAATCCTGATCTGGTTCAATTGATGCATGCACGTAGCGTTATGGGTAGTAATTTGATCTAAAGACGCTCAGCCATTTTATGTTCAGTGGGGCAGCTCCACGGCATTGACCTTTCAACCAGCCGCAAATAGCAATTAACAAAATGATGGGTGCCTTTCGTATCGATTTCTGTTAGAATTGAGGAACTAATAAATTATTTTTTTTTATCAATCAACATCAATTTCGTTAACACTTAATTAATAGGTTAACGCTTCTACAAATGTAGTTCCCAATCCTGAACAAGTAAAGAACATTGTCATTTGTAATTCGCTGCTATCTACGAATCATTCTGGTGGTAGCATATCTGTCATATCTAGCGTTAACACTTAAAACTTTGAGGAACCAAGAAGCTATAGTGTCAGGGTCCATATCTACACTGGCAAACTACACAGACTACTACGACAACAATAATAAAAAACCAGGGTCTAGTAAATAGGAGGATTGGGCGGTTTATTTGTGAATTATGAAAGGGGATAGAGGCAGTTGATGGAGGAGTATGTGCTACTGACAAAAGAGAAGCCAGTAAATGTATTCGTAGAACTCGAACATGGATTCTTGAATTTCACAGAAATGCAATTCAAAATAGATGTTGCGAATTATATAAAAACCGTTATATATAGTATTTTTAAATAATCTATCACTTGATTCGTCCTGAAACGAATATGCAGCTCACATCAATGATAATAGCCTTTACAAACCCTTGATTTTAGGGAGCGGTTTCTTTGTATAAAATGTTCAAGGATAATATTAAATCAGTGAGATGCAATTCTTTTTCCAACTGTTGCAAGGTATAGCCAGACATGTCCAAACATATACCAGAGAGAGTCAAAAGGAATCCATCGAGAATGTCCATACCTGAAGAAACCAATGAAAATGACAAAATTTATCGACATATTCGAGACATTTTTTACGAAGACGCACCACCACAACCACCACTCAAAGTAAATACGGGTCAACCACAAGCACATCATACATCCAGACCACCCAAATCACCGTTACGGCCACGCACCTTGATTGCGAAGCCTTCTGTACCAACTCGACCTCATAGATCAAGCTCAATTTCATCCACAACATCGTCTTCTTCCTCTACTATCAAGACACCCATGAGCCCACCAACGCCCACAAGCTCTGAAAAACTCAGTCTCCGTAAGCGATACAATGACCCTGCTCTAGAAACGCCTATTATGGCACGGAAATCCATTTCAGTAACCACATCGGCAGAGTCAAGCAAGAAAGATCAAGAGACACACCAGGAGGAGGAAGAAAGCGGCAGGAAGCTGGCACTCTGCGACGAAGATAGGATTGTGATTGCAAACTATCAGTTGGGTAATTGTATAGGAAAAGGACAGCTTGGATCAGTGTACAGAACGCTTGATTTGGCTACAGGCGAAGTAGTTGCGGTCAAACAAGTCAAAGTAGATGACGAGGATCTGTATAAAGACATGATGAAGGAAGTCAATATCCTCAAAAAATTATCGCACAAAAACATTGTAAAATACATTGGCTTCATTCCGAATCAGTACAGTTTGAATATCGTGCTGGAATACGCCGAGAATGGATCGTTGATGTCTACATTGAAAGCATTTGGTGCGTTTCCAGAAAAGTTGGTAGCGTCATTCTGCAGTAAAATCTTGAATGGCCTCAGTTATTTGCATGAAAATCAAGTGGTGCACTGCGATCTCAAAGCAGCCAACATTCTGACAACAAAGACAGGCGAAGTCAAATTGACAGATTTCGGCGTATCACTAAATCTTAAGAAGACTGTAGATGCTGCTGACATATCTGGTACACCAAATTGGAGTAAGTTTTGGACATGTGTTTGTTTATGAATGCGTGCATACATGTTTATTAATTGCACGTCAAAAATTAAAGTGGCACCCGAAGTCATTGAGCTGAAAGGAGCTACAACGAAATCAGATATATGGTCATTGGGATGCACATGTATTGAATTAGTGAGTGGTAAACCGCCCTACAGCGATTTGCTAGCCATGTCAGCCATGTTTCATATCGTAGAAGACGAGTATCCACCATTCCCTGAGAATATATCTCAAAATATGGCGAGTTTTCTGCTTTGCTGCTTTCAGAAGGATCCCAACGACAGAAAATCAAGTCTGGAATTGCAGCACCACGAATGGATAACGAGCAACAATCAGCAAAAGCAGCAGCAACAGAAAAAGAGGGAGTCATCCACGTCGGTCTCCACTATGACACCTTCCATAAAGTACTTTTCGTTGAACGCTACAACACAACAGCAACACCAACACCTTCACGAATCCACAGTAGCACCAATAAACGACAAAAACAGCCACCTATTTATTGAGACACCGTTTGATAAAAGTAAATGCAATGTTTGCCATGAGATTATGACCCAGGGATCCATCTTTTGCCAAGGCAAGTAACAAAAAGACACATAACCTATCTGCCACTATGCTAACAATTGCATACATAGTTTGCACACTTGCATGTCATAAAGAATGTAGAAAAATTGCATTTTCATGTCCACCCAAATTAAATCATGACCAACAGCCTACATATCAAGATGTAGGAAATATTCAGTCATGATCTGCTTGAGAGAGACTCATTGTTTTTATAGTGGACATTTTGCACCAAAGTGTACAATACAAAAAAAGTCAAGCAGCGGATCAATGGCAGTGCAACCTTGCCATTGTCTTTGCGTAATCACCCGCAATCAGAGAACATTAGGAAATATGCTCGTGCTCTCAATCTGAGCAGACAAGAGCAGATTGCCCTCTACGAAAACCCTTCACTGCTTGAATCTATGAACAATAAACCAACAAAGAAACTGATGAAATTAGGAGGAGGAGGAGGAGGAGGAGGAGGAAAAGAAGAGCAATGCAGCATAATGTAGTCTGATTTACAGGAGTTGTTGGTTTCTTTCTGGTGGTATTCGGAACATGAATAAATCAATGGACCACATAGTAGACTCGAATTTCATTAAATTATCAGAAAGAGGGATTTCTTTTTTTTTTTTTTTTTTTCTTTCTCTTTTTCTCTTTTTTTTTCCCTTTACTACTATTTCAATTAATAAAGAAACATGGCCAAGGCTAAAGCAAAACAATCTCTCCCACTCCATAAGATCATTATGGTAGGCTCCGGTGGTGTAGGAAAATCAGCCCTTACATTGCAGTACATGTATGGCGATTTCGTCGAGGAATACGACCCAACCAAGGCTGACTGTAAGAAATGAATGGACGACATCTTTTGTTGGTATATACTGACGCACGCTTTATTGCATAGCTTACCGCAAGAAGGTTGTGTTGGATGGCCAAGAATGTCAAATCGATATCCTGGATACAGCAGGCCAAGAAGAATATGCAGCAGTAAAGTGTTATTCTCTCATCATGTCTGTACACCAGAAATATTTATGTTTATTGTGTTATTATTAGATTCGCGATAATTATTATAGATCTGGCGAAGGTTTTCTTTGTGTTTTCTCTGTTTGCGAGCAAGAATCTCTTGAGCATACACAAGAGTTCCGTGATCAAATTTTGAGAGTGCTGGATGACGAGACGATTCCCTTCATTTTGGTTGGAAACAAGGTGGATTTAGCACATTTGCGCAAGGTACCTGCAACAGAAGCAAGCTCATTAGCAAGTGAATGGCATTGCCCCTATGTCGAGACATCTGCAAAGACCAGACAAAATGTTGAGGAAGTCTACACCATGTTGATGAGACAAATTAGAGATAGAAAAGCCAAGCAACAGCAGCAGAGTAGTCCAGACAAGGATTCTTGTTGTGTTATCCTTTAAAAAAACCCCTTCTTTTTTGCCCTTTTTGTGTATTATCAAATTCTAATCCTTTCTATCAACAACAACTCTATCTTTCACTATATAATATAATATCTCTTTGATCATGTTTTGAATAAAATTCATGATATACATATATAATTTCTCCGTTTTTTGATCGCAAACTCGTTTTTTATATAATATATTAAACAATATTGCACGTTTTTCTGTGTTCAATTCAGCATGACTGCATGCAAGCCGTTCTCTTACTCTTTTAAACAAAAATCCCTTCTTCGTAGTGTCCCTGCGGCTTGACATTTCGATCATTCATGTGTGGAGTGAGGAGCAGCAAAAAAAAAAAAAAAAAAAAAAAAAAGTTTATTTATTCAAGCGGCCAAGGACTTGTTGGACAGGAAGAGCATCAATGCCAACAACAAATGTTTGACATTTGAAGAGGATGCTAACAAAATTACAAACTAACAAATCATGCTCAAGTGCTGCTCTATAGCTTTCGTATATAGTTTATCTACAAGTATAAGCATCAAACAAGATCTGATAAATATGGTTGCAGAGAGCACATCAAATGGGGAAATTGATTATTCAGAAGATCCAGCTACATTGGATCTGACTTTCACTGGAATGCGATGGTCTGTACATGTATTTTGCGGCCACAAGCGACATGCTGATCTGTTGCCGAAGCAAGGCATGTTGTACTCTACCACTCGCCAAGATACAACTGTCAAAGGCAGAGCAAATCTAAATTTTAGCACTGTAGATGACGTGACGCTGCCTGTACAAACCAACGCAACATGAAATCTGACCTCAACTCGACTCCAACCCAATCAACCTAACCTACAATTTTTTTTTTTACGTGAAAAAGAAAAACTCTTTCTTTCACTTTTGTCATTTCATCATATATTATACACAAAAATGGTTGCAGCTAAACGTTCAGCACCCAAGGAAGAGACTGATGTGGTAATGGAGACATCCAAAATCAACGATCAACTCGACGACATGTTATCCAACTCTGCTAAAAAGACCAGAATTATGTTTTCAACAGCTTACAGTCAAGCAGCCATGGACGAACAAGAGAGTCAACGTGTCAAACTTACTAGCAAAATCCACGACGAATATCAAGATCTTCGCACACTTCCAGAGGCACTGATTAAGCAGCAAAAGGAGGCAGCCAAAGCCCGTATGAAGGCAAAGTCGACCACAGTAGAGGAAGTGACCAACGACGACGACAATGAAAAGACAGCTGTTTCTCAATTGATCGATTCTATACCTGAGAAATCCACATTGGATAAAAACGAAGGCGTTGTTGCTCTGCGCGGCAAAGATCAGTTTACAAGCGACATTTTTGGAGATACATTAGCCGGCAGTGGATCACTTGTTCGTCGTGCTAGAGCAAAGACAATTCGACCCGTCTGGCATGCTCCTTGGAAGTTGATGCGTGTTATCAGTGGTCATTTGGGTTGGGTACGTGCTGTTACTGTAGAGCCTGGAAACAAATGGTTTGCTACTGGCGCTGGTGACCGTACAATCAAGATTTGGGACATGGCATCGGGCACATTGAAGCTATCACTTACAGGTCATATTGCTACGGTGCGTGGTTTGGAAGTATCATCAAGGCATCCATACTTGTTTTCTTGTGGTGAGGATAAAATGGTGAAATGCTGGGATTTGGAACAGAATAAGGTGATCCGTCATTATCATGGTCATCTCTCGGGTGTCTATTCACTTAGTCTACACCCTACTTTGGACGTGCTTGTTACATCTGGTCGCGATGCCACTGCTCGTGTCTGGGATATGAGAACAAAGCAAGCTATCCATGTCTTGACTGGTCATACAAGCACAGTATCTGCTGTCAAATGTCAAGAAGCAGATCCACAAGTCATCACAGGCTCTATGGACAACACAATTAGATTATGGGATTTAGCAGCTGGTAAAACAATGGGGGTCTTGACTCATCACAAGAAGAGTGTTCGTGCACTGGCACTTCATCCTACAGAATTCGGGTTTGTGAGTGGTAGTGCGGACGCTGTCAAGGGCTGGAAGTGTCCTGAAGGCACCTTCATGCAAAACTTTGATAGAAAGAAGGCAATCATCAATACATTGGCTGTGAATCAAGACGGTGTCATCTTTTCTGGCGCTGATGATGGCTCTTTGAGCTTCAATGACTGGAGATCAGGCCACAACTTCCAATCCATGGATACCACAGTGCAGCCAGGTTCATTAGATGCTGAAGCCGGTGTATTTTGCAGTACTTTTGATAAAACTGGATCTCGTCTTATCACTGGCGAAGCAGACAAAACCATCAAGATTTACAAGGAGGATGAAAATGCTGTTAAAGATTCTGATTTCTATCAATAAAAAGCTGTAATAACCAACAAGCATACTAAAATTATCATAACATAATAAATGTTCAGTCCCTAGACACTTTTTACAGCCCTAATATGGAAATTGAGTTGCCAGGTACTTGTCAGGCATGGTTCGTATATGATTAGAGATTTTATATTAAATTGCTAACAATCAACAATTAAGTTTCTTCTGATATTGTAGCTATTATTATTAATTTTAGGATATTAGCTAGGCTCGCAGCAGCGCGAGATACCTGACCGTAGGTCGGTTTCCATCAAAGCGAAGCGTAGGTCAGGAAACCAACCAAAGAGTCGAAATGCTCATCGTAACGTAATAAATTTATGGTCCCTAGACACTTTCCGAGTCTCAAAAAGGAAATAGGTTGATCTAATAAGTATTTTGATAGACAAGCGTTATTAAACATAGAATGTAAGGAAAATAGCATGGCTAACGATAGTGTTATATAATTTGCCACCTACTTTCCATACGCTTCAAAAGCATCTATTACTGTATTGCCTTCATTACGAAAAAGGGCATTGGGCCCCACCAGCCAAAATTAATTCAAATCCAGGCTCATAGTCTGCTCCAGATTGGACAAATTTTGAACACTTTCGACTCGATTGAACTATTCTGCCAGATTCGACTATATGAAGTGTGATGATCATCCGATGCTTCCTAATACATTCTTGGAGTACTTTTGAAGGCACATCCAATGATACCAAGTAAGATAAATGCTTTGAATAAACTTGTTGAGCAATTTACAAACATATGAAAGCAGGTTTCTGACCAAAAAGTCGAAATTTTACATATTAGGATTCCATAAAGATGATTTCAGAGGCTCCGTTAGATCGATAGAAACATTTTGATTCAATACATACCATAGTAAAAGTCTTCATTTTCAAGATGAAAAACGTGATCGTTTGATTTTCGATGAAAACCATGAGGGGGTACCTCCTGCTTTTTGATCGATTTTTGGCCATGTTTTTTTGGCCCCCAAAAAGTTGAGCACAGGTGTCAGAAAGTTACTGCTAGACGAGAGCAGTTGTATGGTGCTATTTTGACAATCTAAAACGGCTTTTAACGCGAGAAATCACGACCTACATGCACTCATATTTTGCTGTATCAGGGGTACTAGGGGCTAAAAAGAAGAAACGCCAGTAGCTGTTTGCCCGTATGTAAAGTACCTACGTGTAAATGAATGTAAAGTACCACATAAGAATCAAGTTCATAGATAATATAAAGGGGCTTCATGTGTAAGTGAAGGGTCAAAATGAAAGTAGCAGTATTTTGGTAAAATACACAAGGGCAATTGGTAGCGCGAGCTGCTGCTGCGCAAGCTGGTTTTCATTAAAGCGAAATGAAGGTAGAGAGTCATTTGAAGCATAAACACTCGTTATAATAATAATAAAATGGTGTATAAGTTTATTTAAATAATTATCGCATATCACGTAAATGAACATCTTGAGCCGAATGCAAGTTGACTTGAGAGTTGGCATCGCTGCTGATGCTTCCACGACTTTGTCTCTCACTAAACATGTGGGAAAACCCATTCTGGTCTTCCTTTTGTTGGTAAGGACTTAATTTTTCAGTGGAAGCGAAAAAGGGATTAGCGCTGGCTTGTGTGCCAGGTGTAGCGACACCAAATTGTTGTTGTTGATGAGGATGGTTCTTGTGTTGGTCTCCAACAGCGGCTGCGTTATCTAATGAACGGAAGACTTCATCATCGACATAGTAAGCCTTGAACAAGAGTTCCAAAATTTGCATGCGCTCCTCAACACGAGACACTCTTTGTGCTTCAGTCTCTTGTCCCAAGTTTTGGAATTCATTGACGCTGAATCGGTGGTGGACGGGATGGACAAGAGGAATACCAGAGTCTGTGGTCTTGAACTTTTGTTGCAAACCTTGGAGCAAAGACTGCTTGCGGCTGCCAGTGGACCAACGATGAACAACACCCCAAGGAGATCTGGGACGATAACCAAAGAGCCAGGCTTGAGCAGCAATCAATAGACCAAAGATACCACCAACAAAACCAAGCGCATTGACGAGAGTGTACATCTTGACTTCGCGGTCGACCAATGTGGCGAAATTCTCGGGGAACACAGCCAATACACCGAGATCGATATGGCCATTGGTGTAAGTAGGGTTAGGGGCCTCAGAACGGAAGTTGGACTCAATTTCGGGTGTGCTGTTGGTAACAGGTAAGAAACCGACATAGTTCCAACCGACAGGTTGCAAATAGCGGTGATCGACAATGTCGTAGCTGAGAGCACTGTAGGTGAAGGGTTGAATAGTGTAGACATTGGTAGCTTGCAAATCGTTACGCTCGGAATTTTGCCAGTTGAGCACATCAGCCTCACTCAAGTAGTTGCTCATGCCATCATCGTAGCCATAGATCTTTGCATTGGGGTCCATTTCCTTGGGGAACACAGAGACATGAACACGGCCATAGGTAGTGGTCTGATCGCCAAACATGGTAAAGAGCAAGCGAGAGCCATTGTTCTTACCCGAAGTGGAGGTCATCTTAAAGTCATTAGGGGCACGGAAGAGGAAGCAGTTGACGGCACCCAAGTTGTCAGAGAAAGTAGGCTGGAATACAGACATGTTGAGCTGCTTGATGTGTTCGGTACAAGAGTAGCCATTGTCTGTTTGACAAGAGACGCCGGGAGGGCCATAAGTGGCACTTTGGCTGGGATAACCGTCGTAGCAGAAGCGGACATCAGGAACATCGACTTCAGCAGCAGCGTATTCGATTCGTTGAGTGACATTGGGGCTATCCACAGCTTGTCGAATGACGAAATACAAGAACATGGCAAAGATGAACAGGAAGAAAACTTGAGCGACGATGCGAGAAGTTTCAGCCCACACAGGTTCACCAGTACGAGGCTTCCAAATGTCGTTGTGAATGCGAACAACCAACCAACGAATGTAGGATTGGAACTTCCAGAGCAAGAACAAGATGATGACAAGTAATACAACAGCTGCTACGGTGACACCTGCGATAAGGCCCTTTGAAACGGAACCATCGCCATTGTTGGATGATTCGTTGAATGATTGCAACCAGGAGCTTGCAGTCAAATCAAAGGTGTTGATGTCGTTATAATAAGAATTTGATGAAGAACCTATAACGAGGGGAGGGTAGAATAGAGAGGGGGGTGGTGATAGGTAGGGGAGAAGAAGAAGAAGGGGGGTAGAATATGTTAATCTAATTATCCCATCCTACAAACAATCTACAGGTCCTTACCAAATGCAACCGTGAGGTGTTTACCACCGTCTAAAAGACCACCAACAGCAAATGAACGGCGAGAAGGAGGAATACCGCCAATGCTAGGAATAGACCATGACCAGGTCTTGCAGTCCAACACGGCAATGGTATTCAAGTATTGTCTGGTTCTTTGGCCATCAGCACTATCACCTATGGTGGATAATCAAAGTTAGTGTCAATACACATGCATTGTTCGCATCGTCAGTGCATACCACCAAAAATGATAATCTTGTCATCAGAGGCTGTTTCGGAAATGTGGTCAGTACGGACTCTTCCTGCGAAATCTGACAAACAACTTACTAACGACGGCTGTGTGATCAGAAGTAGTAGAGGGATAGCGAGATGCAGTGGTCGAGAGATTCTGCTCCACCCAGCCCTTTGTTGCAGGATCGTAAACCCAGGCAGATTGAAGACTTGCGAGTGCAGGAGAGCCGTTGGTTGTAACACCACCAATAACAACCAGCTTACCATCACTATATTTATTGAATGTAGCACAAAATAAATAAGTTTTTTTCATCCTCTTTTTTGTCTGTTAGTTTACCTTAAAATAGAAGCAGAATGACCATAACGACCGTAAGGTGGAGAGACGAGTGCAGTTGATTTAAAGTTGGCATCCAAGACATGGAAGTCGCTAAAGACCTGATTGGCAGCAGAGACAGCACCACCCAAGATGTAAGTGAGCTGGTTCTTGCTGTCATAGGTAGCGCTGAAGTATTCTCTGTTGTAGATGAATTCAGCAGGTGGAGGTGAAGAGACGTTGGCATTATTTCCAGAAAACTCGGTCCATGTTTGAGAAGCAAAGTTGTAGGTGTGGATCTGAAGAGGTAAGCCTCTGCCGTTGGTGGCATTGGACATGCCGCCCATCAACACCATGTTCTGACCATCGGCGGTAACATAGGATTGACTGTAGATTGTACCGTTTGGTGCGTTGATTTGAGGAACGATTTCCCAGTTGTAAGATGTAGCTGTTTGTGTCAGTTTATAGAGATCGTTCGTATATCGTACAGTTGCATTTTCGCCACCAAAGAGATACAATGAATCGTTCTTTCGTGCGTATGCCATGCCGCCCTTGAAAGGGAGCGAGTTCATGAAACTAGGAACATAAAAGTATGCTTGTGCTGTGTTGACATAGGCCAAGATGGCTGTCGTTAAAAAAAGTATCGAACTTTTCATGATTTGGTATTTTCAGGGCTGATTTTTTCCACTCTAAATGTTGGCCGTTCTTTCTTATTTTCGATGTTTATCCAACTGTGAAACAATAAATTCTAAGTAAAAAGGTAGCTAGTTGAATACAAAAAGAAAAAAGAGAGAAAAGAGAGAAAGAAAGGGATTAAATGACTGTATAAGAGAGAGAGAGAGAGAGAAGAAAGAAAGTTGAAAAAAAAGAGAGGAGATGGAGGTGGTGAATATAAAAACGATAATATATATTTATATAAATAAAATCAGGGGAACACAAGAAGCAAAGGGAGAGGCACACAGAGAGGAAAGCGACATGATAGGGGTGTGTGTGTGTATTTTAATAAGCTGGGTACCCGTAACAATAAAAAGCTTCATTTTGATCAAGTTAGTTTGTGGAATTAGGAGGTAGGACATGATGTATACCACAGAATCAAAGTGGAGATCGAATCAATTGCTATTTGATTTACACCATGCAGGCCGAGACTCTTTGTGTATCTTTTGCCCGCTTCTTTGTCTCTCTCTCTCTCGCTTACTCTTTGACTCTATCTGACTAGCAAATAGGCTTTGGTTGGTTCGCAACATCTTTAAGCTATATTTTAGTGCCAAACAGACGGTTACGGTGAGTTTAATTAAAATGGCTTTTTAGCATCCCGTCCTATCATTTTAATAAAACAAGCTATTATCACCACAAGTTGTAATTTATTTATAAGATTGTAATTACATTCATGATGCCTATTTATAACCGTAGATCACCCTGCCTTTTTGTTTCTTGTTGGAAAAAAAAAAAAAAAAGAGTGTATACATATCTGACAAAGCACGTGTGTTTTTGGTTTATATAGAAATTGAAAGGAGTTGATATTCTAATTGTGCCAAATCACCAAATCACACCTATATAAAAGCTCTAGCATGTCTGATACTCGAGCGAACGCATGCCTTTTTTTTTCCACTCTTCATCTACCTATTCCACATTGTGCTGTTTGCCAAGTAAGCCTGTATAACAACTGTTTGCAGGCATTACATCTACAGAGAAGCAACGAAATGTTACCCAAAATCTCTAGCTGTAGCACAATCACATTCTACAATACTTACTTTATTCATGTCGTACTTGGAATTAAAATGACTATATATGAAATGATGTGATGGCCACTGCTGTTTGTAAAGAGTCTTTATGCATGCCTGTCAGTAAAGTGAATGCACAGCAAACATCATCAAATGACTTGCAGCCATGTCAATGTCAGGGTGGCACTTTTTTGTTTGTATCCAAACATTTGCAATGCCAAATTTGACACCATCCGAGGACAGTCAACATGCAGTAAAACAGACGAAACAATGTAATATGATTAGTACAACGAAACACATTATGGAGCAACAGAGAAAATATATTTATTTCGTTATTAACATATACAAAAAAAAAAGGCTTATTTAAACTTTTTAGTGGTTGCTGAAGCCACCAGTGCCAGCGTTGTTATTGCCAGACGGGGCATTCCTGCTTCCAGAAATCTTGTTGGCCAACTTCTCCAACATGTTTTCAACCTTGTCAGCCAAGGAATCATCGCCTTGGTTGTTGGATTGTTGTTGATCTGATCCGTAGTTTTGCTGGTTTGATCCGTAGCTTTGCTGGCCTGATCCGTAGTTTTGTTGGTCTGATCCGTAGTTTTGTTGGTCTGATCCGTAGTTTTGTTGACTACTGATGTTATTATTGTTGTTGTCATAACCAGTACTGTTATCGCCATAGCCAGTATTGTTATCGCCATAGCCGATATTGTTATCAGCAAAGCCAGTGTTGTTGTCACCGTAACCAGTATTATTATCGTAACCAGTATTGTTGTAGCCAGCGGGCTGTTGGCCGTAGCTTTGTTGGGATGCATCATATCCTCCTGGTTGTGCTTGTTGACCACCAGATAAGGCTGGATCAAAAGATTGGCCTGGAGCCAATTGTCCTTGACCCGCAAATTGGCCTTGGTTATTGATTTGGTCACCGGTGGATCTGCTACGAGTGTTGTAAGGCATATTGAATAGATAAATGATGTAAATCTGAACGAAATCTACGGTTGAAATCAATCCTTTATATACGCATTTGATATTATGCGAAACCCATCATCTTCTGATGTCTTGATGATGCTATTGTTTTAATGCCTTTATGAAACATGGCTTGTTAATCGTCTCTTGTTGGCATGTGTTTTACATGCGTGTGCATTTATCAGTCTCTAGTAGAGAAGGTCCGCATTTCATGGACTGCTTTCATTTGGATGTGATGATGTGATGGACCTCTGATTAGTGTGTGTGTGTGTGTGTGTGTGTGTATGCCAAGAAAGGAGCTGGGCTGAACTCTAGTACGCGTTTAACTACCAAGTCTTTCTACATTTTATATATTCAAACATGTCAACAGGCGCTGAAAAGTACAAGAGCTTAAAGGTCAAGGAACTGCAAGGTATGTTGCATCAAATGGATCCCAGTGGATAGCATGGCAATTGAGCATGTCTACTAGAGCTATTGACCAAGAGCGGATTGCCTCATACTGGAAAGAAGGAGGAGCTCATTGAACGTCTTGTAAAGCATGATGAAAAGCAAGACAAAGAACTCGCTTCTTTAGATGACGAGTTTGGAGATTTAGATGATTTTGATGAGTCCAAGGTCAATTTAGAGTGAGTGCACAGCGAGATATTTGGAGATGGATTGCATTGATTAATGGGAATTTTAGCGACCTCACCGAGTCTGTTAAGCCTATTGAAGATTTGAGTGCTGATATTGAGGATATTGATGAAGCTTTGAAACAACCCGAGGCAACTACCGCAGAAACGAAACAACCAGAGGCTTCTACCACTTCTGCTGAGACGCCTGCAACTCCCACTACTACACCTGCTGCCACAATCACTAGCACTACCACTCCTAGTGACGAGCCCATTGTGAAGCCCAACTCCAACTTCAAATTCACCCCCATCACATTCGATAAACCAGCATCTACTGCTACTACTACCACCAGCACAGCTCCAACTACCACAGCAAAAGAACCCGCATCTTCTCGCCAGCCTATAACTGCTGTTGCAGATGCTAAAGTGAAATCAATAGACGACGCTGAAAAGGCATTAGAGCGTGCAAAGAGATTTGGAATTCAATTGAATGAAAAGGCCAAGAAGGACATTCGTGCTCAAAGATTTGGCATTGCAAATAAAGCAGCAGCTACTGCACCACCACAGCAAAAGAAGACAGGCATTGATCCTGAAGTTCTCAAGAAACGTGCAGAGAGATTTGGCATCTCAAACACAGCTGCTGCTATCGCATCATCCAAGGGTAAGGTTCCTGTTAAATTTGATGCTGCTGAAGAGGAAAAGAAGAGAAAGAGAGCCGAGAGGTTCGCTGCAAACAAGAAGCAAAAGGCGGAGTAGTCTAGTGTCTTCCATATCACATTGACCTATTTTCGTGCTTTTTCACTTTCCCATCCCTTTTTCTTATAAAATAAAATATGAAAATAGGTATTAAAAAAAAAAAAAAAAAAAAAAAAGTGATAACTAAAAGCTTACATATCATGGAAGCTTGCTGTCAGTTTGATCCAAAGTGGGGTCAAGTGGAAGAAAATATGCAAACAGCCTCAAAGTTGCTCGAAACGTAATGTAAAATTTTACTTGAATTTCGTACAGTGTTGCATAAGTAATGACCCTGCGTGTGTATGTATGCTCGATTAGATATAAGAAGGGAGACATGGATATTTTGCTATTACCCGAAATGGCTTTTACAGGTACTTGTATAGCATGATGTTGTAATCAATGACGCTAAGAGTGTCAAAAGGCTATGTGTTTAAGAGTTTGCAAGAGATTTCACCATTTCTTGAGGATTGTGAAACCGGGCCAAGTGTGATGTGGGCCAAAAAGCAAGGTATAGCTCATTTAAATCGACCCTAGTACTAGCTAATATGTGTATGCAGCCATGCGACTGGAATGTTATGTCATTGTAGGATACCCTCAAAAGACAGGTAGAGTTTGAAGCGACTAGACCATGATACAGCCAAACTCAAAAAGACGAGGGCCATAGATCAATGCAACTACAATAGCATCTGCTGTGTGGACCCAAAGGGACGACTGTTACATACCTATCAAAAGGCATTTTTATATGAGACAGATGAGAATTGGGCAGAGGAAGGGCCAGGATTTGTATCCACTCACATTGAAGGCCTAGGCAAGGTAAAAATCACACGATCCTCAAGCCATCACTTGTGATTTTGATGCAGTAACATAGGTTGGGTTTGGTATTTGCATGGACATAAACCCATACAAATTTAAATCGGATTTTTATGCCTGCGAATTTGCAAATTACCATGTGCAAGAAAAGACAGACATTATACTATGCAGCATGGCTTGGCTCAAGAGCAGAGATGATCCAGTGAGTAGCACCGTTCGATATTGGGCTACGCGATTGCTACCGTTGTATCATAAAGCAGAGCCTGGCAAACATACCATTTTTGTAGCTTGTAACCGTATTGGATCCGAGCGAGGAAGCGAATTCGCTGGTGCAAGCTGCGTATTAGATATCACAGATGAACATATCACTATTCTCGATAATTTAAAACGGAACACGGGTGTCTTGTTGGTAGAAGCTTAAGCAGTGTAAATAAACATGTGCCGGTCAGAGTCTATATCAGCATTTCTCTTGTGAAATACCACGTTTAGGGTCCCAAAATTGGAATGTGAAGAATGAAGACGGGGTTCAGCTTCTTTTCTCTCCGTGTATCCTACGATGCTACAATCAGTGTTTACTCGAGTAACAGAACGTAAACAGCTGATCCAAGACATCCTGGAAACAAGCGCACAAAAAGACTTTTATACCACTTTTACGCCTTCCACACATTGGCCATTCAAAGATGCCACGTCCAAGAAGTGTCGCCTACTTGTCTTGGATTCTTCATTCAACCCACCAACCAAAGCACACGCTAAACTGTTAGAGACATCCCTGAAGGCCTATCCTACCGGCTATTTCGATGGATCTTTACTCTTGTTCTCTACCAACAATGTCGATAAAACGCTAACAGGAGCGAGCGTATTGCAACGGGCCCAAATGATGGAAATGATTGCAATGCAGTGCCCAAGCACAGCGGTTGGATTCACACCTCATGGGCGTTTTATGGACAAGGCTAAATACATTAATTCCTGGTTTGCAGAGACACACGCCTCAAGCCAACTGGAGCTCTACTTTATCGTGGGATACGACACCATGATCAGATTGTTGGATCCAAAATACTACAATAGCACCTCTGTAAAGGACGCTTTGACGCCCTTCTTTGAGTCATGTCGCTTGATCTGTGCAGACAGAGGCACAGAAGATGTGGGTTTCTGGGTCAAGACTTACAACACCTTTGATCGCGACCTCATCCAGCGTATTCAGTTGGACCCCATCACAAGCCAATTCTCAAGCACACTAGCACGAGAGGCGATTCAACAGCGTCATACAGACCAGCTCAACACCATCCTCGACCCCAACATTGTTGCATTCGTGAATGAAAATAAAATTTATTGATTTATGTGGTTTTTTGCTTTTGTTGCTTTTGCTTGTATGTAATTCTATAAAAGTTAATGAATAGGAATAAATAAGAGGTCAAGATGGCACATCCAAATGCAGCGGCTTCCTCTGTTCCAGCGCACGAGCCAAAGTTGGGCAAGGAATCCGTGTAGGTATATGCAAAGTAGCTATAGGTGACGGTGTAGATTACGACGAGGTCAATCACAAATTGGATGATTTGCATGGTAGTCAGATACTGCTTCCACCAGATTTTGGCACCAGTAGCAGTACGGAAGTAGTAGTAGTACATCAATACGTGCACTGTCAAGTTTAAGATGATAGGCACCCAGGACTAGCACAGCCAAATGTGAGTTCAACCAGATCTAGATTTTCCCATTCATTTTTCCGTGTATTCCACTTACCACTGTTGTTTTACCAACTAATTGCGTATAACACAATGCCATTGTCATACTATGATGGAAGTAGTGCAAGAATTCTAGATCCAGTAATCAAAAGAGTGTCAAAATTACTGCAAACAAGCAGAAACATTGCCAAACTTACCGAGCTTCTTCTTCTTGATGACCAAGAATCCAGTGTCTACCAGTTCCCACCATTTCACCAAATAATTCAAATAATATATCAACTCCAATTGGGGTGTCCAGGCATCCTCAGAGCAAATTGTGAAATAGAGTCCTTGGCGATATAACTGAGGAAAGAGCTGTTCAAACAGCAGTGCTAATAATGCACCTGAGACCAGTGTCAAGAGCACATTGTGGATCTGGAATAAGAATTTGCAGGGCAATGGCTTGACATTGGTCATCAGGTAGCGACCACCAAAGATGATGGTGAAGTAGGCAATACAACCAACAAATACTGCATTGAGCGATTAAAACACGCATTCCAGCGGACTGACTGACTGAAACCTACCTTCGGGTAAAGTGGAAAGTGGGGTATAACCCTGAGTAAATGTAAATTCTGTAGCTGATTTACCAACAATGGATGTGTATGCTTTGTCGAAATAATCAAACAAGTAGATGCCAAAGGGCCTCTCAGCACTCACGCTGTTCAATAGTGCAGCTGCCATTTTTTTTTTTTTTTTTTTTTTTTTGCTTGAGTAATTTGAGAAGGAGAAAAAAGAGAGAAAAAAAAAAAAAAAAAAAGAGAGAAAGCAATTGAGGCCAGAGATTTGTTTAGAAATGTTACAAATTCAGGGACCAATTTTTTTTTTTTTTTTTTTTTTTTTTTTTTTTGCCTAAATATATGATAACGGTGGTCCTGGCAGAATGTTGTAGGCTTGTTTTTATTGTTGTACAACCATCTTCTCATTGTATCGTATTGTAAATGTCAATCTGCTGAAACTTTGTTTACATATTTGAATGATGTGTGCATTTATTTGCTTTTTTCAGGTGCTCATCAAGATGTCTGGCTTGCTTCTTTGTTGGTACATTTGCAGTCGTCGATCTGTCCCTTTCCCCCTTGTTCCCTGTCTGTATTGTATGTGTGTAACACAATGTGGTGGTCTGTGAAAAGTGTACAGTTGTTGGGCATTTACCACATGAACGCAGTGCTCTAGTGCTGTGCTATTGGCATATCATAGATGCATAAGTGAGGGAGTTTATTATGTATGTATACATATAGATGGCAGAGCAGCGTATATGCATACTGTGAATATACCACGTAGATAATGTATGGATCAAGAAATGGATCAAACAATTGTGCCGTTTACACGATAAATTACAAGCGGCATTGTATTCATTTCAAGGTAAGCGCTTTAAATAGCTCATTAGTGCCAATGATTTCATTATTCATCAGCAAACTTGTTCTTATCATTGCAGGGCATAAAGCATGCATGTGTATTTGTGCCAAGTAACCAAATTCATAATGAGAGCGAAAAGCTGGGCTGATGCGCATGTGCTCTAAAGTAGATCAGTAGCGTTTGTATGTTCAAGGTTCACGTAACTAGAGCATAATCCCGCTTTACCGTATGGTTTTAAGAGACTAACCCTCAATGAAACTACACGCACAACTACATAAAATGGCAGCAGAGATTTTGCACTGGCCGCTTAAATCAAAACGAAAAGAGAATGCTACATCAAAAGTGATATAACAATCGCTACACGGAGAGGCGATTATTTTACATTACTCTCCACGCAGAGGTTTTTGGTCTTTTTTTTTTCCCCTCCTTCTTCCTCTCTGAAACATCACAATTCACAATGAACAGCATTCCTATTGACATCCTGCCGATTATATTCAGTTTCATTGATACAACAAGCCAACTGGCCAACTGTAGATTCGTTTGTCGACTGTGGGGGTCCCTTTGCTGAAAAAGCTATGCTTGGCCGTAGAATCAGCATTTGGAGAATTGAAACAGCCTGGGCATTTTACGGTTACATTGCACAAAGCCCTTCAAAAGGTAGATTGGTAAAGCATTTGGACATTGGAAAACTTGACATTGGCACACACGAGTTGAACAAAAGGCTCTTGAGATTGATATTTACACCAAACCTTGAAATTTTGAGGGGCCAAAACTGCCAATCAGACTACTATGATGAAATGACTAGAATCGCAAAAGAATCGCCTACAACGTTCAGGAAACTCAACGTTATTCCACACCCACTGAGCTTCACCAAGAGCTACAGAGATTCAGCAATGCTTTTCAAAGACACCTTGCAAGATGCATTCGTACTTGATTTAGACATGCTGCACACTGGTGATAACGATGTAAAGTATTTAAAGCAGTTCAAGCGCTTGACCTCCTTTGCGTTCTATTTCTCTTCCATCGTATGTCTTAAATATATTGATGTGCTTCTCGACACGTTACCACAAGTGAAGAAAATCAAGCTTCATATTACTGCTGAGGCTGACGATTGGGCAATGCAGCGTGGCATAGAGTTTTTAGAACATATCCCAAAGAATCATGTTTTGAAAAGACTGAAAATCACTACCACATCAGCAGCAATCATGTGTGTACTCATGTCTAAATTTGTCTCTTTAGAAAGCTTGGAGTTAGATCTGGAAGTCGAAAACGATGAATTGGAGATACCTTATGCTGTCATGCTTGTAGCAAAGCCGGTGCCCTGCTTCAATTACTCATTTATAGTCCTCAAAGATGGGCTCATGCGCAAAAAGGAAATTGAGGATTTTATTTGGCAGATCCGCATCCATCACCAGTGTATCAAGACTGGAGACGAGTATGTTCTTTGGTAACAGAGTTGAACAGGGTAATGGTGTTTACATTGTTAAAGTAAGACGCTAAATTCAAGTCATCTCTTGTGTGAACCTTTACATTGTGTCTTCAATACCCCTTGCACATGGTTATTCTATAATCATCATAACATAATAAATTTATAGTCCCTAGACACTTTTTCAGCCCCTAATATAAAAACTGAGCTGGCAGGCACTTGTCAGGCATGGTTCGTATATGATTAGAGATTTTATATTAAATTGCTAACAATCAACAATTAAGTTTCTCCTGATATTGTAGCTATTATTATTAATTTTAGGATATTAGCTAGGCTCGCAGCAGCGCGAGATACCTGACCGTAGGTCGGTTTCCATCAAAGCCAAGCGTAGGTCAGGAAACCAACCAAAGAGTCGAAATGCTCATCGTAACGTAATAAATTTATGGTTCCTAGACACTTTCCGAGTCTCAAAAAGGAAATAGGTTGATCTAATAAGTATTTTGATAGACAAGCGTTATTAAACATAGAATGTAAGGAAAATAGCATGGCTAACGATAGTGTTATATAATTTGCCACCTACTTTCCATACGCTTCAAAAGCATCTATTACTGTATTGCCTTCATTACGAAAAAGGGCATTGGGCCCCACCAGCCAAAATTAATTCAAATCCAGGCTTATAGTTTGTTCCAGATTGGTCAAATTTTGAACAGTTTCGACTCGATTGAACTATTCTGCCAAATTCGACTATATGAAGTGTGATGATCATCCGATGCTTCCTAATACATTCTTGGAGTACTTTTGAAGGCACATCCAATGGTACCAAGTAAGATAAATGCTTTGAATAAACTTGCTGAGCAATTTACAAACATATGAAAGCAGGTTTCTGACCAAAAAGTCGAAATTTTACATATTAGGATTCCATAAAGATGATTTCAGAGGCTCCGTTAGATCGATAGAAACATTTTGATTCAATACATACCATAGCAAAAGTCTTCATTTTCAAGATGAAAAACGTGATCGTTTGATTTTCGATGAAAACCATGAGGGGGTACCTCCTGCTTTTTGATCGATTTTTGGCCATGTTTTTTTTTTGGCCCCAAAAAGTAGAGCACAGGTGTCAGAAAGTTACTGCTAGACGAGGGCAGTTGTATGGTGCTGTTCCGATAGTCTAAAATGGCTTTCAATACGAGAGAATACGGTTTAAATATGTCCAAATTTCGCTGTGCTATGCATACTTTTGAGTAGTTGAAAGCATTTTGAGTATGCCCTACGCCCGTATATGAATTGTTCCCATTGATACAGACGTGGAGCATGGTGGAAGTGCCAGATCAACTCTTAAAAACTATGTTCAATAACTGTAAGCTAAAAAGTGAAATTCAGTATGTCTTGATAGAGCAAAATTGCAATTACTGTCAAAGTTTGAAGATTGATCCTGTGCAATGCATGGCATGGGTTCCTGGCATATAAGTTGGGGCTATTTCAATGCTTAATTCATCATCCTCATCAACAGACCAAATCAGCATCCTGAATTTCCTTGCTAGCAAGAATGGCAATTTTACATGCTATTGGTGAGGAGAGCTTATATCTCATCCCGATTATGCTTTGATTTGTACATTGCACAATGTATATAAACCAGGACACAGCACGCCAATCTCCCTTGACTAGTTCTGCAAAACACACACAAACCATCCTGTCAAGCAAGATTTTATTAACACAGTGTGTCAATTTGACTACAACCGAGCCAGATGCATATTTTGTCTTGAGATGAATGTGTATCACAATACTCGACTACGAGCAGGTTGCTGCCATCGGTACTGATTGAGTGTCCTGAAATGGGAATAGAGTGTTTGTCAAATGGATGTATGTTAACCGCATGTTTTATTAATATAAACAACAGCTGAGCAGAATGTCTACTATGGTTTCACATGATTTGTTCAAGCTATATTTAGCCAAGAATTGTAGATTGCCTTTTCTCTTTTTCTTTTCCCAAATCTTTATAATGAATTTTCCCGGCACTGGATCCCCTGGTGGATATCCTCCACAACAATTTGGCGGCTATCCTCCTCCTCAATCGCAGTATCCACCTTCCCCATTCAACAACTTTTCTCCACAGCCACAACCGATGGGTTATCCGCCCACAATGCAAGGATATCCACCACCACCACCACCACCACCAATGCAACAAGGATATCCGCCCATTCCTCAACAAGGGTATCAACAACCGCCTCCATTACCAAATAGACAGAGCTATCCTCCTCCGTCAAGCCCTGGACCTCCACCACCAGGTTCTAGAAATGTAAGCTATCAAGTCAAATCAAGTACGCCAAAAGACTCAATGATTCAAACTTTTAGGTACCACAACAGTATCCTCCTCCACCACGTCAAGATCCTATGTTTTCACCTCATGACCCGACAGTTGCACAAGCCAATTATCCACAACCACCATATTCTAACCATAATCAATCACCAAATCCAGGTAAAACGGCAAATGTGTGTGTGCTTTTATAGAAAAATTGTCAATTGCTAATCATGTAAATATGCCTCAGTTCCGTATGGACATCAGCAGAACAACATTAACGCAAATGAATTTGTGATGCATGTGGATCCTAAATACAGGAATATGCCACCACCCAACTTTCAATTATCCAACTGTAAGTTTAAAAAGTCTCGGCCCAGAGAGCCAAAATGTTGATTTTCGGATATTAGGTCAAGGACGGAAAAGAGCATTGCTGATTGGCATCAACTATTTCGGGACCTCCAATGAGCTCAAAGGGTGCATTAATGACGTCCATAACATCAAGGCCTTCTTGATTCAACTATACAACTTTCGTGAAGCAGACATGGTGATCTTGACGGATGATCAAAGCGATCCTAGACATGTACCAACCAAGAGAAATATTATTGATGCAATGCAATGGCTGGTGAGGGATTCCCGGCCCAACGATTCGTAAGTCTTTTCTTTTTTTTTTTTTTTTTTTTTTTTTTTTTTTTTTTTTTTTTTTTTAGGGATTTTATAGCGAAATGACTAATGCTTCAGGACACATGTAGATTCTTTTTCCATTTTAGTGGTCATGGTGGAAGAGTAAGTAATGCGTAGCTGGCTGGTGTGAGACTCCGTTTTCGCTCATCATTTTATTGCTACGTAGATGAAGGATTACGACGGCGATGAAGACGATGGCTACGATGAGACCATATATCCAGTAGATCATTCAATGTATGGGCAGATTGTGGATGATGTAAGTAGATTGTCAGATTATCTTGATTCAGTGGCTCATTGGTGATGGTAGATGATGAACGACATTATGGTTAGACCACTCGCTCCTGGCAGCAGATTAACAGCTATTTTCGATTCATGTCACTCTGGAACCGCTTTGGATCTACCCTACGTGAGTATATATTTGTCGACGTCGCCTTCATTGCAGCAACCAACTGTTTTGATCTGCAATAGGTATACTCTACTCAAGGTGCAATTAAAGAATCCAGTTTTTTCAAAGAGGCAGGCAGTAACCTGAAGAATGCGGGTTTGGCCTATGTTAGTGGTGATCCTTCAAGAGCAATTTCTAGTGTCATGTCCCTGGGATCTAGGATTTTGAATGGCGGCTTTGGCCAGAGCGAAGAAAAGAAGAAATTTCTTCGACAGCAAAAAGGCTCACCAGCAGATGTGATCATGTTCTCTGGCTGTAAAGATGACCAAACATCAGCAGATGCGTCGGAAGCAGGTAGAGCAACTGGCGCCATGAGTTGGGCGATTACAACAGCATTACGACAAAACAAGAATCAATCGTATCTGCAGCTACTAAACAATATCCGACAATTGCTTCGACAAAAGTACCAACAAAGACCTCAATTGTCATCATCACATCCAATGGACATGAATTTGCTGTTTTTGATTTAATAAAATGTATCCTTGACCGACAAGTTTTTCTCAACAATGCTAAAGCAACAAGGCGACCCTGCTATGATGAGCTTCTTTTGTATGCTTGTGGTTTCATTGTAATCACTGCCCTTCACCTATTCATGGTGAGGGATTGAGATGTGGATCATTTTGGGATTTCGAACTCCTATTATAGAGAGAGAGAGAGGGAGAGAGAGAGAGAGAGAGACATGATGCCCGAAAAATATTTTTTCCACATCTCTCTTTTCATTTTTCCACTACCCAAGCTACATGGCCACTAAGAAACAGTCGAAACTCAAGACATTTGTAGAGTCCAACTTTGCAGAGTTTGGTCAGCAAGACTCAGAGCGCTTGAAAGCATTGTATTCTGATTTTTCCAAGCTGTGGCTGTTGAACAAATATGCGTACGATACCAACATCAGCTACTGGCGCAGAGTGATCTTGGATTGCAGTCAACAAGGCTATTTGGAGACACCAGATTACTCGCTCATCGTTGACAAAGATACCCTAGCTGAAAAGTTCCAAAGACCCATCATTGGAAAGCCTCTCTCATTCGACTGCGTCTTGGTAAGTGTTCCATATGGCATCATGTTAAATGATGGCACTCAAACAGGTTTATAGGAAACGATGGAGAAGCAAGAGGAACTGATAACTCTGGAAGCGTTCAACGAGAAGTTTGCGCCGCCTACAACATGGCTCGGTTGGATTGTGGACACGGTCGTAAAGAATACATGGCAATGGCGGTGGAGAGCATTGCCGGCCTCACTGACACATCCTGCAACACAATACGTCGTTTTACCCACTGTCAAGGCACTGGCAAAGGCAATCATGGCACAGCATTACCACAACCCAGCAGACACACACATCATGACTTTGGCACAGTTCAGATCAGCATATGCCCACCATTTTGTCAACGAAATTAATTTGACCGAGTCAGACATGACCCTATTATTGAGATATATGCACTCACAGCATGGTGTTGCATTGGCAGATAATGTGAAAGGCTATGGTACACACTACATGGTGATCAAGTTTCCTCAGAGAGAGGATCAAATCGCTACTATCACTCAGCATGATGAGGCCCTCATTAGTATTCGTACAACATGTCATGCACTTTCTGTTCAGGTTGACGAGTTGCAGAAGAAATCAGAAGAGTAGGGTCATTTTCTAGATTGATATGTGTGCTGTTTGTGCTGATCTCTTGTTCTTGTAGGTTAGGACGTCAAGCATTGGATGAAAAGAAACGTGGGCATACAGCAAAGGCCTTATATTGTATGAAGAGAAAAAAGAGTTTACAGGAGATTCTGGAGAAACGTCTCAAGTCAATGGAAACAATGGATATTGTGCTCATGAAAATTGAGTCATCACAGGACGATCTACAAGTATGTGCATTTTGAAGGCACTGTAAAGCTAGTGTAATAATCATTTTTTGATTTAGGTCGTACAAGCATTTAATATGGGTGCAGATGCATTACGAGGATTATTAGACCAAGATGGTCTCTCTATCGAATCGGTGGATGATGTGATGCAAAAGATACAAGACACGTTTGAGGATCAAAAGGAAATTGAGGATGCCTTGAGGATGGGAAACGAGGATATTGCTGGTATAGACGACGACGAGATTGAAAACGAACTTTCGCAACTTGTGCGAGATGAACGCATTTACAACAAGACGCCATCGCCTGTGCCGGTACAGGCACCACCACCAAGCAGAAATTTAGCGCAACCAGAGGCAGCACCTTTCTCATCGGATACAGCCAACGTGAATTCAGAATTATCCAGACTAAGTCAAATATTAGCACCAGTAAAAAGTGTGCCTTCATCCATCACACCACCTCCTACCAAAGAGACTAGCGAGAGCTCTAAAAAGAAAGAGCTGGCCGCATAATAAAGTGTTATTGCATCATGCATGCATTATTATTCATACTGGATTCTGCCTGTTAGTACAAGGATTGAGTACTCTTGGTACCAGCAATCATTGTGGCTAGTATTTTAAGATGGCATAAAAGTCGGATCATGTATCTTTTTTCTCTCTATGATAAATTAGTTGCAGTAAAAGCCAACAAATCATCGAGGTAAATCTATTGACGATGCTGAATATGCTCATGGAATTGTATCTCCCACAAGATGCAAATGATGATGCCCTAATCAATTCTGGACCTCGCATCTACGTTCATGCAGTTGAGCCAAAGATATCCCTCAGATCTGAGTGGTAAAAGACGCAACCGTAGAACAGGGATTGGGAACTGAGGACATTAGCAGCGATGGTGCTGTTATTGGCATGGTTTGGATGATGCGATTCGCACAAGATGAGGATCGACCGCTTTTCAAAGCAACCATGAATTGGTAAGCTTCACGAATAGTTTGTGTCTTGGCCATCTCAGCGTTACGTATGTGTCCCTATTACTGAAGCCAACTGCTCTGAATTTCGATATCCAACTTTGAATCAATGATGCATTTAAGAAATACAATGCCTCGTCATTACCAGCACTGCTATATCTGTAGCTAGTATCATTCCAACGAATTCACAGGCCACCTAATCAAGTATCAATGCCGGCCATTTACTGTGGATGTAGATCACTTTATTAAAGGCTCTCACATCTGGTGAAGTCTGAATCTCAACTCCCAGTGCTATAGTATCGATTACTGCTTGCTGCGACATGCTGATTAATAAACCAGCAGACAGCTGGGACGAAACGCGTTTGCCCTTTTTTTTGTTTTTTTTTTCCATTTTGTTTATTCATTGTAAATATCCAATCCAAAAGATTACAACAACTGGATAAAGGAGAATCAGATAATTCTTATTATGGCTACCACTACTACCACTATTACATCCACTCCATCCACCGAGCAACAACAAAAAGAAAACAACACTCAACTTGCTTCTCAAGATGTTGGTTTGATCTTTGTTCGTGAGTACTATACCTTCTTGAACAAAAAGCCCAGCAGACTCCATGCCTTTTACAACAAGGATTCCACTTTGGTCAGAGGCGATGAAGGCACTGTTACTGCCACCATGAAGGGACAAGAGGTAAGGTGCTTTGTAGTTGTATAGATGGGTGTAGATGACTAAACCCACATTATAGGAAATTCGCAAAAAGATTGAAGAGTGTAAATTCGAGGATTGCAAAGTATTGATCACTCAAGTCGACAGTCAAACCTCTGCCAACAATGGTATCTTGATTCAAGTGTTGGGTGAAATGTGCAATCAAAACGGCCCTTCACAAAAGTTCAGTCAAACCTTCTTCTTGGCTACCCAACCCAACGGCTATTATGTGCTCAACGACATCTTTAGATTCTTGAAGGATGAAGTGGAAATTGATTATTACACTGTTGATCAAGGAGAGGCTGCTGCTAATGCTGCTGCACCTGTCTCAAACGCTGCTCCCGTTGTAAACAACATTGCTTCTCCTGTGGTTCATCAAAGCACTCTTCCACCTGCTCAAGCTACTGCTTCTCCTGTCGTCAGTAACAATGTGCCTGTAGTCGCTTCACCAGTTGCTGCTCAAAAAGCAGCTCCCACTCAACAAAAATCTGAAACACCTGCTACTCCTGTTGCTCAGGCACCTGCCAAGAAGGAAGCCGAAGTTGCCGCTGCTGCTGCTACCGGTGCTCCTGTTCCTGCTGCTACAAAGAAAGAGGAACCTACAAAGAAGTCTGAAGAGGATATCAAGACGGAACAGGTGAAAAAGTGGGCAGAGGAGGTCAATGTTGCAAACGAGAACAAGAAGCCTTCTGAATCCGGCGCTACGACTCCTGCTACTTCCACCACTACAGAACCTGCCCCTGCTGTCGAGGAAAAGAAAAAGAAGGCTGATTCCAAGCAACAAAAGGCTGATAAGGTTCAAAAGCAACAACAACAACAACAACAACAACAACAAGCTGAGAAGCCTGCCCCTGCTAAACCTGCTGCTCCCAAGACCTGGGCCAACTTGACCGCGGCTGCTGCCGCTGCCTCTGCTGTCAATGGTAGTGCTCTGGATAAGGCATCCACCACTGCAACTGCTGGTACTTCTTCAGCATCCACTGTGACCAGCGAAAAGCCTTCTGTTACCCATGCTCAAGCTCAACAGCAGCAGGCTCAACCTCAGCAACACCAAGCACAACACCAACAACACCAACAGCATCAACATCAACATCAGAACAAAAATCAGGCCCGTAAAGGTAAGTTATCTGGACATGTGTTATACAAAGAAAGGGGTCTGACATGTCTATTAGTCGATGCCACTCAAATCTTCGTCAAACTGGTCAATGACCAAATCAATGAGGATCAATTAATCGAGGTATTCACCAAGGTTGGATCAGTTAAATCGTGCACCATTTCTCGCGCCAGAAGCTGTGCTTTTGTTGATTTCTATTCACCCGAATCCTGCCAAAAAGCCTTGGCTCAACACAAATTCCCAGTCAATGGACACACTGTATTAGCTGAAGAACGTCGCTACAATAATCAAAACAGCAACCAAAACCAAAACCGTTACAGCAACAATAGTAATCAAAACAGAAATAACCAAAATACACCTTTCGAGCAACGTCGATCCAATAATACCAGCAATCAAAACAGTAGTAATCGTAGAGGTCAGCAACAACAACAAACCAACGCTAATAATAACCAACAACAAAATCGACAAAACCAAGGTGGCAAAGGAAGAGGTGCCCTCAATAGCACAAACCAAAAGTAAAATAGATCCTCTCCCCCCCCCCCCCCCCTCTCCCTCTCCTCTCATTCCGTGTACGCATATTATATATAAAAAGCATATAAAAAATAAAATCACCCTGTCTCCTTTTCTTTCGTTTCAAATGCCTTGTTTATTAGTCCATGACTGTATCTTGTTGATCCATTTTCTCTGCCATCATGGCTACAATGGCAGCACCCACAATACGTGAGTGTTGCACGATACCGACTGATAGTTTGGATGCCACTTGCTCAGGGATCAAGTCCTTGATGGCTTCACAGACACGAGGATGAAACGATGGGTAATCTTTGTAGACATCGCCGCTGATGGCTATACAAAGAGTCAGAGCCATTACACACTAGTCCACTGCTGATAACTTACCAATCGCAAATCCTTGATCATCATCAATTCCAATACCATATTCCACCATATATTTCACAACACTTGCGATACTTGCGCCCAGCAACAGAGCAGCACGATGTCCAACCAGCTCACACACCTTTTTCACAATTTTTCTATCCTCCAGCGTCGTTTCACCCACTCGGCACATGTCCTCCAACACCAATCGTGTATCCTCCAAATCGTCAACATCTGCTTCGCATACGTACATGTAGCTTGTGTCAAACTGGTAAGGCAGTAACAGCAGGCATTCGTCGTCTTCTTCTTGATCCAAGTCAAACGACAGCACTTTTTCATTGATCAAGTGCACCAGGACTTGACGAGTGATTTCGCCGAGATACATGCCAGTTGTCATCTTTTCAAAGCTGTGTATGCCGGGATTGTTTGATTGCTGATCCAATAATGCGTCGAATTCTGTCTTGGGTAAATGTCTGGAGCCAATATTGCACCATTCTGTGTTGATGATCATGTCGTGTTCCTGATGCTCTACGTCTCGAAACTGCCCAATATTGGACATTTTATCGTAATACGCGCAATTCGTGCCTGCACTGTGAATGACGCCAATACGAGTCGATGGATGTTGATATGCGTGGGCCAGGAGGGTACAGACGCCGTCTATTGGAGCGAGTTAGCTTGGACAACTGTATTTCACAAGGAAAAACTCACCGTTTGCTATAGCTACAATTTTGACAGCTAGTCCCTTGGCTCTAAATCGTCTATCAAATAGATCCACCGCATCGCAGCCAATGACATTTGGAAACTCAAAGCCATGTTCAAGTGCAATAATGATTCCCTTGTCAAGGCCTGTTTGCAACACGGCAAAGCCAATACTGATAGCCATACTGTAGACGGTTTGTTTGTGTGTGCCTACGCGTTGTTGGAAATCAGCTACACAATCAGCAACATAGTCGATCAGGACACCAATATCGTCGCCTGCCGTCAAGTTATCCGGGATTTTGTATTGATATTGATTGATAGCGAGCTTTCCACCTTCACCTTTTAATTTCACTTGGCAGACATAGATATCCACACCACTGATTTCGAGTGCCAAATAAGTGCCCTTTTCATTACCTGTGGGGTAGCCTGTGATATAATAAGGGGTCAGTTAAGACATCGGTCTCATTGTTACCTACAGTTACTCGACTCTCATTTACCTGTAACATAGGATGGGATCATCTTTAATTCACTGCTCTTCGTTGCACGGTTTGTAATGTCTAAACCAGCTTTCATTTCTTCATTGAAACCGAGCACAAGGTCATTTAGTTGGCTGTCTGTAACTCGAAAAGCATTTTCTATCCTCGATAGTATCTGCTTTTTGCTGTTGGTATGAGGGTTCATTGCTAGTGTTGTATGTGTGTATTTGCAATAAAAGAGAGAGAGAAAAAAAAAAAAAAAAAAAAAAAAAAAGAAAAAGAAACACTATTTAATATTTGGATACAATAGGAGATATTAAATCTGTGGTGTAAAAAAAAAAAAAAAAAAAAAAAAAAAAAAAAAAAAGGAAAGGAAAAAATGGAAGGGCAAGGCATTTTTTTTCCCTCTGTGGTCCCATCATGGACAATTACACAAACTTCTATTTTATATAAGCAACACATCTTTTGGTGGTCTTGATTCAGACTGTGTTGAATCCAATGGCCCTGGAGGGGATTTGCTATTGCTGTTCCTGCCATAAAAAAAAAAAAAAAAACGATGCAAGTGCATCAGAAGGATTGAGCATGGAAATTTCCATCTTTTTACCATTTTATTGGTACGTTGCTGCATTACATTCAGGATAGATAACCTCGACTGTCATCCCACTTAAATTCAAACACCCAGCCTAGTTCCTCTCCTCCCCCCTCCCCCCCCCCCCCCCCCGCCTAGCGCTCGTCCGTAGAATTGAGTCGTCAGTCTGCAGATTTACATGCTAAAATATATAGCACCTTGATTACATGAGATAATACAAAATGTTATGATTTATTGCTTTTTTGGAGACGCAACACTAAAAAAAGCAATCATGTATCACTCACGTGTATTTGTGTGAGAGTAAAAAGGCTAGAAAAGATGAGCAAAAGGGTCTGCTGCTGGTTGTTGGGTTGTTACTGTGCTGATAGGTGCAGATGGAGGAGAACTGAATAGCCTCATAACATCATCCCGATCATGTGTATTACTGCTATTGATGCTTGTAGTATTAGTACTGCTGAGTGATAGTAAATCATCCAGCACAGTGTTGGTGTGAGGTGCAGGCGAATTATTCACAACTGGCGCATCACTCCAGTCCAAATCTAGCAAATCACCAATGTCATTGTTTTCGATTGCTTGCTTGATATTCTCGGCCTCGTCTTTTCCTTTATCATCGTTGTCGCCGTCCATGTGCTGCTGTTTATGCACTGCCTTGGCTACATGGTCTGCTCCATATTTCTTGCCAGCAACGAACGTTTCCGCAGGCTTGTGGTACACAAATGCCAAGGTGCCGATCTCTGAAATCAAAGTATCCAGCAAAGCAGGCGACAGTTCCTGATTTTCACCTGCAATAGGTGACTTCTCTGACAAAACTACTGCTTTGGCTGCCTGTGGATCTGTGGACAACAGTCGCCAGTAAATGTAAGCTCTGTCACGTATATCTGCATTATCACATTCCATGGAGGCCACTTGGAGGATTTCCTGTACTAGTGCTTGATTCTCGTTGGGCTTTTCCAAAAACAGTTTGACAGTAGCAGTAAGTAGTTGCAGTTGCACTTGGGAATTCTCTTCCTTGAAATTGTCTAGAAAGAAGCGAATCAGCTTGTCTGCATTTACAATGCTCTCTGCATACTCGCCAATGATCCAAGTGAGTGCTGCTTTGGCTTCAGGCTCATCCAGCACATCTAAATTCTCGCATAATTGAGGAAGGATGCATTCGTAAGTTTGAGGGTACTTTCGAAACATGTCTTTGATGACAACGATGGCTTCCTGTACGACATAACTGACACCGGTACTGATGAGATCTAATAATACATGGATGCAACGCTCTGCAGCGTCGTCAATCTTGATGGCGCATCTTCCAATCGCGTTTACGGAGCGCCTTACAAACTCGACATCGACTTCATTGGCGTACCTAAGAGGGAGCTTGATGAGCTCATCAAGGGGCCAAGCTAGCATGTCAGATAACTTACTCTTTTAATTCGCTCAGTAACTGATCCATGTTGTTTGCTAAGGCTGAGGCGAATCAAGATTTCTAATTTCTCCAGTTTAACATACAAGGAATCATTGTATTTCCAAAAGAACACACGCATTTCGTTGTTCAGTACTTGCGGATACGTTTGGAGCACAATGTCCATGTTACGCAGAGCAATGTACTGAAATTCAGGAGGACCACTCAAGAGCGTGACAAGAGACGGTGCCATCTTTTGGCAAAACACCAAAATAGGTTCTTCTTCTTTGATAGAGCGCATTGATCAGCAGAATCTTGACAGCAGACAAAACAACGGCACCATTGGCATGCTGTAAACGAGACAACACGCGATCGCAGATAGCTTCCGCTTCTTTGCTGTCATGTGGTTTGTAGTCTATCAGGGCATTCAGAATGGCAATTTGGCCCCATCTGTATAATTGCATATAATGGTATATACTGCAAAGATTCTTTCTTTGACAGCTCGACGCAATGGCTCAGTCAAATAATCAATGATTTTTTCAACAAGGACACATCCCATGGTTCTGATCGATAGGGCTCTAATCAAAGGATTTGGATCATCTGAATCCTGTTCTAGTGATGAGATACTGGAGATACAACAGCAGGTAACCACAGCAAACCTTGACAAATGTATTGACAGCCAGGATCACCAACTCGGGCTGTGTTTTGGCATAGTTCATCAGGTATAAATACACCAATTTCTAGAGCTCAATGTCCTCTGCTTGCATATTCTTCAAGACATCAGGAAACAAGCCACTGACATCTTTGCCTACTGTCATGCTCGCAATGACCTTCTTGACAGCATCGCTCCGTGTTTGACGGTATTCACTGTTGAGTTTTTTTTTTTTTTTTTTTTTTTAGCTTGTAGATATCGCCTGTCAAATGTGGGTGTCAGTATCTGCCATGCCCTGTTTGTGAGGCATATATACCCTTCTTATTCGTAGTGAAAAAGCGGTTATGGCAACTCATGGTAGACTGCAGTTGATTTTTATTATTATTATATATATATATAAAAAGACAAGATAAACAAGAAGGCAGAAACAAAAATGATATACATGTTTAATATAAATGACAGCAGGATTCACTCGAGTCACACAAATCAACTCCATTAAGCAACTCGTGAAACAGCTTTCCAAAGTTGATCCACTAATAATGCATGGCGTTTGCGGATCGTCTCCTCGTCTTCTACCTTGAGGTTCTTGATGAGTCCAACGAGATCAGCGTAAGGTGATTTTTCTTCTTCGTCGTCATCGTCTTGAATGTGGTGAGCAAATGGAATCGAGTCTGTGCTATCATCATCGACGTCTGATGCACCGTCTTCTTGTTCTGATGCACCTTTCTCTTCTGAATCATGCTGATCTTGGTCAGACTCCTCTTGTTGCTCTTGCTTGGATCCTTGCTCTGATTTGTATTTTTGATCATCTTTTGACGATGAAAACACATTCATCATGTGCATCAGTTCCTTTTTGTTGTCAAAAGAAACAGCTGATGCTTTATCGTAGACGGGCGTCAAGGTAAAGGCTTCAGTGACACTTGTTTCAAAGACTTTGTTGGGCTCGTTTGAGTGATTGCTATGCGTAGGTGATGAGAAATCGATAGCATCAGATGGCTTGATGAAAGAGGTAGGTGAAGAGGAGGAGGTGGAGGAGGAAGCTGTGGTAGCAGAGGCAGAAGAAAAGGCATTAGCATTGAATGCTGGTGAATGAATATAACCAGGAGACCAAAATTTGGGTGCAGTTTGCTGTTGTGGATATGATGGACGGCGTAGGTCAGAGGAAGGAGGTGTATGAACAGCAGAGGATTCGCTGGTTGCTGAATTGTGGTGAGGATAAAGAGACGGGCTCAGGCTCGTCGTAGCAGTTGCTGCTGCTGCCATGTTGGGTGATGGGGAGGTCCATGCGTTATCAGTGCTGTTTAATTTTGGATATAAGTCGTAATCGTCTGTCGTAAGTAAATCAGTAGAAGGCATGGATGACTGTGGCTGTTGGGTGGAAGAGGACACGGTGATATCAGGATAGATATTTTCATCTGTGTGAATGTTGGCTGACAATTGTTCGAGCCAATTTTGCAGGGCAGGTATAGCGTCAGGTTCACAAGGCAGAGACCAATTCGTATCTTGTTGTTGATAATGCAATGCAGGCGCAATAGAGTTGAGTCTGTTCATCATGTCTATAAAGTAAGGATTTCTGGGTTTGAGTATCTTTCTCTACATCCACTTGCCAAGACTTTTATAACTTTTTTTTTTTTTTTCTTTGCCTTACCTTCATCGTATGTTGGTAAAGAGTGATTTTGCAATACATCGACAATGAAGTCTTGGAGTGCATCTTGTTGTAGTTGTTGTTGTTGCAAGTAGTTGTTGGGATTGGATGATATACTATAGTAACTAGGACTGTATGAAGATAGATCGGAAGATGACATTTCTGAGGCATCTGATAATCAAGGTCAGAAAGATTACAGCATAGTATCAACACAATTTACCTTTGGGAGGAGAGGCATAGGCTGTTTGCTGGTGGCTGGTAGTAGTAGTAGTAGTAGTAGTAGCATTAGTAGTTGTCTTGTTACTGGGTTCTGTCGTTGTCTTTCTTCTTCTACGCACGGGTTTGTATCCAGGTTGGTTGCTAAGCAGAGAGGCTATATATATATTTATATTTTTTTTTTAAAAAAAAAAGCTTAATTTTTCTGATCTGATAAGGGTATATTGAGACACGAGTACCTTGATGCTCTACTGTATGAATCCTTTCATGCTTCTTTAAATCTTGAGGTCGTTTGAATCCTTTACTACAAAGCTAAAGATCATGCCATGTTATTCATTCACTTGTCATTGAGATTGAATGTCGTCTTTCTTACTGGGCATTGATGTGCTATATACAGGTAGTGTTTATGTTAGTATACATCATGGTCTACTCATGTGTGAATGGCGTCCTTACGTTTCAACGGTAAATGCACTCGTAAGTGGCTGGCTAAATGATCTCGTTTAGCAGCTACCGTTCCACAGCTGTTCCATTGGCACTGTAAACACAGATTGTTTGTTGCTTTTCTGCCTACGTGATCGTCTGAAAGATGATTAAACAGGTCTTCTGGATTATCAAAGCTTCTTTCACAAGATATCCATCGACAAGGGAATCTGTTTAGTCTAGACATGTTGGTTTTGTATAAATAATAGAGAGAGAGAGAGAGAAAAAAAAAAAAAAAGAGAGAAAAAGGGAAAAATTAGATTTGAATTTCATGTGCTTGGTTTTATTTAAATAGGCCCAGGTCTCTTGTGTATTATAATTTCTTGGGCACAGCAGTAATAGTATAGTAACCGAGCATTTGGTATACATGATGAATGAATAAATAGATCTAATTGAGCTTTTTGTGATTGCTGGTAACTGCATTTTCAATAAAGTGAATGAATCTCTGTCCATACAGCTCAGGACTGATAGCAGAGATGGTATTCTATTCAAGATGATTCTCAACATTTAACATTTCCTTGGTATTTCTTATCAAGCCTACCTTGTTTTGTGTAAAGCTCTTTATAAAATGCTCGCATTTTTTAATGTAATTATAAGGTGTTAAGATGTCAATAACGCCCAAGAAATAGAGCTTGTCTGTCGTCTGATTATTGTCGTCTGTTGATTTGAATCCACCATCCTCCGAGTAAAAAACGCAATATTTCCTCTCATCAGACGGTGTTTCTGGCAACTGCGAAGAATCCAACTGCACAGGATTAGCCTGTCGAATGGCCTTTCTTACAATATCCGCTTTACTCTCCCTTCGACCGTTGCGAGTGGGCAATGATCTCTCCAGGCTTTTGGTGTGAGGCTGCTATTTTGATAAGTAGACAACCAAGATAACCCACATCCATATGCTTACCATCACAACGTGCAAGTGCGTATCTCGAATGCCTTCTGTGTTTCCTCTCACATTGTCGTGGATACCAATCAGCAAACTGTAATCCATAATGTTCAATCTTGCCAGCAATGCAATATCCTTGTGTAGTTGTGATATAAACAAGTTTCTTTTGATGGAGCCAAACTCCAGTTTTCTGTTTCTCTCCACCCAGTTCAAGTCTTTTAAGACAGCATGCGGGTTCTTTTGTATCTCTTCCTCTGTTGTCACTCGACCGAATGTGGATCCCTTTAAATCGTACGTTTCATGGACATCTTTGTTGCTAGGAAACACATTGCCCATGACTACAAAATGGATCTTGTTTCCATGCGGCAACTTGATTCTGTGCAAGCCGTAGAAGCGACAGAGCAGTGTGTTGGCATTTTCGCAGACATGCTACTTGAACGTTCAGTAACAATTATTTTCTACTTTTCTTGCTTACTACCTGATAATACTGCTTTAGTATTTTGCGCATAAACTTATGCTCCGAATGATGAATGGTCTTGATGATGAACCGATAATCTCTAGAATAGTAAAAGAAACTACCACTCTTTCCAGGAGAGCCAAGCTCTGATAAAATGTACTTGTTGGTCAAGGACATCTATCTTTATATATTAGTAAGTTTTGTACACACAAGATTCCTTTCTAAAAAAAAAAAAAAAAAAAAAAAAAAGCTGGTAATTACCATGTAATCAGCAGCATCAATATGGAACTTTTCTCGAAGATATCGAAATACCCAAGGAGCATAATCCTTGAATTTAAAATCGTACTTGACACCTGGCGTTAGTTCGTTTCCAGTGCTACGAGAAGCGTCAGTACATGATTCCATCTCTAAAGCAAAGACGCAGCTTACACATCAAACACTAGTTTATGCGCTGCAGAGAAATCATCATTGACTAGTTCTTTACGTATCTTTGCAGATACGCGACCAACCTAAATTAGTGTATTAGCGCCATGTGTATTTGTATATCTCATAACTTAGTATTTACTGCTATTCGGATGCCTGTCAACATGTCGTACCTGATGCAACACACATTAGATTCAGTCCATGACGACGACGACAACGACGACGACGAAATACACTCACATCAGTTGGTAGTTACGATGGCCCTCTGACACACGAGTACCAATCACTACTTGATCCTCATCCTCATCATTGTCCCTGTAACCATCACAATCTACATATGATCCACTCTGTAATCGTTTAGAGGCACGACGAGCCTGTCTTCTCGCTGTGATCTCTGCTTCCAATGCCGCTTGTTCCTCAGCATTCAATGTTCCTAAATCAGGTGTAGTTGTGCGACGTCGTGCTTGATATTGTGAAGGCTGTTGTCGAAGTCGAATATCCGAGGTTATGGATGACCTTCTATGATGTGCCGGTGGTAATGGATTGGATTGTATGCATTCCAGTGGGTATAGCATGGGCGAATCAGGTATAGATGGCTTTCTAGAATTGGGCCATAACCCTGTGGGTGATGCTGACTCCATATCAAGTGGCCCAATGTCATTGCCAATGGATTTTACAGCGCCGGAGAGTTGTGCTTCGTCTGCTGTTGATATCGATGTTGTTGCAAACATGTCTTGATTATTTGCAATCAGTGTATATAGGAGAAAGAGAGAGAGAGAGAGAAGGAAAAGGAGATGGGATGGAGAGTCTACATTAGCCATTGCAAGTGACTATTGTTCGTTTGGAGGGACAAGCAATCTGATAAAGCAGCAAACGGTTAAACGAAATTGCCGAACATTGGATCCGGTGGATCATGCACTGCATATGTATTATGACTTGTTAACTCTCTCATGATTCCTAGTGTCTTTCTTCTTTCTCTTCTTTTTCCTATGTCTGGCAATACCAAAGATTCCGTTCTATCAGAAAATGTGCATATCGAGCAAGTAGTAAACGAACAAGAAGAAGCTCTACCATCCGTTGTAGAACCATATTCTATATTCACAAAGCGGAAAAAGGCTGTGATTGTAGGGATTGCATCGTGCTCTGCTCTCTTCAGCCCACTTTCTTCCAATGTCTACTATCCAGCCATTCAAGTGATTCAAAAGGAAATGCACACCACCATCAACATGATCAACCTCACCATCACAATGTATATGGTATTTCAGGGCATATCTCCTTCATTTTGGGGAAGCATTGCTGATCTATGGGGAAGACGACCTGTATTTATTGCCACCTTCTTTGTCTACATTGTTGCCTGTATTGGGCTGGCTTGTAGCAGGAATTACGCCACATTGCTGATACTGAGGATGCTGCAATCATTCGGCTCTAGTTCTGCCATTGCAGTAGGTGCTGGCACAATTGGTAGATATGGACTACTCAACTGAAATTTCGTAATGGCTCTGTATTGAAATGGTGATCATATTTTTTATAGGCGACATTTCAACGCCTTCAGAAAGAGGTGGCTACATGGGTACTTTGTCCATGGGGATGATGCTTGGTCCATTACTAGGGCCATTTCTAGGTAAGTGGGGGTAAATCCATCTCGTTGAGTATGTTCTGATATGCTGCATGATTGAAAGGGGGTGTATTGACATCTCAGCTTGGATGGAGGTGAGTGAATGCTCCACCTGCATATGCCATACATCACATGCTGAACTGTTTACTTAGATGGATCTTCTGGATGTTGGTCGTTATGGCCTCCACTGTATGGATTGCACAAATCTTCTTTTTACCAGAGACTCTGAGATCGCTTGTTGGCAATGGATCATTGTATGCCAACCCTACGCCGACTCAATTCATCCACCATCTCAAGAAAGGCAAAAAGCAACATGTGGTAATTCGCCATCAGCCAAAAAAATCAATGCTCGCTGTGCTCAGACAAATGGGCAAATCATTGATCTATATTAAAGAAAAAGATGTGCTATGTGTACTTGTTTGCAACTCTGCTGATTTTGCTGGTCTTCATTGTGTGCTGTCCAGCATTGGCCCTCTTTTTGCTTCCGTATACGGATTGGATGAACTGACAATAGGGCTAACCTTTTTATCGCCTGGATTTGGTGCCTTTTTGGGTTCTTATGCTTCAGGCAGAGTGATGGACTGGAAGTTCAAAAAGCTAGCAATGGCCATGGGCATGACACAGCTGAAAAGAAGTGATTTGGATCCAGAGTTTCCTATTGAAAAGGCGAGATTGAGTCTTGCGTGGTATTTTGGCATTGCATTTAATGTGTTGTTAATTGCTTATGGATGGTGTTTGTATTACAAGGTGCACATGGCTATACCCATTATCATCAGTTTTGCGCGTACGTGGTTTTATTGACAAGATTGCATGTTTAGCGCTTACATCAGTTTTATAGTGGCATTTGCTACTTCCTTGTTGTTCAACGTAACCAGTACAATTTTGGTGGATCTATTTCCAAAGAGCTCAGCATCTGTTGTAGCATTGAATAACATTACAAGGTAAGCGCTGCTTTAGATACCTTTAATAATTATTTATCTAAACCCTCTCCAGATGCTTTACAGCAGCTTTGGCAATTTTAACTGTGGCGCCAGGTACAGAGGCGATAGGCGTAGGCCTAACATTCACCATCATCTCTATTGCTATTCTTCTCTCGAGAATTTGCTTGTATATAGAACTTAAATATGGTCCAGTATGGAGAATGCAAAGAAAAGAGAGACAAGATAGAGTCGATTGTCCAGTGACAGCACCGATGATAACGGAATAGCACAAATAAATGATATTTGTACAATTAACCATAGAGATAAAGGCGAAGCGCCATGTATGATGGCTGCAAGAACCTAGCCTACAACAGAAATCGACAAGGATCTGCAATTTTTTTTGCTTCTGTTATAACGATTTTTGCAGAATTCAAGGAGTAGTAGAAGCCAACATGTCTTGATCATTCATGCATTTGCAATTTATGAAAATAAAATGCGAAATAGTGCCATTTTTGCCATTGCAGTACTTACTTTTTCCATGAACTGCTTCCACTTGGTATCTGCTACAAAGAAACAAACTTATTCCCAGAGAACTACTTTGAGAGAAATCAAGAGACAAAGTAGTGGAAACCCAGGCTCTGAACTAAACGGCAGTGGCGGTATGAGCTCTGCTAGTGGATCCAGCGAGAGTGCTACTATGCAGACAGGTCCTGGTCCCAAATAATGAGCATATTTTATTGTTGGCCTTGAGTAATGATATCATGAAACAATAAACGTATATTTGCAAGGAAAAATAAATTTTTCAAGCTATGCTATAGTACTTTTTTTTAAAAAAAAATCGCAATCCCCTTTCATGAGCCTCCAAGCATTGCTTATTATCTTCATAATCAGGATGGTATTAAAGCTGATACCAACTACTAGCCAAAATTATTTCAAATTCCGCTGACAGTTTCTGTTCTGATTTGATCATTTTGAAACTTTTTGATCACAATTCGACCTATTTTGCCAGATTCGACTATATAAAATGTAATGCTCATGCCATGCTTCCTAATGCATTTCTTTCCCAACTTAATTCAAAAATATCTTATTCCCCTTCATTGCAGACATTGGGTCCACCAACAGTCTTTTCTTTCCCTCAGCATGACATTTAAAGGACTTTAAATAAAACCTGGAGCTCGACTCCCCTACAAAAAAAAAAAAAAATGCTTCCTAATGCATTTCTGGAGTACGTTTCAATACGCATCTAATGGTAATTTTCTTGATAGATGTTTTAAACAAGCATTTTGAGTAATATCAGAAAATATAAAATGAGGTTTTTGGCGAAAATGTCGAGATTTTTCAAATCAAATTTTCACAAACAGGTTTTCAGGGGCTGCCCTGAATCGATACAGTCATTTTGGTTTAGTATATACTATAGTGAAAGTCTTCATTTTTGGAGTCAAAAACATGATCGTTTGATTTTCGACGAAAACCATGAGGTACCCCTCATGGTTTTTGATCGATTTTTGGCCATGTTTTTTGGGTCCCCAAAAAGTTGAGCAAAGGTGTCAGGAAGTTGCTACTACTCAAGTACAATTGTTTGGTGTCATTCCGGCAGCTCAGAAAAGCCTACATGTCAAAATATGGACGCTTGAACGCTGTCGAATTTGGTTATGTTTTGCTTTATGGCTTTTTTTTTTACACGACATGAATCATATCCTTGATAGCTGAAATCTTCTGGAAGGGCAGCTCTGCAGCCCGTGCAACTTCTAATCCAAATAGGAGGCATATTGATTTTGGTAAAGCTAATTCATGCAAATTTTGTTGGATTTTGTTGCTGGTAAGCTTGATAATAATGGAAATAAGAAACCGAATTTGCTGCTAGAATACTATGGTTTTTCACCTTCGCTTCGCTGCGATCAAGCCCTCATATAGATCAATGCTACCAAGTGTTGGATTAGATGCTTAGTTGTCATAGGTTTTGCACCTTTGCTTCGCTATGGTAACCCCCCTCCCCATTGTCGGCTTCTCCGGTGGTTTTGTTCACCTTTGTCCAGCTCTCAATTCTTTAGAATTATATTTGAAAGAATGTGATTGACCTGTCTATTATTTAAAAACATTGTTTCCCAGTACATATAGCGAAGATAAAACAAAAGAAAAAGAACGTATCAGAATGATAAAAAAGTGCCATTTATATTCATTTGATAGATCACTACTGACATAGTCATATGGCCATTTTAAACCACACATGACTAAGTTTGAAGGGATCTTAAATGAGAAGGTTACAGGAAAATGTATGTGATCCAGTGCCATACTGATCTGTTCTGATTCGGCAATATCTTCTTGCAATCTTTATGCTACCAATACTCCAAATGCAATAATACTATCGGATCAACCTTTGCACAATGCCATCTCTGTGACGGTTTAGGCCCCGTTGTTGCACCATTTACTGCAATTTTTTCAGGCGTTCAATCATTTACACATTTTTGTCTGATATCAGTTAAAACATGAAGCAGCAAAGAATCATGGTCTCGGCTACAGTCATCACCACCATTGCCTCTCTCATTACAGGTTATCTGGTTGGAAAATATACCTCGCAACAAGTAAAATCACATCTTGAAAAAGCCAACAACATGCTATTCAACTTAGATGACCATTAGGAAGCTGCTCCTGCCACTGCTCAAAAGATGGCCATCAACAAGCAAGAGAATGAGGAAAGCGATGACGAGTTGGATGTCTTGCCTGAAGGCCAAATCGATGTCAACAAGTACGACAACTTTAAATTGGTCAGTGCTTATCTAGCATCTTTGTTTAAATCTACACAGTTTTTGACATGCAACATTTTTCATGATAGACATTGGTTGTTCGCTCAGATCTTGGTATGACTAAAGGCAAAATTGCAGCTCAGGTACATTTGATAACAAGGTTTCATCTCTTTCAAAAGTGCGTCTTGACTAAAGCGGGATGCAATAGTGCGGACATGCGACATTGGCATGTTATAAAGCAGCCAAAAAGGTGAATCCTATGGTAAGTATTGAGATGCAAACTTGTAAGTAGTTTGCCGAGACGTCTCATTGTATGGTTGATCTAGTTGTTGAGAGCTTGGGAAACATCTGGACAGGCCAAAGTTGCCTTGAAATGTGATAGCGAGGACAAACTGTAAGTCTGAAAGGGGTAATGGGCACAACGTGGTATAATAGAATCTTAAAAAAACGACGTTTTCGTAGATTGGAATTGCAAGCAATCGCTCTTAGCCTCGGTTTACCCGCTCAGACCATTCAAGATGCTGGTCGTACACAGATTGCCCCTGGATCTCGTACAGTTCTCGGCGTTGGACCAGGTAAGATGCTCTTATTTGGATGGAATACATACTAATGCCTCTTTTTGTATCATCAGGACCTGCTGAATTGATTGACCAAGTTACTGGAAGTCTGAAACTGTTATAGATGCAAGACATTTTCGCGGAGATCATCCAGAAAACACGTTTCAGGAGATCTTTTCTGTTAAATTATTGTGCTCATTCTGATAAATAAAACGGCTCTACCGAGAATAACAGTTGTGGTATCGCTTTGTCATCGTGAACCAAGTCAGATTGACGTCAATTGAAGAAAATGAGAAACGACTTTACTGAAAAAGGTGAATTGACTGGATGGGTGCAGTGTAGATCCATGAAGATTGTTATTAAAAGCTCAAGTAAATGGCTCAGAGTGTTGTAAGGCTGTCTGACCCTAACGTTGAAAAAAAAAGACACTTGTAACTTGAGCTTCTTCACAGAATCCCAGGCAAGCATACCATTGTCTTTGATGGCTAGAAAAAGAGATAATCGTATCAAGCACCCTTATAGACAATATCTTGCTTTGGTGAAGGAGGAGGCCAATCGCCACGAACCCATGCTGCATACTCTTCCTTTGTGGTTTGGTCCTTGGAGGGGCTTTCATTGGCAGAGCTTTGTGGCGATTGCGTGTATAGATATATGTTGATGTTTAGGTTGTTTTCACTGATAAGCTTCTGCAGATACAAACCACTTGCATGCTCGAGGTCCTCAGAGGTCGCCTTAAAGACACATACCATGCATTTGCCATGTAGCCACCCTCATTATATGTCTTGTCTGGTGGACGGATCATCGTGTCTTGCTTCTTGTGCAATAATGAAAGGCTTGATGTTGTCAGAGATAAAACTCACACCATAATAAAATAGATTGCGTCCCGCAGCTGCTGACACAAGAGCATATATAGTAGCATGCTGTCTCATTCGTAAACGCAAAGCTCTTTAATGCGAAAACGCAATTCTTCCGATTTCCTCGAGTCTGCTTCTTTTTTTTTATCATCCAGTTCATCCCATTTTTCATCTTTTTTCCATCTAGCACTGAAAATTTCCCTTTCTTCCTGTACAAAAAGCTGGCATTGCCATGGTTGTCTGAACTGTGGCTGGTCAAGTTGATTATGTTATTCAAGTCATTGCAATTGCATATCTCTTGGCCACACTTAGCCTGCGGGACTGCTTTCTCATATAGAGATTGGGATGACAGACACCTCACGAGCTAGGCCATTCCGATATTGTCTTAGCAGCTTGGATATGCCATCTTTCCTAGTAACATTCCAGTCTGCCTGTACAAGAGACAGATCAACAGAATTTAAAGCAGGTGACAAACGCCCTTTATTTAACGCCCAATCTGATTGACACAAAGTAGGCGGGTAAAATTGGGTTGCGGGTAGATCTCTTCTGAATGATTCAAAGATGGCCTCACACACACAAACAGAAATGGACACACACGCAAACAGAATAAAAGCGTTTAGTAACACAAACCGAAAAATATAACTTGCTTCTCTTTCTTGTTTATCTCACTCTTTTTCGCTCTTTCTTTTTCTCCTTTCTAATCCATCTTGAACACCAATATCCAGAGAACATGGAAGCTTATGTCACTCTAGTAGCTACTGATTCGTACGCTGCTGGAGCACTCGTTTTGGCTCATCGATTGAGAGATCTCGGCTCAAGCAAGGAAATCGTCTGCCTGGTGACACCCACTATTTCGAGTCAAGTTCAGAAGATATTGTCAAATATCTGCACGCTTGTTCAAGTAGACACATTGCGCTCATCCGACCATAAGAACCTCCAACTGCTTGGGAGACCTGAATTGGACATTACCTTCACCAAGATACAGCTGTGGAAGCTGACACAGTACAAGAAGATTGTGTTTCTGGATGCGGATACATACCCAATTCAAAATATCGATCAGTTGTTTGAGAGACCATCGTTTTCAGCTGCACCTGATGCTGGATGGCCTGATTGCTTCAACAGTGGCGTGTTTGTTGCGGAACCAAGTGATGCCGTTTATAATGGATTGTGTCAACTGGCTAATGACAAAGGGTCTTTTGACGGTAAATGTTTCATGATCCATCCCACACTTGAAGAGGAATCGTACGTGCTTACACCTTGTCCTCCTTTTTCCCTTTAGGCGGCGATCAAGGACTTTTAAACAGTTTCTTCAGTACATGGCCAACGTCGCCGGAGCATCGTCTGCCATTCACGTTCAACACAACGCCAACATCGCAATATGGGTAAGATAATGTAGTACTGTTAAAGGAAAAAAAGTGGTGGGATTACTCATTGTATGACAACAGATATGCACCTGCCCAAAACGAATTTGGTCAAAACATATCCATTGTGCATTTCATTGGAGAAAACAAGCCCTGGAAGTACCAGAGATTTGCGGACGGTAGAGTATTGCCCTTGGGGAGCACTTGGGAGGGGACGAAGCATATGATCCAAGCATGGTGGAACACATGGGACACGTATTACGGTCAAGTAAGTGTTGAAACTTGGATGTCTTGCTCAAAGGCAACTCAGCTCACATCATGCGATAGACTTCACCCTACCATTTACTCTCCGGTGAATTAGATGACACGTTTGATGATGGTTTTCAGACTCGCCCTATTGTGCCTTTCGACGAAAACGTCAAGAATGCCTGGGATGATCAGCCAGTGGATTGGGATCATCATCGTAGACAGATTCAGCCTATGCCACCCATCTCATCCATCACCATTGGTCAACCAGATTGGCTAGTCCAGGAAGCTGAACGCAGAAGACAGCTAGAGGAACAGGAACAGGCTAGACATGAAGCTGAAGAGCAAAGACGACATCAAGAGGAAAACAGACGTCGGGAGGAAGAGGAAAGATCTCGGGAAGAACAAGAAACGGTACGTCAAACATATCAAGCACAAAGGGACCAGGTGTTGATAGTGATTGTATCTTTCTAGAGAAACCATGAGCATCATCACGACCACCACCACGAGGAGCATTATCATCACGACCATCATCATGACAATTACCAGGGTGAAGATGATTCACATGTGCAACAGCGCCATAAAGACCAACAGCATCATCACCGCTATGAAGAGCATCATCATCATCAAGAGCATCAAGCACCTAAAGAATACTCCATGATTGAATGGGATCCCGCACATCAGGAACCACCCAACACGGGAAGTCTTGGAGCTGATATTCCCGATTTATCATCATTTAGAAATGTGTGGGACCAACCTCGTAACGAGCAGCCAAGTCGTTGGGTAGCACCACTGCATCTACCTGAACCCCGAATCATGACAAAGCCAGAGTATGCTCACTACAACCCTCATGATTACGCCCCTGATGCCTATTATGCTCCCATTCACCATGAATTTAATCCTCCTCCCGCTCCAGCTGAGCCTGAACCAGAGCCAGTGGTTCATCATCATCAACACTATGAAGAGCCTCAATATCCTTTTTGTTTTCCCTGGGACAACAAACCTGAACATTTCCCACCTCCTACTCGTGTTTGGCAAGATGAACAACCTCCGCCACAGCCAGAGGAACCAGTGTATCATCACCAACCAGAAGAACCTAATCATCATCAAGATCATGGTAAGCTATTGCCATAGATGTTTCTTGTTGCACAAGGAAAAATCTTAATTTTATCTTATTGTTTACCATGTTTAGATAATCATGTCCATGAAGACCATCATCATCAAGAACAGCATCACGAAGAGCACCAAGAGGTACCGCCAGAACCTCATCACGAACAGCACAATCTTAGTATTGTCATTGACCATCATGACAGACAGGATACTGAACATGCAGTGTAAGTTTAGTTGCTGAAAAAAGGTGGCGCTTGTGGTGCAAGGGAAAAAAAATACAGAGATCACTAATGTTTACTGTATACATTCTTAGTCAACAAGCATCTGAAACTCATCACCATGCACGAGCACAAGAGGAAGAAAAGACGCCATCGCCTGTTATTGAACAACCACGACAACAGCAAGATGAGGAGTTCTGGGAGGAAAATGAACAACCCACGTTTGCTATCGATGCTATGATGAGTCCATCTGCTCAAAGCAAAATCGATGAATTTATTGCATCTTTGAGTGAGGGCGAGGATGAAGAAATCTCTGACCGTGATTTGATTCCCATCAAGTTCAAGCCGACAAGCCGTTTGTCTGGCATGTTTACACCATCTCCCTCTGGAAGCAGAGTGAATAGTCGTGCAGGTAGTCGATCCAATAGTCGAAGTGGCAGTAGACGAGCCAGTGTATCCAGTAGTAGGCGCAACTCGGTCATTGCCATTAATAAGCCATCACCTTCTCTGACACAACCACAACAATTCTTGTCAGGCAGTATCATTGCTGCTCCCACATTCACGATACCTGATGATAACGATACTACTGCTCAACAATCACAAAAGCTGTTTGCTGCTTCATCTGCCATGTTCAGTCGTAAAACGCCCTACACATCTGCTGCTGTTACACCGGCCATTGGCTTGACACCCGAAGAATTTGGCGCTGATGGCTACTTTGATGATCCAGAAGAGGAAGAGGGACGAGAGCAAGAAGATTTCACTTTTATGCCTGATTTTTTGAACGAGGCTCAATACTCTTTGAATGAATCTTTGTTTGAATCTACCACCAGTGAAGAATGGGATCCCTTAAACGCATTGAACAAGCTCAAGGAACATAGCGAGAGTATGGTGCTTCGCCAGTCGTTGCAAGAGGCCCTGGTTAAAACAGCCAAGGAACAACAAGAAAAGGAAGAAGCAGAGCTTGCTGCTACTACTGCTACTGCTGACGAGCTTGTTCCCATGGCAACCACTACTACTGCCACTACTACTGAAGCTCCTGCCTCCTCTGAATTCATTCCCATCAACAAGACACCTAGCAAAAAGAAAAAATACGCATTCAAATCTACCTGGGACGATGAAGAATATGATCTACCCAGTGCGCTTGTTTCTGGTGAGTCCTCTCCTCGCACTCCTATTGCTCGTAGTATGTCATCCTCGGACCTCACCAAGGAAATTGAAATGGAAAAGGAGCGTTACAAGCAGCAACGTGCTTCTCTCATGTTGGCTCAACCACAAGCTGCTGTTGCATCCATGCTGGAAGCTGAACTAGACTTATCTCGAGGTACACTATTCAAGAGACGTTACTATGATGCTTCCAACGATCATCAAGTCAATGCCATCCAGTCAGCTGAACGCATCACGCAAGAAACAAGTGAGCTTATTGAAAGCGAAAGCGATGATGAGGAAGATGCTACTGATTTCATTGCTTATTATGACGATTATGTGATCCAAGAAGCGCAAAAGAGACTGAGAGCCTTGGTCACTGGTGAGGAAGTCGATACTTCCACAGAGATGCCTGAACCCATCGGTGGACCTAAATACAACAACAACGACAACATGAAAAGCAAGAGACCATCTCATATGTATCAATACGGTGAAGCCAAGGAGCCTCAGCCATTGAGTTTATTATGGAACAGTCAATCCTATACATCTAATTTTGGCTTTGACGCAAAGCATAAGCTACCCATCTACCAATCTGATTTGATACCAGCCGAAGATGTTGCTGAAGAAATCAAGTCTTTGAGTGCTGAAATTGTTATAAAGGAAGATCCCTATACGAAGAAGCATAGACTTGCAAAGGAGGAGGAAGAGCGAAAATTAAAGGCAGAGCAAGAAAAGCTAGAGGAGGAGAGATTGTCAGAGGAAAAGATGGAGGACGAGGAGAATGCTAAAGCCAACATTGATGATGCCAACTTAACACTGGATGAAACCAAGATTGATTCTGTTCTCTGCAAGTCAGATAACCCACCAAAGAAAGAAAGCAAAAGCGAAGATAACTCATCTGTAATCACTACCACAATTGTTACAACACCTACGAAAGACCTTGAAGACATCATCAAGTCGAACAAGAGCAAGGCCACAGAGTCTACACTGACAATTAATACATTAGAAATCCCAGATGTTCCTGCCAACACTGGCATTATATCTCTTGAGTCACCTACTCCCATTCAAACGGTCAACAAAAAGCAGCCTACTCTCACTCATCAAGCATCCTCATCCTTATCTACCTCAAACATTAGCAGCTCAACTACAACATCTAGACACTCATTCACATCTTATACTGTAACATCCACAAAAGAAGCATCCCAAACAACCACCAAAAAAAGCAATGCCTCTTCTCTATCTAATAGAACCAGTAAAAAATAAATGTATTTGTAATTCTTCCCTCTTTCTGACATAATAAAAACTAGTATCACCAATGTTCATGCATAATACGTGTGTGGCTACCTAGTGTAAATCGAAAATGTCCTTGATGCAAAAAATATAGATATAAATGTTTTCAGTATTTGAAATAAACTCAAAAACAGCTTTATTGTCCTATCTATGGCACCATATTTGAGGATAAATCCGAATAACTACGCATTGAGTGAAGAGTGTAACACCGGGAATCGAGTACAGGATTCGCTTAAAAGCAGTAAAAGATTCTGGCCAAAAGCCAATTCATTATCTTTTCCCCTTTTATTTTCTTACACACAATGGCAGATAATAATCAAATTCTATGGAACACAACTGGAGAAGACCTTGTCAAGCTATACAAAACTGATCTTACTGGCAAAATCGCTATAGTAACTGGCCCAAACTCTGGTATTGGCTTGGAAACCGCGCGTGTGCTTGCCTCAGTTGGAGCCAAAGTTATTATTCCCTGTCGAACATTTGAAAAGGCTGAGGATGCAATTAAAACCATCAAGAAATCAGTACCTAATGCTGACCTGGTTCCGATGAAATTAGAGTTATCTGATTTATCCTCCATCAGTGAATTCAGTAACTCGTTTTACCAACTTAATCTGCCTCTTCATTTACTCGTCAATAATGCCGGTATCATGGGATGCCCTAAATCATTCACTGAAGATGGATTCGAGACTCAATTCGGGGTCAATCACTTGGGCCATTTTTACCTCACACAATCCCTACTTGGTAAACTCCAAGCCGAAGCTTCCACTGGTGCTCGTGTTGTTTGTGTCAGCTCTGCTGCTAATTATCACTTTTTGGGCAAAGAAGGTCTTGATTTCGATAATCTCAATGCAGAGAAAAGCTATAGTCCAAGTGTTGCCTATGGTCAAGCCAAGTTTGCCAACATCTTGTTTGCAAAAGAACTACAACGACGATTCGATGCTGAAGGCGTAGACATTACAGTAACCAGTCTTCATCCAGGCGCTGTTGTATCTAATTTAGGCCGTCATATCAATCTGTCTGCCGCTTGGGATAGTTTTCGACATGCAAGAGATTTTTTTAGCCTCGTGAAAGAGGTGGTGAGTTACAAAAATGTCAAGATAGGTGCCTCTACTAGTATCTATTGCTGTGTGTCTCCAGATGTCAAGAAGGGCGAGTTTTATGCAGATAATGTGATCAATAGGACGGTTCTCAATGAACAAGCAGACAACAAGGAGATGGCTAAGCGGCTTTGGGATCTTTCTGAGAAACTTATAGCAAAGGCGTTGAATCCTTCAATGAGCCTTAGCTAAATCACAATTATGTATTATACCAATAAAGCTCAATATTGTTACGAATCGTAATATCGACTTTCTTTTTCTGTCACTATATAAAATCATTCATTCTGCTCTTCACCATCAAACGAATAAAATACATCATATTTGGTATCGCTTAAATATCACTCTGTCCACAACTCAAATGTGCCGCATATCAAGCGGGCATGAATTAAAGGCCCAGATCAACGCTGCAATGCCTTCCGTATCTTGTATCCAAAAGGACAAGCATATATCAAATCTTACATCTTAAGTCCATGAAATATAATTACATAACCAAATCATATGAAACTAAATACAGTGGTCCTTGTAAATTAAGTAAGCTATCCTTAGTTCATCGAAGGATATTAGTACAGAAATATTATCCAATCTCAATTCAATCCTCTGTTAACCAGGACATTATTTCAGATATAAAGAATAACAAAATATTATAAAAAGCATAAATCTCAAAATCAATTAATAAAATCATCTTGTACTTTACCAATAGTTCAATACATATCTTTTATAAAGCTCATTAACTGTTATATCTACTTCTTTTCTTATACTAAACATCTGTTATTTGTAAGATACCTTGTATTTCCCATATTATGATCGATCCATTATAAACTCTTTTATATACAACTCTGTATAAGTTTCTATGTTCTACTTTTACTTCTGTTTATTTGTTTATTCTAGTTGGACAACCATAAACCTAGTGCTCATTTGATAGTTTGATCTGCTTTGGCTAGTTTACTATCTCTCTTCAAACTCTTTTATCAAACCTATACACACTGCTACCGACTCGCCCGTAACAATACCTCAGTACGTAGTGCAGATCATGACATTTTAAAATAATGCGAAAATAAGTTGATCTATCTCATTCAAAACAACGAAACAACCAGACAAAAAGACTACAAGCACTGCTTTTCCGAAGAAAAGCAAAAAGAATATTTCCGGCTTACCTGATTCGAACAGGTGACCTAAAGATGACAGATTCACTACAGTCTTCCGCTCTACCAACTGAGCTAAAGCCGGATTGATGCTTAAATGACTTATTTGATTAAAGTTTTATGCGGAAGCAATGATTATGCCGAAAGGTCGTGAGTCGAATCCCACCTTCACATTCATATTTTCCGCCTTTCTAACCTGGCATGTTACTCGGTATTTGTGCTTGCACGTTTAGGTGTGCTGCGGTGCGTCTGGCCGGTTTCTACCTTGAGTCCTGTTCGTCTCCGCCGTCTTGCGGCACGGCCATTGCCATTCCTCCCTCTGTTTCTCCTCCTCTCTGGTGGGTTTTGATGCCGTTTACTCTACTGGTCCCCTCCCTTTTAGCAACTCCCCTAACCATTAATTTAAAAACATGCTTTTTCCCGCCGAATCACTGTTAGTCTTGCAATATATGATCATACCGATTCCGCTGTTGACTACATTTGTAAATAAATAAAAAAACCGATATTAAACTGAGCTAAAGCCGGACCTTTTTTATCCATTCAACTAAAAGGCTATAACATCTTCCTGCACACTCTCTATATCTACTTCTATTTATATCTCGCTCAGATCTCAGATTACGTATTGTTAAGCACAAAGAATAAAAGGATTATTATTTGTAGCTTATAAAAAATGTTCGATATTATAAAAACAAGAAAAGACTTATTTGAATAAGATCAGACACAAAAAACTAAAGATTTATTGATGAAGACAAGAGTTATTCTATTTATACTAAGTTCTGAATGCCAAAGTAGCAATTTATCTTGTACAACGCTTATCACATCTGGTGAACCTCAGTATTTAGATAGCTGAGATGCACTTCACTTATCATAGCTTGTCCATGTTGTTGCACAACACAGACATATCTACCCATCAAGAATACCTTAATCTTTATAGACAGTTGTAGCCCTTCTGGCACAACATGGGCTTTGTTGAAAAGGCGTCTCAATGAGTATGAAGCCGCAACCAAGGGTATGAATGAATTATATTATGAGCGAGTAACTGATATTTGGTATGACCAGATGAAGCCGGAGGAGTGCCAAAAGGTTATAGAAAGTATGCCTCGACGTATTGCGGCCGTTATCAAAGCAAAAGGGAAATAGACAGAGTATTAAAGTCTTATAAAATAATAAAACTTGATTTTTCCAAATATTTCACAATACTGTCCCAATGTACCTTATGACTTTGGCCAATTACAGCTTGTGATTCTACAGCTATGTGCTTATAAAAATTAAACGATATAAAGAAAACAGTTTTAGCTTTTAGAAAATACTAAATTCATTATTATTGGATAACGCCCCGTCCGGTGGTAAGGTCTGAAAGTAAAAACTGCTAAACATTAGGACAGTTTTGTGGGTCACGGTATAATAACCATACCATCGTATAGAGAATTGAAAGTTATTAAACTTGAAGCTCTTGTTCACTTAGTAAAATCTAGCGGTATGGTCCTTTGAAAATCGGTCATCTGAAACATTTTCCGTCATTACTCATTCACATCACTTTCTATAACCCCACATCAAACATACCCTATACTAGTCAAGAAGATTGCCCTCTACAGCTTTCAGTACACATACATTTCACATTCATATAGTAATTTTAAAAAGTTTTACTAGCAGCATCTATTCAAAATGAACTTGGTTTGCACCATCGTCATCTTGGCAGGAGCGGGATATCAAATCAAACAAACTCCGGTATCTGAGTTTTAAAATCTCTGATTTCTTATATTTCATTGGAAGAACATCTATCAATAAGAATCACCGTGATTTCGTGAAAAAAGCATCTCATACTTGGTTAATACGTATAAAGAGCTTCTCCAGATGAGAAGTAAAATTGGTACAACATTGGTTTTTGAGTAAATGAACCATAGATTCAGCTGTAGTCTGTCGTCTATTATTAGAGTTATTGAGGACTAAGGGCTTCAGAGTATATAGAAGAAATGATATAATCTACAAGTATCGTGTATCCTTTATGTAGATGCATTGTTCGCATCTAAAGTGCATTTTGTTGGCAATTTTAGTCAGCACACTTGACGTTTCGTATATAGCGCTAGAAGACATCTTTTTTGACGCTTATATACTCGGTTTTATCTTTTGCGATATCTTGTCTTTCAGGAATATAGCGACAGCTCTTGATATTCTTTTCAATTCAATTTGTCTTTCTTGCAGTAATTGAAGCCAAGTCTGATTGTATTGAATGTTGTCTTTTGCTTTACCATTCATTGCCTCAAGTGTTGCCATGTATGAATTCAAGCGAGCATAATTTATACCAGTTGTAGCGGCTTTTTCTCATCCGTGATTTCATCATCAAAAAAGAGCTTTAATTAGTTCAATGAGACCGGCGACTTTATGTTGTTTAGCGTATAACCTTAGTAAACAATTCTTTACAAACGTTTGTTGCAGTAGCCAACACATGGATACCAGATCCAGAAATTTATCAAAGTTGTGCCTAAACTTCCTGCAGACCAGATCTCAGGCAGTGATTTACCTAAATGGGTGACTATTTACACCTGCAATGCGCCATTCATTCGCAGCCATGAAAAGTTTCTTGGACTTTACTCTTTCTTTTTCTCTACTGTCATCATCGCACAATGGAGAATATGGACGAACTCGTCGATCAAGTGCTTGCAATTGACTCTTCCAAGAGCCGATCTGATATCTTAATCGATTTGAAGCATACGAAAAGTGTGGAGACAACAATTAATAGAATTTTCGATGGCGATGTAAGCTCAAGAGAGTACTAGGTTGCTACAGTGAATTGACATGATAAACTTATAGTTTCTAAACGGCACAGAGCGCGATCTTTCCAAATCAGCTTTTCTTATCATAGATTCTGATGATGACAACGATACTCTGGATCAAGAGCCGCCAAAGCAAAGGCAAATATCACCTCAAGCAGTTACACTACAAGACAGTTTTGAGGAATTGTCGTTTGATAGGGGTTCTCCCAAAGCAAGCTATAGCAACGATAGCCAAATGCCAACGCCCAAAAGGAAACCGCAAACGAGGGATGAGCTTGATGACTTTTTCAATACACCACCACCTGCTGATAAAGAGGATACTTTCTTACTTTTGGAGGATGATGATGAAAACGACTTTGGAAGACCTCCACCATCATCATCACCATCCTTCTTATCACTCGATGATGATAAAATGACACCACTTTCACCTGTTCAACTCACCATGCGTAAAGAAGAAAAGACGAATAGCATCTTTGGAGCACATTTTGACAATGATGATGATGATGTAGATGAATTACCATCTGCTACAGACTTTTTCGACGAACTTTTGTTGAAGAAACCTGCAACACCGATAGTAGAACTTGACGATGACGATGACGATGATGCGATTGAGATTATTTCATCGCCTCCAACAAACAAATCTTCATCAATAGATCGAAAGGGAAAACGACGAGCTTACGAGTACGATTTTGATTTTGATACAATTGTTGATCCTCCTCCCAGCAATCGCCGCCGTTTAGATGAGGACCCTCTTGACGATGCTGTACCCACGACATCTGCGGAAAGAAGAGAAAAGGAAAAGGAAGAGAAGAAACTTCAACGAGAGTTAGCAGCTGAAGAAAAAAAGCGACAAAAGGCAAAGGCATTAGAGGAAAAGCAAAGACAAAAAGAGCAAAAGCAGGTACGGATCAAGCTTTTTGTGTAGACCATTTTACAGCCATTGATACACGCATCCTATCTAGTTGGAAAAGGAGCGCAAGACATTGTTTGAGAAAGAGAATAGGATTCGAGCGGATAGGAATGAGATTTTAAAGGAGATCATTGTCGATATTCACCCAAATTTCCTCAAGACGAAGCCTGGGGAGTTGCTGGAGCTTGTATTGACAAAGAAAGAAGTAGAATTTCAAAATCTCTTGCTGCAACATCCAGATCCGTCCTATACACTTAGCTGGAGACGCAAAACTAATTCTGAATGGGATCCAAGTAGCCAAGCATTTATTCCCCTTTGTAAAACCAAAATTATTCAAGAGCCCGTTGTACTTGTCTATGTGGATATACCCAAATTTACCCAACGCATACAAGCAAAAACTATTGATAAATACATTGATGTCATTGAACGAGATTGTGATGGACGTCAAATCATGTTGCTGATTGAAGGGTTGGAAGCGTATTACAAAAAGAAAATGCTCTTGAAACGACGCCAATTTGATGCAGAGGTTCGCGACGCTTTCAATGCAGACGAGGGATCCTCTAATACAACAAATACCAGCAAGCGAAAGAACAATTTAGCCAATCTCGATGATGGTCTGGAGCCGGGCGATGTTGAGGAATGTCTAAACTACTTGCAGTTAGTGCGTGGTGTCATGTTGGTGCCTACAAAAGACGACGAGGACACTGCAAGCTGGATCGAGAGCCTAACAACGGATTTGGCACTAGGAAGATACAAATCAAAAAATGTCAACGACTCATACAAGGTGGGCAAATCTGGATCTGATCCCAAAGACACGTATCTGAAAATGCTACAAGAGATTCAGTTATGTACACCTGCCATTGCTGATAGTGTTGCTTGGGCCTATCCAACATTGCAGTCATTACATCGAGCATATCAACGTAAAAACGCATCAGATGGCGAATTGTTGCTGGCAGCATTAGAGGTGGAAAGAAGTGCGCTTCGACAACGAGATAGAAAGATCAATAGACTCATGTCCAGAAAGATTTATACCATTTTCACCAGCGATGATCCAGAGCAAATTTTGTATTAAAAAAAGCAAAAGGGATTTTATTCAAACAAAATCATGGTTTGGAAATATACATGTAAAAGGTGGCTTCCATATGTAATTGGCTGTCGATTGAGTGGCTGTTAGCTGGTATGTTCTATTGTGTGTTGGCGTCGCTGTGAGGTGCGGTTGATCAAAACTCAAATTCTGAACGAAAGGCGTTCAAGTTGTGATTGTCACAGTGTCTAGCCAAATCTTCACGGTTCATACTGTCAGGTAGAGTTAGTAAAAAAAAAAAAAAAAAAAAAAAAAAAAAAAAAAAAAAAAAAAAAAAAAGACAAGGTAGGTTCATTAAAATAGACTTACTTTAACATGAGCATACGAAGACTGCCCCATACATTATCACCCATACCACCAGGCACACTGACTTGGTTACCGTGCTCATCAATCATGACTGATCCACCAGCGCCGTTGCTACCATCGTTTGATTGCTGCAATGCCAATGCAGTGAGCAAATGTTCTGCTGCCTCACGGTGTTGACCAAGATTGATGCAGCTGATGGCCAAGTTGTATCTTGCACGGACATAGGTAGGACTGATCTCTAAAGCATTGAAATAAGCTTCAATAGCGCCAGCAGAGTCTCTTGAATTGGCCAGTGTAGCACCCAGCTTGTTCCACAACAGGTAGTCTTGTGGTTTACTTGCTAAAGCAGCCTTGAAGCAATCAATGGCCTTTTCGTATTCCTCAGAGACATTGAACAAGACGCCCAAACCGACTTGAACATCAGCATCCATTTCCTCACCAGGAGAGCTTCTAGCAGCTTCCAAAAACATGTTGGTAATGTAACCATGGCGACCCTCTGGTCCCATCTTGCCTTTACCACTGGCTAAATGCTTGTAGTGAGGATGATTAGCAATCCATTGCTCCAAGGCGTCGTATGCATCAGCACGACAGTTTTCATTAGTATAGCTGACAGCCAGAGCCAACCAGCCATCTAACAGAGAAGGGTTCATTTCCAATGCCTTTCGTAAAGCAGCAATAGCAGCACCATCTCGTTCATTTTCTTGTTGTCGGAGACCCAGCATTTTCCAAGCACCAGCATCGGATGTTTGTAATTGAGCCTTAGCTTCTAAAGCCAGGATGGACACTGCCAAATTGCTGTGATCCACACTGTCAATGGCACTCGGGTTCAATAAATAGGGGTTGTTGGTGGTAAAGTTGTAGATGTTGTATTCAGGATTCGTGGCACGGTATCCCATGCCTTGCTCAGGTCTGAATCGCTCCCAATCCTTTTGCATAGAGTCCCATTCGTGATCTTGAGCATCTTTTAGATGAGCAATATTTTGGTTGTATTGCTGAACCCAGTCGTCCATTTCACTGCCTTTGCCAAAGACCTGTTGCATTTGAGGCTGTTTAGCAGAGAATTCAGACGCCCAATCTCCAGGCTGTTGGTGCTGATTTTGTTCACGATGAAATTCAGATGTCCAGCCTCGTTCTGCTTTGGCAGCAAACTCATTTGACCACATGTTGCCACTACGAGCAGAGCCAGCATGTTGTGTAAATTCACTGGCCCAATCATTGCCTGCAACACCGTTTGTTGATTTACCAGTTTCCACCATTTTGTCGCCTTCAATGGCCACTTCACTGTCTCGTAATTTTCGCATCAAATTCATGAATTGTGAGTTTTTAAACTTGGGGTTGGTTTCTGTATCCACGGAATCCAGTAGCATGGCAGCTGTTCTGGCAAGTGCATCGTTATCGTTATTGACTACTGTGGGTTTGTTCTCTTGCTCAAATTCGGTGGCCCATGATTCCTGTGCTGCAAACTCTTGCTCCCAATTCACTGCCTGTGGTGCTCCTTGTTTTGCTTCGTCAAAGGCTCTTTCAAAAGCAGCTCTTTCGTGATGAGTCAAGACATGGCCTGGATGGCTTGCTTGAAATGCCTCGAACTCCTCGTTCCAGTTGGCACCGTGCACAATCTGTTGGCGTGGATGGCCTCGTTGCTGGTATATTTTCTCGAATTCATCAAATTGTTGTGAGCCATGATTCATAGGTTGATGTTGCATGAAATCTGCAGCCCAATTTGCCGCTGCTGGTGCTGGTGCTTGTAATGCTTGTGGTGGTGGTTGATGAGGTTGCATCATTTCTAATTCTCGGTTGAGACCGTTGAATTCAAAGACATTGGTGTCTGGTCTCTCCATATTAGCGCCATCTCTAAAGAACTCTTCGCTCATCTGCATTGAGATCTATCAGCGCCGCGGTCTCTCTATCATCCATATTCTCTACTTACCGAAGAGCCTGCTCCTGGCGCAAAGTTTGCATTTCTAGTACGAAACGATGGCTAAAATAGGAAAACTTTAATATCTCTCGATGAAATTAAAGGTGTTTGGATCCATTACCTTGGAGCTTTCTCCTCTTTGCTCAGGGCCAAAACGATCCTAAATACACCATATCGTCGAATGAGTACTTGGTGTCTGTCTCTGTTGTCTGCTTAAGTTTATACCTGTTGAAGCGATCTATCCTGTCCAAACTGCTTCATGAGGCCGGCCATTGGATTGACTGGTCCACAGTCAGCACTTGCTTCACCCATAAAAGACATGCCGTTTGATAATATAATACAAGTAGTGAAGAAAAAGTTTAAAAAAAAAAGAAGAAGAAAAAGAGGAAAACACTCTCAAGTGCTTGTCGTTTACCGTTTCCAAGTTTAAATAGGAGTGGCTCACGATTGTGAGAAATACGCAGATTTTATTAGTCATGAAAAAGCTGGGGAAAGCGCAAGTCCGACATGTGAACATCAGTGCACACTCTATTAAGCTCTCAACGCACCATCCAGCCTTATCACAGAGCCATTCAGCATGGGCATTTGAATGATTTGTAATACGAGATCCGAGAATTCAGTTGGCGTGCCTAGTCTTTTGGGAAACAAACCCAAAGGTGTGGTATTAGAGGATCTATCGACAATAGGTGTATCTATAGATTGGAAAACGTGAATGACAAATGACAAATTGCAAATGTGTGGTTTATGATTTACCAAATACACCAGGCGCTACACTCATAACTCGAATACCAAACGGAGACAATTCCTTTGCAAGTGGCAGAGTGAGGCCAGCAATGCCCGCTGCAAAGATGGCATCAATGATGTCTGTGCTGATTATGGTCCTGTACATGGCACTTTACCTTTCGATGTACCGTATCCAACCATCAAGCCATCCAGTCCAAGTATAGACGATATAGTGATGATGATACCTCTCTCACCATCTTGATTCATTGGTTCGTTTTTCAAGAGCAATTCGCTAACCTTTTGTGCAACGCAGTATGTACCCAGCAGATTAACCTTAATGACACGCTCAAACTGTTGGTAGCTGGTCAACGAAAAATCAGGTCCATAGCCGCTGATAGATGATGGGGGTGTGACAATACCGCTAGACAGAATAGCGCCTCCTACAGTAGCCTTTGGGAAATAAGCCAGCGTTTTAGCCAAAGCAATGTCTACATCAGACTAGATGCAAATGTTCAGTTTCTCCAGTAATGCACAGATATACAGATGCTAGCATTACCTCTTTAGAGACATCGGTGGAGCCATGAAAGTAGCATTTGTCATGGCCTAGTTCCTCAACTAGTTTCTCGGCTAGTTCAACATTGATATCTAAAATCTAGTCATCAAAGTTAATATGGCTGTTGGTGTAAGCCCAAGGAGGGATACTAACAGATACAAATGCGCCATGCTCTATCAATGAGCGGACGACTTGTTCGCCTAATCCTCTTGCTCTAGATGATATGTTGGCATTGATGCATCGAAACATACACGTTTGTGTACAAAACATACCCCCCAGTAACGATAAAAAGATAGCCGCTAATAAGCATAGTAAGACTGTGAAAAAGATGTAGTATGATTTAGCAATCTAATGTTCAGTTGCTTATATATATATATATATATAGGTAGCATGCTTCTTTTGTTCGCTACAAATGGTAACTCAGGAGTTGCCGTTTAGAATTTGGAGCCGAGATTACGCATTTTATGCTAAATGAGCTTCAACTGAACCTTCACAGTGATGCTAGCTGGTGCAACACCTCATACTCCCTACCAAGTTTTATATGTCTGACAGCATGATTGTATTTCAGTATGATTTTATTTGTACAAGATAAAGAGTGAGTATGTATTGATCTAAAGTTCCATTCTTTTGGCTGCGGTTCTGGTGAATGAGGCCAATTGCCATTCTACATCAGCGTCTGTCAAATCAACTGTACCGAGTCTGATTTCATATGCTAATATTTCCTTGCAGTTAGTCTTGGCTGTTTCCTCTTTACACAAATCAACAAGGCACACTTACGTCGCATCTCGAAACGAGGACCCACTTCAGCCAACTCCACTTGATTAGCTGCCTTTACATACACATGATGTCTGAATGATATGTAATCGTTATCGTTGCAAAATGTCATCACACGCTTTGTGTCATCTTTTGGAACAGGGAATAAAAATTTTAAAATGTTTGTAATCTAAGAAGAGGCCAATGAGTCAAACCATCCACTATTATATGATCCCCCCCTCCCACACCCCCCCCCCCTACCCAATGTATACTCACTCTAGCACCTAATTTTGAGTTGAAATTTTCGAATATTAAATGAGGAAATGCTTCAGACACAGTGCCTTGATCCTTGATATCATGACGAAGCACCACATTGTGTAAGGAGAAATAAGCTGTAGGACCGTAAGGGAAATGACTGACAATCATACCATCAGGCTGGCCACGGTGTTCGTGCAACACAATCAGATCTGTCACCTCGTTGGCTCTACAAGCATCCACAATTTCCTTCATCACATGTCCACCACGGTTGATGCGCTGAGAGTTGGGGAATACAAGACGCATTTCCTTTGAAAATTGCTGTAAACGACTGCTGGGATCTCTGGATGTTGTAATCAAAATCTTGGGATCGTAGACACCTCCACGAGCATATTCATCGTCCTCGTGAGTAGATGGTGCTAGTGTATAGAGTCAATACCCAAGTGATCCCTGTATAGCATGTCCAATTACCTTCTTGTGCTTGATCGTAGCCGAGATCTTCTTTGCTTGCTTTATCCATATCTCTCAATTCAGTGGGCACAGCCTTTCCCTCTATTATGTGTCATGAGTACAAGTTTACATACATCTGCTGATCTTTGTAGTCACTTACGTTCAATGGCCTCTTTGATCTTTTGCTTGCGATCATAGATGGTGCGCTCCTTGGACTCCAAGGATTTCTTGTATAGATATTCTCTGCGAAGACGAGTATTTCTGCGGATCTAATCACCTCGAGTTAGCAGCTATTCTTTGATGAGTGCAACGCTGTAATGCGTCTTACCATTGTATCTTCTAATGTATGGATCTATAAGCTTCTAATGAGGGAAAATGTCAAGTTGATGGATAGCAATTTTTTTCCAGTTTTATTTCAACCGAAAAAAAAAAAGTGACTCTTTGTTCTTCAGGTTGCTTGTATCAATTTGGAGGTGAGCACGGCATTGGGATGTAGGTATCCAATCATGTTTAGAGGTAGCTCAAGATGCCCTCCCTGTTTATGCACAGGACATGCTCTGATGAGTCGCTGGATCAGGAAGTCTAAGCAGATGTATATCCAAGATATCCAGGCATCGCTGGCATAGAGTAAATGGCAAATGTCGAAATGACATCTCCAATGATGCTCGCATTCATAAGCGAGGCACTTGCTATCTTGAGAGGGTCGCTTAAAAAAGGGTATTTCCTTCATGCGCCCAGTATCATATTGACCCAGTAGCTCCATACTGCCATCACAATCGCCCTTGAATGGAGCACAATGAGTCTACAGTGAACCTGTCCTGAATTTTACATTTCAATGCTAGTGCAGTGACTCTCTTCTAGCTTCATTTAGAAGCATCGCTACTACACATTTTAAGTATAAAAAATGGTAAAATCTTTTTTTTTTTTTTTTTTTTTCTTTTCCTTCTTTCTTCTGCGTAGTTGATTTAGATATTGCAATCAAATATGGCTGTCGAAACCAGATATTACGAGATTCTCGAAGTAGAGGCTGACGCTTCCGATCATGAGATCAAGAGGGTAAATTGTTGATTCTAGCCATCGGCAGTATGAACTTTTTTTTTTTTTTTTTTTTTTTTTTTTTCCACTCACCATGCTTTCCTCATTGATATAGGCTTACAGAAAATTGGTACACAATGACAATGACATACACTCATTCCAAAGCATATGTTGTTAACCCATTCCATAGGCCATGAAGTATCACCCTGATAAAAACCCTGATGAAGGCGAAAGAGTAAGATCGAATCTCCCACGATTCCAACCCCCCCCCCTAGTAGATGGATATATATCTAATATTCGCCATTTTCTCTATTGACTTCTAGTTCAAAGAGATTTCTCATGCTTACGAGATCCTTTCTGATCCTGAAAGCCGTGCCAGCTACGATAGATTTGGTGAAGATGGACCTGGTGGAGGAGCTGGTGGAGGTTATGGCATGTCTGCTGATGATTTGTTTGCCAATTTGTTTGGTGGTGGAGGTGGAGGCATGGGCTTTGATTTCGGTGGTGAATTCCATGGTCATGGCATGCCTCGTCGTCCTCGTAAGGGTGAAAGCATGAGATATCCTCTCACTGTTACTCTGGAAGACTTGTATCTCGGTAAAAAGACAAAGTTGGCATTAGAGAAGAATGTCATTTGCTCCAATTGTGAAGGCAGGGGTGGCAAGACAGGTGCTACTAGAAAGTGCGGTGCTTGTAAGGGTAAAGGCTATTCAGTTGCTATGCGTCAAGTTGGCATGGGCATGATTCAGCAAATGCAAGTGCCTTGTGGTGAATGTGATCACACTGGTGAAATCGCAAAGGAAAAGTGTAAGAAGTGTAAGGGCAAGAAGGTGACAGTCGAGAAGAAGTACTTGGAGGTCTTTATTGAGAAGGGTATGGAAGATGGTCAAAAGATTGCCATGAAGGGTGAAGGTGATCAAGAGCCTGGTGTCGAGCCTGGAGATGTCATTTTGGTCCTGAATCAAAAGGAGCATGCTACGTTTACTCGCGAAGGCAATGACCTGCTTGTCGAGGTCAAGATCTCTTTGACTGAAGCTCTTTGTGGTTTTGACAAGGTCATTGTTACACATTTGGATGGCCGTGGCATTCAAGTCAAACAACCTGCTGGTCAAGTTATCAAGCCTGGCATGATCAAGCGTATTCCCAATGAGGGTATGCCCACTTATAAGCGTCCTGATAGTCGCGGTGATCTCTACATCAAGTTTGACGTCGAATTCCCTGTTGACAACTTTACTGCTGATTTCGCTTCATTAGAATCCATCTTACCAAAGCGCAAAAATAAGGCTTCCAAGCAAGAAATTATTGACGAATGCAGTCTGATGGATGCCAGTATGGAAGCATTTGGTGCTTCAGGTCAATCACGCAATGCTTATGATGAGGATGACAGTGAAGAAGAGGACCATGGTGGTGTCCGTTGTGCTCAACAGTAAAATAGCCTGTGTTTATATAGATAGTTTTTTTTTTACCCCTCTTTCCCTCCCTTTTACGAACAAAATTAAGAATAAATGCACACACACAAAAGAAGTTTTTATTGTAAAAAAGCTAGTAATCATCATCGTCGTCGTCTTCGTCAAAGGGATCCAGTCGATCTTCTGAATAGCTTTGAGGCGGTGGTGATCTTGAATCGTCTCTACTTTCTCTTGATTTTTGTGCTGTCTTCATGCGTCTCTGTTGATTTACGTCTTCACAAGCATCAATCCAGGCTGAATAGACGTCCACAGGCTCATCCAAATCTGTAGTCAAGCAAACTTAATATATCCGAGATGCGTTCTTTTTTTTTTTTTTTTTTTTTTTTTTTGTTCCACACACACACACACACACACACACACACACACACACACACTACGACAACTTACATGTAACAGGACATTGCCATGACACACTACAGATCTTGCAAGTCAAGATACCGACCTTGTTGGGAGAATCACTGTAGCGAGCTTATGGGTTAGCCACATACAACGCGCAAGAGTATGATCATTTTGACAGCTTACATTTTGCATTCAATACTGTTCTCATGATTACAAAAGAGACAGTTGAATTGTGTGTCTAATTTGTCCTTGAGCTTCTTTTGAGGCTTTCTCTTGGTCTTTCTTTTACCCTGATTTTATCAATGTTGATATGAGTTATCCTAGGGGTCAATCACATTGAGCAACAGAGCCCTTGCACTTACCATTGTGTATTAGAGAAGAAAAAGAGTTTTTCACTTTGGATGGAAGCTTTGGCCCACTATTTGTAGTTCAACAAGCGTACTAAATGCACACCTGAGCCTATAACTAAAATGAAGGCGGTCTAAATATATTTGCTTTGCACTTTTCTCAATCTCTTTCTGCTTTAGCTGCAATGTCAGAGTTCAAAGGATTCACATTTGAGAAGCCCATCAAGCATGACAGTGAATCCCAAGATCCACATCTGACAAACTTGTCTTTGAAATTCAATCGCATCTCGACAGACGACAATGGTAGTCGACTTGATTCATTCAAGAACTTTCGCTCTCCTATTGCAAGTCGCTCCCGGTCAGAAGCGCAAGAAAAGCGACGACTGGAAGCACTGGAGTTACAGAAACAAGTAGGATTTGGGTCCATTGTGCGTGTGTGGCATGTGTAATTTACCTATAGAATTGTTGGTTAGCAAAGACAGACATCCATCAACAAAGCTCGACAGATTGCATTAAATACTGCTGAAGAAGATGAATCAACATCTGATGAAGAGGAGGAAGAAGAAGAGGAGGAGCAAGTGGAAGTGCAGGAAACAGTGGTCGCTCATGCTAAGCGTTTGAGAGATTCAGACGATGAAATGGAAGAAGTCAGTAAATACGTCAAAACTATGCCAAAGAGGAAGAGCAAGAACAAGCATAAAAAGAAAAAGAACCTTCATGCGTAGGTATATACTCTTTCACCACACGTGGGCTCTTATTCACTTTACTTTAGGAATCAAATCATGTACTCGGAAACAATGGAGTCTGTGCCTCGAGATTTGTTGACAGACTGGGTATTGATGATCTGTCCAAAGGGCAAGCGATGCATGGTAACGTCAGGCAGTGGAGAGACGATTGCACGGTCCAGAGCTGGCAACATTTTGGCCCGTTTTCAGTCGCGATTGCCCAACGGATCAAGAACAAACCGTACATCTGATTTCTGTATTCTGGACTGTGTCTATGATGCAGTGCATTGGACATTTTACGTACTGGATATCATGTGCTGGCGAGGATACCCCATTTTTGATTGTGATACAAATTTCAGGTACATTCCTCTGATGGAACTCTTTTAACATGATACTTAGTACGTTAGCAGACATTTTTGGCTCCAAACCAAACTAGAACCGAATGAATTAGATAGATCTGATGGACACAATCAGTTTTACAAATTTATACCTCTAAAACCAGTATTGACAACCAATACACAGCAAGTCGTTGAAGATCCTGAGCAATACGTGAAAAGCCAAGGCTTCTCGTATGACATTGATGGTCTTTTGTTTTATCACAGACAAGCACATTATCGAGGTGGGAGTACGCCTTTGGTCTGTTGGGTGCCTCGTGATGAAATACAGAATATGCTGAAATAAATGTAGGCTTTCATGTAATAAAGTATGGCTGCACTACAGTGAACAAATCCATCCTATATGAAATCAGATTCAGTAGGGCCTCTGCAGAGCAATGCTTTAGGATTTAGAGTTTTAGTAATGGACAAATGACACTCATTGATTAGTTGTAGCTTGGGTTGGCCTCTCACAGGCTATTTAAACCCAGGGACAAGCATCTTGCGTCCTTTTCTTTTGATACCTATTACCAACAAGCAATATGTGGAAACGAGAGCGAATGATGGTTGATGTTATATCCGTCAAACCCGCTACACCATTACCGCTATCGTCAGCTTACCAGCACAGCCCTTCTTTACTGATAAACAACAATCATAGCAACCTTCCTCCTCCTCCTCCTCCTCCTCCTCCACTTTTGCAAAATAGACCATGCTATCCGTTTGATAGCCATATCCATGACGATGTAAACAACTTCTATGCAGGCAATGAATATAACCAATTTGGAGACATCAAACCACCCAGCACAAAGCGGCCCTTATCTGTCCATGAAAGCATGCCATCCAAAAGACAGAAATCCTTAAATGCACTGCCATCATCATCCGCATCCACATCCCAGCCAAAGAGCTCATACACATTCACTTCAAAACCGTATGATTACATGGACAACAACATCATGTACGATTACTGACAAGCTCCACCTCACTATACTTTTTTTTTTTTTTTTTTTTTTTTTTTTTTTTTTTTCACGTATTTTATTTCTCCATCTTGCTCTGCCTGCTTTAATCCTTCTTTAAAGGATGAAGTTGTACTTCAACAGGTTGATCTTTACGAATAATAAAAATTTGAAGGTTATCGCCAGTATAAATATCACGTTCCGTAGCTGAAGTAAATGCATCCTTCACAATCTTGAGAACTTCATCCAATTCCATATCTTCAAACTTTCTATTTGCCATATTCTTCTTGCCGACTTGGTTATCCAGGAAAGGTTGAATGAGTGCTGATGCGGAACCGTTGGCACGACACATTTCACGCTCGAATGATCCAATAGCATCGTAACAATAGACTGCACCTTTACCGTTCTCATCAACACCTCCCAATACACAGAAACTATAGTAAGGGAAGAAACGCTTTTGATACAGTGTGATGGATAACATTTGTGCTACTGCAGTAACAGACATGTCCTTTTCATGGCTGAATTTATACCACTATATCAAACCTAAGTCATCTCAGTATGTTGCTTGTAGTATGAACTTACCTTGAGTCTTTGATCAAGCACCTTCTTTAAAGTTAAACCATCAGCATGAAAACCGTTCATGGCAATCACAGATGTCTCTGACAGCTTGTATGCCTTGGGTGCATATCTAGAGTTGATGCTGTATCCAGTACTTTGTCTGGTATCAGAAGCAATGACACAGAAATCCTTTCCCGCAATAGCTAAAGAGGTACTGTTTGAATAAGAGTTAATGACACACAGCTCGAGATGTCCAGCTTCAAATCCACATGTTGCATTTACCCTCCATTATCGTCATAAGGTTCAAATCTGTGTTCGATAGGTACTGAAGTAGCTTCCATTGGGTTGGCAAATTCCATATTGATGTTTGATATGGGATACAGAAAAAAAAAAAGGTAAAATAAGAAAAAGAGTATGGACGCGCGGCAGCCAAAGTACTCTACATTACGACTTTCTGTAGTGCAAGTTCCGACGTATAGAGCCGCGTACGTCATCTAAGTGATGAACATCACTGAGTTGCTAATCCAGTTTGATGTATGCTGTCAAATGTATCCTATCAGCAAGATCTCTGGATCAGCAAATGCGTAGCCACCAGACGACCAACCATCATCTGCTGTTAGTGTTGAATGGGATGTTATGTGGATTTATCCAGATGGATTGTTGCATAGTGACGCCATTTCATTCGACATTGGCCTGAGTGTGTGCCTGTAAAAGCATCTTTACTCGAACCAAAGCCTCTGTTGTAGTGAATAGACCGTTGAAAAGACCGCATGATTCAATGAATTGACTTGAAAAGATGAACATTATTCAGTAGTCTGGTATTTCAATCAACGTGTGTGGACCTCTAGTTGTATTTACAGTTCTTTTCTAGGTCAACCTTAACGCGCACATACTCGAACAAGCATCAAAAATTCTACATGTGCATTTTGCCTGAGCTGTGGGGCTGCATTATTTACTCGAAATCCAGCTCAATGACCGACATGATGAATACACATTCTTAAAGCTGCAATGTCTGAAAGGTATTCCCATTTACTAAAAAGAAAAAAAAAAAAAAAAAAAAAAAAAAAAAGAATCCGTTCGATAAACCAAACACCAAAGGACTATCGCATATGAGGGTTGAATTAGGAAGGAAAGGGTATTATTGTATATATACAAAGTGGCGTTGGGTATCATATTCTAATTTCTTTACTTGAGAGGTGCTTTCACATCCAAGGTTCTTCCACGTAACCTCGCCCAATCAGCACAGGCTTTGTTCTGTTGATCGCACAGAGTCAACAGCACCTTTCTCTGCACCAATTCAGCCACTGCTTCCCAATCATTCACATTATGGCATTCCTTCATCTCAAAAACCGATAGATTTGGACAATACTTGATATAGGCGTACACGGTTTCATTCGATATCTTGAAGCAGCTGTTGACCGACACTCGTTCTAAGCCTGTTGTTCTATACTTTGCCAGCACCTGCATACAAGCATCATCAATGTCGCAACCAGCCAGGCCCAATACAGCCGCTTGTGTATACTGAGCAATGAGAGCAATGGATTTAATAGAGACTTTGTCACGATCCCGGATACGACCCACATTGAGATGTCTCAAGCGAGGGCACTGCATGGCAACAGCGGACAAGGAGACATCTGAAACTAGCCCACATGCACGCAAATCCAAATGCTCCAAACCAACACAATACTCTGCTACTTTGAGGATAGCACTATCGGAGATATGATGACAGCCTGCCAGCGATAGAAAGGTGAGGTTTGAATGCACCAGGAAGGGATTCAATGCTTCGTTGGAAAAGTGGTCGCAGATGTATATGTCCAGGTGCTCCAATTTGGTTGCGTTTTGTCCAATGCGCGACAGTGGTTCATTGATGGTTTTTTCCTTCATCTTTCGAATGGATAGCACTCGCAATGCATTACGGTAGGTTGAGAGTCGGGCCGTTGTGTCCATGTGTTTTTGAGCTCGGACATCCATTTCAGCAAGCAAATCGTCAGTTGTTATTTTTGATATGTTCTCGTCGGCAGCATATTCAGTGGGTGTATCAATGGTGGACACACTGGATAGAGAGGAGGATCTACTTGGGTAGTTCACCAAGGCAAGCATATCTGAATACTGACCAATGGCTAGTTGTGCAGCACTTGTGGATGAGGAGGAGGTAGACGGAGATAGCATTGGAATGGGTACATCATAGATTACAGAAGCAAACTTGAGAAATGTAGCCAGATCCTCCTTGGTGTCCTCAAAGTAAGCCTTTCTCCAAACAATTCGAGAAGCACTGTCATGCCACAAACGATTTACCAGTAAACAGGGATAGAGATCGACGCAACTCTTTTTCTTGGGCTCCTCTTGACAGTGTGCGGGCACAAGAAATGATAGGATATGACTGACAATCTCTGGTAAGCATACTGCCAAATGAGGTTGCTGTGTGTATTGATAGTCCATTGATATCTATGTGTACTGAATTGAATTGAGAGAAGAAGAAAAAAGAGAGATGGAGACAAGAGAAAAAAAAAACAAGCAAATATGAAAGAAGGGTTTAAATTATATTTAAATATGTATAAATCACAAAAGGGGTGTTTCTTATTGTTTGGCATTACAATGCGTGAGTTTCTGTTTATGCGTGCGTGTGTGTGTGTGTGTGTGTGTGCGTGTGTGTGTGTGTGTGTGTGTGTGTGTGTGCTTCAACTTTATTTTGGGGGGGGGGGGAAAGATGATAATATACGGAGGTTTTTCATATCATTTCATCCACATTCCTATTCATATATGCTACAGCTAATTTCTAAATTTTAGGTCTATACAGCTGACGTTCCTCAAAGCGAATAGGTACAATCATCAAATTTCGAATTTCTTGAATTTCACTGCTTGATAGCCCACACGCATCTTGAACATAGCCTTCAAAGGATCCATATTTCTGCTTGACTTGACGGATGGTCAATCGCATACCGCCTACTGAAGCCGACAATGATGCGCGCATGGCATCCTCTGTGATGTTGAGCTGCCTTGCTCTTGTTGTCAAGTGCTTTTCGAATTCAAAGTAGCCCAGGTTTGTCAACTCGTACTCTTTGGCAATGATTTCATCATCGACACCACACAAGCCCAGCAGTATCATGACAAAGACACCGGTGCGATCCTTGCCTGCTGTGCAATGAATGATCATGGCAGATCTCTGTTCAATAGACAACTCCTTGATCATGTATCTAAAGACATCGCCAATCATCTTTTTACCAGATTCCAAGATGGTCATGTACCCTTTGGCAAATCCCTCTTCGCCCTCCAGGAATACTATCATTGCTCTGTAAAGATCGCCATCCGATTTGACAACATCTTCATACAAGTTATATCCGAATCGAGTGACACCAGGCAGTTCTCTATGTGACCAAATGCCAATGAGCATTTAGCTTGTCCGTAGAGGGGGGGGGGTGACATGTACTTACTGCATAACACCATCTCGTTTGATTTCATGATCCAATCTAAAATCAAATATAGCTTTGATGTTTAATTTACTCAATTGAGCGCTGCCCTGAGACGATAACTTGGACAAATGACCAGATCTGAATACGAGCCGTTCTCGAATATAGCCACTGCCGTCTTTCAATGGCCAGCCACCGATATCGCGAAAGTTGTTGACACCATCAATGTCCACCCAGCGAGGAAGCACGAGACTTGCGGTTTGTCCCATGGCAAGTGCTCTCTGGTAATTGTTATGTTCATGCTGGGCAAAGAAATCCACCACCACCTTTGTCACCTGTTCAAACTGGCCTCTAAAGTTGTGATCGCCCTCAGGTAACAGAACGAGTGTATGGTTAGGAATTTTGTTTGCAAACATGGCGGCATTGTAAGGGGGTACAGTCTATAAATGGTAAATTAAAATATGAAGGGTGATTAATTTCAGCAGCATTCATATAAAATGTACCTTGTCTTTCAAGCCATGGCATGTCAATACACAGGTGGAAAGTGGCATTCTCGAGACTATAGGCGAGAGCGTTAGATATGCAATTCATTGATATTTTGTGTGTGTGTGTGTGTGTTTGCTATTCAATACCATGCTCATTTGACCAGTTGTAAAACTTCTCAACTTCGGGCAGAGTCACTTTGACAGTAGCAATGCGATCCCTTTGCTTTACATGCCAATCAAAGTATCCCTAATTTATAATCTAATGAATTCCTGTTGCTCAAATGAAAAATCAAATGAGCTTACATGTTCTTCCAAGGCCTTCCCAATTTCAGGTCGACTCGTCTTTAATTGGTTGTCATTCATTTTGTATCTTCCTGATAAGTTGACTACGATCGGCAATGGTTTCTCACAGGTAGTAGCAAACTTGAGTGCTGATAATGCGCCTATACATAGCCAATGTCAAATTAATGGAAACTGTTTGCACGCCAGAGATGTCTATACAACGTACCTCGAGAATGCCCAATCACTGCATAAATCTCGTACCCTAAATCTTCGAAATACTTTGCAACAGTGTGGATATCGTCTGTGTCTTCCTGTGATAGAGTGTGAGAAGCGGCAACGATAAATGACAACGTATATCACACACATACCAGAATGTTACAGTATCCAGGCGAGCCACCACTCTCACCATTTCCTCTAAAATCAAATCGAAATGAAGTGATGGGGAGTGTTTCAGCAAGTACTCTTTGGAACAGATAATCCTTGTGTCCTGTTGTACGCTTTTAGTTGTAAATCCAACACGTTTCAACAGGCATGCAAACCAACCCAAGATGCCATGCACAATCAACACCACTCTCGGCTGAGGTCTGCCCTCATCAATCTCGGGCTTCTTTTCGAGAATACCAACGATGGCTTCGTTCTTTTCATTCAATATGCTCAATTTAGACATTTGTAGAGTGGAAAAGGGAAAAAAGGTACAATACACATCAAATCCCGCATTTGAAAGTCTTAAATGACAACGCGGGTGTTACAGTGAGAGTACAATACGTGGGATAATTTATTTGTCATGGAAATCAGTCTACAATGGAAAACTGTGAATGTGAAAAAAAAAAAAAGTCAAGGGAGAAATACTTTTCCTTGCTAGTGATAATCTGAACTCTCCGTAAAGTGGGAATGATACACTCATGTTTAGAGAAGATACATTATACGCTATGACCATCATTAGGGTGTATAGCCCTTTGGCTGATATCGCAAAATTAATATAGCTAAAATGTTAGAAGAATCCTGATTGTTGATTGATATATAATCACTAGCCATATGAGTGTTTATGCTTTGGATGGTTCTCACCGAAGCGAAGCAAAGGTAGAGAACCAACCTGCGCAGTGGCAGCTCATGCTACCGATTGCTCTTGCGTATTTTATCAAAATACTGCTACTTTCATTTAGACCCTTCACTTATACATCAAATTATCTATGGATCTGATTCTTATGTGGTGCTCTATATTCATATACACGTAGCTATTTCATATACGGGCAAGTATCATACAGATATGATCCCTTTCTAGTCAAGAGTGTGCCTAATACAGCAAAATCTGGGCGCATTTGAGCTGTGTTTTCTCGCGTTCAAGGCCGTTTTAGATTGTCAGAATAGCACTAGACAATTGCTCTCATCTGGCAGTTACTTTTTGATACCTTTGCTCAACTTTTTGGGGATCAAAAAAACATGGATGAAATTCGACCAAAAAGCATGAGGTACCCCTCATGGTTTCCATCGAAAATCAAACGATCGCATTTTTTACCTTGAAAATGGAGACTTTTACTATGGTATATCTTGAATCAAAATGTTTCTATCAATCCAAAGCAACCTCTGAAATTATCTTTGTGGGACTTTGATATGTAAAATTTCGACTTTTTGGCGAGAAACCTCTTTTCGTATTTTCGTAAATTATTCAACAAGTTTATTCAAAACATCCATCTTACTTGGTATTATTGGATACGCCTTGAAAAGCACTCCAGGAAAGCTTAAGGAAGCATTTTTTTTTTTTTTTTTTGTAGGGGAGTCGAGCTCCAGGTTTTATTTAAAGTCCTTTAAATGTCATGCTGAGGGATAGAAAAGACTGTTGGTGGACCCAATGTCTGCAAAGAAGGGGAATAAGATATTTTTTGAACTAAATTGGGAAAGAAATCTACTACTAATAAGGTGCGACTCCTAGAGCCAGTACAGTCTTGCGGAAATCGTCAAAATATAGATCATGGATAAGAGCACAAAACACCAAACGAGGACATCAGTACTACGTCAAAAAAATCAAACAACTTGCGTTCACCAGGATTTGAACCGGGATCCTCCCGTTGGCATACGGGAGTTCTACCACTTCGCCCTACCACCAGGGACAGCTTAAGGAAGCATAGGATAATCACCATTTCTTACTTAGTCGAATCTGATAAAATAGTTTGATCGAGTCCAGAATCATCAAAATTTGGCCAATCTGGAATAGACTATGAGTCTGGGTTTGAATTAAGTTTGGCTGGTGGGGCTGGCAGGCAAACTCAATGCCCTTTTCATACGGCAATGCAGTAATAAATGCCCTTAAAGCGTATAGAAAGTAGGTGGTAAATCATAGAACTGTCGTTAATTGTGCTATTTACTTGCATTCTATATTTAATTACGTTAGTCTGGACACTGACGATTCACGGGCTGCATAACATGTCTACAGTAAGCAGTGAAATCTCTGAGGTTTCGGGTCGTCATTCAAAGAAAACGTTGGCAGCATTGGGCAAAGGAAAGAGGGTATACATAACAGTGGCTTTTGTTGACTGATTGTAAAATCATTAATCATATATGAGCCAGGCCAGACACATGCCTAGAAACTCAGTTTTCATATTAGGGTCGTAAAAGTGTCTAGGGACTGAACATTTATTATGTTATGATGTTCATTTGCCATTAAGAGACAACCTGACAGTAACAAGACATGTGAGCAGCCTGTCGATAATTTGTGCGAGCAGGCAGCCAAGTCATATTGTAAAACCTAGGGTCCATATATACAATTCTGGACACGGAACACCTTGCATTTGCAGTGGAATGAGCAATATGCCTCGCTTAGACCTCTCAGCGAAAGCATTTCACAACAAAATACAAAAACAGTAACCAGACCAACTCAGAGTACCTTTTTAAATTGCAGTTGTCTTTCTATGAGCCTCCATAAGCAGCGTTATCTTTATGAATAGAATAGCATTGATTTCGCCAGCAACCACTAAAATTGGTTAAAAGTCCGATTGTACATTTCTGTTCTGATTTGATGATTTTTCAATCTTTTTGGATTCGATTCGACCTATTTTGCCAGATTCGACTATATAAACTGTGATGATCATGCCATGCTTTCTAATGCATTCTTGCAGCACTTTTTGAGGCGCATCTAATGATGCTAGTTATTGACAGTGTTTTGAACGGGCATTTGGAGTAATATCTAATAATGTGAAATGGAGCTTTTGGCAAAAATGTCGAGATTTTACAAATCAAGGTTTCACAAATGTGATTTCAGGGGTTGCCTTGGATCAAGAGGAATAGTTTGATCTAATATATGCTACAGTAAAAGCCTTCATTTTTGGGGTCAAAAACGCGATCGTTTGATTTTTGCTGAAAACCATGAGGTATCCCTCACGGTTTTTGGTCGATTTTTGACAATCTCAAAACAGTTGAGCAAAGGTGTCAGAAAGTTGGTGCTACTTGAAAGTGATCGTTTGGTGCTATTCTGGCAGTTTAAAACGGCTTCCAACACGAGAAAACACGCTTCAAATGCATCTGAATTTTGCTGTTTGCACACTTTTGAGTAGTAAGAGGCGATTCTATTATGCTGTTAGATACTCTGTGAGTTGTTTTCAACGATTCAGACACGGAGCATAGCAGGAGAGTTGAACTTACAGCTACAGATCATTTATGAAGGATTTTCATCGAATGATGAAGTGTGAAAAAGTGAAGTTTTAATTTAGTAAAATCTTAACAGCAAAACAAGGCGCCACCAAGGATTACTGAAAACTCACGCCTGCTCAATATAGAGCAGTTTCTTCTACTACATTGTTTTACACTTTTTCTAGTACTCATTCCATATAAATAGACTAAACTGATCAGTGAAAAGGTCTACATGTAAGGCATGGCACTAATAAAGCATTCACTCACATTTTCCGCAGCACTGCATATATACTTTTACCATCACTTGATATATTTGACTGCCAAAGGATGCCGCTAATTTCGTTTAGTTGAGGTACATACGCCACTGCTATCAACACTTAACATGCATTGAGTCGAATTGAAGAGAAAGCACAACTCAGAGTGCCATAAAGCGGAATCAAAGCTTTCATTAGCCTTGCCGTTCATTCAATCAGCCCCATCGCTGATGGAGACCACCATGTCAGATTGCAACTGATGCGCTAGCCACCTTTTAACCGAGTACAACATCGCATAAATTCACCGAGTCAAACTCGTGGAACTAGAACAATCTACCTCTCAAAAGAGAACATTCAGAAAAATGAACAATTTAACCCAAATCCAGATCAGGAATCCTGTTCATTATCTGTACATCAAAACTGCTGATGGTGCCCTTGACTATAGCTACAGGAAACCACCTGCGGCCCTGTTAGATGGTGACGACAAGAGTGATCCGATGGACGTCGACAATTCAAATCAGGAGGATAATGATGTGATATCGCCCTCAGACGAGAAAGATTTTGACAATGAATGGGGGGGGGGAGGGTTATAGTAGAGGAACGGCAGAAAAGGATCCAAACTGGTTGGAGTACAAGTGCAAACGTAAGATGGGACGTTGTCTGAGGATTTAATTAAACAGAAAAATGTGTGCTGATTATGGCACAGACGATGAAGATCCACTTGCGATGGTCTGAAACAGCTATACAGATAGCTTCATATCAGAGCACGGCCCTTTTAGTAGTGTTATGAAAAAAAATCAAGGGATGCCTTGCAGGACTCTCTTGCTCAATCATTTGATCAAATGGGCTGTCGGGATAGTATCTTTATAAAGTGTTTGATCAGCTCTTTGACCGAGCTTGATAATATTCCAAAGGCTTTCAAGAACAATCAACAATTGCACTTTTACAGGGTTAACTGTCAAGTGTCAGCCGCAAAAAGGTACAGCAACAACCACAACCACAGGTAATGATCAGGGGCATATTATCCTACCTTATGCATCTATCAAGGAAGGATACACTTTAAAGGTGTCAAATTCCGTCGTTTATGCAAATGCATTGTTGAGTATGACGAATAAACACAACATATATATGTAGTCTTGAGCGAAGTGTTCCGTCACTGTATCAGCTTGAACCAATTCTGCACGAATAACTTGAAACAGCAACAGCAACCATCAGAACAGAACGATAGATCAAAACGCTTAAGCCTGAGTTTTTGGAAAATACGGTTCTCAACAAATCGAATTCAGCATAACTCAAGGACATCTTCTCCAACCTTATGCCATGTATACCTTAAAACAAAGATAGCACTACTTCAAGTATTATTAAGACATCAAAGCTTTGTAAGCATTTCTGAAGAGGAATTCATTGGGGAACCACAGCTTCAGGTAGGGACCGTATTGCCCAAGCAGCTCGCTTTCATCAGTTCCAAATTATTTGTGTTTAAAGCAGGCGAATAAGCTTTACAGTAACAAGCTCATGATTATGCTAATTGACGCAGGCGAGCCCACGTTGTATTGGTAAGAAAATGGTGCCATAAAACTTGTTCTATTGTTTGCCACATATGCACTATAGTCAATAAACTCAAAATTCTAAAATTCAGGATGAACGGATCCAAAATGACAAACCAATCAAATATGGAAATTAACCATGGAAATGGAAAAAGACATGGACATCTCGAATGGAACAGTGATCACTAGATGACAGGGACATTGCTGTTCTATTTGTGTTACTCACTGATACTGGAGGCAATTATCTTGTTTTCTTCTGTTTGAAACACATCTCTTCTGTGTCGACATCAAAGTTTCAGTGGTTTCCACGGAGGTCACATTTTTAAAACCTTTTTTTTTTTTTCTATTTCCACATTTTCCCTTGATTAAGGATTTGACGTTTAATCAATCAACATTTGGGTTTTTTCTTGCTTTTGGTCATTTTTCATCATCATGGCAAGCAAACGATTTTACCCAGAAAAGCTTGTCAAGCCATGTCCACCGTCAAATCCAGACTGTCATTGCTCAGAAATACACACACCAGAAGGGATTTATACATTACTGCATGAATTGTATCAGGAAAACACACAGCCTCAATTCAACTCGGGTACACATGTCTCGCTTTTCTGTCCTACTGCATCTAGTGCAACCCCTAAACAACAGCAACAGAATACACAGTTTTTATCAATACCCTCTTACAACTATAGTAGCACAACCACATCTTCCATCTCTGAAGATGGTGGCGATTTCCTGAGCTCTGTCGAGGAGGAAGAATTAGACAACAACAGCAGCAGCAGTAATAACAGCACTCAGAATAGTCCGTCAGATACACTCTCTGTGCCAATTGAGCTCTTTTCTTCGTTAACAACCCGATCAGGGCCACCCTCGCCCAAACCACCCACAGCAGACATCGCCATTGAACCTACCTCCTCAACAAACTCTAGCTCACTAAGCTCATTCTGGCATTCCGGTCGAGGCCATCACCATCACAAAAAACCCAAGAACAGCTTGTCAAAGCTCAAGTCTGGCTTCATTGAATATATGACGCCGCATGAGCAACTACAAAAGATGCTCAGCGAACGCACGCCACAGAACTGTAATGTGTTTTACAACGTTGGATTGAACCTAATCTGGCAGGATGAAAAGGGACAGCCAAGAGACGCATTGTCCAAAATTACATTTGGCAAAGCGTACCCTACTTGCCATGATGTCAATGCAGTGACAAGCAGTATGGACCATTTGGATGTCATTATTGGATTCTCTTCAGGTGATTTCGTCTGGTATGATGCAGTCTGTAATCGATACACAAGAGTAAACAAGAACGGCATCATGAATGGATCAAGTGTAACAATGGTAAAGTGGATACCCGGTTCAGAAGATTTATTTATGGCCTCATTCGATGATGGCTCTATTTTGATCCTGGACAAAGACAGAGATGACCAGGCTTTCATACTGCCTGAGCCACAATCATGGGCAGAAGAACAGTAAGTGTGGGTGCGCTTGAGGCAATGCAGTGCCACTCATGTTATTTAAAATGTATAGCTTTCAAATCACCAAACCCAACAAATTAAGTAAGCACAACCCAGTAGCGCATTGGCGAGTGAGTCAAAAGGGGGTTACCGGTAAGTGTTTTCATGTAGAATGACCTACACAGGGAAACTGATATATATATATATATATATGATTGTAGCTTTTGCTTTTTCACCAGATAATCAATATGTTGCGACAGTTGGGAAAGATGGGCTAATGAGAACGGTGGATTATACGAATGAGAGGTATATATATTATAGAGTGATTATTGGCATTGTAGCACAGAACTAACTTAGACGCTTGCACGTAGATTGTGCGATGTGTTTGTTGGATACTTTGGCCGACTCCTGTGTGTGGCGTGGAGTCCTGATGGCAAATATATACTGGTAATGTGTGGCATAAAAGTGTCAGTAAATTGAAATTAACCGTAGAAACAGACGGGCGGACAAGATGATTTGGTGACAATCTGGTCATTCAAAGAAAACAAGATCATTGCTCGGTGCCAAGGTCATAGATCATGGGTGACAGGTGTTGCATTTGATCCTCTGCACTGTGATGATAAAGATTATCGCTTTGCAAGTGTAGGAGAAGACTGCAAGATATTGCTGTGGGATTTCTCAGTGAATGCATTACATAAACCCAAGCAGGTAAAACCTCCATCTCACTACGTTTGCGCATAAATCAATATCTAATGTCCTATGGGTTTTTATTAGAGAAGAGCATCCATTATCACACTGCCTGGACACTCCAGCAGCCATCAAATACCTATTCAAGATTCCTTATTCAACAGGCCATTACAACCCCCTTCACCTCTCAAGAAGTTTAGAAAGAGATCCAGCATATTTGGAAGCAGTGAATCCACGTTGCTACTACAGCCAGTTGAGCCTACACAACATGTCAAACTTCCAACCATTCATCCCGCGCTCAGTAAATGCCAGGTACCTTTTCTGCAGCCCATTGTCAAGCAAACGATACACCCTGATCCATGTGTAGATATTGTATATAGAGAGGATTCAATCATAACCACCGATCGACGCGGTAGAGTACGTGTGTGGAGTCGACCTAGCAATACTGTTTCTAGCTGAATGATTGCTGATTTTGATGTCATCTAATTTTTGAATAAAAGCAGTTCATTTTTTCGCATCAAATAAAGGTTCTTTGTATTGATATGTCGTTGTGGGAGCTATATGTATACGGTGCAGGTCTATAAAGGCACGCATATAATTCACAGTTTTGGTGACAAGATTTAGCTCAAAGCCATTAAACCATCAAGTTATTTAGACAACTGGTATTTCAATAACTCTGTACATTACCAGCCCTTCTCTTTTTCAAGTGAAGTAGTCGGAACGCTATGAGCTACGTTTCCGTTTATCAGAAGAAATAGCCTGACCCGTGGACTAATGGACAGGATAACAAGCAATAACTGTCTCCATGCAAACTACTGATCACCTAGTAAAGCAAGCATATATAAAGCAAATTAATAAAGCACATTAATAAATCTAGACAATCAATTAGCTTGAGAAACATATAAGGATGACGTGAACCAGCCATGAAACGCAGCGTTCTAGAGTATAACCAGTATGATTACTTACAATATGAATCACTTGTATGTCATTTTTGGTTGATTCTATCTGGTATCTGCAATCAATGTTTAGAGCTGATTGAAAGTGGCATATTGAATGGATCAAGTGTAACAATGGCGAGATGGAGACCCGGTTCAGGAGATATATTTATGGCCTCATTTGATGATGGCTCTGTTTTGAATTTTAATAAAGTCATAAATGATCAGACTTTTATTCATTTGGAGCCGCAATTATGGACAAACGAGCTGCTCTATCTATATGTATGGTGTTGATATTCAACTCTTTTAAATGTCGCGCAATCAGATCACAAAATCCAGCCAGAATAGCAAGCACAATTCAGCAGTGCATTGGCAAAAAAAGTCAAAAAGGGGTTATGCATGTGCCATGATCCAGACAGAGAAATTTATGCATATATGATTATCCTTTGCTTTCTCACCGAGTAATCAATACGTTACGACAGCTGGAAGGGATGGGCTATTGAGAACAGTTGATTACACAAATGAAAGGTGCATATTATCGAGTGATTATTGTCATTGTTGCACAGAACTATTCTTGTTATATAAACTAGATGAAGTGATGTATCCGTTGGATGCTTTATAAAGCGACTGTAGCCGGCATAGAGCCCTGATGGATGAATATGTACTAGTAATGCGTGCCATTGGAATGCAATTGAGTTGAAATCAACTACCCAAAAGACGGAAAGACAGAATGATTTGGTTACTATCTGGTCTTTTAAAAGAAATTAAGATTATTTGCTTGGTGTCAAGGTCATAGATCATGGGTATGAATCCTTTTATAACTGTAATCATCATAAATCAGGACTAAAATAAACACACACGCATGTTAAGCAGCTGACAGGTGTTGCATTTGATCTTTTGCATTGTGATGATAAGGATTATCGCTATGCAACTGTTGGAGAAGATTGCAAGATTTTGTTATAGGACTTTTCAGGCAACGCGTTACATAAACCTAAATAGGTAAAACCCATTCCTTCTGGTTTGTGTACAGATGGATACCTCACACTGTAAAATTGCATTAAAGAATAGCACACATTGTCATATTGCGCAAACATTCCAGCATCTGCCAGATACCTACCCGAGATTTCGTATCCAACGAGCCATTACAATCACCTTCATCCTCCAAATAATGCAAAAAAAGATTAGGAATAACGAACCTATCTTGCTACTGCAGCCCATTGAAGCTACACAACATGTAAAACTCCCGACTATTCATCCCGCACCAAAGAAATGTCAGGTACCTTTTCTGCAGCCCATCGCAAAGCAAACTATACGCCCTGATCCATATGTAGATGTTGTATACATAGATAACTCAATTATTACTACCGATCGACGTGGAATAGTACGTGCATGGGGTTGGCCTACCATTGCTGTTAGTTACAGTAGTTGTTGATTTTTTATCGTGTATATAAATAAATAAACCTTGGGTTCCTGTGATCCCTCTTGAGTCATGTTACTTTTTTCGCTGTAACCCAGAAAGAAACCATAAAAAAACTAAATGACGTTTTGTTACCAAGCAACAGTTTTTTTTGCGCCAATCTATCTATGAAATGGATTTCGTTACCATGGTAACAACGATGCCTCGAATTAAGATCATAGAGCGTATCCATCTTGAGATTGCAGCTGGTAATTGGGAATATGACACACTATAAGCTTGCAAAATAGAAGCAAGCACAAAAATGTGAATCAACCAAAACCTAATTAGTTTCTGAGACCGCCTAGCGTATCGGGTCTCATCCCTTCCTTTGTGTGATGCACAAAGAGAAATTAGTTCTTGTTTGTATAAAACTTGATTTTTATGTGATCCCACTTTTTTCTTTCCTTCTTTCTTTTGTAATTATTACAATATTAAAATGTCTTTCCAACAACATTGCCAACGCTCATCTCATCAATTGAGAATCATGCAAGACAGTTATACCCATTTAAAAGCAAATACAAAGAATCAAGATGATTCCCTAATGTCACCCCCTTTAACTCCAACGGATGCTCCATTGAATGATTTATGGCATTACAATGCCTCTGTAGAAGAACTCCCAATGCCATTAATTGAAGCTACAAGAAAAGATAGAAAGCAATTCATCAAAAACTATGCTCGTATGGTCCCTTCATTGCGTAAAAACAAGAGAAATGCTCATGGCGTATTTGCATTAAATGTGTATCGAGATATCTTACTCAAGCAGCAGCAACAGCGACAACAGCAGCAGAAACAGCAAGAAAAACCCAAGTATAATCATTGTGCTAGGTTGGACAATGTCGTGCCACATACTAAAAAGAGAAAGATGGTGGCAGAGGATGGTATTAAAAGAAAGCGCGTTTCATCCGTTTTACCCTCTGGAAAAGACGCTGCATTAGCATTTGATGCTATTGATATCGATACTATCGACATCTTGTTCTATCCTGAAGGTTGGGCACCCAATAATGAAGCATTGGATCATGTACCTGTGAAGGTCAACTGGAAAGGTAATTGAATTTTTGATCTCTTGTTAAACTCGAAAAACTAACTTGAAAATAGGTGCCCCTTTGCCTATCAATGATCAACCTTATTTTGATCATTTACATCAAATTGAATCTACAATGGCTTCTGTATTAAGGCTATCACCTGTGCAATACTTGAGGTGCAAACGTACTCTGATCTTGGCTGCAAGAACACTGAAAATTCAACAGATCCCCTTTACTAAATCGGTCGCACAAAAGTTGTGTCGAGTAGATGTCAATAAGACAAGTGCTCTTTGGACAGCTTTTGGTCAATTGGGTTGGTTTGATGGTCCCATCTGAATGAAATCAATCATGTTTATACTATATATATAAATACTATGTATACCTCTTTATTCTTACTTATATAACTATTCCCCTTCCCCTCTCTCCTCCTCGCTCCCCTGTGCAAAGAACCAAAACCCAACATGAAAATATAAAATTATCTATCTTACCCTATTACTCACTATTTCCACCCATAATTTATCTATCTCTTCTCTTATTGCCCTTTTTTTCTATCCCCCCCTTTTTCCTACTAATAAAGAAAATGTGTTTTAATTTGTCATTTTAACAACCATAAAACTCATTCGTCATATTGTTTTGTTTCATCACGTACGCAAGAAAAAATTACAGAGATCAAACTAAGCACGTCCAATGTCACAGGGTCATGTACTGTATATGTGTTATATATATATACATACATAAATAAAATATACAGCACGATACAAATTAATTACAACTAATATCTGCTCGATTCTTATTTACATTTGGTCTCTTTATCAACGACTGAATACACAGTGTATATTAAACTTTCCTCATGTGTAACTGGATAAGGTTGTAATAAATTTTCACTTGTTATTATTTTTTTTTATATGTAATCATCGTACGAGGATTCTTTAACATCACAGACAGCCACACTACTAATAAGATTAAAAAAAAATCTTCGGAAAACGGAGATCAGACTATGGGTGCGACATACTTAAATAAATAAATACATTACCACCATGATGGTCGTAATTCATTTATAAACAAAGATTAATTGACCTTGTTTATATTTTCTCTCACTCAATACCCTCCTCTTTTTGAAATGTTGTTTATCATCGTATTTTGCAAATAATTAGGTTGCATACATGCATGAGGAAGAAAGGAGAGAAAGCATTGAATGATTCAAATTCCGAAACAGATCTCAGGAACGACTGTCTAACCATATATTCTTCAGGGCAGCAGCAAAGCAGCCAGAAATCTCTATTAAAAGGTAGTATTTCCGGCCAATTGAGGTCGCAAGAGTCTAAAAACTGCATTAAATGCGAAGTTTTACTTTTTTTTTTCTCTAGTACTACCGAGAGTTTAAAAACATAAGCTAATTTTGATGCAAAAGAGTTTCACAACAATGACTGTGCCTGAAAAATGTCATTTGTCTGGGTGCGTTTCTGTTGTTGCATAAGATATAGAATGAGGTGACAAGATAATAATTTGTTTTACTCAAAAAAAATACAAATGTCGTTTGAATTTGCATTCATTTACTCAAAAATGAAAGGAAAAAGAAATTGCTACATCATGACCATAACCAATCGAGATTGCCAACTAAATTTAGCGTACACGCATATATGATATAGCGAAAACTTTAAAAAAAAAAGCCGTTTGGGCTTTGAAGTAACCCAAAAAAAAATGCATGTAAAAAAGTTTCAACTGGTTCGCAACCATTAAACTCTACCGATCAGCTTTGATTAACTTGGATCATCAGCGCTTACATTTCTTTACAAATAACGTACGAATAACAAGTCGACGATAGCATTTGTTTTAAGAATACACGTAATCACCGCAGCTGATAAACCACTATGCTTTTGCTGTTCTTGCTGCTGCATTTCTTGCTGTTAAAAAGCCTCTGATCATTTCTGTACCACAATGAGGGACACATTTGGATATTCTTGGCTGCATAACAGCCTCATGACATGCTGTTTACATCCGCACACAGCTGTACTCACTCACAATCATGCCAACGTACAGTCTACTTGGCAGTTTTGGATAGGATCGATGGAAGCCTCTGCGTTATTTTTACCACATATCCTAAAAGTTAGGTATACATGACACAATATGTAACAAAGGTATTTTGGTTATTCAAAATAGACGCACAAACACAATGTTTATACAGTTTTCTTGGATAGTGCAGCATTTCATATGACAATCGACTATTGGATCGATCAAACAATGAATGTTCGTGTTGTTTGTAATGCGTGGGGCTTTTGATTTGTTTTCAGGTTACAACAATGCTTTTTAGATTCAGCTTGGATGGACAGCTGCTCAATGTGAGACCGAAGCTGGTAGAATATTTAGGTGCTCGAAAGACTTTTCATATAATATATGATCGTCGATCATTCCATGTGTTTATCGATTCAGCTCTAGTGAGCTGCTGATGAGAGAGGTAACCATTGTGACATTGCGATTCTAGGTGTGATCCAACAAAGGCGTAGTCGTTGACAGTCTGGTACTGCTTATTGGTCGTATGATACGGACAAAAGCCAAGCTTCATATGTTTGTATTAGTCTCACAGAAGCTGAGCCGTGAATATGCCATGCTATCAATTACTGATAATTCACTTTTTGAAACTTTACTACTACTCGAAAGTCCTTTATAACTCTCCTGTAATTGCGGATTTGACTCTGCCTCGATGCTCCGTGGTTGTATCAACAAGAACAAATTATACACAGGCAGACAGCATAATAGAATCGCCTCTTACTACTCAAAAGTGTGCAAACAGCAAAATTCAGATGCATTTGAAGCGTGTTTTCTCGTGTTGGAAGCCGTTTTAAACTGCCAGAATAGCACCAAACGATCACTTTCAAGTAGCACCAACTTTCTGACACCTTTGCTCAACTGTTTTGAGATTGTCAAAAATCGACCAAAAACCGTGAGGGATACCTCATGGTTTTCATCATAAATCAAACGATCGCGTTTTTGACCCCAAAAATGAAGACTTTTACTGTAGCATATATTAGATCAAACTATTCCTCTTGATCCAAGGCAACCCCTGAAATCACATTTGTGAAACCTTGATATGTAAAATCTCGACATTTTTGCCAAAAGCTCCATTTCACATTATTAGATATTACTCCAAATGCCCATTCAAAACACTGTCAATAACTAGCATCATTAGATGCGCCTCAAAAAGTGCTGCAAGAATGCATTAGAAAGCATTTTTTTTTTTTTTTTTTTGTAGGGGAGTCGAGCTCCAGGTTTTATTTAAAGTCCTTTAAATGTCATACTGAGGGATAGAAAAGACTGTTGGTGGACCCAATGTCTGCAATGAAGGGGAATAAGAAATTTTGAACTAAGTTGGGAAAGAAATCTACTACTAATAAGGTGCGAAACCTAGAGCCAAATGCAATCTTGCGGAAATCGTCAAAAATAGAGAATGGATAAGAATACAAAACACCAAACGAGGACACCAGTACTACGTCAAAAATTCAGACAACTTGCGTTCACCAGGATTTGAACCGGGGATCCTCCCGTTGGCATACGGGAGTTCTACCACTTCGCCCTACCACCAGGGACGCATTAGAAAGCATGGCATGATCATCACAGTTTATATAGTCGAATCTGGCAAAATAGGTCGAATCGAATCCAAAAAGATTGAAAAATCATCAAATCAGAACAGAAATGTACAATCGGACTTTTAACCAATTTTAGTGGTTGCTGGCGAAATCAATGCTATTCTATTCATAAAGATAACGCTGCTTATGGAGGCTCATAGAAAGACAACTGCAATTTAAAAAGGTACTCTGAGTTGGTCTGGTTACTGTTTTTGTATTTTGTTGTGAAATGCTTTCGCTGAGAGGTTTAAGTGTGGCAGATTGCATTGTCCTCTTAAAGCGAATCCTAATACAAAATGTAGAATTGTCCACTCTTGATATACTTCAAATGTGAGTCTTAGTTTCCTTTACTGCATTACTATAGCCATTGTTAATTGATAAGGTATCACAATTCATGAGCTTATGATAGTATATGTAATCAAACTCTAAAAGACCTGTGCAGCTGATGTATTTGCAAAGAAATGACTAATCAGCCATGTTTGTAACAAAAATCGGATTGTGTACAATAACACCAGCTTACGGCGATAACAAATTATAACTTTCTAACAAACAGGGATATAGTAGTATATCGAAAATTATGCTCTTGTAACTTGAAGTGCGCTGTCCATCAATATTGCTTCACTTTCCATTTAGAGGCTCATTTGTCGTTCGAATCACTCTGAACTTCTAGTTTTATTGTACGGATTGGAATACTTCGCCTCGTAATGTGATCATTTCTTTCAGTCTTTAGGTATACGGCGTATACATATGAATCAAAGCTATTGTTTATAGCTCGGGTCAAATCTACGACATATAGCGTGTTTGTAGCTTCACATGTGTGCGTATGATTTGCGTTCAGATATCTTCCAATCTCCTGGAGACCGCATACTAGATGAGTATTCTGGATTTCCGTTTCAATGACTATGAGGTACCATAATACATTTGTAAACCAGTTAGTTGGTAGATCAGATGGCATTTGCATTTCACTCGATAATTTTTTTCTTTGCAGATGAGTCAGCTTGCATTACCCGTTGGGTTCTGATCTACTTGATAATGGCGAAATTTGGTCTTTTCCGATCAATTTGTAAAGATTAATATGCTACCGCAAGCAATGCTAATATTGGCGCTTATGAACCATTGTAATTGTCTGGTTTTTCAGTGATGCAGACTGCAGGCAAAACACTTAACACAATATCCTTTAGTATCAGTCAACAATCACGGGATTGCAACTTTTTCGGGTGTGTGCTTTCATTCAAGAAAAAGGAACTGTAATTACCATATAATCACTCAACTCCGTTATTGAATTATAGTCGTTGCAATGCTTGCCACACGCACCAAAGGTGAATATTTACCAAGATCTGTAACACCTCGATAAAATTGTGCTTCATTTCTAAAACGATACAAAAAGGTATTACAACATTTTACCACCACAGCATTTTGTTTAAACTAACATTAATTGCTGCAGTAGCATCTGTACACAGCACGCAATTATTAGATGCAGTAAATTTCAACCATACCTCAAATAAGGCACTACCATTGAAACTCGACCCATTTTCTGATCTGTGATTCTGATCTTTTGGCCATCAGAATGGAGATATTCTAAAGCCGGTTCATATTCCTCGGTGTGAAAATGACATTTTTATCAATTCATGGCACCAAGACATGTTACTTTTGTAGTCAAACCCAACAGCGCGCGCTCAAGATGGTTTATTTTTACTGCTTGTTCCTCGGAGCACGGCGCTTGAATGTAGGAACGATGGCGGTTTGTTGTTGTAGCACAATCAAAGAACTTAAAATGTGGTTCAACTCAGATATTCTCTGCTTCTGTGAAACATTTGAAAGAGATTTTCCTCATCTAAAATTAGATTTTTTCAATGGAAGGGTCCAGCTTTGTGTTTTGATTCAAGGGAATAAGTGATTTATTAAGGATTAATACGATTATTATACAGAAAAAAAAAGGTAATAAAGAGTGATAGTGAATTGGGATAGTATACAAGTAATGAAAGAGGATAATTAGGCATTTTTTAAGAGGAAGTATGAGAGATGGCATAGGCCTTTTCTTCATGTTCAACCTTGACATCTCTCTTGCCATCTTCAATGGTATCAACTTGGCCACCGACCATAACTTCAGAAGCTTGACCATCGATCAAGTTGTCGACATGTTCAACAGTGACATCAGAGACTCTGAAGCAGACAATGTAAGCCAAGAGCAAGCCAGCACCTTCAATAGCCAAATTGATGTAGATTTGGGTCATGAAAGGAGTGTGGATGGCATCAACTTGAGCAGCAATGGCAGCAGCAGCATTTTGAATGGTCTTGTAGAAACCACCATAACGAGCAGCACGTTCGTTATCGTTGGTCATTGTACCAAGCAACCAGTAGATGAAACCTTGATAGATGGCATCAATCAAACCAAAGACGGCATACAAGATGATATAGCCAGCGAATCCAGGAGAATAGACATCAACTTGAACAAATCCAGGCTCTTTGACGCTCTCAAAAGTAAACTTCTTTTGGACGAAAATAGCACCAATCCAAGAGGCAACCAAGACAGCGAGAATGAAGGTGTTGCCGAGAAGAGCACGCATCTTACGGTTACCGAGCTTGCTCCAATCAAGCAACCAACCAAAGAAACCAGCACCAACGATTTGACAAAGCCAGTAGAGGAGATTGTTCAAAGAACGAGCACGAAGAGAGAAGAATCCACCACCGTTGTAAACTTGGAATTGATAGGTGTAGAACCAATTTGAACCAGCAAAAAGGGGAATCAAGATAAGCATCTTCCAGTCCATGAACAAGCGGAAAACTTCAATACATTCACGCTTCCAGTTTGAGAATTTGTGAAGAGAGACAGGAGATCCGTTGGCACGAATGACCTTGGAAGCAGGCAAGAGAACAAGAGACAAACAAGCACCGAAGGCCATGATGACCATGAAACCAATGTAAGTTCCTTGATTGACGGTGCCAGTGCCATTGTTGCTCCAGTTGTTACCAAGAGGAATGGCAGCACCAACAGTAGCACCAAGGTTGAAGATCATCCAAAAGATAGAGAATGCCTTACCCTTATCCTTTTCATCAGGATAGGACATCATGATACCAGCTTGAGCAGTCCATAAGAAACCAGCACCAATACCAAGGATGGCACCAGTAGCGATAGTGAAAGCGGGATTAGGGGTGAGATAAGAGCCAACATACAAGACATATGCGAGACCAGCAGGCAAGAGAATACGATGACCAAAGATGTTGTAACTATAGTAATCAAATTAGGATATTTGTGGTATACATGACATGTCAACATCGGCTTACACAGGAGCACCAATTAAGGAACAGACAGTGAATGTAACAGCCAAAGCAGTGTTGGCATCGTTTGTAGTCTTTGGATCAGCTTGACCGGCACCGCCCATACCATTCAAGGCATTGAACATACCAGGACAACAGAAACAAATGAAGCCGACCAAGAAGACTTGGACATTTGGATCACTGTAGCGAAAAGGCAATTTGAATCCCATATATATAAAAAAAAAAAAAAAAAGACAGAAAAAGCGAAAGAAAGATAAGGTAATGATATCAAAGGAATGATGAGAAAAAAGAGGGCCTTTTTATATCAAATACACGGGAGTTTAATTGGAGAGAAAAGACGAAGAGGAGGGAAAAGGGTTCCCTCTTTTCCTCTAATAAGTGTAACCCTCGATTTGTAAAGTTTCATGTTTTTTTTTTTTTTTTTTTTTTTTTTTTTTTGCTTGTATTCCCACGCAACTGTAAAAAAATTGTTGTGCTGTATCAAACAACCCTGTTTTTCATGAAAATGTCTAAAAATGAACCCTGAAATTATATAATACAGATATAGTTTTTGATACATTTTTACACAACATGTCAGAAAAGAGACAGCCGTCAGAAGAATGCTACACACATTGCACATTTTGTATACATTTTTCAGTGCAAATAATTCCATGGAAAACCATTGATTGGTACATGGAGCACTGTATCATTTTCTCTCTCTCTCTCTCTGATTTTTCAAGGCGACATGTCTACATGTCTACTTTTTTTTATTATTCTCTATTCTCTTGTACTTTATAAACGCATTCAGATTATCAAGTGCTTCATCTGCCCGCATTCTCAAGTCGAAATTCTTTCTTCGATCAATGGATTTCACCTAAAAATAACTCAGTTTCGTAAGATGGAACGCTGGATATGTGGGGTAAACTATAAAAACCTACCATGGAACGAACTCGAGGAACCACCTGTTTCAATCCATTTAAGAATCCGCCCTGAACAAACACAGGGAAATCATAATCAAATGCGCAATCGCTGTACACATCAAATATGAGGTTCAATGCTTCCACCACGACGCTGGCCTCTGTCGCCTTGGATTCGAGCAGCTTCATGATAAATACACCAATTGTCTTTATGGTTTTTGGTAAGGTTAGTAAAACAAACACAATAAAAACGTAATTAGATAATTGCACAAGGTGTGTGTTACTTACCTTATTCGTCTCTACAGCTCCTGTTCGCATCGCAATTGGACCCAAACAGCCGACTATTTTTACTCGCATGGTTTCCAGTGGGATCATTTCATAGGTCCCACACAAGGCTCCCACATCCATGTGATCCAACGGCTATAGAATTATTAAATCAGCTTCATAGTTACCCTTAAAATAACCCTGAATGGATGTAAGACTTACGATATCCTGAATAATACCTCGACCTAATGCCCATAGACAACCAATTACCACCTCCAAAATGGCATTTCTCGCCCATTCCACCGTGTTGGCAGCGGCCACGCTATTGGCAATGTCAAACAACCATCGCCACAGCTGAACAGCGTCTTGTCTGTAGTGCTTAAACCAGTATTTGTTACCAATATCGTGCATGGCCAATAAGAAATTATTGAGACATTCCAACGAACGCTGATGTGTTATTACCAAATGATGTGATACAATCGGACAAAGGTTTGTTTGATGATACGAAATCGGAGTAGCAGTGGCAAGACGGATCAGTTGTGGGAAAATTTGATGTATGTAAGCATGCAAAACAGGGTTCGATTGCAGGGCTTCGTCTTCCTGAATTGAGTTGTTGAAAATGGCAGGGTCTATGTCGTCCTCGTTGTCGTTGTCCGTTTCATCAGGCTGCTGTTCCATGTTGTCTTCATCGTCTTGCATCACTTGATCTGACTCTTGGAAGCCGTCTAATGTCACAGTGAGTTACCATGGCAACCTCCATTACTCTTTCTCTATTACCGTCTAAATCGTCATCTTGGACACAAATATCAGCCAACAATTCTAGCGCTAATTGAGTAATAGATAACCTATCCTCGACGCCCTGGACATAAATCTATCGTTCGCATGACAAGAAATTAAAGTTAGAACCCTGGATTCTTCCATGTCTTCTTTGGTCCCTTCCCGTACCTCCTCGTTCGTCAAGGGTTGTTTTGGTTTGGGTGTAATCTCGTTTGATTCGTCTTGTGTATGAACGTTCTAGTATTTGTTTGTATGTCAATTAGATAATTTCTCGTTTTTTTTTTTTTCTCATTAGATAACCATACCCCACTCTGCACTGCGGAAATCGTATTCGTCGCAGCATCTTGGATGTCGTAATCTAATGCTTTGATAAGCACAGGAACCAATAGCTTGTTCAACTCGCCCATATCTTGCTGTTCGTCATCCCACGAGGATGATAAACGTACCACATCACGGACATTCATTAAAATGGCTAATTATTATCGTCAGTATCCAGGGTCCTTTTCTCATTTGCATCTAATCACCAACTTACCACATGCTAGAACTTGTATCAGAGTGTTGTCGTTTTGATGATTGATGATGTTCAAGAGAGATTGCGTGTACTCGGGGTGGTTTTGGAATTCAATCAAGAGGTCCTTGTTGTCATCTGTCAACGTATTCAAACATTGCCCTTTGATTCGCGGTTATTATCAGTGATCTGGCTATCTCTCTAAGCTTTGAATCGTGAAACTCACCTGCAGCAATGATAACCCGGGTTGGGCATTGCTCTCCAGATAAAAGAAATGACGATAAAAACGTTACAATGTTCATCCTGTTGATGGCTTTGATGTATTTATCAGATGCCTCGCTAATCCAACGTCCTATCAGTCCATTTGCCGTGTGCAGCACATTCTGTGTCTCCTTGACATTTACCATATACACCAGATAATGTAGATGAAGTTTTCAGTGACATCCCAAATCGACTTTCTTCTATCTCCATCTGCTTCGTCTTCGAGTGGTGCTCTTTTCAATACCAAATCAATCGTGCGAGTGATCTATTTGCAAGATTAGATGACGAACATAAGTGTGAAGGGGTCCTGTAACAAACCTGAGGAAGCAATGCGGATAGCGGTTCCATAATATTTCGAGTGTAGTATTCTTTTGCTACTGTATTGTCCACTGAAGCAATGTTTCTCAAGGCGCCCAATGATTCATCTCGAACTTCTTGCTGAGGATCGCTTAATCTTTGGATCAGAATGGGCACAATGCCTTTGGACAGCAAAAGTTTGCGGGTGCTACCATTTGCGAGGATGAGATTTGAAATACATGCTGCTGCCCAAGCACGCTCAGTAGGGTTTTCAGATGAAAGCTATCGATCACAGTGTTAGACATTCGTAGTTCTGCTTTTTGCATAAATACAAATATATTTACTCTTTCTACGACAGGCGCAACTTGCTCACTTGTTGGCACTGGCATATTGACATTGGCTTCGTTGATGCCAGCTTGGATGCCCTTTCTTTGAATGGGATTGATGCGTCTTCTGCTGTTCTTCTTCTTTTGTCTTAGCTTGCCCATAGTAGTATCTATGAAGAGTAGAAATTGTATTTGATTAAAAGCACGATACTTTTGATATTTCACCTGGAATGAAAAAAATAGTTCAGTGGCTTGTTCGGGTCATGCAGCCGAATTTGACTACCATCACTGCTTCATTACTGCTTCATCGTGAATGTGGATGAAAAGCACAGGACCACATTCAGATATGCTCAGTGCTCAAGCAGTGTTTGCTATAGTGTGCTATCGTATGATGAACTCTCACAGTAAGCTACCAATACTTGACTATGAATTTTGTTCATGATCACCAGAATTTGGCACAGCGCATGAAGCAAGGAATCCCGAGCCATGAGGCCGTAGTTTTGCACAATAAGCGACTGGAATGGAGTACGCAAAGCTCTGCTATATAGGATGGAGGACATGGCCCTTCGTTGATTATTTTTTTACTAACCACATTTCAATTGTTTGTTTGTCTAATCTATCGGTTGTGTCTCCGTGGTCAGCTTTTTTTTGGCTCAAAAATGAATGGGATCGACACATCCATAAACAAACAGTGTCTGTAAACTGCGCTTGGTGTACCTCAAACGCCGATTTCCTTTTGCACGGGTGTAATCCATCTATAGGCTTGATCTTTTGGCAAGTAACCGAAAGAAATGTGCCCTTTGATCAGGCATACAAACTGCTTGATAATTCTGTGCCTGAAACGTATTTGGAGGCGTGCATGAAATATTGATTACAAGATATGTTGCCACACGCGAGACACAAACAACATATTCGACACGCACTAAGCCCCTGTCCGATTTCGAAACCTTATTGTCATTGCATATGCTCAGGAACAGTCTATATAAAGCTATCTTTGATGGATAATACTGAATACCACCCTTGGGAGATTACTTCCTTGCTTAAAAGTCATGATATACTCGTACCAAAAATCTCTACAAAGCTTTTAATCAGCCTGTTTGTGATTTCAATCCAGGTGACACAGCAATTTCACATGCTTAATTGAATTCCTTGCGATATGAACATATCCAGAGCTTCGCCGTGTCGTCACTTTTGTGTAGGAAATTGCTTTATTGCATGTACTTACTCCTCCTTTTTAATCGTCTCATATATTTTACTTGTTTCTTTCCTCACTTTTCTTTTTGTTACCCCTTTCTTTCTGATTAGAAAATATACCAAATGTAAGTGTGATAAGCAACTATGTTATGATTTGCAGCCAACACATGCATCGGCAGGACTATTGAAGAGGTTGAAGCTCCAGTTGATCAAATCACACCACCTCATTCCAACTCCAACAAAGACTCCATCTCCACTACAAACTGGGATCAAGACACCTTGACTATTCCACGTCTTCAGATTGTGGATGAAAATCAAAAGTTCACGTAAGCAACGCACATTATCGCATATGCTAGGCATAGATGCTAATACGGATACAAAGCGATGATCTACCAAACTATCTTTCAAAGTGGCACTTGGGCGAAGCAGGATTCAAATACAACGTAGTTGCCGTGTTCGGTTCTCAGAGCACAGGTAAAAGCACCTTGCTTAACGGCCTATTTGGCACCTCGTTCGATGTGATGGATGAGAACCAAAGAAGCCAAACAACCAAAGGTATCTGGATGTCTCGTGGCAGAGGTATGCATGTGCTTGTAATGGATGTAGAGGGCACAGACGGTCGTGAACGCGGTGAAGATCAAGACTTTGAGCGCAAATCAGCCTTGTTTTCCATGGCTACCAGTGAAGTGATCATTCTCAATTTATGGGAACATCAAGTGGGTCTCTACCAAGGTGCAAACATGGGGTTACTAAAGACCGTATTTGAAGTGAATCTGCAGTTATTTCAGACACAAAAGAGGTTAGTATCTGCTGAAACTTGCTGAAACCATGCAAATATTGACGTGTTTGGATCTTGCAGCAAGGAAAAGACACTCTTGTTGATTGTGATTAGAGACCATGTTGGGTCTACACCATTGGCTAACTTGGCAAAGACACTGCAATCTGATTTGGAGAAAATATGGGTTGGTTTATCAAAGGTAACTTATGCCATATCAAGCCGAATGGCATTCAGTGCTAATATTTTGTAGCCTGAAGGTCTTGAAGATTGCAAAATTCATGATTACTTTGACTTCATGTACACTGGATTACCTCACAAAGTGCTCTTGCCTGAGAAATTCAATGAAGAAGTAGCCAAGCTGCGTACCAGGTACCTTTCCGTGGCTGAAAATAAGCGATTCGAATGATCTAACGGCGATGCATAGATTCAATGACCCTCAAAACCCCGACTTTGTATTTAAGCCAGAGTATCATAAGCGTATTCCTGCTGATGGCTATCATATCTATGCTTCTGGTATTTGGGACAAAGTGCTCACCAACAAAGATTTGGATCTTCCCACACAGCAAGAGTTGCTCGCTCAATACAGATGTGATGAAATCTCCAGTGTAAGTTGCATATATCCTAATGCTACGCATTTTCTGATCCACATACAATATTCAGGCTGCATTTGAGGTGTTTTCCAACAAACTTGCTCCTTTCAAACAGCCCATTCTTGAAAAAGCTCAAACCATCGACAACCTCGGTCCACAAATGCTTGAAATTCGACAAGAAGCTGTTGCTGCATTTGACAAAAACGCATCCCGCTATCACCAAGGCGTATATCAAAAGAAGCGAGCAGAAATGTTAACTAAACTGAACATACAGCTCAATGTATTGTTTGTTGGACAGCTGAAGAATTTACACAAGAAGGCAGTCGTTATGTTTGATGAGAATCTCAAGGCTGAATTGAAGAGACCAAATTACAATTTCGCAGTTGCTGTGGAAAACTGTTTGAAGGCTGCAACTGACTATTTTTTGACAGGTGCTAAAGGTTTGTGTGCATTATAACGAAGGCTGAACATGAAGGCTGATAGTACTTACTGTGAGTAGCTATCTTGTTGCCTGAAACTGACTGGTCTTACGACAGTGAATATGCTTCTCTTGAAGAAGAGTTCACTGAAGTGTCTACAAAGGCCCGTACGGACGAATTCAGAAAGATGACCAAATCTCTGACAGTAAGTTGCTTTGTGAGCTCACTAGGAATGCTCTAACATCCATAAATATAGAAACAAGTCGAGAATGAGCTTTCTGAGCCTATTACATTGGCATTGAACAACCCAGGGCCCAACCCATGGCACAAGATCCTCCAAGCTTATTCAAAAACAGTTGAACATGGCCAAACTACTCTCAACAAGATTGCTGAAAGTAAGTATAGTTGGAAAAGATTCTTGCACAAACGTTCAAATAGCAAACCGCACAGGTTTCAACTCGTCTGATGCCGAGATACAAGAGTCAATCGCTGACCTCAGACTGCAAGCATGGATTGTGCTTCGTAAGAAAGTGGACGAAGAGCTTGCTGATACAATGCTTCTGTTGAAGCTTCGCTCAAGGTTTGAAGAAAAGTTTAGATATGACGACCATGGACTTCCCCGAGTTTGGAAACCAGAAGATGATATTGACACTTTTTTCAAGAGAGCGAAAGAAGATGTAAGCTCAACATTGTTTGCAACCTAAACAGTTACTGATTTATTCGACTGATAGACATTGACACTCATCGCTTTATTTGCTAAAATCAATTTGAAAGATGACCCAGACTTCAAGGTTGAATCGGATGATGAAGATTTCGATTTCGAACAATCACTCATCGTCCTAAGTGAAGCCAAGCAAATCGACATTTCCAATCGTTTCAAGAGAGAATCTGATGCATTTTATCTGGAAGCCAAACGATCTGTCGTTTCAACAACTGCTAAAATCCCTACCTGGGCAATTGCAGCCATGGTATTTTTGGGTTGGAACGAGTTTATGACAGTTATCAGAAACCCATTGTATATGATCTTGTTTGTATTGTGCATCACTTTTGGTTATGTCATCTTCGCTTTGAATTTGTGGGGTCCATTGGAACGTATTATATCAACTGTTGTCGGCGAGGCAACAAGAATTGCAAAGGAGTGCATTGCAGAAGGTGTAGAAATCGCAAAAGAACAAACACATCATCAACAGCAAGGCAAAAACAGCAGTAAAATAAACGAAAAGAAGGATCAGTAGATTAAAGATACATAAATAGCCTGGTAAAAAATAAACAGTAGAGGATATTTTTCGTAGCAAAACTGAATTTCTACGTACTAACGCTTACTGGTACTATCAAATTTTCATTCTCTTTGCAAAATATCTACGACGAAATATCAATTCTTTTTGAGAGGTGTTGTCTTTAAGCAAGCTGAATTGAATTCTGTAGTTCATGTCATATCAAATAATTAGTCAATGTATCATTGAAATGCAGATCGTCAAAAGGCAACAAGTAAAAGCATTCCCACAAAGAGAATTGAAAACGAAACAAAAGCTACTAAGCTTGAAGCTCTCGTTCAATTAGTAAAATCTAGCGGTACGGCTCTTTGAAATTTAATCATTTCTACTATTTTTCCTTATTACTCATCGACGTCGTTCTCAGTAACCTTTAAGTCAAACACGCCTCAGCCAAGCAGGATACCGTCTGGAATTGTTACTGAATTTGCACCTAACACTTCATCCCCCCAAGGAAGCTAACCGCAAGGAACTCGGATGCCACAGCATTCGAAATGATAATCTGACCAATACTGACATGTTCTACAAACTATTACATAGCAATTGAAATTTAATGATTTTACAAAGTAAAACGTAAAGCAATGGTAGATTACTGTCAATAGAATCAACGTGTCTTAATTGTATGTAAAATGAAAAGATCCTGTATTTCAGTAAAAAGAGAAGGGTCTTTACACATTTGAATTTAGCTTAAAGCGTTAGTGATGATAGAATGCAATAGGTGCTGCTATTGCGACGTCCGGTAAATGTTGTTGACGTTTGATTAGAGAGATAGTAAATTCAAAAGCAACGGCTACAATTGTGGAATACATCCACTATGATCTGCATTCCGACAGTTCATCCAGTTACCAGATTTAGATATAAACTGTATGTACACTGGATTAGATGTACGATATCGATTTATACTATAAGAAGATATGGACTTCAGATACGCGAGTACTATAAGATTCATACTATATAAGATATAGGTTGTAGTTGGCACCACGGCCATGGATGGCGCGATAGGCTTATACTTGTATTCCGACATTGACTTCGGATGTTTGCCATATCTGGATAAACACCAAGATTAATGCAATATGAGCTTGTTGCTTCAGATATGCACTTTATTATAATCCACGCCGTAAGACACATGCTTATATCCATGATACTATTAGCTACAGATACTTTATGTACTACAGACTTGTACTATATATGAGACATGCTATAGACATGCATATGATATGCTATAGACATGCCATATATCCAGATACATGCTAAAGATGTATGTTTAGCGATATACACTCAGATATATACTATTAATATAGACTAAGTAGACTGTACCTATTGGATACATGCTACTAGATCGATATTAATTATCCTTATAGAAAGGATAGATCAGGGTACTTTGGATGAGAGTCTAATTATTCATCCAGGCAAAGCTAAATCATGATTAGCTTGCTAGAGTTGTCTTTTAGCATAATTCGACATTAGTTGATCTGAGTTGACTTATTTGTCAATCTAATCAATAGAACTTTTATCCATTGTTATAGTATATAAGAAGAATCATCTACCTGGCCAGTAGAGATACTTCAGTTTACTTTACACCTGTCAGTTTGATAATAAAACATACCTTTATTAAGTTGACTTTACTGTTTTTTTTCATTCTTTTTTTCTGTGAGTTTTAGTCTATAAAACCTCAAATTCCACAGCTACAAATAATAGTCCTTTTATTCTTTGTGCTTAACATATATAAAAGAACTTAAATTGTAATTGTTAGATACCCTTTTATTACAAAAACAATATAATGTTAAATGACAGATCAATAGAAGAGCAACTAGCTGGAATCCTTCGTTGCTTCAACCTCCGAGCCAATCAGATTGCCTGAAAACTCCGCTGACCTAAAAAAAATTTTGCGAGGGTTTCCCCTTGTTTTGATGTGAGGCAAAATTTTAAGCGCCGCTATAATAGCAATATAGCAGATGCTATCATCAAACTTCCCCCAGGCGTTAGAGCATGCCTTACTTACACCACCTAGCTTTAAATTCTGGCATTGAGACCCTCAATCATCACTAAAGTAAGTAGTGATAACCAATTGGAGGCAGCCTATCCACCTCCGAGTCTCGGATAGAGTCATGTTGAGCTTCAGGGATAGGCACATCCACACAACGTAAAAAAGGTATGCTTCAAAGAAACATAATAGAAGAAAGAAATGAAAGAACAGAACATACTACTGTACTATAGACGTATAGTAGTATGTATGCAGAAAAGAAACACTCACACAAAAAAGTGAGTCAAAAGAAAAGCATAACAACAAATACAACATCAAAGATGTTCAGAACGGCTCGCTGTTGTTGCAACAGAAATGCATACATGAGCAACGTGCATGATAATAGTCGGATGTAAAGCAACACAAACACGCACAGTTGCAGGAGCAACAGCAGTATTATAAGTGTGTAATGCAACATAATGACTAATGTTGTTTCATGTGAAGCGACAGAGGCAACACAAACAACAATCCACGACCATATAACAAAGTAGTATTACAACGGCAATACAGATATATAGTAGCACATCATGCTTGTTGTTCATACATAAGAAGCAACAACATTGCAGGCATCCGTTGAGCTGATCATATCACAGCCAACAAAAGAAAAAAAAAGCGCAACAAAGCAAACATTACGAATGCATTATCACGAGAAAGGAAGCAGTAATACAAACGTCCAGAGAAGTTTTATATCATTGCGACCACAAGAAAAAAAGGATACTTACCACTTACCACAACCACGGATAGACCAGAAGAATATAAGCAATCATCAGAGATAGACCAGAAAACGAGCAGACACCAGATACAGTAGACCAGAACAGACCATATTAGCAGCAGCAGCAGCAGCAGCAACACCAGCACCATAGAAAAACTAAAGAATGAACGCCATCAGCAGAGAGCAGACAAAGACCAAAGAAGTTACTTACCACTTCTCACCACCACAGACAAACCAGGAGAGTACAGGCAATCACCAGAGATAGACCAGAGAACAAGTATACAGCAAACACAGTAGACCAGTAAGGACCATATTAGCAGCAGCAGCAGCAACATCAGTAGCAATAACAGCAGCAACGCCAGTAGTAGCAATAACAGCAGTTTAGAAAAACCCAAGAACGAACGACACCAGATACCAGACAAAGATTAAAGAAGCAACTGCCAGAGATACAGACCAAAGAAGCAGCTACCGGACATAATAAACCAAAGAAGCAGACAGCAGAGATAGCAGAGAAGTAATGGAATCAGCACCCACATCAAACAGTCAAAAAAATTAGCGAAACCTAATAAACAAATCCGATTAGTGCTAATTATACGTCTTCTAGTGCTCGTTATTGCATGGTACCTACTATATTTCACTTCAAAGAAGCAGTAACAAGTCTTTCTGACAGTGCAAGACAGTGTTATCAGAAGCTAGAGTGTTATTATCAACCAAACGGTTTCCAAAACGACCATGGTTTGATGCTAAACGCGTTTTGCAAAAGGGAAAAAAAATAAGGGTATGGAAAAAGGAGAGGTCACCTTGTCAGACGTCACTGCCTGTAGATTTAGTCTCAGTAGTGTATTATAGCAGCAGTAATTGCGGCCATTTAATTTGAAATTGTGCAGTGGTATTTTCGTGTTCAAACTTGACTTGATTTGACATCCTTTGAACGTTTTTATCGAATTTAACAATGAAAACTGTCGTTGTCACATCCAAATTCCTAATACATTTTTGGATATCCAAAGCCGCATCGAATGATGCTAATTTCATTCAGCTTCTAAACCGAAAATAATGAGAAAATTCCAAAAATACGAAAACAGGTTTTCTGTGAATATGTCAAATTCTAGCATATAAAAGTCTCATATAAACAGCTTCTAGTGTTGCATTTCATCTTTACGATAAATTTGATCTAATATGTATCATAGAAAAAGTCATCATTTTTGGAGTGAAAAACGCGATCGTTTGATTTTTGAGAAATTTCCCTTGCTAATACGCATGAAAAAAATGATGATTTCTATGCATTTGCAACGACCCAAAAAAATTGAGATAAAGCATCAGGAAGTAAAGCGTGGCCAAAAGGAGGCGTGTGGTGCTATTCCGAGCGCTCAAAACGCTTTATGGCATGAGTTATTCGTGCTTGAAAATGGCTAGGTTTGAACAGAATTCGACCTAAAACTGCGGCATAGTGGGTTGTGTTGCCAGTGTTTAGAATAACGAAATATAGACAGAGTAAATACAATTAGAACTTGTTAAGCACAAAGAATAAAAGGATTATTATTTGTAGCTTATAAAAAAATGTTCGATATTATAAAAGCAAGAAAAGACTTATTTGAATAAGATCAGACACAAAAACTAAAGATTTATTGATGAAGACAAGAGTTATTCTATTTATACTAAGTTCTGAATGCCAAAATAGCAATTTATCTTGTACAACGCCTATTACATCTGATGAACCTCAATATTTAGATAGCTGAGATTGATGAATTCGTAATAATAAGTCGATGATAATAATCAGTTGTCAACTGTATCTAAAACGAAAAGCAAAGAGCTTCTTTATTACAGGGCATCTAGCTTGCTTAAATATGGTAGATCCCTGGTCAATGACTACTACGTTGAGATGGTATATAAATAGCAGGCCACTGGGGCCTTATGGATTGTTGGTATAGCTTGTTGAGAGGCCACCTAAGTCGATATGTTTCATGTAGTGTAGGTGGTGTGGAATTTGAGGCTTGATAGACTAAAATTCACGGAAAAAAAAGAATAAAAAACAGTAAAGTCAACTTGATAAAGGTATATTTTATTATCAAACTGACAGGTGTAAAGTAAACTGAAGTCTCTCTACTGGCCAGGTAGATGATCCTTCTTATATACTATAACAATGGATAAAAGTTCTATTAATTAGATTGACAAATAAGTCAACTCAGATCAACTAATGTCTAATCATGCTAAAAGACAACCCCAGCAAGCTAATCATGATTTAGCTCTGTCTGGATGAATAATTAGACTCTCATCCGAAGTACCCTGATCTATCCTTTCTATAAGGATAATTAATATCGATCTAGTAGCATGTATCCGATAGGTACAGTCTTCTTAGTCTATATTAATAGTACATATCTGAGTGTATATCGCTAAGCATACATCTTTAGCATGTATCTGGATATATGGCATGTCTATAGCATATCGTATGCATGTCTATAGCATGTCTCATATATAGTACAAGTCTGTAGTACATAAAGTATCTGTAGCTAGTATCACGGATATAAGCATGTGTCTTATAGCGTGAATCATAAAGTGCACATCTGAAGCAACAAGCTCATATTGCGTTGATCTTGGTGCCTATCCAGATATGGTAAACATCCGTAGTCAATGTCGGAATACAAGTATAAGTCTATAGTGCCATCCATGTCCGTGGTGCCATCTATAGCCTATATCTTATATAGTATGAATCTTATAGTACTAGCGTATCTGAAGTCCATATCTTCTCATGATCATAGTATAAATCGATATCGTACATCTAATCCAGTGTACATACAGTTTATATCTAAATCTGGTAACTGGATGAACTGTCGGAATGCAGATCATAGTGGATGTATTCCACAGGTGGATCTCGATATCTTGACATTGGGGAGATTGAATGTATTGTAGTTCCTGAGGCACCTGTGCACACACAATTGACTGGACTTGTAAACATAGATGTGATGTGATACGATAAACATCATCTATGCTGCTACACTGTAAAAGGTGGCTTGAGGAGAAAGTGAATGTAGCCTAAGATGCATGCTTGTATGCAACAGAGATGCACTTCAATTATCACAGCTTGTCCATGTTGTTGCACAACACAGACATATCTACCCATCAAGAATACCTTTATCTTTACAGACAATTGTAGCCCTTCTGGCACAACAATTGCATTGCATCATCATGATGATCGAGATTAAGCCAAGTGACCAAAGAAAAATACACACGTATCATAACTGTCAGGGTTGAAGGGTGCTCTGATAGTGATTTAGATCTGCAGGATATTATTGACAGGCTAAACACAAACAAGAATATGTTGTGTAACGCCATATCAATGGTATAAAGATCCAAGGATCCACATCAATAAACGTGAGTCTTTCTTCTTCCTACATATTATAGTGGTCCCATTATTCCTGATGAACAATACAAATAAGAAGCGCCAGCTACCAGGAATACCAAACAGCGATTAACCTGGATACCACATACCATTGCACAAACTATATTGGATAAAACCAATATCCAAATCTAATAGTAATAAAGACACTTTTTTATCCATTCAACTAAAAGGCTATAACATCTTCCTGCACACTCTCTATATCTACTTCCATTTATATCTCGATCAGATCTCAGATTGCATATACTACCTCTATGTATTAGCATCTGACAATAACATGAAAGCGCGGTTGGTTAAGTGGTATAATCTTCGCCTGCCACGCGAAGGGCCGGGGTTCGATTCCCCGACCGCGCATTTCTCTTTTGCCTCTCTTGAAGAGAGGCATTTTTTTGTTTTTTGTTTTTGAATGAAAAAGAAGAAATGATGAAGAGGCGTGAAAGGAAAAGCAAGGAATTAACTTTCATCAAAATTGCTGCGAAAAGAGATTTTGAGAACAAAAATTAAGGTTTTTTTTAACATTCGCTTATCAAAGACATGTCTCAGTCATGCTGATAGCATCTGAGATACTGTTACGAATCGTAATATCCACTTTTTCTGTCACTGTATAAAATCATCTATTCTGCTCTTCACCATTAAACAAATAGAATAAATCACATTTGGTATCGCTTAAATTATACACTCTGTCCACAACCCAATCTCGAGTCAAAAATGCCGCATATCAAGCGGGCATGAATTAATGGCCCAGATCAGCGCTGCAATGCCTTGCGTATCTTATACCCAAAAGGACAACCATGTATCAACCCCTACATCTTAAATACATGAAATAAAATTACATGAGCAGATCGTATGAAACTATATGCATTAACCCTTGGAAATTAAGTAAGCTATTCCTCGTTCATCGAAAGATATTAGTACAGAAATATTATCAAATCTCAATTCAATCCTCTTTAAAGAATAGCAAAATAGTATAAAATGCATAACTCTCAAAATCAATTAATAAAATCATCTTATACTTTACCAATATTCCAATACATATCTTTTGTAAAGCTCATTAGCTGTTATATTTACTTCTTATACTAAACATCTGTTATTTGTAAGATCCCTTGTATTTCCCATATTATAATCGATTCATTATAAACTCTTTATATACAACTCTGTATAACTTTCTATTTTCTACTTTTTCCTCTGTTTATTTTTTTTATTCTAGTTGGACAACTATAAACCTGGTGCTCGTTTGATAGTTAGATCTGCTTTGGCTAATTTACTATCTCTATTCAAACTTTTTTACCAAAACTATACACACTACTACCGGCTCGCCCGTAACAATATATCAAGTTGTTGTAAATGAATTGAATACAGTATAGAATGACCACATGCACCAGCCGCTGAAGTTTGCATTGGTGAGCGTTCATAATCGTGATAAAAAACCGTATTTGAGCACAATAACAATGTGGATGGTTGATTTTGGAATGGCATTCCTGGATGAAAATGATGCCTGACAAAACTCTCGGTTTAAAAGGCTATTGTATATAGTTTCTGTTGTTGTAATGACAGGCGATATTGCAAGTTGCTTAATCTTCACGCTCCAAATACAACAAACATTATAAAAGTAGCCACTTTCTGGGAATGCAAGAACAACATTCTGTTTCTTATTTCACGAAATACCATGGTTCGTGCATTATCGCTGCTTTTGTCAGTCTTGCTTGTATCATCCACTACCCTCGTTGGTGCATTGGATGGAAGAAGTCGTTTGTTCTTTAGAGATGTGCTAGAGGATTTTGATGAATGTAAAGGCGTCAGTTGGGAAAATGACATGGTAAATTAACCTATTTGAAATAAATGAAGGCAAACCTAAATCTATATTGTAGTTGGCCCGATTTACTGGTATCTTCTTTGGCGATTTCTATACCGGTGGTTCTCAAGATATCTTGGGCGCTCTTGCTGTTGAAGGCAACATGCACGCTCCTAATTATATTGTGAATACCAACCACGTATGGTATAATATGTATAAATGGGATAGCTAATGGACTTGTGTCAATGTAAATTAGGGATCTGACTGTAGCAACGTCAATTCGCTGGACTCGTACGGTTTAGTCGTAGGTGGCCATATCGATACATTTAACACGCATGTGCATGGAAGCGCCTACATTGCCGGTGGTGGATCGACTGAAGAAATCTTGCAGTTGGATGACGGCTGCTTTGTTACTTCCGAGAAAGATACAGGTATTTTTGACTTTGCTTTGGTCAAGGATTTGCTTCAATTATCTTCTCAAAACTTTGCCAATCATCCTGCTACGGTTATTTTGGAATCTGATGATACTATTACTGAGCTCCGCGATCACCAACTTGCCTTGTATGAAGTCTTTACGTTCCACACTTGCTCAACAGCTTCTTGCAGTGCCGACAGAGATACTGAGTCTGACCCAAACGCCATCTTTTTCAACATTGGTAATTGGAATGGGGTACAAGGCACTGAGCTGAATCCTGCCAAGACCTATGTCTTGAATGTAAGTGCAGATGTCAGGCCCTTCCTTCAGAATCATAACATTACCTTGTAGATTCTTGTTACCAATGGTGGTACATTTGAATTGACATCGAATAACCCAAGGTGTGTTGCATAGAATCAAAAGAGAATGGCGATACTAACTCAAACGCAGTAATGGTTTTAATCCTTGCAATGTCATTCTGAACGTATATCCTGTTGAGGAAAATGGCAATGATATGCCAGCAGGAGAAATTACGTTTTTGCGTAAATCTGCAAGTCAACTTGGTGGTTTTTCTCTGGCTCCTAGAGGTACTTTAGTTGCTTTAAATGTCTTTTATGTTCGCTAGCCTATTTACTTTTATTTTCAAGCTCACATTGTTGATGGTTCCACTGGAAATTTTGCTGGTACCATTTTAGGGTAAAGTAATGAGTCTTGTATATCACATACTAACGAACATGTAACTAACTGATGAACTAAATTAGTCTGGACTATACCTGGGAAAACCTTGGGGCTGGAGTCGAGATATACGCATACGAGAGTGCAGGCGGAAATTGCGATCAATATAAAGGCTGTGTGCCTAATCATGTAACAACCACACCTTCTCCTGTTGTGCCTCCTACGCAAACATCCATCACCGAATCAAGAACCCGTATCTGGCCATTCACAAGATTGCCAACCTTCAAACCCAAACGACCACGGTCACCTATCAAGGCATTATGGTCCCAACTATTGGCGCTACCCTTATAAATGTTGAAAAAAGCACCACGACAGAGACCACCATTATCACCACTAGCGTACCATTAACAACCACTTCGGATATTACTACTGAAATAACTACAAGTGTGCCTGTTACTCTCACATCTGACTCAGAAACCATCACCACATTCAGCGAAACAGCCGAGACCATCACCATCTTGACGACCGAGACAACCAAAGTAGTGACAACCACTGAAACCGAGGTTCTGGAGACCATCTCTGATACCACATGTCTCGAGGACAACACGAATATTGTCACTATTGACTCCACCAAGACAGAGACCTTTGATTCAATTACTGATTTCGTTACAGCGACTGAAGCAGCTCATACCACCACAGTTATAGTGACAATAGACATTTTTATAACGACAGAAACGGACAATATTTTGTCTGTTGCAGAGTACACAACAAGCACAAGAAGACAACTTATGCTGAGGCCTGTCACCAGAACCAAGACTGAATGCAATGGAAACATTTGCGCCACTGCCATTGTTACTGGTGGCATAGAAACTTGCACCGATGAGCCGTATCATGGTCACTACCATGGCCACCATCACGGACCTGGTGAGAAGTGTGAAGAGGGAGGAGACGGTGATGAAGATGAGGAAGATGACGATGAGGAAAAGAAGCACTATCATAAAGAGGGCAAAAAAGAATCATGATAACGAGGAGAAAGATGAAGACGAGGATAGAAGCGACTAGAAACTAGCATATATTTAGGTTATATATAGACATCAATAAAAGAAAGTGTATTCAAGCCAACTGATAGAATAAGCTAAGAATGTCTTTCCCCTATATCATGTATCATGGGTCTATTTCAATTCACACACATACAAAAAGAGCTGATGGATCCATTTTAATGCAGCCACAGTGCGATGACGACTCTACGAAACATAAAAGATTGATGGCTAGTAGCGTATATATACAACGCACCAGAAAAATCACTGATGAAAGCGCACTCTTTTCTCAATACCTTATATTCAAGTTTGAAAGCCTTCCACAAAAGTTGCAGACCAAGGTGCTTACCTATGTAAATCAGGAGGGTCTGAGCCATTTTGCAGCTTGCAGGTCTGTTTGTAAGCAATGGAACATACTGTGTATGCAAATCTTGAGTACTCGAGGCATCAAGGTCTCTTTGACAAGCAAGCGCCAATCCAAGCAATTTTTGCAGCTGTTGAAAAAAGACAACAGAAACTTCAACTCGACCATTCACCAGATTACAGTACGCAGCAAAGTCTACTATATGGATTTCATCGCCATCCTTTGTCACTGCTCAAACCTTAATGCGTTGGATTTAGGTGGACAGAGCTTATTTTACATCAAGTTCTACCAGTTACTTTTACAAGCTGAAAACATAAGACGAGCCAACGATTTACCCTACATTGAAGAGTTCAAGTTTGACGACTCTGATGAGGTGTATTCGTTGGAATCCATGTCGACCAGCAGTGTGATCTGTGCCGACATTGCGGCATTTCGAAGCTCAATCAAGCATTTGCATGTGGTGTTGGACTTTATCAATACTCCTGGATTTTATCGCAACAACTCTACGCTCAAAGATCGTTTATATGACATGCCAAAGCTTCAAAAATCACAGCAAGATAGTCCAACATCTTTCCAGCCGATGTCTTCATCGAGGATATACTGAACAGCCAGCAGCAAAAACTCGAGTCCGTTTCATTGGCGGGCATTGGTATAAATTTAACAAGCAAGCGTGTCTATCGTATCAACCCAGTCGAGAGCCTTCAAAAGCTGGAAATCTACTTGCCCTGTATGGACGTCCAGGTACTGCGATTCATTGAAAAGGCGTCGCCGAACCTTGAAGATCTCAGCTTATTGAGCAACAAGAGCAACCACTTTGAATGGATGACTATCAATGGCGATAATTCTATCCAAACATACACCAACCTTTGGAAATTCAGAGATTACTGTAATTTGGTGGCAACCGTTCTTGTCAGTCTCTCTGATGAATTCTTTACTGTGTTTGCTCATATTCATCAAGAGCTGTTTGAAGAGATTGATTACATTTGGGATGTGTTTGATCAAGACGATGATGAGGACAGTTTCGACTTTAACGACGATAGTTCTAGCTACGATGACGACGGTAATGATGATGATGATGATGATGATGATGAAGAGTATGGCTTGATTGACCTTGTTGGCTAGTAAACCCATCTTTCTCCCTTGTCTTATAACATTAGTTTCAAAAAATTGACACACACTAATCTATTTCTCTATAAATTCGTATTGTTGCTAAATTCATATTGCTTGCTTTTAGCTAATAAGCGCATTTTCCACAGTCGTTCCATTACGTTTTTCATGTACTCATCTGATGATCCCCCCCCCCCTGGAGGTTTTGCAATGGTAAGCTAATGACTGAGAGAGAAACAATTTGTTTACCAGAGAATCTCCTAAACAAGAATACAATGTGTGTGTGTGTGTGTTGAGGATGTTTGTCACACTATTTCCTTTATGCAAACGGTAGTGCTATCTCTATGTATAGTTCATCAAGAATGACTCATGTGTGCGTAGATCATATATACCAAGCTAAATGCTCGCAATGTCACGTTGTTGTGTATCCTATCGTCATGATGCCATCCGAATTATCTCTTGTCATACAAATAGAGCTTACGGAGAAAAAAAGGACGTCTGAATTAGTGATGCTTGGGTTGTATCAAAATAGTCAATTAGGAAATTTTGAATCTTGAGCTTTTGAATTAGAACACACCTCATTGTTGCATCACATTTATAGTACACATTTATATAAACTCTTTCTTCTCATCTTGTCTTTTTTTTCTTCTTTTCATTAAACAATGCCTAGACCATTTGAACCTGTGTTAACTGAAAGAGACCCTTTGATGATCCACCACCACCCTCATTATCCAGCTGCCAATCTCAAACTAGATGGTAAAATAGACTTGTCAAAGCAGCCTTCATTCCTACCTCGACCGGAGCTACAACAGAGATCCCCCGTGCAACCACAGCAACAAGTCAGTTGGGAAATTACGATTGAAAAGTGTATCAAGAGCATTGTCTCTATCAAATCATGCCGTACTCGAGGACTCGATACAGAGCTACCGGGCTCATTTACAGCAACTGGTTTTGTTGTGGACCCTGAACAAGGTATCATTCTCTCCAACCGACATGTCGTCTCTGTATCTCCTATCAAAGCGTATGCCGTGTTGTGCAACTATGAAGAGATTGAATTGACACCCATTTACCGAGATCCTGAGCATGATTTTGGCTTCTTTCGCTATGATCCTTGCAAGGTCAGATTCTTGGATATTCCCGGTATTGACCTATTTCCAAAAGGGGCCAAGGTAGGGCAAGATATCCGTGTTGTAGGGTGAGTATTCATGTGGTCATTCATGTCATTTTGTCATAACAATGACTCATTGCTATTGATACACAGAAACGATGCTGGAGAGAAATTAAGCATTTTATCGGGCACATTGGCGAGATTGGATCGAGATGCGCCTAGTTATGGTCTAGGTGAATACAATGATCTCAATACATTTTACTATCAAGCTGCTTCTAGTACGAGTACAGGATCAAGCGGGAGTCCTGTGCTGGACATTCAAGGGAGAGCTATTGCGCTGAACGCAGGCGGCGCATCAACATCATCGTCCAGCTACTATTTGCCACTCGACCGTGCTCAGCGCGCACTTTCTTTGATTCAGGATGGCAGCAATACAATACCACGTGGTACGATCCAGACCACATTCGAGTATCAATCATACGACGCCCTACTACAACTAGGTCTCAGTCGTCATTTAGAACAACGGCTAAGATCACAATCACAGCAACAACAAAATAAGAATACGGTCAATGAGGGGCTATTGGTGGTCAAGTCAGTGCTATTGGATGGCCCAGCGTATGGTCATTTGGAACCAGGTGACATCTTGTTGACTTGCAATGGAAAACTCCTGCCTCGACTCTTTGTTGATCTAGAGGAACACTTGGACAACTGTATAGAGAGCCAATTAGACATTCATCTGGTCGTGAGTAGAGCAGGAGAGCTCAAAGAAATCACTGTTGCGGTCCAGGATTTGCACGCAATTACACCATGGCGATTTTTGGAATTTGGAGGTGGTGTGCTGAATGATGTATCGTATCAAATGGCAAGATCATATGGAATATCACTAAAGGATCCCGGTGTTTATGTCGGCACTGCAGGCTTCTTGCTGGGAAGTGCGCGTGCTTTAAGGGGTTCCATCATTGTGGGTATCAACAATCGACTAGTGACCTCATTGGATGATTTTGTTGCAGTGGTATCAGAGATTGAGCAAGGAAAGCGAGTGCCCATTCGATTCTATACGTTGGCAAGGCCGATGAAGATGAGGATAATGATCGTTCATATGGATTGGAGGTGGCATAAATTTCAAATGGCCACACGAAATGGTAAGTAGGATGTTGCTTTTGGTTTCATGAATCCATGTATTCATTCTGCGTGTATATTCTAGATGCCACGGGTTACTGGGACTACAAGGTCTTGGAGACACCTCTACATCGCTCCTCTGCAGCCAGTCTGATGCGCAATGATCAGCTGTGCAAACAAGTAGACGATAAACTAGAAGACCCTATCGAGTCACTGAAAAAGAGCATTGTGTCTGTAGATTGTTACCCTCCATTTGTTGTAGATGGCTCCAAGAACCCTCATTCTTACGGTGCGGGTGTAATTGTGTCCCTGAACCCTCCGCTGATTGTGTGTGATCGCGATACAGTACCTATTAGCATTAATGTCATTTCACTCACCTTTGACAATTCGCTCACTATCTCTGCAGACCTCGTATTCCTACATCCCTTTTACAACTTTGCTGTACTGAAATTTGATCCGACACCCGTTATCGAAGCGGGTATCAAGATGAAGGCGGCGACTCTGAATGACCAAGACTTTCAAGTAGGGGATCAGGTTACGTATGTAGGCTTGTCTGGTAAGTATTCCATCACGTGGTATCGTTTGGGATGGCACTAACAGCCATGTTGCATAGGCCGCAGTGATATTGATATCAAAAAGACCACCATTTCAAGTCTAGGAGCCATTCGAACCACTGAGACATCTCCTCCACGCTGGAGAGCTATCAACGTCGAGGCATTCAAAGTGAGCGATGGCACGCTAGCTAGTCAAGGTGGGCTTTTTGCAGATCACACGGGTGGAGTGAGAGCGCTTTGGATGAGCTTCTCCATTGAAAACGCACAACGACAATTGTCAAGCGTGCTAGGTGGATTATCCTCAAGACTGATCATGCCCGTCATCCGCAAGCTGAAATCTGGACAGGCGCCTATCGTGAGAGGACTAGATGTAGAGATTGGTACACTGCAAATATCGCATGCTCGACTTATTGGCGTCTCTCATGACTGGATTACCAAGATAAAAAGCAAGGCAACCGACAAGCAGCCTTCTGTTTTGTACGTTTTGGGCATCACTGACATTTCCAGTCTCTCTGGTCAACAGCTAAAGCCTGGCGATATACTATTGACAATCAACGACACAATCGTGACCAATATCTCGGACATTGGCTACTTTCATGATCAAGAAGCATTGAGATTGGTATGATGGAACTGGCCGTACATTGCCGACGAGATGACTAACCTAGATGATATAGACTATTCTTCGAGATGGACAAGAGCTGAATCTCGTGGTGCCTACTACAAGCTTTGATGGCAAGGAAACTACTGAGGTTATTGGCTGGCAGGGCATGGTCATCCAAGATACGTATGCATCAGCCAAGGAACAAATTCAGAAACAAGTGCCAGAGGGGGTATACCTGTCCTGCTGTCTGTATGGCTCACCTGCTCAAGCTAGCTTAATGCCGGGCATCTGGATCACAGAGGTTGGCCAAACACCAGTAAAGACACTGCAAGAATTCCTGCAAATAGTAGATCCATCCAGCATTGCGATCCGTCAAAGCAAGAAACTACAGAAGGATCAAGTCAAGCAAGGTGTATTTGAAAAGCAGCAAGATGGCCATGCTGCATCACTGCTTGCACTCCCCACTCAAGACGAAATAGAAGACGATAAGCTGAGCCATGATGACAACCACATACAGATCAAGTTTGTGAGAGCAAACAACATGGTGCAAGTGAAAGCCATCAAACTAGACAGACATTACTGGCCAACGTGGCATATCAAAAAGAATGAATCGTCTGCTCTCGGCTGGGATATGACATTTTTGTAAATAAACGCTTGATTTCACTTTATATATACATCTATTTTTTTTTCCGTTTTATTCCAATTCAAGATTACAAGGTAGTTAAATCGACCAAATCAAATCTTCTTGGCTTGGGTTGATCCATGGGAATAGGAAGTGTTGCTTCACGATCATGAACAATGCCGACTAATCTGCGCTTGGGGTGTTGAGCATCTTTGTAGAAACGAACGTATCCAGGTTCAAGTGCATAAAGTGTATGATCTTTACCCATGCCAACCTGTATATCCAGCGTTAAGACATACTCTTCTCAATATACTCTCTATCCACACACTTACATTGTCTCCAGCATGGAATTTGGTGCCTCTTTGACGCACAATAATGTTACCGGGAATCACTTCTTGTCCACCAAATTTCTTGACACCTAATCTTCTACCAGCAGAATCTCTGCCATTACGCGAGGAACCACCTGATTTCTTTGTAGCCCAACGCACTTGGACGGATTCTGTTGTTGTTGATGGGAAGAGGGTTATTATTTACTTGTGCTAGGGGTCCTGTCTGTCACAATTCTACCAACCTGTTGTTGTATTTTGTAAAAGAGGTGTCAGCATGGGTCGAGTTGTAGTTGACCATGCGTTTGTTCTGATGGTTGTTGCACTAAATTGTGTCAATGTGCGGTTCAATAATGACATGCTGGTAATAACGTAGAGGAGAAAAAAAGTTTTGAACCTGGTTTTAATGTTTGAGTTCAATTCAAACGAGGGTGAACATGGCCAGAGAAAAGGTTCAAGGAGTCACATTGGATCCCAGTTCTTTGCTCCCTATAACAGCCCCCACACCCCCCACATTTTGACATGTCCAGTCGAGATGGAGAGTGTCAAGATCATAGAAGAGTGCTTTCAACAAGTACGTGAATTGTTCAAACTGGTCAAAAAGCGTCTTTTGCTCGAAGCATTTGATGAGGTTCCTTTCTAGGAGGCTCTTAGAGTGGAGTAGATGTCAATTTTTGGGATGGCCAGTGTAGATTGACAACTTCATCTGTTGATTGGACAATCAGAACACTACTTCATCGCAATGCATTCCTCCATCACTTTACAGTTGTCTCAACAGAATAATGTATCGTATTCCGAAGCCTTAGCTGGCATCACTATCCAATGCAAATCCTTGCAAATGTTGAAGGGTGATATAACTGGTATTAAATTTGATTTGGAATTTGACGACGACAGTAATAATCATAACGCCAAATGACAATAAACGGATATGTGTAGTACCAATTGAAATCGATGCGACTAAAGGTCCCGTCAGTGTCATATCCTAAGCTTGGACCTTTACAGAGGTCGACTTGGTTATTTCGGCATGTAATGAGTAGCACCGTAGTGCAATCCAACAAACAAATGCATGCTGTATAGAAGCAGGCGTAAGCATTTGTTGTTTGGATCCTTTGCGGTGCTTTCTTTTGTAGTTCAAATACTATTATCATTGCACTTTCTAACCTTTCACCATCCCATGACCACTAGCTTTGAAAGGCCTATAACTGTGGATCTGGCTCTTCCACGATATTTCGTGGTTGTATCAATGAGAATAACTCATATACAGGCGCGCAGCATACTTGTATTGGCCCTAACTGCGCTTGCGTATGTAAAACACAGCGAAATTCGGGTATTTTGAGCCGTGATTTCTCGCGTTAGAAACCGTTTTAAGCGGGCATAATAGCACTATATAACTGCTCTCGTCTAGCGCTAACTTTCTGACACCTTTGCTCAACTTTTTGGGGCCCAAAAAAACATGGCTAAAAATCGACCAAAAAGCATGAGGGGTACCTCATGGTTTTCACCAAAAATCAAACGATCACGTTTTTGGCCCCAAAAATGAACACTTTTGCTATAGCATCTATCAAGTCAAAATGTTTGTATCGTTTCAAAGCAACCCCTGAAAGCTTGTTTGTGAAGCCCTGGTATGTGAAATTTCGACATTTTCGCCGAAACCTCATTTTACATTTTTCAATGTTGCTCAAAATGCTTCTTCAAAACATTTATCAGAATCTTTACCATTAGATGCGCCTTGAAAAGTACTCCAAAAAAATATTAGGAAGCACAGTAGGATCAGCACAATTTGTATAGTCGAATCTGATGAAATAGGTCGAATTGGATCCAAAAAGCTTGAGAATCGACAAATCAGGACAGAATGTCTATCGGAGATTAAACTAGTTTTGGCGGCTGCTGGCAGCATCAATGCCATCTCGATCAACCCATACAACAGGTGGTTCATACCATAGTAAAGTTATTGAAAAGTCTTGTGTTATATAGGCTCGTAATTTATGCAAAGTCCTAATAGTAAGACAGAGCTAGGTCAGTACGCCAATGATCTGCTATTGCAGAGTCAATCGTGTGTATCGAATGTGGAGCAGCTGCTCTGATTGTGGCAAACTTTGACTTTGATTGATTAGAGCTCTGATTTGCAGGGCATTCTTTCTCTGATTATCTTTGTTCATAACAGGTTTGGTCGTGTACAGTGATGTCTAATGGACATTGCTTAACATTGGAAGTTTGGTTAAATATTTTCTCGTCGCAGAGAGGGCCGTGATCCAGAAAGTGACACTTGACAGAGACAAGAGTGTTTCAAGAGTATACAAATATTAGCCGATCTATCTCGCTACGCTCGATGACAGCGTCTCCCTGTGGGCTCTCGCCAAAAACATTTTAAATCAGATATTATAGCATTTTGGTATATCAAGTAAATTTTAAACAATTTATTTTAGTTAGTGAAAGAAAAGTTATATTAGAGCCACCAGAAGGAGGAGAGGAGGTATCTCCCTCTGCATCCTTTTTGTTTACACTGATATCAAGCAAAGCCTATTATTGGAACAATGTGAAAGAAAATTCAAGTTTTATGCAGCATTTATGCATTAAAATTGTCATTTTCTGATAATAGAGCTGCCATATCATTCACTGCTGTTGATGCTCTTAATAAGATGGCGATATAAAGCTGGCCATGCGCAAATATAGAAGTTGTGTAAAATCTACAGCGACTTTTTTGAGATATTGTCATTGCAAAAGACGCCTTCATGAGGCAAAACTCCCCCCAAAAAAAAGTATTTGTGCTAAGCAATTGTCTTTTCAATTCCTTGATCCCCATTTAATCAGCATTGCAATCATCATTGTCATCAACAGAAAGGCATTTAGGTCAGCCAGCAGCAATGCCACCGGCTAAAATCAATTCAAACTCAATCTATTTTTTCTCTCAAGATTGGACAGATTTTGTGCTTTATCGACTTCTTTAATCTATTCTCTAAGATTCGACTATATACACTATGATAATCACCCTACGCTTTCTAATACATTCTTGAAGTACTTTTCAAGGCGCTTCCAATGGTGCTAATTGTAATAAGTGTTTTGACTGAAACTATTGAGCAATTTAATAAAATATGAAATGAGGTTTTTTTTAGCGAAAATAGCCATATTTTGAATATGAAAACCTCATAAAAGTGGTTTCAGAGGTTGCTTTGGATCGAGAGAAACATTTTGATCTGATATATACCATAACAAAAGTCTTCATTTTCAAGGTGAAAAATGCGATCGTTTGATTTTCGATGAAAACCATGAGGTATCTTTTTTTTAAAAAAAATTGTTTTTTTATTGATTGCTCCGTGTAAGTAGGTCCCTAGGGCACTACCAAGAGGCGGGCGCAATTGATATGATATTCAATTATATTTAGGATAAAGCGATAGATGACAGGAACAGATGATAGATGACAATTGTGATTAGAGAATTACAATTGTTTGTGAATTTCAGTTTGGGCATGTAGTTGAAGGAGCTCGTTCTTGATCTGCTGGACCACATACCATGAGGTACCCCTCATGCTTTTTGGTCGATTTTTGGCCATGGTTTTTTTGGGCCCCAAAAAGTTGAGCAAATGTGTCAGAAAGTTGCTGCTACTCGAGTACAATTGTTTAGCGTTATTCCGGTAGCTTTTAAAGGTCTACATATCAAGATATGAAGGCTTGAAAACTGTCAAATTTGGTTATGTATTAATTTGTAGAGTTTATTTATACGGCATAAATCACACCTTTGGTAGCCGCAATTTACTGGAAAGACAGTTCTGTAGCTCGAGCAATTTTTAATTCGAATAAAGAGGGCTATTGATTTTGGTAAAGCTGATTCATACAAATTTTGACACGTTATGTTGCTGGTAAGCTTATTAACAATGGGAATGAAAAACCGAATTTGCTGCTTAGATACTATGGCTTTGCATATTCGCTTCGCTACAATCTAGCACTTGTATAGATCAATGCTATCAAATGCTGGATTGGATGCTTAGTTGTCATAGGCTTGCATTTTTGCTTCGCTGCGACCAAGCCCTCATATGGATCAATGTTACCAAGTGTTGGATTAGACGCTCCTCGCAATCGTCCGGAAAACAAACTCTATCACGAGCTGTCAGTTTTTACATTCTCTAGCTCAAGTGTGTGACACAGCAATATATTTACATTGACAACAATGTCGACGACAGAATTGAGCAGCTCGAAAGGTTGCTAAAAGGTTTTTGTTCATCTAAAGAGCTTCATTGGTGGAACGCGTGAAGTTGAAAGCAAGTAGACTCTATCTCACAGAACGCATAAGTCTCTCTCGACGAATTCATCAGTATGGATATTTCAACCGAGGATCAGAACACTATTTCATTTGCAAAACGCCCCTCCTACTTTTGCCAACAATTATTTCAACAGAGCAACGTACTGTACCATACCATACAATTAGATCTTGCAACATCCCGACATGTCAGATGCAACATGGCGATTACAAAGTAATCGTGCTTGCACTGAATAGCAGCAGGCATGCAGATCCAGTATTAGGCAGATCAGCCATCAGACAATACATCTAGTGCTACATGCTCCTTTTTCATTTCATTTTTGGTTTTAAAAGATTGATGTGATCAATGAAGTTTCGTCTGCGAACGAATCGTTCAGATATTTAAAGAAAGAATACAAGTATTCCTCCTTTAAAATCAGGATTCGCTGTCTGACAAAGCATAGTTTATATTCGAGTACTGAGTGACTGAAGGTACCATGGGGTAAGGCACAAATAGTTAAAGAGTCTCGTTGTGTTAAAGAAGAAAACTAAAACATTTGAAAAATTTTCATGGCTTTTATACACGCATTTGCCATGAAAGGCTGTTGTTGAAATCAGATGACTGTCATTACTTGGTATCCATTCTATGAGCAATGTCAAGTGGTGTAGTGGAAGAGGAGCATGGTGTATGTTGTACTGGACAAGGAGTACATACCAAGTAGGTTGGCTCAGCCAGAGAAAGGGTCCTTCCAAAGTTTCTTTCAAGACAAAGCACAAAACAAGGATGGCTGCTTAACAACATCCACAGCAAAGCAACGTTCGGCCATGTAAGCTTTTATCCGAGACTCTAATTCTTTGTGTAATGTTTGTGTCCGTTTCGAAAAGGGGATGCGATGATAATTTAAAGCCAATTGAGTGAAGAAAGAATAAGGCCATTGGCTTTTTTTTCCGCATTTATTATCACATCTGCCTAGCAATCTTATTTGCCAAGCTTCCTCTTTCTTTCTCTTTTTCATCTGCTATTCCTCAGCAACATGACGTTGGAAGAAGATCAAAAAGAACCCTTGTTGAATGAGACTGAATCACAAGCTGCTACAGTGAGCTCGTTTCCACCTATTTCAAAGCAGCAATCAAGTCAACCACAGCCGACAGCTACTGTATCCACAGAGCAAGCTACTGCTGAAATAGGCACTGAAAATACCGAATGTAAGGGTAAATGGCATGGACACAGGTAGTTGCGTGTACTCACAGACCCATCATCATTAGCTGTTAGTATATTCGACGCAGCTCAAAGAGGCTCTTTTCAGACGATACGCTATCTGTTGGATAACAAAATCGCAACGGTACATGACGTGGATAACCAAGGCGCCACTGCCTTACATTACGCTACATTGGCAAACAACGATGTCTGTGTGAAATACTTGATCGATAAGGGCGCTGTTGTGGACGCACCCGCTGGTGATTTGCAAGCAACTCCTCTGCATTGGGCTAGTAGACAGGGACGTTTGGGTGCTGTTCACCGTCTCATCAAGGAGGGAGCCAACCCTTCTCTCAAGGATGGGCAAGGCTTCAACGCACTCCATTTAGCAGTGCACTCATCGCATGCTATGCTTGTGCTGTATCTACTATATCTGGATATCGAGATTGATGTATCGGACAATGTGGGTGGACATACACCGCTGATGTGGGCTGCTTATCAGGGACATTCACAATCTGTGGATTTATTGCTCAAGTTTGGAGCTAGTGTTACAGCCACAGATCATTCGCAATTGACGCCACTTCACTGGGCTGTTGTTCGAGGCAACAAGATGTGCATTCGCAAGATGCTCGAGTACGATGCAGATGTCAATGCTCGCGATCAGACGGGTAAATCCGTCATGGATTTCATCCACGAAAAGAAGTTTGAGCGTACCTGGGACAGAGCTGTACTGGAATTTGATGTGCTGGCAGAAGGAAATTCAGCTCAAGAGGCTCGTATTGGTAAATACCCCGGATCAAAAGGAAAGCCATTATCAAAGGTACGTTGGAAACAATGACTTGTCAGTGAGATAGCTGGTGGGCTGACACATGGAGAAGCGCACTGTGAATACTGTTGCATATTTAGCACCCTTCTTCTCTTTGGGATTAGCGCTAAAATGTCTTGCCATGTTCCCTTGGTATGCTGGATTACCGTTAGCACTTATGTCATTTGCAGTTACACACATTGGCATTATCAAATACTTGATTCAAGTGCCCAGCCATGACGCTGTGTGGAAGACACCCTATTTCTCGAGTATATTCCAATCTTCGGCATTTTGGGTCGTTGTTACCTGGATGTTTGTGCTCGTACCATGTAAGTTCCGTCCTGTAAAATGTGCGCAACAGCAACTGATTGATGTCAAATAGCTACTTCACATTTACTGTTTACCAATCTGATATTTTTGACCACCTTCTTTACTGCCATGTTTGCATTTTTCAAGGCAGTGGCAGCAGACCCTGGATTCATCAAGAAGGATTCTTCGAGAGAAAAGCAGCACAGAGCAGTCGAGGAATTGGCAGATGAAAACATGCTGGATGTTCGACATTTCTGCTTGACTTGTTTGGTAGGTTGCAAATGGAGAGCGGCTAAATGGATAATAGGCTGACATATGGGGATGATAGATCAAGAAACCATTGCGATCCAAGCACTGCAAAGTATGCAATCGCTGTGTGGCCAAATTCGATCAGTGAGTACGCCCTCCATGTGTTTCTTACTTGTAGTAATTTATGCATCTAGTCATTGTCCCTGGATTTTCAACTGCATTGGTGTCAACAATCATAGACCCTTTTTAGTATTTTTGATCAACATGGTGATTGCCATTATTGCATTCTCCATGTTGTCTGTCAACTGTAAGTGGATCTCTGTTTGGCGTTGTTCTCTACTGACCGATAGATAGATCTCTCTATCACTGCTCCCATATACGATCATGGGCCTGACAGCACTTGCTTATTGGGATCCACCGTCTGCGGCTATTTTGACTATGACACATGGACATTGGCATTGACTATCTGGGTCTTATTCCAACTGACTTGGTCCATGTTTTTACTGGGTGTGCAGCTCTATCAAGTGGCCGTTGGCATGACAACCAATGAAAGTGCCAATGTCAATCGATATGCTTATATGAATGCGAATCAAGGCGTGATCACCAATCTGACTGTGGGAGGCATTGAAGGCAGTGATGGCCCGTCAGCTACTGTTGGGGAACCTGGTCATCATCATGGCCATGGTCATGGACAAGGTGGATTTTGTCCTTGCCTTCAATTGGTTGCAGGCGCTAGAGCTCTACATAAGGCTCGCAATAGACAAGGCAACATGAATAAGGCTGGCAATGTGTTTGATCATGGATGTTGGAACAATTGCATGGATTTCTGGGCACCAGATGGAGGTGGCACCAACTATTACGAAATTTATGACATTCATCAAATCAATTATAAGCAAAAACAACATCAACAGCAAGCATTGGATGTGTAGTAAATACTTGTAAAGAAATAAAAATACCCCCCTATTAATGTACTTTATGAATAAATTGAGCCATTTTTATTGTTATTCTGTTTAGTTGCGGTTGTAATTGTAAATGGATGTATGTTGAGGGCGATAGGGTCTTGTTGGTGCTGTCAATGTGGGATCGTCGTCGAGGTATGCTGGGGTCGATAATGCTGTATCTCTATATGAATGTCGTGGTGTTGTTGCCTTGGCCCACTTGCTGTCTTGTGTTCCTCCTAATTTCAATGGCCTTGTTGTTGGTTGTGTGTTGTTAAAAGCTACCAGATCGTCGTCTACCATCATGTCATAATCCTCTTCCGTTGTGTTGTGGTGTGGTTGCTGTGGTGGTCTGCTAGTTGCTGCTGGTGGGTAAACGTCGTCTATTTCCATGGTATAATCCTCGCCCAACGTAGGTTGCTGTATCTGTTGCTGTAATTGTGGTGCTTGGTGGTTCCATGAAGTTGCTGCGTACCTAGAAAGAGGGTTATCTGTCGAATGAGAGGTAGAGTTCTTGGCTATACGATTTAGTAATGCCTCCATCTTGGGCACTGACTCTGCCGAGATCGAATCCACATCATGAACCATGACTTTTATACAGAGGTTCCGGTCATTGGATAGTAATGTCACTCGTTTATGCGTTACTTGCTGGAAATACATGCAACAATCCAGAATGCGATCATCGCCTTTGACGTTTTGATTTTTGAGCATGTCTTTACTCCACACTTCGTTCATCTTTTGTCCTCTCAAAGATATAATCTTATCTCGCAAACGCAACTCGATGAAGCGCATGGCTTTCCTTGCTCCTGCACTGATGTCTGGATTTCCTTGCTACTCTGTGTCAGTCACCAAGACTGCAAGCAGAACACACCAACATACCTTTAATCCATCTAATTCTCGAATCACAACCCAGGGTAACAGCACCAACAGGCTTCCTGGGTTCTCGCTTGCTAAATCCAATACAGTATCCAAGAAGCCAAGTTTTGACAGCAAGAAATTGGTATCTAGAACGCAAATCTCCTGAAATGCCCCCAGCACTGTAGCTCTTTGCGTCAGTTATCTCATCTGGCAATCTATATTCATGTTACTTACCATTCTGTGGTTCGTCTTGAGCATTTGTGTACTCCAAGATAGCTGAAGCTTTGATGTTAGTTTCTTGACTGAGCACAGAAGAATAGCTGGCACGAATGTCTGCAATTTGATTATTGACATCGGCAATGAACTCGGGCCCATCGATGTCCATGAACTCCATGTCGTCGCGTCTACTCATGATGTTTTTGAGACACTTGTGTGTGTGTGTGTGTGTGTGTGTGTGTGTGTGGTTGATGCGTTGTTATAATAATCAAGTAAAGAAGGAAAAGCTTGCTTGATATATTTGATCAAGACTCGTTGGTGTGAGGGTGTATGTAGAAGACAATGAAACACAGAGGCTTCTTGAATGCCCGGCAGTAAGGTACAATGAGGTATGTTAATCCATTAAGTTTGGTCAAACTGATATTGTTCCTTCTTGTAACTTTGTCAATCAGTGATGATCATTTCCGGTCCAACAAATTCAGTATACTGAAGCATACACCGTATTGCATCATGAGTATCCCATTTGAATATTTGATTTTATGAAGTGCATAATTTGGGACATCATCAAATGTCCATTGTACAACGTCTATATTGCGACGCGAATCTAGTATTTTATCACTAGCCAATCAATCTCGCTACGCTCGCTGACGGCGACGCTCAGTGGTTTCTTGCCAAAGACATTTTGAATCAGATGTTATGACATTTTGGTATATCAAGTAGATTTTAAACAATTTATTATTACATTGATATCAAGCAAAGCCTATTATTGGGACAATGTGAAAGAAAATTCAAGTTTTATGCAGCATTTATGCATTAAAATTGTCATTTTCTGATAATAGAGCTGCCATATCATTCACTGCTGTTGATGCTCTTAATAAGATGGCGATATAAAGCTGGTCATAAGTACATACAAGACTTGTGTAAGATCTACAGCGACTTTTTTGAGATGTTGTCAATGCAAAAGACACTTTCATGAGGCAAAGCTCCCCCCAAAAAAAAGTATTTGTGCTAAGCAATTGTCTTTTCAATTCCATGATCCCCATTTAATCAGCATTGCAATCATCATTGTCATCAACAGAAAGGCATTTAGGTCAGCCAGCAGCAATGCCACCGGCTAAAATCAATTCAAATTCAGTCTATTTTTTTCTCTCAAGATTGGACAGATTTGGTGCTTTATCGACTTCTTTAATCTATTCTCTAAGATTCGACTATATACACTATGATAATCACCCTACGCTTCCTAATAGTCCCTGGTGGTAGGGCGAAGTGGTAGAACTCCCGTATGCCAACGGGAGGATCCCGGTTCAAATCCTGGTGAACGCAAGTTGTTTGATTTTTTTGACGTAGTACTGATGTCCTCGTTTGGTGTTTTTGTACTCTATCCATTATCTATATTTTGACGATTTCCGCAAGACTGTATTGGCTCTAGGTGTCGCACCTTATTAGCAGTAGATTTCTTTCCCAACTTAATTCAAAAATATCTTATTCCCCTTCTTTGCAGACATTGGGTCCACCAACAGTCTTTTCTTTCCCTCAGCATGACATTTTAAGGACTTTAAATAAAACCTGGAGCTCGACTCCCCTACAAAAAAAAAAAAAAAAAAAAACGCTTCCTAATACATTCTTGAAGTACTTTTCAAGGCGCTTCCAATGGTTGCTAATTGTAATAAGTGTTTTGACTGAAACTATTGAGCAATTTAATAAAATATGAAATGAGGTTTTTTTTTAGCGAAAATAGCCATATTTTGAATATGAAAACCTCATAAAAGTGGTTTCAGAGGTTGCTTTGGATCGAGAGAAACATTTTGATCTGATATATACCATAACAAAAGTCTTCATTTTCAAGGTGAAAAATGCGATCGTTTGATTTTCGATGAAAACCATGAGGTATCTTTTTTTTTAAAAAAAATTGTTTTTTTATTGATTGCTCCGTGTAAGTAGGTCCCTAGGGCACTACCAAGAGGCGGGCGCAATTGATATGATATTCAATTATATTTAGGATAAAGCGATAGATGACAGGAACAGATGATAGATGACAATTGTGATTAGAGAATTACAATTGTTTGTGAATTTCAGTTTGGGCATGTAGTTGAAGGAGCTCGTTCTTGATCTGCTGGACCACATACCATGAGGTACCCCTCATGCTTTTTGGTCGATTTTTGGCCATGGTTTTTTTGGGCCCCAAAAAGTTGAGCAAAGGTGCCAGAAAGTTGCTGCTACTCGAGTACAATTGTTTAGCGTTATTCCGGTAGCTTTTAAAGGTCTACATATCAAGATATGAAGGCTTGAAAACTGTCAAATTTGGTTATGTATTACTTTGTAGAGTTTATTTATACGGCATAAATCACACCTTTGGTAGCCGCAATTTACTGGAAAGACAGTTCTGTAGCTTGAGCAATTTTTAATTCGAATAAAGAGGGCTATTGATTTTGGTAAAGCTGATTCATGCAAATTTTGATGCGTTATGGAGATGAAAACCCAAATTTGCTGCTTGTTGAATACTCTGGTTTTGCACTTTTGCTATGCTACGGTAAAACCGCCGCATAAGTCAATGTTACCAAATGTTGAATTTGATGAATTATATTCTTGGTGGATGGGCTTAGCTCCTCCTCCAAACCCCCTCACCTATGCCGGCTTTACCGGTGGTTTATTCACCTTGTATGGTACTCAATTCTTTAAATTCTTGAAAGAATACATGTTGTTTACCAACACTCTTGTAGAGCTACTAGAAGGCGCCATCAACATTTGTAATTTCAGCTTCTTGTTCCAAGAAGACTTTTATATCTCGTTGCATCATGACTAAGCCGCTCGGTCATGTCCTGCTTCGTGCTCTTGTGTCAAATGTCTCGAGTTGTGTTGCTCACTGCGGCAGCACAGAAACTCGAGAAAAAAAGTATGCGACATAATAGCGCTTACAGTTGTCAGGCAACGCACTTTACTGACGCTAGTTTCTAGTCATCAAAAAGTCATTAGAGGGCAAAGGAGAGTATTGAGCTGTCCCACGAACTAAAGAATAAGATACTGGTATTGCCTGTGTTACTCCTTCATCAAAATTGCCTTCAAGAGACAGCCATCTCTTTATAATAATCTAAGAATTGGAGACTGCGAATCCTGTCATTACCTTTGATTCAGACGATGAAACCACTGATTCTTCTTTAGTGATCCTCGTTTTTTGTATGATAATAAAAAGCTTCTGTTTATTAATCAATGTGACAATAACTGACAGATTTACAGTAGTTATGATCGTTTCAAATACGCCTAATTGCATGAATACACGAGATGTATATTGTTAAACTAAAGCAAATGCTTTGGTGTCGATTTCTTCATTATACAACATTTCACTCTCACAACATCGTAAAGTCTCCAAAATTGGAGGATACTACGCTGTCTTTAGGCTTATCATTTGCACTACCACTGGAGTAATGTATCCAGTGTTTGTTGGCAGCCTTCTTATTGTAACCTAGCTTGTCTTAGTGGCGAGCCCTTTTTTTTTAGCAGAATCAGGAAATTAGTGTACAACTTGATTTACCAGCTGGCCAAGCTAGCATTGGGAACAACAAGTGTACGAAACACAGACCATCAGATGAAAAGATAAGAATCTTGTGTACAGTTATAAGTGATCCAATGCTGGACACAACTGAGCTTTATCAATTACCTCGGATGAAACATAGATTTGGTCAAACAATGCGTGGTGTCTCCCGTTAATGTTCATATCCCGATATTTAGAGAAGCATCAAGCATTGTTTAGGTAATGAGATGTACATTACAGAGACTACCGCATCATAAGATCTTGGCTGCCAATTAGATTTATTGGTAGGTCACGAATGGACTGCGTGAAAGTACAGTAATGAAGCCAAAGCTGAAGATAAGATGGATGGATACGCTTATATGGTATCAATGTATGACAAATGCTTATGTTGAATGAGATGGCCTATTCAAATAAAACATGCAATCATTCAGTAATATCGATGCAATGAAATGAAATAGATGCTTCGGGAAATCGAACGCCATTATCATGTCGAATACAAGGCGCAACTTGTGCTTAAAACACTATGGATTATGTCAGTGTAACTCATGAGCATACGCGGCTGGGACATTTCTTTTGTGGAGCTGTCCTTCTCCATCATCTACTTAAGGACCATTCACCAGTGCATAACAGATACTGTTTAGTTGGGTTGTTCGCTAGCAAATGACATCCATCTCAATGGCATCTTCTTCATTTTTATCAATGGCTCTGACTTGATTGACATCCAAGATAATATACAAGGACGGATCATTGACTATAGGGCTTCGCCAAGCTCTAGAAGTTCTTGATCTTCCTGGGTACTCCATATTGTATAATTGATAACACATATCGGGAAACTAGCACAAAAATTCAGTAGTAAAAAGGTCATTGAAGGATCTCAAATCATTACTTAATGCAGAGTCTTCTGCCTCGTGGCAGCATCTGAAACACATATACCATAACATAAGCATTTTTAATGTGTACCACATCTCTGGCCATGCTTTTCTCACATGCTAGGAGTTGGAACTTGATCCGTTGCTTCCCCAGATTGTTTAGTTGAAGCTCCCACACTGACAATCGATGTATTTGATTATAGGACATTGGAGACTGATTGGTGATACCCAGTGATAACAAACAAACCAGTGTGGTAGAATAAGGTTTCATATTCTCTGTTTTCACACATGACCTCTGACACAAGGCTGTTGGCCATGATTGGATTCTTGATCTGTGATGTTTGAAATGATGAACACTGAAAGGTTAATATTTCCAAATGTCGAATAATTTTCATAAAAAATGTCGAGAATACCGAGGTTCTCGTAGTACAAAACTCGATATACAACATCTGCATTGCTCTGTTGACGTTAGTAGACTGAAGTAAGGTACCAATGGTATGCGATGCAGCTAAATATCATTTTTTTTTATAGTTTGGTTTGGCTGGGTCAAGGATCGATACATAACGCGTTACTCATTATCTCGTTTTAAAGCATTCCCGGTAATGTAATACATGTAAAACACATAGAAACAGGTAAGTGCAGAACCCGTTTACAGAGGAACAAAATCAACTCTGTGGGAATCGAGGTATTTTGTTGAATAAAAAGCATTTGATGACAGATTGTGTTTCATTTTAACTTCCCTTCTGGGGCCCGTTCCACAGGCTGTAGGGTAAAAAAAAAAAAAAAAAAAATAGTTACTAAAAAGAATGGTGATCACCTCGGAAATAGCCATCTTTCTCTCTCTCTCTCTCTCTCATCCTCTCACTTGCTTTCTTACTTGTTCTTTTCCCCTTTTCCCGTAGCACTAAATTATAAACACATTATGGTTTTTGGTAACCTTTCATTTCAGTCACAAACATCTTCTTCCTCGTCCTCCACAACATCTCCATCAAATAAGCGTCAGGAGAGAGAAAACCATATAAAACCACTGAAAATTTTGACAAACGCTTTTGCTTCTGTTTCCAACACAGCTCCAATGTCAGGTTCAATACCTTTCTTTGATCAAGACGACTACCTAGCACCAACACCTGTAAAAAAAGTAGAAACTAGTGACAGCATGTTAGATTTGAATGACCCTGGAACATTTCGCCCCAAAGCGCATGGCATCAATGTAGATGCGGTTTTGCAGCAAGCTACATGCTCAGGCTGGTTGACAAAGCACGTTGCACCCACATTTTCTTTCATGAAAAGCACTAAAAGACGCTATGTTGTGCTTGTTGATCGCCTGCTTTATACATTCAAGTCAGAGACGCCAGATATGTATCGGGAATTCTTTGAATTGACAAAGGATACGCACGCATTTGTTACGGATCAATTTGCTGGTCAATTGTACTGCATTGAAATCAAAAAGATGGGCCAGCTCGAGACGTATAGTTGGTTTTTACAAGCAGATGATGCAGAATCAATGAAGCTTTGGTTAGATCGAATCAAACGAACTATTGGATGGCTCCGTAATGGGACTAGTGGTACTATCACCAAAGGCAGTTTAACAAAAATCACTACTGAAGACGAAGAGTATTCTCGTATCGCGAATAACGCAAAGCAAGCTATCTACAGCTCTCCAGCATCTAGCCAGAGCAACGTCTCCTTGAGCGATAGCAACAGTTGGCCACACTCATTAAACTCGTCATTCATTGCAACTGCGGTTGCAGCAACACCAACACCAACGCAATTTATCAACACCAATTACATTGAAAATGATTCAGTGCTGTCATTTTCCTCATCAGAATATTCACCTATGGAACGAAACAGTAGCTTCAGTGGCTCAAGGAAATCATCCCTGAGACTTGCCAGGCCAAATATATCATCACAATCAAATTACACAATTATGCCAACAGTGCTACCTCCACAATTGCCTCCGCCAAAATCTCAACCACCACCTATTCCCTCTTATGCTTATTTATAAACTCTCAATTTCAATTTTGCATTCTTCCTCTTATTGTAAATAATTTAATAAATAATCTGCATCCCATCTTCAAGATCACATCAAACCAAAAAAAGAAAAAAATGAATTGTCCGTGCTTTTGATTTGATTTGATATTATATATGCTATCAACAAAAGAGCCTAACACTGCTAATGAGTAGTTGCCTTTTCCAAAAGGCAAGTATTTTTAAATGTCCAATCAAGGACTTTAATGCGATAAACTTTTTAGTTTCGTATTCTAAATGACATCAAAGAGAACTATAAACGAAGCGTTCAGGTTTCCCTCGAAATATCTGTTTGTTTGTTTCAAGAATGATTAAGGAGCTGCAACGTGGTTTTTTGAAATGTTTGTTCTTCAGGAGATAAATGACGAGAGTATACAAAACCACAAAAAAATTGAGGTAGATAACATGACGACCCCTGTTCTTGCGTAGAATTTTGTCAGCTTACAACAGAGAACAAAGATCCGCCGCCATTTGTGTTAGTTTTATCTCGCCGCTGCCTCCGCGCAAACAAAAGGGAACCAGAAAAAAAACAGGCTTTTAAGATAATTTGACCCACTTGCCCAAAATAGAAACCGCCGTCTATTTATGGAAAAGATCTGCTTCAGGGGTAGCACAATATAAACTCCAATTCAAAAAAGGAAAGTTTAAATTGTATCATAGCAACGTGTTGACATGCCAAACATGTATGTTCTGTGTGCCTGTGACTTTTTCATGCTCGTGTGAAGAGCATTTGAAAAACTTGGTAGCGTAGCAAACAGGAGAATATACCGCGGACTAGAGATGATTGATTGAATGTACGCTAAATCCTGACCATAAATCTGATAATCAAGAATTATCCATATATCTCATTGGATATAGGCTGCTTCAAACTGTAACAACAACAAAAAAAACAAAAAAAAAACAAAAAAAAAAAAAATGGAAAAAAAAAGTCAGCAGACACTTTTTTTTTTTTATTCTGGGTCAATAAGTCGAGATAAATTACGGGCATATACAAACAAGCGTTTCGGTGCATCACATACCAACATTTCACATCATGACATGTATTCATTTAAAAAAAATGGCTTGATAGTGGATCAAGACAGCAATTCTGGATCTATGCTACGAAATGTGCTTTGTTAGGGAGTTGGAATCCTCAAAACCAAACAAAAGCTTTTGACTTGATTTAAAATAGAAAATTATACATTGCTTACATTTGGTTGCGAAATGCAATCATGGAAGCGACTCAGTGATGGAAAAGCGGAAACAAAAATCTTCCTTGTAGTACACTTTCTTCTTTACTCCTATCGTTACTGTTTTTCTGCGCGCTGCTCTTGGTAGTGGATCGCTTAAAACGGTTAAGCTTTTTCTCATATCTCCATTCTTTTATCTTGTATATTTTTAAACATTTGCCTTCTTTCTTCCCTTTTTCTTTTTCTGCTTAATTGTCACCTCTTTTTCTCTTTTCCACCTCCTCTTTGTCCCCTACTCAAATACTTTCCTTACAGAGACATTTACACATCCTGACTATTCTTACTCTCGTTTTCAATACATACATATCAAATGACATCCTTACAACAACAACAACAACAACAACAACATCACCAACACCAGTCTTGGTCCCAGCAATTATCTGATGAGAATGTGGTTCAGGCTGATCAACATCAACATCAAGATGCAGCAGACCGTCAAGATGCAGACGACATCCATCAACCAGATAACAACTCAGGCACTAATTCGACCCCGCCTGTTCGTAAAAGAACAAGAGCTACTGCTGACCAATTATCCGTTTTGGAAGACACATTTGCAGTAAATGTCAGTCCAAACTCTAAATTGAGAAAGCAATTAGCCGAGCAACTTCAAATGAGTGAAAGATCCATCCAAATCTGGTTTCAAAACAGAAGAGCAAAAGTAAAGCATATGCAAAAGAGAGCTCAAATGCAAATGCATCAAGCCTCTATTCGTGCTCAATTGTATCAGTATCATCAGCAACAACAACAGCAGTATGGCCAACCATTACTGCCAATGCAGCCCAACTCATCCGCTGCTGCTGCTGCTGCTGCTGCCGCTGCTGCTGCTGGTGTCTATCAACATCCCTACTATTACTCCAATGCTGCTACTCGTTTAGCGATCCCTACCAGAGCTCAAAGTGTAGATGCTGTCCAATACAGTAATGCTAGAGTGTTGAATTTACATCAGCAAGCGCAACCACAGCCTCAAGACATGCTGTTTACACCTGCTTCTTCTGTCCCTCCCCCTCCCTCTACCACTACAGGCACTCAATACAGCGCCACTCCTCCTCCAATGTCATATCCTCAATACTACGGTCATCATCAACCTGGTTCCGCTGCTTCCTCTTCCTCCTCCTGGCCTGCTCATCTCCAAGATGACTTGCCACTCACCAGACAAAGCATGCCTCCCCAAGTCTATCCTTACGACTTTAATTCTTCCTCGGTAGAGCCCTCTTCTATTGGTATAGAATTCCCTGAATATTTGCACGGCCAAGTGTCTCCCTCTCCCAGTCCTCTTCACCAACAGCAAAAGTTGAACGCAACCATTCCTACCTTGGTTTCTGTCCCTGATGCTGGTCCCACCGCTATCTTGGCTACTAGTTTGACTCAATCTACTACTGCTTCCAACCACAATAGTCCAACTCCTGCTGCTACTCTCTCCACATCACCTGGTAATAGTATAATCCTTGTATTTCACGTATTGTTATACTAAATGTTACGTTTAGAAGCTACAACGAACCTAGGCTTATCTACTGTTGATCCCTCTAATCTGATGATGCCTTCTGCTGGCTCAATAGATGAGAGTAATGAAAAGAAGGAGTCATCAGCAACACCTGATAATTCCAGTGTTAAAGATGAATCCTCGCAACAACAGCAGCAATCTGTGGAAGCAGGGCAGCAACAGCAAAAGCAACAAGAAGAAGACGAAGAGCCCAAAGATTTATACCTCAGTGCCACTACATTAACTATTGGTACATGGCATCGTCTCAAGATGCATGAAACAGATCTCGTCTGTGTATATCGACCTGATACCAGAATATTTGCTTGGCATATCGTCGATGGCGGCTGCCATTTCAAGATGGAAGTAGCTCAAAATGCAGTTTCCAGCATAGAATTTGTGCTGGACGAAAACGAAGCCTTGGTTGATGTTCATTTCGATATCAGTGAACCACCTTTATTCTACATGGAATCCACTACTACCACCACTACAACTATACCATTAGATGAACCATCCACCAAAAAGAAGACCAACAGCAAAAAGAATGAGAAAGACGATACTGCCACAGCCGAGGAAACCGAGCAAGAAAAGATAATTGAGATTCCCTCTCCTATGTGGGTTCAGTGTTCTGACTTTACAGAAGGGAAACAAGCATCTAGATTCTTTAGACATACATTGAAAGGAGTTGCTCACCACATGAAACAAGAACTTTTAGCGTTAATTCACAATCACGAAGAAACTAGACGTCTTGTCCATTTCATTGAGCCCCAACAATACAACTTGATGTATCAGCCTATCGTCGAATCACAATCTTCTCATCCTCATCAACACCCTCATCATCACGCACATCAACACCCTCATCATATTCAACATCAACCACATCAGCATCATCACATTCAACAACATTCGCCCACCAACGAAGATCATTTATTAATGCAAGCTGCTGCTGCTGGCTTCATGAATCCCAACATGTATTGGCCCAGTCAACCCGTCAGCGAGCCCATTGCTTGTGAATTGTACATGAATTAAAATCTTGTATGTGTATTTGTATGCTGTAGTTGTGTTGTCTTACACGCAATTCTCCCTCACAAGAAAAAATCCTCCTATTTTCTTTGTAGTGTATTATATCTTCTTTCTCTTCTTTTTCGAATAAACAAACAATATAAATATTGTCTATTAAAAACAAGATCACCTCCTTAAATCATCGTTTGTCTGATCCAGGAAGAAAAACAAGTTGGTTGTGCGCCATAACCAGCCTCATATCTTGCAAGTTGTTTGTATATTTCCTGTTTTTTGTTGGACCTGGTAGCAGCAGACATACCAAACGGCGTCATGTATTCATTTAAAGATACGGCTAGGTAGTTTAGGAGCCAAAAAGTCGTACAGATGTGATGTAAATCCTTGGCCAAACTTGCTAGATGTATTTATTTGGGGGCAGTGATGCGTAGCAGTCTGCAATCTCTCATATAGATACTGTATATCTATAGAAAACTCATATTTAGAACACTACATGCACATACTTATAGTGCCTTGGGAACAGACTCAAACTTCTTTTGTAAAGTATAAATAGATCTTTTAATTAGCTTGCTGAAAGAATAAAATTTTCCACCGAGCACAATATTTAATACAGCTCTCTAGTGAATTCCATATATGGTCTCGTAGGGTTGTTGATTTCTGACCATATTGTCATGCTACAGCATTTGCTGCTTTTATAGGCTATAGCTTGGCCCTCTAACTATTAAATTAATGCTGGATTCAAGCTGTCAAATTATCTCAATAAAAATAAACTTTTACCAAGCGTTCTTGTATTAATTAAAGATATACATAGTATTCTGACAGGTGCCGAATCACGATAGCAGCATTTAATTTTTTAAAAAACACCATAAATCAGTTAAATTGCACAGTTACCACCGCTACGATAGTCTAAAGGAATTGATTGTCTGCATAGTAGTCATCTGAAAGAGCTCTGTTAAACTAACTTTCAAGTAAACATTATCCCAATAATGTGGTTCAGATCAGCTCTGTACAGAGATATTCATGCTGGTAGCCTTATGATGTTCATTATTACAAGCTCTATCATTAAATTATTTTTTGAGGCAAGTCAGAAATTTACTGGATTACACATTTCGCATGTACATGTATAAAGGCAAAGGAATCCAGGTTTACAAACAAAGCTCAATGAGAACTGTCATTTGTGATCTGGAGGTGGGCAGGTGTTTTATTATATGAGCGCCTCTGCGCTACAGGTGGTTCTCAACCTTTGCTTAAATGAGAATCAACGTGCACGACAGCAGCTTGCTGCTGACAGCCCTCTTTTATCTCATTTATTTCGTTTAAGGACTGTAGACTAAACCAGTTAGCCTACTGGAGTACGTTTCTTAACTTTCCACTATCATGTGAGCCTTTCATAGCTGTGGGTCCGACTCTTTTGGGGTACTCTATGTATGTATTGATTGTAACAAATTATATATGGGTGCACAGCATAGTTGCAATGTAATTTTACTGCAAAATACAGCAATACCAGAGTGCATTTGAGCCGTGATTTCTCGCTTTAGAAGCGGGTTTAGACCGCCAGAATAGCACCAAGCAATTGCTCTCATCTAGCATTCACTTGCGGACATCTTTGCTCAGCTTTTTTGGGGACCCAAAAAACATGTCAAAAATCGAACAAAAGCCATGAGGGGTACCTCATGGTTTTCATCGAAAATCAAACGATCGCATTTTTCACCTTGAAAATGAAGACTTTTGTTATGGTATATATTGATTCAAAATATTTCTCTCAATCCAAAGCAACCTCTGAAACCACTTAAATGAGGTTTTCATATTCAAAATATGTCTATTTTCGCTAAAAACCTCATTTCATATTTTATTAAATTGCTCAATAGTTTCAGTCAAAACACTTATTACAATTAGCACCATTGGAAGCGCCTTGAAAAGTACTTCAAGAATGTATTAGGAAGCGTAGGGTGATTATCATAGTGTATATAGTCGAATCTTAGAGAATAGATTAAAGAAGTCGATAAAGCACAAAATCTGTCCAATCTTGAGAGAAAAAAATAGACTGAATTTGAATTGATTTTAGCCGGTGGCATTGCTGCTGGTTAACCTAAATGCCTTTCTGTTGATGACAATGATGATTGCAATGCTGATTAAATGGGGATCATGGAACTGAAAGGGTAATTGATTAGCGCAAATACTTTTTTTGGGCTGATTTGCCTCATGAAGGCGTCTTTTGCAATGACAATATCTCAAAAAAGTCGCTGTAGATTTTACACAACTTCTATATTTGCGCATGGCCAGCTTTATATCGCCATCTTATTAAGAGCATCAGCAACAGTGAATGGTATGACAATTATACTATCATAAACTGGATATTGTGGTGTACAATTGCTGCATGAAACTTGAATTTTCTATCGCATTATCCCAATAATAGGCTTCGTTTGATATCAGTGTAAGCAAAAAGGGTGCTGAGGGAGATATCTCCTCTCCTCCTCCTCCTCCTCCTCCTGGCTCTGATATACACCAAAATTATACTATATTTGATTTAAAATGTCTTCGGCGAAAGCTCGCAGGGCGACGCCGACATTGAGCATAGCGAGATAGATCGGCTAGTAGTCGAATACGGCAAAATAGGTCAAATCTTGTCGAAAAAGCAAATTAGAACACACATTGTCAGACGAAATTTAAGTTGATTTTGGCGGCGGCCGTTGGCTGGCCATTGTGAACAAGGATGAAAACGATGCTTTTGAAAACTCACAAGGAGGGAACTGCATGCTAATAATTAGTATCGCTCAGCCTAATTCCCTTTTATCTGCTTTTGTCTCAAAATCTTATTTCTGCGGATGCTAGTTAGTAAACACAGTTCAACTATAAAGGATTTGCATATGTGCTCACAAACTATAATACGAATTTATTTCTTCAGGATAATGTATAATATAAGAAAGACGAGTGGTATGGGATATAATTACAATAAGTGCATCAAAAATACACCTTGAATGAAGGGCAAGATCATTCATCAGCAGTTTCAATGGGTCCTTTGTATGATTTACGACCAGAAACAAACCAGAAAATGACTGAGAATCCCATGATTCCACAAATCATGACAGATGCCCAGTTCATAGTTTCAGGAGTAACAGGAGAGACGGATGGAATACAAAGGATGACACCAAAGAAACCTACCCAGATGCAACTGATAATGTTGAGTGGGATGCTTAGTTTGCCCAAGCTGAAAGGGCCCTTGGGCATGTCACGACGCACCCAAATGAGGCGACACAATAGCGGCAGACCGTAAGAGACATTGATGGAAATAACAGCAGCACTCATGATAGCTTGCCAGTAGACTTCGGATCCAAAACTCTGAGCATGCATCAGTCAAATCAGTCTCATGTAGATAATCAATACATCAATAATGATACTTACGGGCATAATGAGAATAATTGAAATGGCTAATTGCAAGATCAACGCGTTGGTGGGGACGTTTGTCTTGGGATTCAGCTTATACCAAACCTTAGAGTAGGGAAAACAGCCATCTCTGCTGAGAGCCCAAAAGATATGAACTGTTGCCAGCATTGAATTGCAAAGAGAAGATAATTGAGCGACAAGCATAATGACCAAGAAGAATACGCAGAGTTTGTCATTTGTAGTTTGAGTGAAGAAAGTTGCAATAGGCATGCTAGACTCAATAATGGCCTCAACATCTTGGATAGAGAATAGTGTGATGAGAATGAGAGCAAAGCCTTGAACAACTGCACTGAGAATACAAATGATAATGCCTACAAGGTAAAATTAGAATATATAAGCGTTGATTGTGCTATCATTGCCACCTACCACGAGGAGCTGTAACATCTGCTCTCTTGGTTCCTTCAACAATTTGAGCACCACATTCGTAACCCAGTAGAAACAAAAAGAAATGTTAGCCTTTTATGCTTTTGTATTTGTCAATGGACCGCCATGTAAATTGCGTGAATACTTATCTAATGTCCAGCCACTTTGAAGCTAATAATGTTGAGCAAGTTTCAGTGTTCTATCTCTATACAATCAAGCACATCAAGACTTACCAATCCGAGCAGAAATGCCATTCCCTTGTTGTCATAGCCAGTTTTATTCAGGAATTCAAGAAAGACCCATTTTGCGCTGCGATGAGTGGGTGCCATTGCGGGCACACAGCAAACAATAATCAGTGTTCCGATAAGGGTCCAAAAGACGATGAATTTGTTCATGATGGAACTAAACTTCATGCCAAACCAGTTACAACATGTAGCGAAAACAAAAATGCCACAATATAGCCCAACATAGGCTCCTTTAGAGGTAATTTGGGCGACATTTAGAACGTTTGCAATTCCATATATGAAGTCAACACTCGACCAAGCAAGAGTAATATTTGCTGTAACAAGGCCAATACAATAGACGTACCCAGTGATCCATGCCATGACTACAGGAAGTGTTTCAGTACAAACGCTACATATACTTCAACTTGTATGCAATAGGCTCACATGGACTCCATTTCTTGTTGCTTAATAAAAATGACCAAGAATACACGCCTCCGGCCAGCGGATAGGCAGAAATGACCTCAGCCATTGAGAATGCTATACATAATACAAATGGCACCACAACAATCCAGCCCCAAAACAATGATGATGGACCTCCTGCTACCATACTGCCACCGAAACCAACCATCCAGTTGGGTAGCACACCCATAGTGGCCATACTGATAAAAGCTTTGTTAATATACCATGATGAGTGATGTACTGCTAATGTCTCTTTACCTGAAGCCCGTCTGAACAAGCAGACTAATCTCACGTTTGAACTCTTGCTTGTAGCCCAAATCATGTAAACGTTGAGCATCATAGTCAAGATTGCTGGATTCTACATGTTGGATGTCTAATTGACCGTCTTTTTCATTTTTCTATGATATAAAATTTAAGCTATTGTAATTTGAATGCTTAGATGGTATATTTACAATCTGAGTGCTATTTTCAGCTATTGCTGTATCGTGCTCAACCATTTTTTGTGTATAGTTTGTGAAAGAAAGAGAGAGTAGTCTTTTTATATGTGGTTTCCCACTTTCCTATCTCACATTACATACCGTAATATGATAAAAACTCACATACACACAGTAGAATAAACTATAAAGTTTCAACCTCGCATATCTCAAGTTTTCGTATCTAATCGTAAAATGTCCATGGCATAAGTTCACTGTATGAAAATTGCCCTTTTTGGCTAATATACCTTCTTTATATGTCCTGCGTGTAACCTTGGATGACAAAGATTATTTCCAAAAGAGATGCTCAAGGACATCTTTTATAGACGTGGGTTGTTGTATGCCAAAAGCAAAATACTAAAAACGCTCCGTCATACGTGAAAAATGTTTAGTTCTTCTTGATAAAATACCAATCATAGATAGGCCCGATTGATTCAACATATAATAGTGGCATGGAGATGTGGAGTAAATATTTATTTTTGTATCAAAGCGTTGATCTCGTGTGAATCAACAGCTCTTTTTGATGACAGCAGTGTACCACAACGAGAGTAATCCGAGAAAGTGGAATTGCTATCTTTATCTTTTTCTGCAATATGAGAAGAGCAGATCTAGTTAATTTGTACCATTTGATATTATTTACGCAATTGAGATAACAGAAAAAGGCTTATCAAATGCTTTGGTAATGTAGATGATCTCTAGCTGGTGTGGTAATGTTTCCAAGTATTCTACCTGAAAAGAAATTTGATGCTTGCACCAAAGAACACACTTACATATCGACTGCTTCATTGTGATAATGGATATAGTACTCATTTTCAATTGTGTCATACCACCATATCAGACTGCCATTTCCATCAGCATCAAATATATCACCAGCAAAAAAGTTTTACGATTGCTTTTTGCCCCATATTGTCGTAAATTTCAGCAGGAATATCCAAATCAAGAACAATACCATTCATCTCTCCTTTTGCTTGGCTCTTACGACGACGGTTAAGCATGCATCTAAGTATTGATCATTTATATCAAACACAAGAAATATGAGAGGTAAAGCTAGAACCAAGTACATTTAAACAAGAAATAAATTCATCATCTCATAATGATACAAAATTGGTTCCTAATATAGCACCATTTAAATACCATAAGCGGTCAAGGCATAGGTAAAGGAGTTGCTGATTTGGGTGACCAAAGCAGTAGTTAAAAAAATGGTATCAAACTGGGCTTCTTGGTAGTGATGGAAAACACAGCATCAGTTGCTTGATGAGCAAGCATGCTGACAGTAGCGATAACAGCATCATCTTATTCGGCAGTGACAGCACCAACAGTACCAGCGTGCACGGCAGTCAGTACCAGCCTTCTTAAGACGGGTCGAGAACTTGTACCTTGTTGTAGGCAGCTAAAGCGCCCAAGTAGCTAGCGGATCTGGCGAAACTATCAGCCTGAAATATGTGTAGGTTGTATGTTAGGGAAACAGCACTTTAAGATATAACATGGCACTTACATCAGCTTTGACAATTGCTAGATGAGCAGCAACAGAGCTGATATCGTCAATACAGAGTTAGACAGGAGCAGAGACAGCTTTCTTGCCCAGGGCCGCGACATTAGCAGAGAGGACAAAGGTAACAGCAATGATGAAGGTGAAGAAGGCACGCATTTTGAAGTTGATTGAACCAATTGTTTGATGAATTTGACAAAGTTGGAGAAGATTTGCATTGCATTATATTGTCGCTTTGCAGGCATTAAGACAAGACATCTGTGTGCAGTATCATGTACATGCGGAATCCATGGTATTTTTAGCATATACGCTGCAATGCTCACACTGTGAGGGTATACCTGAATTTGCAGAATTGGTGCCACTGCATGATTGGCCACCGTAAATATATGAGTTTGTGTCTACACAGGGATGCCAACGAAGCTCACCTCTTGGTGATACTTAACAATCATCTCTTCTTGACGTGGTTTCTATTTTTCTCTCCTCCCAGCGAAAATACAGAGGAAGAGTATAATTATTCCTTGTACACAGCGTTGTGTACAATAAAATTTTGTAAAACAAACTTATTGAAAAAATGCGCGATGTAAATTCAGTAACTGCCATTGGCATCTTTGAGAACCATCGCAGTATTGGAAAACTACAAGATACCATGTCTACTCGTAACTGGCAAATTTTTATACAAATGGTTGGAGAAAGCAAACTCAATAAGCTGATAATTCATATAGAGTCAACCCCAGAAAGCAATCAGTTCAGAATTGTATAACAAGCAATTGCGTGTACATTTAATGATGCAGTAGTCTACTATATTGGAGTACAACACTTTCAAGTTGGAAAAGTACCAAGAGGTCTTCAGCAAGTGAGATCGTTTGATTATAACTCCTTACGGTGCATACAACTCTTAATTACACCAGGTTAAAGAAGATTTTTGCGTCGAAGTCTCATCAATAGAGCAAGACTATAATTTGATTTTGACAACCCCTTTTTTACCGAATGAAAGCAAAGTATTCAATCGACGAGAAGCTTTATATTGCCATTGACCCAGAATATGCCATCCAAGCCTATTGTGAAGCGAGCGAGTTAATACGATATGATACAGAAATCTATCCCATCTATGATGGCATTCAGTCATAACTACATATTAGTTCATAAAATTGCTTGCCTTAATGACAGCCGAATTGGAGAACGTTAATGCAGCCTTATCCTGCAAGATAAACGTTGCAATAATATCAGGTCTGCATTCTTTTGTATCTCTTGTAGAAGTATTGAAGGCTACAGCCACATTCCCGTTAGAAGTCAAGATCGCACCACGCAGCTACTTGTCAGCAATTGACCTTAAATTAAGAATAGACGCAAATGCTTCCGCAGAGGATTCACTTCGCTATGATTATATCGCCTATCCTGAAAGGTCGACGCGGCAGAAGACACAAATCGGATAAATCAACAAGATCAACGCAACTGACCTAACTACAAAAAATATCTTTCCATTGGCTCAGGATGGTCTTGAGCAAGAAAGACGCCTATACACCCTTGAAATCACAGCTTTAGCACTGTTCAGGTACTCTCCATACACTGAAGCAAAAAGCGCATAACTCTGGATATACAGTAGACATCACTCCATGGGCTGCAATTGATCAGAAGCTAAAATTAGACATCAATGTACGTACGACCTGTCTAGTAGTAAGCAAAATGCTTGTTTCGGTTTGTCTAGCACATCACTGTGTAACCTGAATGGGCTTCGCCATCTCGCAGTTTCCCATAATTCTTATCTCTATCATGAGTATAGGAATGTTAGCCATTAACACAAACCATGAATCTTGAGTTAAGATTTTAAATGTCTAAAGCAAGGCGACAAATACATTGTAAAATTGGGCTGTTTACAAATGTGTACAAGGTTAAGATGAGATCATTTGAGGTTAATATCTTGATTCACCCAGACGTGGCTTTTGTAGTGTCTGTTCATGAGTTACACTGACAGTAATAGAGTAATATGATCCATATAAAAATTCATGAATTGCTTGTTTATTGTTACATTTCTTTTTCACTTGCAATTGTAACTGAAATGAACAAAAATCAGCGCGCTATCTCGCTGTGGGCAGTAGTTTCTTTCCTAGCTTCCATTATCTTTGCACAGAGTGTAGTGCCTAATCCAAGCTTTCGAAGATATCCAAGTAGATCAGGCCCATTAATTAGCTTGATTTTACACTCACCTTGTTTCTAGGCTGCGGGTTGCTATCGACTAATGGCAACAGAAGGATTTACTGTCATGGCGGAGTTATCAAGACGAATCAGCAAGACTACGAATGGGATGCAACATTGATGCGACTGGATATCATGGACTTCAATGCTACAGCCAGCAATACATGGGAAAACATTACACACACAGCAGCAAACAGCAACATTGCTTTGGAGGCAAGGGAACGGGCATTTTCAGCCGTATCGTTTGACGGTAGCAGTCTATTCATCCATGGCGGATTGTCTCAGTACAAATTGAGGAATCAAACAATCATTTACACAGCGTCTGACAACTCTTGGTCTACCCCGGCTGCTGATTACACGGATGCTGGTTTCGGTGGTACAAGACAAATGTAAGGATATCAGTTTTACTCTACATCTAAAAGAGTACAAACTTAATTAATAACTGACCATGATACAGATACCAGGGCAGTGCTGTGGATGTAAATGGAAAGTACTATCTCTATGGCGGCGAGGAGACGTAAGTAGAAGCTATCAGCACCAACGCACGCTACACTCACACACAGTGATCTATACCACAGTTTTAGCAATCAAAACATCATCCGCTACACCGACTCTTATACCAACGAAACCTTCGTCAACTTCTTTTTGACAGATAGCAACTTCAATGATTCTGCTATTGGATATTACGAGGCCGTTACTTATAGTGAGACCATCATTGGTTACGATGTAAGGATGAATAGAAGCTCTCAGGATAACATGTATGTACTTACAGTTGCATTCAGTCTTGGAGCAAACTGAGACCCTTGGGCAACTTTCAAAAAGGATTGATAGGATCTAGCCACGCAGCTGTATTCCACCCTCGTACTACTACAATATTCTACTTTGGTGGTTATGTGCGTGATCTGATCAATTTTAATTTGGCAACGACTTCATTCAGTCAAGTAACGACCTTTAACACATCAAATATGTTCTGGGGCACACAGATGTTTACAGGTTCAGCTGTCCCTATCGGTAGAATGGGCCATACAGCAACACTCTGTAACGTATCGGGATCAGAGTTCTTTAGATGACAAGACTAACAATATATTGCATCTAGTGCCTTCCAACGAGGATGTGCTCTTGTATGGTGGCGCTTCTGGAGACATCGTGAAAGGTATTTATTGTTGAAAGGGGTTGTTAAACACCTGAACACTCAAGCGCCTCTTTTGTATAGCTATGAATGACTTTTGCTATGTTGCAAATCTACAAAACTTTACCTGGACTGCGCAATTTGCCACTCTGAAACTACCTAATGCCAATGGAGCAACCGGTGCTCGAGCGGGGCATTCAGGTATAGTGAAGTATCATGTTTGATTGAATTTTCACCATCTCACATAATATAACTTAAGCTGTGCTAGACGCTATCACCAATCGACTGTATATTTTGTTTGGATTCTATGACAACAGCTTAGGACCTCAAAACACACCATTGATTGCATTAAATGTGTCAAGCCCCTCAGCATTAGCCTTCCTTGATCTCACTCAACAAGCTATGATTGACCCCAACTCTTCGCCTAATGTAACTGTTCTAGCTGACGTTAAGAACGGAATTAACTCTGCAACAATAGGAGGTGCTGTAGGAGGCACCATTGGAGTAAGTGATCTTTTGGATACAGTTGATCAAACCCACACATTTTTGACTCATTTTTTTAGGGTATTCTAGTGATAGGCTTGGTTGCATTCTTCCTGCACAAACGTAAAAGATCCAATGACCATAATCAACAAAATGCAGGGCAAGATGCTGATGAACACGAGGAGCGTTTATCTGTAGACTGGGATGCCATTGAGGGAGGCTTCGTTGAAACCAACCTTCCATTGAACAATAGCGGCAAGAACATGGTGCCATACAATGGCATAAACAACATAAACAATAGTAATATTGTTCTGGAAAACAGCCATCTGTATTCCTCTGCTAATGAATTTAGCCAAGGAGAAAAATCGCCAGCGATGGATTACAACAATACCTCAAAATACGAAGTGTCATCTCAAACTGCAACTACTGTCACTGCTGTGTCGCCACCTTTAATGAACCTAGCAACTCCTCTTTCCCCAAATGATACGCTGTTACGACAATCGTATCTTCCAGATATTCCTCGTCATGATAACCAGCAGCCTATCACTTATATAACAAAACCTGATGGCGCTTAATTTTTGGTATCTATGTAATAAACACTCTATAGCTTTAGTATTTCCCTTGCTTCAAAATTGATAATGTCCAACTCAGATACTGCATCTAAAAGTTCGAAAGCACAGAAATATATTTTACTTGACGAGTAATGAATGCAATCACGGAAAGTGAAGGTATAGTAGTGAGATGCGCTTAATACATTAACTTAATACCATGTATAAAACAATCAAAAAATGCTTACAGTTATAGCAGTATTTCATCATTTCAAGGTTGATTTTGCCTGAAACATATATTCAACATTTCAAGATGTTAAATACTTTGTAAAAACACAATCCAAACAAAGCTAAGCTCTGTCAGCATATGTAATTGCCATAATATATATTGAACTTCAACAAAAAATTAACCGTTTCACCTATATTTTTTCATAAATCATCGACATTGAATTAAGAAAACGAGATATTAGCATCACGGACTTCATCACATCAATGAAGTAACGTCCAACGCAGAAAGTCGGTACAACTTAATCCAAAACTGAAACGCTAATACTAGTAACTTCCACTATCACGAACAACACGCCAAAATACAACCTCCTTTACAATTGACACAACAATATGTCTGTTAGATGGTAGAGTACTTCAATTAAAACTTGGTTAGAGAATAGATTAGAAACTCATTTTAACTTTTCAAAAGATACTTCAAGACTTGCAAATCTGAATACTGAAGCATCATCCTTTTTTTCTGATACAAAACATTGAAGTTGGTTGAGTACTTGGCTACTCTATCATACTGTGCAAATCTCAAGAATTTACATACAGAAAGTAGGTTTTTCAGTTGCCTTGGTTGTCTCTTGTCGAAGTGTATAAGCTAATTTGTTGCTAGATTTATTTCTGTGTCTGTTCTCCCATATTTGTGCTTCTCGTACCTCAAATCTCATATAAACTACTCTCTGTAACTGTCATTGATTATTGTTATTAAGCTGATAATACTTGGTTGTAAAAGCATTTAAATTGCCATTTTCTCGTGTTATTTATAAAACGTTGGGTATTTTTTAGAATCTCACGGATAAAAAGCGTGTTTTGTGGCCCACAAAACGTACTTGAGCTGCTGAAGACTTTTGATCAACAGGAAGAATCACAACTTATCAAATGAGAACATCCCTGTGCTTTCAACAATAAAGGGGTTCTCAGAAGAGCACATCGATGTTCTGTTAGCAAATCAGTTCAACCTTAAGGCTCATATTACTTTTATATAAGAGCGAGTTAAATTTAATTATTTACTAGGAGACCCTTTTATTGTAAACACAGTTTAATGTCAAATGACAGATCATGAAATCAACTAGTTGAAACCCTTCGCCGTTTGGACCCCTCAGCCAATCAAATCGCTTGGAAACTCCGCTGACCTAAAAAAAATTTTGCGAGGGTTTCCCCTTGTTTTGATGTGAGGCAAAATTTTAAGCGCCGCTATAATATCAATATAGCAGATGCTATCATCAAACTTCCCCCAGGTGCTAGAGCATGCCTTACTTACACCACCTAGCTTTAAATTCTGGCATTGAGACCCTCAACCATCACTAAAGTAAGTAACGATAACCAAGTGGAGGCGGCCTATCTACCTCCTAGCCTCGGATAAAGTCTTGTTGAGCTTCAGGGATAGGCACACCCACACAACGTAAAAAAGGTATGCTTCAAAGAAACATAATAGAAGAAAGAAATGAAAGAACAGAACATGCTACTGTACTATAGACGTATAGTAGTATGTATGCAAAAAAGAAACACTCACACAAAAAAAGTGAGTCAAAAGAAAAGCATAACAACAAATACAACATCAAAGATGTTCAGAACAGCTCGCTGTTGTTGCAACAGAAATGCATACATGAGCAACGTGCATGATAATAGTCGGATGTAAAGCAACACAAACACGCACAATTGCAGGAGCAACAGCAGTATTATAAGTGTGTAATGCAACATAATGACTAATGTTGTTTCATGTGAAGCGACAGAGGCAACACAAACAACAATCCACGACCATATAACAAAGTAGTATTACAAAGGCAATACAGATATATAGTAGCACATCATGCTTGTTGTTCATACATAAGAAGCAACAACATTGCAGGCATCCGTTGAGCTGATCATATCACAGCCAACAAAAGAAAAAAAAGCGCAACAAAGCAAACATTACGAATGCATTATCACGAGAAAGGAAGCAATAATACAAACGTCCAGAGAAGTTTTACGTCATTGCGACCAGAAGAAAAAAAGCTACTTACCACTTACCACAACCAAAGATAGACCAGAGAATAGGCAATCACCAGAGATAGACCAGAGAACGAGCATGCATCAGATACAGTAGACCAGAAAAGACCATATTAGCAGCAGCAGCAGCAACACCAGCACTATAGAGAAACTAAAGAACGAGCGCCATCAGCAGAGAGCAGACAAAGGCCAAAGAAGTTACTTACCACTCATCATCACTACGGATAGACCAGAGAACGAGCATGCACCAGATATAGTAGACCAGAAGAGACCATATTAGCAGCAGCAGCAGCAGCGGCAGCAGCAAAACCAGCGCCATAGAACAACCCAAGAACGAACGACACCAGAGACCAGACAAAGATTAAAGAAGCAACCGCCAGAAATACAGACCAAAGAAGCAGCTACCGGACATAATAAACCAAAGAAGCAAACAGCAGAGATGTAATGGAATCAGCACCCACTTCAAACAGTCAAAAAAAAATTATCGAAACCTAATAGACAAATCCAATTAGTGCTAATTCTACGTCTTCTAGTGCTCCTTATTGCATGGTACTTACTATATTTCACTTCAAAGAAGCAGTATCAAGTCTTTCTAACAATGCAAAACAGAGCTATAGAAGTTAGAGTGTTATTATCAACCAGACGGTTTCCAAAACGATCATGGTTTAATGCTAAACGCGTTTTGCAAAAGGGAAAAAAGATAAGGGTATGGAAAAAGGAGAGGTCACCTTGTCAGACGTCACCGCCTGTAGATTTAGTCTCAGTATTGTAATATAGCAGTGGTAATTGCGGCCATTTAATTTGAAATTGTGCAGTGGTATTTTCGTGTTCAAACTTGACTTGATTTGACATCCTTTGAACGTTTTTATCGAATTTAACAATGAAAACTGTCGTTGTCACATCCAACTTCCTAATACATTTTTGGATATCTAAAGCCACATCGAATGATGCTAATTTCATTCAGCTTCTAAACCGAAAATAATGAGAAAATTCCAAAAATACGAAAACAGGTTTTCTGTGAATATGTCAAATTCTAGCATATAAAAGTCTCATATAAACAGCTTCTAGTGTTGCATTTCATCTTTACGATAAATTTGATCTAATATGTATCATAGAAAAAGTCTTCATTTTTGGAGTGAAAAACGCGATCGTTTGATTTTTGAGAATTTTCCCTTGCTAATACGCATGAAAAAATGATGATTTCCATGCATTTGCAACGACCCAAAAAAAATTGAGATAAAGCATCAGGAAGTAAAGCGTGGCCAAGAGGAGGCGTGTGGCCCTATTCCAAGCGCTCAGAAGGCTTTGTGGCATGAGTTATTCGTGCTTGAAAATGGCTAGGTTTGAACAGAATTCGACCTAAAAATAAGGCTTAGTCGGTTGTGTTACCATACAAGTAAGTGGGATATACTTCTGTCTGGTGATCCAGATGTTCTGCATTGTACAGAACTCAATTTCCAAGTGATGGACACTTTTATTTCAGTTTTAAGGCTTAGATTTTCTTTTTCAAATGCTCAATTAAAATGACTTAAATGTTGAGCATCAATAATATCATACAAATTTGAATGTAACATATCGTTTAATTGGGACGAGATGACCATCAGAAAACCACTAGTAATTATCAGTGTGGAATTTGAGGCTCTATAAGACTAAAGTTCACGGAAAAAAAGAATAAAAAAACAGTAAAGTCAACTTGATAAAGGTATGTTTTATTATCAAACTGACAGGTGTAAAGTAAGCTGAAGTCTCTCTACTGGTTAGGTAGATAATCCTTCTTATATACTATAACAATGGATAAAAGTTCTATTAATTAGATTGGCAAATAAGTCAATTTAGATCAACTAATGTCTAATCATGCTAAAAGACAACTCCAGCAAGCTAATCATGATTTAGCTTTGCCTGGATAAATAATTAGACTCTCATCCGAAGTACCCTGATCTATCCTTTCTATAAGGATAATTAATATCGATCTAGTAGCATGTATCCGATAGGTGCAGTCTACTTAGTCTATATCAATAGTACATATCTGAGTGTATATCGCTGAGCATACATCTTTAGCATGTATCTGGATATATGGCATGTCTATAATAGCATATCGTATGTACCGTATGTCTATAGCATATCTCATATATAGTACAAGTCTGTAGTACATAAAGTATCTGTAGCTAATAGTATCATGGATATAAGCATGTGTCTTATAGCGTGGATCATGAAGTGCACATCTGAAGCAACAAGCTCATATTGCATTAATCTTGGTGCTTATCCAGATATGGCAAACATCCGAAGTCAACGCCGGAATATAAGTATAAGCCTATCGGCCATCTCTGTCCATGATGCCATCTACAACCTATAACTTAAATAATATGAATCTTATAGTATTAGCGTTGTGGAATACATCCACTATGATCTGCATTCCGACAGTTCATCCAGTTACTAGATTTAGATATAAACTGTATGTACGCTGGATTAGATGTACGATATCGATTTATACTATAAGAAGATATGGACTTCAGATACGCTAGTACTATAAGATTCATACTATATAAGATATAGGCTATAGATGGCACCACGGACATGGATGGCACTATAGACTTATACTTGTATTCCGACATTGACTACGGATGTTTACCATATCTGGATAGGCACCAAGATTAATGCAATATGAGCTTGTTGCTTCAGATGTGCACTTCATGATCCACGCTATAAGACACATGCTTATATCCATGATACTATTAGCTACAGATACTTTATGTACTACAGACTTG